ATATATGTAAAGACCAGCTCTGGAGTTGACAATTGGTAGTTCGGAAACGACAAAGTTCACGAGCGCTACCGTAGAATCAAACAGGTCCTCGATCTCGGCATTCGACTTGTTCTTCTGCTCGTCGACATAGATACCTACCTCATCTATCCGTACAGATACCATGATGCAAGATAAAGCTCTCCGCAGGTAAAGAGCCCACCCGTTATCAACCGACGGGTCATCTGAGATAGTCCTCTCTGGGGTAAACCGTAAGAGAGGAAAGAGATTGGGGCCTTTGAAATAAGGAGGCAGGTGAGATCCCAATTGGGAAGGGACCCATGAAAGCCCGTTTTCTTGTTCTGGAAAGTTGATGGAGAAGGATTCGTGGCACAGGGCCAGTGACGCTTGGGGACCTCCCACGCTTTTGGGAAACTCTGGGGAACTCCTGGCCGTTCCGTGAGCAATTCTCTTTTCTTCCACGAGAGAGTTCAGAGAGGGATGGCGCCTCTGAACGCTGGTCAGACAAAAAAAGATACGGGACGGGATTGACAGTAAGGATACTTTGAACGGGTCCGCGACGCGATAGATGATGTCGAGCGGGCGCGATTATACTTCTGTCCCATCTGCAGGTCGAAAGGAGTGCAGAGAGATGCGGCCAATGAGACAAGAGCGAGTGAGCAAGTGAAACAGAACCCCAAGTGAATCAGTCGAGAGATTGTAGGAGGTAAACAGCTGGCGTTGTCGGCTGGAGTCTGAGTCTGAGTCTCTGGAGGCTTACCTGGAAGGAACTACCGTGCGCCTTCAGAAGACGGCACTGTAACTGAGGGGTTGAAGACCGTTGGGAAACGGTCGGTTGCTTACCTACTCTGCCTCTTTACTGTCCCGAATTCGTGAACTCTCAGCTCCAACTCCCTAAACTCTCCACAGTCGCCTCAAATTAGAAGGGGCAGGAGGAAGGAATGGCACTGGCAATGAACAACTGTCCTCACTACTCTGCCATATCCACAAGACATTTGTTGGGACAGGAGTCACAGGACTGACATGACGATTTGCAATCCTGCTGCTATTCTTGTTCAGGGGACCTGGGGATCGCGGCCGGTACCGTGGCAATGTGCTCCAATTTCGGTCCACGGCCAAATGACCAAATGACCAAATAATCATATTCTTCAGCCATGATCCAGGTCCACGTTTTCCGCGAATACTGGATCCCGCATTCTTTCCGAGCAAGAAGGAAATCGGGGGACCCGTTGCGCTGCCACTCTATCTTGGAAAGCTAAGCCATAACAGGCACGCCCACTCCTGTGAGATAGGTATCCAGATCTGCGAATCAGCAAGGGTAGCTTATGTAATAGGACACCCAATAGGAATAGCCGTAGTGGTGGCGTGGATGCTAGGCAGTCACGGGGTCTTCCGAATTCCAAGGACGGATAAGGCAAAGACGAGTTCACGATCAAATCCACTGGAAACGTGACATAACACATGGAGAAGGACCTCTTTTCCCCTAGGCGATATCCACTCGGTGGCTCATTCCGGACCGCATCCACTGCCCGAGGAAACGCCCTCGGCAGTTTGGTGTATTTGTGCAAAGTATGTGCGTATCCGTACGGGATACGTAAATGCAGTCGCAACTCAAGGAGGCCAGCGTCTGCTGGTACACGTACCTGGCAGGCGAGACTTGTGTTGGCGCCATGAGCGAATGAGAGCCTGTGGATGGTTTGATGGCACTATTAATTGCTAGTCTTGGATCCAAGGCCATCTGGACCCCGTCGATCGCCTTTCTTCTAGTATAGTAGTAGTAGAAGGTTGCGCGCTTCCCGCTGCGACCGCCCTGCACCACAGTGTATGTCCGTCGATGCTGCAGGCGACAGGCGATTTTGAGCCCGGGAGGGAGGCCTGGCACCCCGGGTTGTCGACGGACCTGACTGGCTGGCGACGGCTGCCGTGCCAGAAAGAAACATAATGGGAATGGAATAGGTAGCTTGGCTTTTCATGGCGGGTGGTAGCCTGCATGCATGCATTTCGCAGTACGCGGCAGTCAGGTCGAGGTTAGCGCTGGCGACGCCCAGACATCGATTAAGCTGTACTTGCTGACCACGTACCCTCAAGGTTGTGTGGCGACCAGCAACGCAGCCAAGTGGAGCCTACTTTCCTTGGATGGTTGTCGGTGGTCGCGGTGGATGTCAGGTACGTTGCCGGCAGTGCATGGAGTCCATGGACGACGGCCATGCAATAGGAACTCTGGGTTTTGGCGCGGGCTCTTAGTATACTTGCCTGGGTTTAACTTTCATGGCACTTCATGGCGTCGCGACCACGAGACATTCGCGCTCACGGGACGGTAGGCTCTCCGTCAGGACATACTTGCCGACCAAGATAGATCTACCGTGTACGAATACACACGTTAGAGCACGTTCCTTCTAACACGCAATACCTACCTTGGCTTCTTGATGCCATCTATCCGTGTTAGATTGCACGTCTCTCCTCCCAAGGCTACCTACTTATCTGTCTTCATTCGTACATCCACACGTGTACCTTCGTAACTAGGAACACGGCGTGGCACTGACAACGCCCAATCGGCAGAGAGACACAAAGTCACATCACTCGCACGCAATACTTTCGTTAAGGTCTTGCCATTCCCAGCACCAATTTCACACGAAGCGGCATAGCGATAGAGCTAACAAGAGCATCCAGAGAGGGGAAGATAGTTCGAGACCTCGAGTGTTCAACCCTAGACGGTCCCTTGCAGCCACTTCGCACATCACACACCTCCTTCATCACCAGCGAGTTTGCGAACATGCCCCCGGTCGAACAGCCTGCCAGCCATTCGCAGATTCATGCACTTCGCATGGGTTCGCCCGCTGTCTCAAGGAAACTTCCCACATTTCGAACCCAGTTTCCGAGAGGCCCTTGTCAATCGCACTGTCCCGCCGGCCATTGCCCCCCTCCCCTGGGACCGGGTTTGCAAGATACCTCTGACCCATCTGAAAATATGTGCCCATACCCGCTAGGTCTGTTCTCTGCTAGACGTATTTCGCTATCGAGCTTCGTCATAGTTACAGTGCTGCACGAGTTTAATTGCTCTGCAGGCACCCCTCCACGCCAACGTTCTTCGCAGGTTGTTGTTGTTATTGTTGCGGCGGCCGTATTGTTGATGTTTATGTTGATTTACAAAGTTATTCGGCTCCGGCATCTCTACACACCAACTACATACGTAGCGGCAACGCATTCTCGCCCTATGTATAAACACAGTGGTATAACCAGTTACCCAAAGATTGCGTATATTAGTCACTGCTTTCGTCTTGAATTCGCCATCCATCGAAGCCAATGGAAGACACGGCGGACGGTCTGATGCCGTGTACTCCGTTATGAGCAATCAAGTTTATCAATCAAAGCGGTCCCGTTCAATCACCCGCGCCGACAGTGACTAACAACCAAAGCCCCGTGTGAGATTCGCCGCAGCGGGCACGGAGTTAGCTCTTTACCCTCCCCTTTTTTCTCTGTGGACTATAGAGAGGATCCCGAGAGGTGTGACTCTTGCCTCCTCGCTGGCAGCTCCCAGGTCCAGCAAGCTACGGGACCCGGAGAGATGATGAAATGGCTCTCAAGACGGGGCGGACAGGTACATGTTGGGCGAGAATCACCGTGCCGGGACCCGTCGATTACCCACCGTGGGTTATGTCAGTAGTCAGCTGGGCGGGTACACCTGGCCTGGCCGCTGAGTGATGGGCCTCTGTGCTTGTGTGCTTTGGTACCAAAGTCGGTATTGGCTGGCAGCCCGTTCGGTACCTACATAACAGGTAACTCACACCAACTATTTGCACCAGGTTGACCACGGCGTCTACCTGGATGCCCGTCAGTGCGTCAGGCTTAGCCAGCACTGGGCACCGTGAACTGGCTATGACACTGCTGACAGCACAGTGTCGCAGTGTTTACACCCTCAGTTTTCGCCGTCCGAGGTCTGGACCTCCAGGCGCAGAGTTTCTTAACGGAGTCGTAAACGGAAGCTAAAGTATGGTCTCCTTGCGCCTCGAGAGAAGACACAAGCATCAGAACAGGCCATTCAGAGACAGCTAGCGGAGCATCTGGGCTGACACGGCCTTTCAATCACTGGCTGTCTCCTTCGTCTGTTCTCTGCTGCATAGGAATGGAGAGAGCTCCCCCCTACCCCCATCCACGGTCCAGACACCTGACTGCTGTCCACGTCTGAGGTAGGTCGTCGTGTGTCTGGGGAAGCAGCAGAGCATCCGCAAAGGGGCTGAGATCTGAACCGACGGGAGCGAGCAACCAAGTGTCGGTCTGTCGGTCTGCCAGTCTGGCTGACTGGAGCCATCCGGGCATGGCTGGGTTGCGTTGCATTGCGTCTCGTTGCCAGCCCAGCGAGAAAGAAAGCCCAGTCGTGTCCTGCAGGAGGATCAGGATAGCAAACTAAGTAGCTAGGTTTGCATACGGATAATATGCAGGAGACACTTGTCTGGCGCTGGGGATTGGTGAGGATTGAAGAGAGACAAGCAATCCTGCTTTGAATGCTTCTGCAAGTTGGTCAAGCGTGCGTTCCGGTCGTCCCAGTCGTCCCAGTCGTCCCACTTCCCTCCCCCCATCATTCCACGTAGCGCTCCATGCTTCCTGTGGACTTGTCCCAGTGCCTGTGCCAGATGCCAGCCCCGCAAGTGCAGAGGATACGTACTCTCCCCCACCGCCTTCTCGCCTTTCCCAAGGATACTACCTCAGTCTGCTCAGCGAAGGAACTTGCCTAGGTACCTCTCCCAGTCTCTCAGTCTGGCCCCGTCTGCTCGGTACGTATCGCCGTAAAGGTACTCGCACCTCACCGTCCCGGGACTGTCGCAATAAGATAGGTACACAGTCCTAGGTACGTACTCCCGCACTCGCCTTTCCACCCCCGGTCTGCGGTCTGCCTATCTCGCTCCTGTCCACCTCGCTCTCTGTCGCTCTGCCTCTCTCCCATCCCGTCCTTATCCAAGCCAATCCATCCTCGTCCATCCACCTCCATCCTCTTCTCTGGCCGTCTTTTGCTCCCACACTCGCTCATTCACCCTCACACCTCTCTTTCTCTCGCCTTGTCTTCCCTGTCCTGCACCACCTACCTACCACCACCCATCTGTTTCGTCCAACCTACTAGTAGTCCTCTCTACATCTGCCTGCACTTACCTACTTTACTCTAATACTCCCCCTTCCTCGCCATCGCCTTTTTTTGCGCTTGTCTACTTTGCTCTACCATCCTTCAACCTCATCGTCGTCAACGGCCTCTCTGCTTCTCCTTGCTTGTTAGCTCTCTCTCCCCGCCTCAACCTCCTCCCTTACCACCCTTTCCCTCTCCGACCTCCTTATCATCTATTCGCCCATCACCAACTACGCCGATACTCGCATCGCCAGCTCCCGCGTGCCCACCCGCGAGTCATACTGCAAGCAATCACGCAATCTCTCGTCACCCGCCCTGCCCTCGAGTTGACCAGTATATCAATCCGTCAACCCTTCGACAGAGATAGGAAAAGAGAGGCCTCAGGGACCACGATTCCGTACAGACTCCACCAGCCTCGGCTCTTGCTGTCATTGAACGTTGACTCATCCGTGTCCTTTGACTCACTTTGGCCCTCGCCTTGCCACTCAACACCGTCCGCGCTTTAGCAACAACACCTCACCCATCCATCGAGATAAGAGCTACCACCTCCCATCGACCGACTCGTCAACGATCTTCAGTCGATTCGTTGTTCCACTCTCCTCAACGCTCGAATGCTGCCGTAGCCACTACTCTTGCCGATCTCGGTAGTCAGCTTGCTTGCAAGCCGTTGCAATTCACACTTCAACGACAACTGCCTCCGGCCATCGACCATCACACCACCCGGCCTTTGTGCCTACCAGAGCCAGCAAACCAACGATCAACCACTCCAGCAGTTTGGTGCCTCTACGAAACATTGTCCGAATCCTCCAGCTAGGAATCGACGCCTTCATTTCTCCTGCGAATCAACTCCCAAACGTTGACATCGCAACCCCCTTCTTCGACCTCCGGGCGCCATTCTCTACACTTTTCCCAGCAAGCTTGCTCTATTTCAATGTCCTCATAACGATACTTCTTTGTCTTTTCCGGGCCCCAACGTCCAAATCCATCACGACCAATCAACCAACAACAGACTCTCGCTTTCATATGTCCGTCTACAGCCAAAAAATACCCTCAATGAGCCTCTGATAAGTCAACGAAAAGGAGTTAGAAATTCATCTTGTTTCCTGTTAGATTTGTTCTTTCAACCTTTGTACATTCTTGGTAACACCAAACCACCTCCTTCTCAAATCACGACAACCCTTCCGATTCCATCGCCACTTCCACACCCATCCTTCTCGATTCAGCAACTCCTGAATCCTCCTTCCGCCACAACGCCGAACATTCGAAACCCGGTGAAGAGCTTGCTTCAAGGTTGTAACATCACCTTCATTGCTATCTCGTTGTTTCCCAGCTCGATACCCCCAGCTCTACCACTTCTTTTCCAGTTTCGACATGGCATGCTTGAGAGACAACTTTCAGAATGGCGTGCTCCTTGGTGGTCGATATGAGACCATCTCTCCCCTCAACCATGGTTCCTTTGGAATGGTCTTCATGGCCAAGGACACAAAGACAAGCGATACCGTTGCCATCAAATGCTTGACTAAGAAGGAAGCTGCCGATGAATATGGGTTTGACTTCGCCATTGACGAGAAATCCGAGGAGCTAGTTCTACACAGCCGTCTTGGATCGCATCCCAATATCGTCAATCTTCTCGACACCTTCGAAACCGAAGCCCACCTTTACTTGGTTCTCGAGTTCTGTCCCCAGGGTGACTTGTACGAAGCTATCCGCAAGGGCCATGGGCCTCTCGAGACGGAGCATGTCCGACAGTTCATGCTGCAGCTTGTGGATGCTGTCGATTACATCCACTCCAAGGGCATCTTCCACCGCGACATCAAGCCGGAGAATATCTTCCTCACCAAGTCCGGTGACATGAAGCTTGGCGATTTTGGCCTCGCTACGACCGAGAATTGGACTTTGGAGAACACCGTTGGCAGCGACCGTTACATGTCCCCAGAGCAGTACGACTCTGCGGGTGCCGGCTACTCTCCTGCTCAAGCCGACATCTGGGCCATTGGTATCTGCCTCCTCAACATTCTCTTCTCGCGAAACCCTTTCACCACCCCGACCGAGGCGGATCCGTTGTTCTTGGATTTCTCCAGAGACAAGCAATCTCTTTTCGATGTTTTCCCCTCCATGTCGCTGGACACGTATGAGGTGATTGTTCAGTGCATGAGCTTGGATCCTAAGAAGAGATCTCTTGTTGGTGCCCGCGCTGCTCTCCAGCGTGTTATCAGCTTCACCACCTCCGAGGAGGATGACGACGACTTCTGCTCCGCCGACCGTCATGTCATGGCCAGCGCTAACCGCGAGCCTCTCCGCACCCCGTCCATCCAGAGTCCCCAGGTCGATCAGGGTGCCTTCCCATGGGCCAAGGCCCTGCATGCAAGCCCACCCCAGCCGATTCGCCAGCTCAGCGCCATTCCCGATGAGGACCTCTTCTCGAAGTCTGGTGAGACCCAGAATTCGGACTGGTTCAGTTCTGCCCAGGCACCTTCGATTTCATCTACGCTCAACTCCAGTCTCGGCATTTCCATGCAATCACTTCACATCGGCCGACAAATGAAGGCTGCTCCCCGTCCTATCCCTAAGGTTTCCCCCATGTCTGGCTCACTTCCCATTAACATGGCTAAGCCTCGAAGCAACTTGTCTTCCATGTCCTTGGTCTTCGGTCGTAAGGACGCCGTTTCCAAGAGCTGGAGCGACATGTGGGATGAGGATGAGGAGGAAGAAGAGGCTGAGCGCGAGAGAGAAATGCAATCCCGCAAGGATCTCAATTCGAGGACCTGGAGCCAGGATGGCAAGATTGATGACCAGGAAGACGACTGCGAGACAGTGGACGCTACGCCACTTGCGACCACACCTCAGCGCTCTTATCATGACACCCACAAACTGATTCACAACGACATCGATAGCGACCTCGCTGCCGATGGATTCTTCTTTCAACAGCCGTCCCCGCCCAAGGCAAGGCCCATGTTGCCCACGCATCAATCGTCGCCTCCTAAGCGTGACAATGTTGACAAGTGGGCTGCACTGGGTCAGCGTCGCCGTGGACTGACGGGATCTTCATATTCTCATATGTCACCAGACATTCCCCGACAACGACCAATCGGATTGGGATACAATTCCTATGCGGCTGGCGCGAATTCCCACATCACCGGAGCCTGGGATCATGGCGGACATCACATCAACCCCCTAAGTCACACGACGCAAAAACATTCACCGAAAGAAAAGGTTAAGGACTGCCCATGGAATAAGGGCAGAGATTGGAATTATTGGCGCAGGGAGAAGCGCAACGATCTCGCGGACGTCGAATGGGTTGGTGGCTGGCAGGAAGCACATTCCTAGCCATGCCACCTCTTGTGGTTGGGTTATCACCAGCAGGGCATCGCCACTTCCATCTGGCTTTCTAGTTGTGGCAGTAGTCACGGCTTGACTGTCGAGGTTCTACTTGGTCAAGACAAAACACCTGTTTGGATGAAGGAACTCAACTCGCTTTCTGTGTATTAGATATCTCCAGATTAATGAACTATACCAGAAGTTACCCACTCATATCAGTACATCTAAGCTACCTGTTGTGCCCTGTTATGCTAACTAATGAAACTCGATTCAACGTCATAATCAATTGTCAACCTATGAACCGACTGCGGGGTTCGTCGTCAGTGTCGTCCTTCCCAAGTATGGTACTAGGTAATGCGTCAAGTTACCCCTCACTTGACTCGACTCATGCGTGATCACTAACGCCGGGATAGCTAAAGATAACGAAGACTGGAATATACTATATGGACGAGAAATACAACTCCACAGGATCGGCAACTCCGGAATTGATCTAGCACTCCCCAGGTCCCCAGCTCAGCTATCGTCGGCAAACTCAGCAGTAAGGGGGCTTGGTTGATTATATCGGTGGTCTCCGGTCATGGCCGGCCGGACACCGTCGACTCCATTGTCCATGGAAATTCGCTTGTCCCCCTTCCTTGCTGTGGTATCGGGCGGTCCGAGGAGAGAATGACGGGGTTGCGGAACCTGTCGCGCATCGACACCCGTGGGCCGCAGGCGTAAATGAAGCCATATATCTATCTGCGGGCTGATCTTTTACTTTCTGACTGGTCCCTCTTTCTATTGTGTTGCCAAACTGACTCGATACGTTATCAATCCTATCCTCTGAAGACGGAGCGCTTTGCATTGGGATGCCACAACGGTTTTTCTCTAGTGTTCTCAGGAGATGGAAAGCGGGGTTGATAAGGTTTGCTGGGGGTTGGAACTGTGCTGAGTCGGTGTCATGGGCCGAGAGTTGAGAGATAGAGAGACAGGGAGACAGGGAGGGAAATAGAGAGAGAGAGAGAGAGAGAGAAAGCAATAGGATCTTTTCCTAGAGGACAGCGGTACTACCTACGTTACTATCGAATGGTCTGCAGTCCTACCGCTTACCTCTTGCTTCCGTCGAGCGGGTTGCCATTTTTGCTACCCGAGGCGGCTGTCGAGAAGCATAGGAACTTGAGGGTCGTCCTGTGAAGAGGCATCGCACACAGTACTCATTTTTCAGCATCTACCCTCGTCCATCCATCCTTCGGACGAGAGCTATACAGCGGCCCTTGAACAGGCAACAACTTTATCACGGGCTTTTGTGCTGTTGCGTTCGAGGGGGCTTTGGAGTGTGGTGGTTATGCTAGCAGCCGATTTGACTGACTGGCTGTTTGTACATACAGCTTTTCGACATTGTGACGAAGCCGTGCCCGGTACCTCTGGCCTATTCAATGCTAACCGCGGTGCTTGTTGAACAATACTTGGGTGTTAAAAGGCACCATAGAGCATGGTCGCCAATAGGCAAGAGATCATGTTTCCAGGTCCATACCATTCCATAAAGCATACGGCTTAGGATCGTTATACATGCATGCCATCATTGGATCGAGATTATATGTGTGCAATGTCATCAGAGACACGCAGCTCATCAATACATGCTATTGACACATCCTATGTACAGCAATGTACTAGCAAAGCATTATCCCACGCAGGCGTTTAAACCAGATGCCACTAGCGCCGTGCAATGAGAGCCAAACGACCACAGTATGGGACGCCAATTATGACAAAAGCTACAGCAAAACAGCCAACTATTCCGCACCGATGAGGCTCTTGGGCAAAAAGGCCCAGACCGTGCCAACGACGGAGAGGATCGTGGAGATGGTCATCAGGACGTAGCAAAGCAGCCTCTCTTGAGGCGAAATTTCCTTGCTGAAGAGCTTCACGTAGAACGCAAGGGGCAAACTGGAAGCATGGTCAGATTTGTCGTCTCAAGGGATCGACGTGGACGTCGTCAGACGTCAGATGGGGGTAAACTTACAGCACACAAATTGTGAAGCATAGGGCGCTTCCCATAAAGGCCATGATGCTGTCAAACGCTGGGAACAAGATGGAGATGACGAGGAACACCAGGACGGTGATCACACGGATGGCGATCTTCATGATGCCGCGGAAGGTCGCAGAGCGGCCGACCATGGCCGAGCTGTCGGCCACAGCCTGCTGGTGGATGCCCGTCAAGACTTCCAAAGTGGCAACAATAGGACGGGCGTTAAGCGGAATCTTGGTGAGGGGGATGATGGCTATGAAGATGCAAAGCAGAAAGTTGAGGGCACGGGGATAACCACTCGTCTGGAGGATGTTGGCGGTGATCTCATCCATGACACCGTCGCCGTACATCAGCAAACCAACCACAGCCGTGAAGGCGTCCAGGAGGTACTAATCAAAGGTCAGCAAGTGAGCATGAGGTGGCAAGTATGCTGTGTGTGGCCACTTACGACGGACGCAAAGACCGTCTTGATAGCCCGAGGGTACTTGTGAGGATGGCGCATGTCCCTGTAAATCTGGTCAAGGAGTTAGTATGCCATAGTTGCTCACCACATACAGATGAAAACTCACATTGGGGAATACACTGTGGCCACCCCACGGGCTCATCAATAGACCAAAACTCAGGGGTAGTGTACCCCAGTTCGCTGGGAACAGGTAGGTCGTGGCCGGCTCGATGAGGGAGCCCGGAGTTGTGGGCTTGATGAGTCCATCAACCACCAAAATCAGGACAACTAGTCGTACGTATCAGCAAGCAGACTTTGGTGTGAAAGGGAAGGAGGTGCCACCCACTGCTAAAACAACACACGATGCCAATGACACTGGTAAAACTCAATAGTCGTAGCGGGAGAAAGTTGAGGGGGATCATGATAATAGAGCACAGGAGCTTCCACATGTTGACGCTCAGGAAACCCGGGAACAACAGTGTCAGGGAATCGGCGAACAGGACAATCAAAGCCACGCAGGCAGCCAGCAATTCGAGGGTGAAGAGAATACTGGTGGCAATACGCGCATTACGACCGTAGGAGATGTAGGCCAGATCGGAGAACGTGATCAAGCTGGCATCGAGATCCATGCACTTGGCCAGGAGCTTCGCCGTATATGCGGTCACAGCCGCAGAGCCCGCCAAGACGATCATGCCACAAATCCAGCCTGCGTACTTGATACCCATAGGCAAACTCAACAGACCAACACCGATCAGGACACTTGCGCTGCGGGTTAGCTTTCATTCCCTTTGAATGCGCGCCAAAGCAGGGCTACTACTCACTTGATCGAGTTAAAGATGGTTTGGGGTAGCGTGGACTGTCCCTCCACAGCCAGAACAATCTTTCCGTCCTGTTCGACCTCCTTCACGAGAATGGGCATGTTCTCCCCATCAGGCACATTGCCCCCTGCCTCTTGCTGTTGGCGCCAAAGCTCGCCGGCCTGCGCCATTGACGGCTCGTCAACATCTGATATGGTGCCGTACGTCCTGTACGAGCTGAAACTTCCAACCAACGGCGGAGTCGCCAGGTGAGGCGGGACCGCAAAGATGGACTGCGATGGTCGGCGACCGCTACCAAAGCTGGAACCCTGGAAGGCTCCAGACAGCTCCGCCTCGACTGCCTTGCGCTCGCGGTCGCGGAAATCGTTCTGCGTGGAGGCGCCGTCCGCGCCGGAGGCGGAGGAGCCATTCTGGTGCGACGTGCTCGGTGCCGCCTCGGGGGTGGCCTCGAGGTGCTGCCTCAGCAGCGAGGTCCTCGGGTGGGAGCCGGACTCGACATGGCTGCGAGAATAGTCGAGGCCTTCGGTCGAGGCGATCGGGGCCTGGTCAGGCGCGAAAATAAAGGACGGCCGTTGGGGAATGACCTCTGCAAAGCCGGCCGCACGCGCCCAACTGCGCGTAAAGGAACGGATGCTGTTGACGCCGCCGATATCTGTGATGGCGGCGAGGTGCCGCGTTACTGAAGACCTGTAGGAGGTGCTGGTTAGCGGGGTGAACCGATTGTGTTGAATGCCGTGTCGCAGCGGCAGGGACAATGGCAGCAAGCTGACGTAAAGATGTGCTACTGGGTCTGGGTTGGAGTGAACAACCTTCTGCGACGAAGTCCATGAGAACTGCTGCCGTAGCCACCCTCGTCGTCTTCTCCCAGGAGTGACTGGTCCTCAGCCACGGCATTGGAGTCGATACTCACGGAGCGCTGGGGGGAGGCGCCCCGTTCGTATTCGTCCCAGGTGGACGGGTTTCTGGAGGGCATGAGGAAAAGCTCGTCGTTTCCAATAACAGCAAGAAGGGTTGATCAGAAACGCTTCAGCTTAGGCGTTCTCTTTAGAACGAGGATGTGAATGCAAGTAGAAGAGAGAGAAAAGAGAAGGGAGAGGGAAAGGAAAAAAAAAATCTGTAGTCGACTTGACGGCAGGGTAGACGGTCGCGACTGGGCTATTGCTCGCGCGGGCGTTTAGAGGTGGTATATAAGCCTGGTACGGAGTAGTTGCACACGGCGTGAGCGCGGTACCTTACTGAGTATGTACGGGATTTATTAGTGGCACATCCAAATGGCCGTGTATCGATAGAAGGCGAATCTACCTTGACGCACACAAAGCAAGCAAAGCACCCCTACAAAGGCCGGCCCCAAGTGGAGTAGTCGCGGGAGATGAGATGGGTTGCTAGGTAGTGCAGTGGGTTATCGGAAGCCCAGGTTGGGTTGGAACTTGTTGCAAGTGTCTGGTGAGGACCAACTGGGGTTTTTTTCACCCCTCCTGTCTGGCTCCAGTCTCCACGTCCAAGTGGATATGAAGGCAGAACAACAGAGATAACAGCAGTCGGAGCCAGTGATTGTTACGTCGTGGCGTTAGGAAGAGGTTCTATTAGTTTTGAGCAGGTCGAGTGGGTGCTAGCGTGTTGCTGTACCTCGGGTCGTAACACACGAGTGAGGCAGGAAAGAGCAAAGCGGGAGGAAAGCTGGAGAAAAGGCTGGAAGGAGGACGAAGGCAAGGTCAAGTTGTAAATGTTGGAAAGCCAAGGAATCCTGTCAACCAAGCCGGAAACCTCCACAAGCACCACGATCCTCAAGGTTAGAGTCAATGCTTCTTTCGCCTTTTCCCCTCCCTTTTAGATTTCCAAGTTCAGATGAGTAGGCAAAACAATCCCTTCCCTACCCCCCGGCATTGGGCTAGGGAGCGATGCCATTGGCATCTTGGATACATAGGTAGGTGACCATCTTACTCTCAGCCAAGGTGCGTCAAAATCTGGGTGGCTATCGGCGGCGATATCTGAAGATTGACATGCATTACGGAATCCGAGAACGCAACCCGAGATTGCGACGACGAATAGCAACATAGCAATGGTTCGATGCGGGTGAGGGAGAGGAGCCTGAGGAGGAAATGGGGAGGGGTACCTCTGCCGAGAAGCGGATGTGAGGCATCGAGCTAGGCCGACCAGGAGCAGGAAACGCAGGGGATAGGCCGAGAGAGTGATGGAATTGAAGAAAAGTCAGCTGGATATTCAACCTTGACTTTTCATGACGCCGTCTGCATCGTCAAAAGTTGGTCGGCTTATCGCGCCGGCGTCTCTGGTTGGACAATGGGACGGGCTCGCGCTGCACGTCTGCTGCAAGTTGCAGGGCCTTTGCAGGGCCTTTGCAGCAGCCAGAACTTGTGACTTGAACCAACCCCGGCCCCGCCCTCTCCACCCACTGAGACCCCCTTGGCCCCTCCCGGGTTGCAGCGGCGGTTGCTATTAAACGGAACCTGCGTGCGGCGTGCCTGCGCCTCTCCTGTGGCAGCCCATTTCCTTCCAGTTTGACCTCATATATCCGTACGTGTGCCTAAAGTAGGTCCTACCTACCTTACCTCCCAGTCCTACTCAGACCTGCTATTGTCGCTCTTCTGGCCCCACGACGTCTGTTGTACGTAATGTTGACCTGCAAGTCTTTTAACATCATCTACCACTGCGTCTTTTTGCTTTCTTATCATTCCCTGCATCCAAAATGTTTTGCCTGCTTGAGGAGCCATCGTGGGTTCCGTCATCAAACGGCTGACGGCGTTTCCTTAGCTAAGGAAGTTGTCAATATCCCGAGTGAGATGGCTCGACGTTCAGCGTCCGCCGGGTTGAAAACCTTGGATACTTTCTATCCTTTTCACATTATCCCACTACCTTGGCAAGATAACCGCCGAGTCCCCGTTCAGATCTCTCTGCATCCTACCTTACCTTGTTACTCACCGCTATTTTGCATACTTTCTCCCAAAAGGACCACATGACATGTCATCCAAATGTTCCTGAGACAGGTTCATGCATGCAAGTTCAGATGCAAATGATGCCCTCACCACCCGCCAAGTGGCTAGTTTAATAATGCAAGGTAGACTTTGTGGCTGCGCACTTGGAGAAGCTCTTGGAGAAACGGAAAGTCAAAGTATGAATCCTTGCAAGTAACGATCTGCTGCCGAGCCTCTTTTACCCCGGATGCTCGAGCCTCACTCTCACATGCCCTTACTTCCCGTCACCCAGAAAATCTCGCAATCTCGAATCCCATGACACACTCTCCAAAAACAGCGCAACCAGACCGTGTAAACCCCGGGCCTCGAACGGGTTGCGTCGCACAGACCCTGCTCCTTTCTTTATTCTCTCGCCCATCTTCACGAGATTGCCTGTTGCTCGGAATTCGCCCTACGTTACAGGGTAGATGTCTTTAGGCATTAGCAGACGCGGTAGCGCACGTTGACTGACTCTCTGTTACGTCAACTGCTGGCCGTCCTGTCCCACGTAACATGCGGCTCAAGCGGCCTCCAAGAAGAAATGGGAGAATATGACAGGGGGTATTTTTTTTCTTCAAAAAAAAAAAAACAGTCTACCTCGTCTCACTATGCTCGGCATACGTTAGAGCGTCAATTAACCTTCGTTACTTACGTTACTCGAGGCTAACCGCGCTCCGATCCGAACCAAGTCGATCAACATCCGGTCCGTCGTTGCTTCTTTTCAGCTTGAAAGTGCACGGTCCCTCTATCATATCCGTACATTTCACTCTCAACCAAGGGTAAGGTACCTGTTTATCAAACTTTTAGGTCGCGCATCATAGTTATCCGACGGCAGCCATCCACGCCTCACATCGTCGATTTTTAAAACTCTCTTTTCTTTTTCACATTTATTACTGGCAGTAGAAAAGGTCAATCCAGGGCCCACTGCCACGCAAAGAAGCACATGCAATCCTAGGACATGAAGACCGCCGCCGCTGCCGCCGCGCCTGACGAAGCCACCATCACAACCCTAATCCCCGTCCTCGCCATCCTCGACAGCTTCAACCACCGCAACAAGAACCAGCACCGCGTCGCCCACTGGTGGTCAACATTTGATATCCTCCGCCGCTCCGTCAGGCGCCTTCACGACGCTCTCGAAGCCCAGGCCCGTCACCGCCGCGCCTTGAGCTTCAAGTCCTCCTCCTCCTCCTCCTCCGCCTCTTCTTCTAAGTCGAAAAAGTCCGCCGTCGCAGGCAAACCCGTCAGCAGCGCGGAACGTCGCCAGAATGCGCTAGACGAAGACGTCGCTGCGAGGGTGCGGATGCTGCTGGATCCCACTATACCCTCGTCCTTCTCGTATGTAAACTCCCTTCATAATACAACGATCTGAAATTGCACGCAATCTTTGTCCGCCAGATATTGACACCAGAAGCAGATCATTCACACAAATTGCAGCAGACAACCAACACGCCGCTCTAGGTCTGGTGTTGCTAGGTCTCCTGGCACGCATCAACTCGGCCGTCGCACTCTTGGCGCCTCCTCGGCCCGAAAAGGTCACCCCAGTCGGCGACGCTGCGTCTTCGTCGTCGACCGGCCAAGTTGTAGTCGCCGTTGCGGATGAGAGGCAGCACCAGTCCGAATCAAAGGGGCTCGGCGTGGCCATCTCTCGGGACCAGCTCAAGTTGGCTGCCAAACCTTCAGATCACCGCTCATCATCACGTAATATCGATGAGGTGGTACCGGCTGTTCTCCCTCCAAAGAAGCGCAAATTGATCGCTGCTTCTGCCCTCGATACCAAACCTAACAAGCCAGCAAAGGAGGAAAACTCAGTAAAAAAGAAGAAGAAATCCAAAAAGGGAGACGACTTTTCGGACTTGTTCAGTTCCCTAATGTAGACGTTTGTTTCAATGTAATAGATGCCCAATTGGCAGCAAACAACGAAATTGATCGACGCATTTATGTAAAGCTTCAAATCTTTCATTAGCGACGGCTATTTGCTACGAGATTCCAACCTGTCCCTGCCTGTACGCCCCCTACCGGCCTGTGCGTCTCTCTATGAGAATATTCCAAGACATAGACAGGGACAACCTATTCCACCGCAAACGAACCCCTCCCTAGTAACAGAGCGACCCTACCTCTTCGACGACCGCTGTTTGGTATACATAACGAGCCACGAAACAAGCCTTCGCCAAGAAACATGAACTTCAGTCCTAGTACCAGAACCTGGGCCTTAATGGAGCGCCAGTTCCCTACTGAACGCTTCGGTAAGACCAGATACGCGCCCGCATGTCGCCGGAGCCGGTGGCGAAGTAGCCGCCTGTCGGGCTGGGGGCAACTGAAATGACCGAGTTCTTATGTCCCTGAAGCATCAACTGCGTAGCCCCAGTGCGGGGGTCCCAGAATTGCACTCCGCGGTCTTTGGAGCCAGACATGACCCAAGCGGCGTCAGGTGTAAGCGCAACGGAGAGAACAAAGTCCTAATTATATCAGCCAACCCGATTGTCAACTCTGCGGACGATTTACTTACCCTGTGACCCTCAAAAGTCTTGACGCAACGACCTCCCTTTGGTCCGGGGTTGGGCAAGCCGCGGGGCGTGCTAAGTTCCCACATCTTGATCGTCTTGTCCAGACTGCCACTGACGAGGTCTCTGCCATTGGGAGAGAAGGCAACACTGTAAACGCTGTCCTTGTGGCCATCGGGGCCTTCCAAGCGCTCGAGCAGATAGCCCTGGTGAATGTCCCATACGCGGACGCTCTTGTCAAGAGAACCGGCGGCAACGTACTTGGTATCGGGAGAAATGGCAACAGTCGTAACACCGTCCTCAATAGTCAAGGTGAGAGTATTGGTGCCTTGCTCGATGTCCCAGAGGCGGACGGTTCTGTCTCCACTACCGGATGCAATCGTGCGACCGTCGCGGGCAAAGTCGAGCGAATAGATATCTTGTTCGTGGCCGGAGAAGGTGTTGCGAATCGTTCTAGTCTGAATATCCCAGACCTGAAAATATATGTCAGCTTTTCCTCTGTGAATGTGCTTCTTCATCCAGCACTTACTCTGATCAATTTGTCCTCAGCACCAGTAGCAAGATACTTGCCATCAGGACTGAAACAAACGCTCCGAATGTACAGATCGCCGGTAATATCCACAGTGTCGTCCTGAAGGACACACAGCTTCTCGCCAGACTGAACGTCGTAGATCTGAGCGGAACGATTGCAGCCAGTGGCTACGTACTTGCCGTCGTGACTGAAGCGCACGCAGCAGACTACACTCTCATGCGCAAGAGTGTGGACAAGATCGACATCCAACATGCGAGGCACATGTTGATTGAAGATGACGAACCAGTCGTGACCCGATTTCTTTGAGTGAGGAGGCAGGCGATCAGGGTCAAGATCGCCAAGGGCGTTTCCCACAGGCGGAGCGTGGGGACCCCCCATCCGTGCGTGGTCGGGAGTAGGGTGACTGACTTGAGGCGACTGGGTGGCGCCCGGGAAAGGGATGGGAGTGTTGATCTGGGGTGTGGCCGGACCGACAGCCGCAGGTGGCCTTCCGATTCCGCGTCTGCCAGGACCCGGCGACGCGGTGGTCTGGGGGGGCTGAGAGCCGAGACCGTTGGATACGGGGCCGCCAGGACCCGGGGGGTATTGTTGGAAAGGCTGCTGCGACTGGGGCGGCGGTGGCGGCGGGACAGGCAGGCCTGGAGGTCCCTGAGCCATCTGATGCTGCGGGCCCATTTGCTGATCTTGAGGCGGAGGAGGGGGCGGAGGCGGGGCCAGCTGGCCCTGTCCACCGCCGGTCATGATGCCGTTAAAGAGACCGGTGCCGGGAGTGATGGAGGGGGGCTGTTGCGACGGGCCCGCATGAGGAGGGGGACCGCCGATGCTAGGAGGCGCGTTTCCACGAGCTCCCTCAAGCTGGCGGCGGAGCATGGCAATTTCCTCCTCGTATCTATTCGAGGCCTGCTGTTAGCTTCCTGCGGACTGCCTTGGCTCGAGGACGCATCGACCGACGTACTTTTGCTTGAGATTCATCTGCGCCTGCTCCATCGCGTACACCTTTTCTCTGACGAGCTGCATCTCCTGAACCTGGGCCTGAACTGCACAAGCCGTTAGCGAAAATGACGACAGGTATCGAGCGCAATCGTCTTACTTTGGTGCTCATAGCCCTCGGTCTGGCGCATCTGGGTGTCGAACTCGGATCTGATTTGGTCGAGGAGCTCATTGAGCCGGGCCGAGTTATTGGGGGGCACCGCGCCCATGGCGCGATGCGGATACATGGACATGGTTACCGTTGGAGGCGAGAATATTATTCAGGTCTGGAAACAAACAATTCGCGCCGGTGGGGTAAGTGGTGTTGATGGAAATAAGATAGCTGCGTTTATGAGAGTAGAGAAAATAGAAAGGAACCGCGGTTCCAGCGTCGATGATGAAAAGGATGCGTCGGGTCGGTGTTTGAGGTTGTCGTGGCTCGGAAAATTTGGCTGTTGCGGCTATGGGCCCCCTTCAATCGACGGGATGCACTGAGGCGAGGCGCGATTTGCCTTATGTAAGGTCTAGGGTGCTGGCGTTGACAGCGGCAGAGCCGTCCAGTCAGGAAAGACGCAGATGGGCGCTGCGCGATGCGGAGGGAATTCGGTTGGCGTAAGGGGATGATGAGATAGAAAGGTGATGGGCTCGATTGATGATGCTATGTGCGCGGCGCGCGTGTCGAGTTTGTCACGACGGAGATGGAGGAAAAGAGAGGAAGGGGGAAAAAGTTCGGGTTAGGCAAGCAGGTGGAAGGAGAGGAAGGACCCGTCCTGAAGAGGCTGGCGAGTGGAACGAGAGGAGACGGTGCAAGGTGCAAGGTGCACAGGCGAAAAAAGAAGACGGATGGGAGCCGCCTGGGGATTTGATCCAGAGGTGGATCCCATCAGAGGTGAGTGAACTGCTCTGTGCCGCCCCCCCTGGATCCAGGCGGACGCCAAGCTAAGGTGGATGACCGGAAGGTACCTTAGCTGGTGCTGTCGAGGTACCTGCTTGAGGTGCAGCGGTACGGCACTATGGGACTGTAAGCGAGCGTTGACGGGCACGGAACAGGCATTACGGGGGGGTGGCCATGTAGCATCAGGTACCTCTTCAAGTGGATACCGCTACGGACGTGGAGTCAGGTCTGTGCGCTCTAGCTTTTTGTATCTTTTATTCTCTTGGTGAGCTGGCTCCAAAGGGGTGTCTTCTCCATGTGGCGCTTGCTTGAATTGTTCTTCCCACAGGCTTTCAGCGGGTGTGGGTAGTTTCAATCTACCCAGGCTTGGGTTATGGTGCATAGGTACCTAGGCGGCGGCGACTGATTCGGTTTAGTAGGGCCAAGGGGGCCTTAGTGTTGACGCTAGCTACCGGGGTAGGGGTGTTCCTAGTGTGGTGGTGGGGTGCAGGTGCAGCCCGTACTCCGTACCTCGTTCGTACCTCATTCTCCCAAACCTTTGTCAACAGCCTCTATTTTGCTCCTACCCAGGATTGGAAGCAGCGCCTTTATATCATACCCCGAACTGATCACACCCTGGAATTTGATGTGATGTTACCTGTGCCTGCTTTTGTTAGCTGGTAGATGGGCACTTTGCATTTGTGAAATAGTTTTCGTGTCCTATCATTCCCTGTGCTCCGTGGCTTTCTTGGACACTATATAACCACCTCCTTTTTTCATCAATCCTCACCAGTACTGCAGCAAGGGCGCTACAGTATTACTGGCAAGAAGGTAGACGCCAGGTGGGCAATTGAGGCGATCAATTCCGCCGTAGACCAGGAAGTCAGAGATCTTGGCTCAACATCTATACAAAAGATGCGCGATATCAACACCTGATCATCCTCCGAAGGATGAAATCATTACGCCCCAGCCTTGTCATCGGAGAATTCTCGTGATGATCCACAGCAAAGAATCAGCCCAGGCCATGGTGAAGGTCCGTTGAAGCAGATTCTCTTGGGTAGAGAAAGCCCGATCAATCGTTCTCCCAAACATTGGCTGAGCTCCGTGCAAGCTCGCGGCCCCCAAATCCCCGGACTGTAAAGGCTGTATCTACGCACGTACGTTGTTATGGACGGATGTCACAACCCTGGCGGGAACGAAAAGCCCCCCCGGTCTATCATTACGTACCAGAGCAAGGCTGTTGGTGGCGGCACGCTGCGCCAGTCTCTCTCTCGAGTGGTGATGAGATTGGGAGACTTTGAGCAGAACCGGGTGTCGCCTGAATGCACTTGACACGGGCGGCAGCGGTCAGGAAGAAGCCGTCAGCCAGCAAAACCAACAGGCCAAACCCGGCATCTTCTTCAGGTTTGAGGAAACGAGATGAATGGGAGAGCGGGCGGGCAGGTAGGTGGCCAAGGTATGACAACAGGGTTGGGTATTGCGGAAGAAGTCACTTTGGGGAGTTATCGTGAGATGCAGCGATGCCGCATGGAGATGCGCAACATGGAGATGTGGCCGACGAGCGTGGCAGCGTGGCACCCACCATGACATGACACCCACTAAAGCACCAGAGCAAAACCTCCAAGCACCCACTGGGCCAGGGCAAGTCGCAACACACGGGGGGGGGAGGGGCGTGAGAGAGTGTGGATAACGCGTTGGTGGTGCAGGGTTGTATGGGTGGGCCATGGGTTGTGGTTGCGGGTGCGGTTGCAGATGCAGAATGTTCTGTTGGAAGACTTGATGGGATTGTTAGCCTTGAGGCTGCTAAGGAGCGAAGCAAGGGTTCGGCGAAAGGTGTGTGTGTGTAAGAGAGAGAGAGAGAGAGAGAGAGTATACGAAGCGTGGAACCTAAAGGGGGTCAAGGTACGAATAGAGGACAAGAGGCAGAGGCATGTGGGTGTGGTGAATGTGAGTGAGAGGGTTGTGTCCGTGGTGGATCGTCTGGTCTGGTATCCGCAGAGCAAAGATGGAAACGAGGGAGAGTTTGACGACGTCTGAGAACTGGGAGAACCTGGCCCAACCTTGCTAACTTATTAACAGCCTAGCGCCTGCGCCTGTTGTTATCGAAGCCTCCTTGTTCTCTCCTACATGCCTAGTAGCGGTTGGTGTGCAAGGTACGAAGAGGGAAGCCCTCTCTACATCGTCCTGTTTATATCCGTTCTATCATCAGCGTAAACGTCAATTGCTTGTACGGAATGTGACATGTCTACGGTGAGCCAAGGTGAGGAGGCGACACCTCACCTCACCTCACCTCATAGCCATCTTCGAGTTGTAGCCGCTGACCCAAAATATGAGAATCGCCTAAAAAGACGCGCTCCCTCATCTCATATTTGGGGCGGGCGGCGCGTACATGATGGGTGACGAGCCCCCGAAGACTGTAAGGTTGGGAGGGCGACCAAGCATGTTGCTTTCTTCGGCCATCCGCCCGCCGTGTCACACACCAAGAATCGTGGCCCTTGCCCTGTGCTGTGCCCATCCCATCCTCCTTTTTCTGACCATGGAAGCTGTCGAAATGTTCTATGCCCGTCGGGCTCACTTACCCTTGGGTCTTGTTAATTTCTACCTTTTCTATGACATATCCTACGCAAGAAGGGGAGACCGCCGAAAAAATGTGAAAATAATATCCGTAATCACAGAACAAGGTAAATTCCCCCCGCCTCTCGGCATCGCCAACACAATGTCATGGAGGCATTCCCGTTGTCGCATGCATGCGCCATGCAATGCCATTATTAGCGCAATTACGGTTGCCCCAAACAATCACGCGAGCACACACAGGCAAAATTCTGGGGACTTTGCTGCAGCTGTTATGGTAGCACAGGTCTTGCCCCATTCCACACCATCAGCTTGACGATGGTTTCTTTTGCCGCTGCGTTTCTTCCTTCTTCCTTTCTTGTACATATCTTGCCTGTTCCTGGTACGCGTGCAAAAGTACCTAATCCTATCGACATTGGTATGACCAAATTGATCAATGTGCAACACACTTTTCATAGACTTTGTCAGCGGCCATATCATACCACACGCCACACAGCTGCAGAGGGACTGCTGCGGCTGACACGGTGGCCAAAGTTGGGGACGAGGACGCCTCTCATGTCCTCGTGTTCGAACATTGGGAATACCTTAGACGCGTATACAGTAGATCTCGATGGGCGGGGAAATGCAATAATGAAACTCGACACAGTGCCTGCCATACTGGCAATACCAGAGCGAATGGAGCGGACTAGGATCCATGCGAGTCTAACTGGAACCGGTCATCCCATTTCGTCAATCTCCATCAATCTTTATTGTTCCGAAACGGCATTTCACGACCAAAGCCTACTCTATATACATCAGGCTTCGAGACGAGCTGTCGGGGCATATAAATCTTTTCTGAGCGAAGCACCAGGCTGAGATGCTCAGGAGTGTGCCTAGGTGAGAAGCGCGGTTGGCGATGGCCGCATAATTATGTAACCCCTCCCCCCCAAACATCGGCTGGCGGTCCCGGAACATAAAGGCGACGGTTCTGAGTGCCTTAGCATTGGGGTTGCAAAATCGGAAGGGTAAGGTGAGTTTGGGTAGCATTGAAAGCCTAAGCCGATTGAGCGGAGAAAAGGGTTCGCTGAGGTAAGCAGCGCTAGTAGGGCCTTGGTGTGAGGTGGCGAGGTCCGGTCGGTCAATGGACAGTTTTTGGGGTTCACCGAGGGCAGTACCTGTTTGCCTGTGTACGGCAATGCCGCATGTCCTCCCGTTACCATATTTCCAGTTTTTCATATCATACATGGGTCTGCAAGCATGCGCCAGAGATGTTGATGAAGCAGAACACAGAGACCGGCCGAAAACAGATTTGCTCCTCAGTCTCTATCAGTTCAAGATCGAGGCGTTGCGAATACATCCCGCCACAACCTCACGAGATGCTTTGCTCTCCAGGCTGTCTCTCCGCATCACGCGCCACGAACTCACCTTCGACAGAATGGCTTTAAGGGAAGACCCCAGTTACTTCGCCGAAGCGCCGGTGCTTAGTGCCCCACCTCCAGCAAACACGCTTCGTTTCAACAGCCACCGCAGACGTTCTAGACGCTCTTTGCGAATGTGCAACTGGCAGCAAGGGTGCTATGATCAGCGTTTGTGCAAGGGTGGCCTTACATAAGCTATTCTTCGTGCCAACATGCGTGATGGGTCAACGTACAGAACTCGTCGCATTATTGAGAACTCGCCCGTATTGTGATGCATCAAAGGGATATCTACGCAACCCTTCGCAATCCTCCGCCGTGTCTCGATCTCGAGAAGGCGGCACCAGCGATCTGCCTGGAGCACATCGTCATCCGGCAACATTTACATTTACATGGCTTTGACTGCGTCTAGCGGTGGCCTGGCAGTGGCTAGAAACAACCGATTGAACCGGCCCAGGATGTGATGGGTGGATTTGGATATTTCAGAAGACGCTGCTGCCAGGACGCAGAATCACCCCAGACCTGCTAGATCCCGAAGTACTGGCTGGCATCGGCGGTGATGCAGAATCTACCTTTGATGGAGGTTGAAGGTCGAGAGGCTAGAATCCGCCACTGCTACTTGACAAGCAATGATTACTCATTGTGCGTGCTGCAATGCTTGGTCGCCGTTACATGTGAAACAACCAGATGGCACACCCAGAGAGATGACGCTAACCAGACGTGCCAGAGCAGCAAGATCTCAGGGCACAAGTATCGTCAAATCAGACCACCACCCTAACCACAACGGCGGGACATTAGTGGGCGACTTGTCAGGAACCCGAATACGAGTCGGCCGTCTCTGATTCGCCAATGGGTTGCGCCAATAGGCTCCCTGGCCTTCCCACCTAAGCCAAAAGTCCAACATCAAAAACTGGTCAACGCGGGCCTGGGAACGCTCATCCCGCTGAATCATGCCATTTTCCAAGTGACGAACTGCCCACTGGGACATTACGTCGGACGACTCTCGAAGGACACGATGGGCTTGTGTACACCGAGTCGCCCGAGTTTCGCAGTTGCCCGCCCGCGACTAGAGATGAGTCGGATGGAATTAAAAGAAGTGCCATCCCGCCCAGGGACATCTTGTTGGCTTTTTGTTGAAAGGTTATTCGGCCTAGACTTACTGCAACATTTGCCATCCTGACGCCTTTTTGTGTTCGATTGTCATCTCAGCTGTACCCGTACCTTACCCTCAAACTCTAAGATCGGGTACGTGCCAGCGTCGAGGTCCCTCGACAGAACCGCTGCCAACCTTGACAGCCTGAACCTAAGTCTTCCGGTTCACTCTTCTTTTTAAGCCTCGCCGGGCAACCGACACATCCGTCCATTATCAAAGGAAAAGTCGTCGACGTTGGCTCAGCCGCTGGGCGTCCGTCGTGACACCCCATCACTCGTCTCTCGCCTCGAAAACGTCGGACAAGCCCAATCAGTTGTAGTCTGCTACAAAGCTCACAGCAATATCCCTGCCCAACTCTGCTGCTGGTGCAAGCTTCTACAGACGTGAAAGCGAAGGCTACCGATCCTGACCCTTGCTGGTCTCCTCGTCGCTCGGAAGCCAGGCCCATTAAACCAGAGGTAAACCTCATCTGCCCACCTTCGCGTGGCCCCAGGATTTCCATTAAACGTTCGATGATCTCAGGACCCCACCGAGTCATCCCGGCCGCGACCCTCCGCGACTTTGCGACCTCGAATCGCCTGCGACTCATAAGCCCGATTCGCACCGCTCTATTGCGTAACCACTAGTCCGTTTCTTACTCTCTCTCACGATCGCTTTGTTTAAGACTGCCGCGACACACGCACTGGTCATCCACCGATTAAGTCCTCGATTCAACCCGCCATGGACGTCGTTCTCGAGGTGGTCGACACCTTTGTCGGCGACCAGCTCTATGCCAAACTCCTACCGGCCGGCTCCGCGCCCTACGACTTCCCCCACCACGCGAACGCCACGGCGCAACCGCTCTCGACATGGCAGTATAGGCCGTCGACACAGATGTTCTACCTCGAGCCTTCTGAAGCCGCATACATGAGCGCCTGGCCAAGAGACAACATCCTCCGACAGTTCACATCCCTCTTCCTCGTCACTTGGTACGTTGTTGCTGCTACAGCTCCGCCCACCGTGTTCCTAGTCGGGCTTACCAATACTGCAATGATATCAGGTTCTTCGGCATCCTCAACTACTTTGTCTTCGCGACCCTGTCATACATCTTCATCTTTGACAAGAAGACGTTTAGCCACCCAAAGTTCCTCAAGGACCAGATCCGCCTCGAGATGAAACAAGCCAACATGGCCATGCCGGTCATGGCAATCTGCACCGCGCTCACCTTTGTCGCCGAGGTGCGCGGCTACTGCAAGCTCTACGATACCACCGAGGAGGGCCCCGGCCGTTGGTACGACTTTGCGCAGTTCCCGCTCTTCATCCTCTTCACCGACCTGTGCATCTACTGGGCTCACCGGTGGTTACACCTGCCGCTGGTTTACAAGCACCTTCACAAGCCTCACCACAAGTGGATCATGCCCTCGCCCTATGCCAGCCATGCATTCCACCCCCTCGACGGCTTCGCGCAGTCGGTCCCTTACCACCTCTACCCGATGCTGTTTCCCCTCAACAAGCTGGCGTACGTGGCCCTGTTCATGTTCATCAACTTTTGGACCATTCTTATCCACGACGGCGAGTACATTACCGACAACCCTATCATCAACGGCTCCGCGTGCCACACCGCCCACCACTTGTACTTTAAGTATGTTTTCCCTTGAATTCGCAGTTCCGACAACCCGAGAGAGGGTTTCAGATTCTGACAAACTTCGCAGCTACAACTACGGCCAGTTCACTACCTTCTGGGACCGTCTCGGCGGCACCTACCGCAAGCCTGACCTCGCCTGGTTCAACAAGAAGACCAAGATGGCCAAGGAGACTTGGGAATCCAACATGAAGGAGATGGAAGACATTCAAAAGGAGGTTGAGGGCGACGACGACCGCCAGTACGTTGCCGCTGAGGCGAAGAAGACGAATTGAGAGCCGGTCCAAAGTGTGCCGGACACGCTCAGTGCATGATGCCGCGAATGAACGTCCAAACAACCACTTTTTAGACTTTTGTAATACTTGGCTGCGGCCATACCTTTTACTGTATATATAGAATCGGTACCATTCATTGCTGGGAACAAGACGGACGGATGCTGATGGAATAATGGGAGCGAAGGCATCTGGCGGTTCGTTGTTGCAAATGGAGCCCCAAGTACAATAGTACATAGCATACCTGGACCCCTCGAAGGGTCCGGGACGACAACTCCAAAGGGTTGTGAGGTACAAATAAGAACGTCCTGGAAGATGCCGAGGAGAACCGGGGCCCGAATACTCGCTAGTCACCGGACCTCCCGGAACCCAGGAAACACACCCAGATTGACTCCATATCAAAAGTCAGTTCATGCATTCAGGAAAGAAATGACAATCAAAATTGGGAGTAAGAGTGAATAGGCATTGGAACCGCGTCACACGCAAACTCTACGTTGATAGGTGATACCAAAAAAGACGCCGTTCCATACCGGCGCAAAGGAGGCATTTCCACCAGACCTTCAGAAACGTCCGTCACAAAAAGGCAAGGACATAGAAAAAAACCCAAGAAGAAGAAAGAATCCGCTGCAACGCCTGATTCCTCCTATAGCTAGTGGAATATTATCATGTTGAAAAGCAAGGAAAGTTGTTGGGGCCTGTTTCGGCGTGGAATAAGTTTAGTGGTTGTTGTAGGAATAGCCAGGGAAATCGAGTAGTGATTTGCTGTGCAAGGTGGTCGTAGGTGGTGTATTTGGGCCCATGGATTCGTCGTGAATATTCCCTACCCTTATCGGAGCAGCCACGGGTTGTTCGCGTCGCAGTCTATTGCAAATGTATGCTGCAAATAACGTTTCCCACTTAGCCGATCTAAATAGGGTGCCCCCCTTCTCGTCTCTCCCCCTCTTTCTTTATTTCTTTCTCGCTGGCGCATGTATATCGCCTAGCTGAACGTCACAGCCTTGGGATCCAAAGGCCGACCGTCAGGTCCTATGCCGTTGGCCTTGAAGCGCTGCTCCATGTACACTTTGCGTGCGTCGTCAAACTTCATTCGGCGCTTCTTCATAATCTTGAGAATCTCCTTCTTGCTGCGGTCGTCCAGGCCCGCGCGGCTGTCGCCGGATTCGACGTTGCCCGCCAAGTCAAAGGTCGAGCTCGAGAGGCCGGCGTCTATGTCGCCGACGAAGGAGGAGGGCAGGCGGGAGTAGATGTAGTCGCGGCCGGGGATCGGGAGGTCGGGGAGGTGGGGGAGCCAGTGGGCACGGGTGAAGTAGAGGGCCGTTGCGATGATGAGGAGGAGGAAGGAGACTGAGTAGAGGAGGTACGACATTTTGGAGCGATTTCGGTTGGGAATTCGGGAGTGAAAGGTCGAGGTGAAATGACGTTTGGCCGGTTGTTGATGCGCCGGTGTGGTGCTTCGTGACCGTCGACTCACGTAGCTAGGCTCCAAAAAGCTAGTAGTGGTGGTGGTGGTGGTGGTTTGATGCGATTAGAACGGAGGAAAGAATATGAAGAGGGCGGGAAAGAAGTGACAAAGAGAATGATTTGTGCAAACGGTCAGGGACTGCCGTTCGGAAAGGTCAAACGATCATGTCGAGAGCTGCAAGGAGACGGTCGCGTTTGACTCCGGCAAAATGAGGCATGGGGAATGAAAGTGTAAGTAGTAAAGTTCAACGACCAGCCAGACGACCAACCGACGTACGATGATGTGGAGGTGCACTGGTGCGGCTGCGGAAGTGCGCTGCACTAGGTAACACAGGCCCTCTCCCAGTTGGCCTCTTTTGGGAACCATGGAAGAGTGTTCAACGCCGCTGAAAGTGGACTCGGACTGTCACTGCCCCCCGTAATCCCGTCTCATCCTGCAGCTTTTTGCTTTCCTTGGGGATCCACTTACTAAGGTCGGGCGGGCATAGAGCATTCGAGGGCGGACGTAAGGCTTGGGCGCAGGGCGCAGGGTACCGACAGCAGGGGTCAGGGCCGGCTGCAAGGGAGACCGCAACGGATGCCGATGGGCAAGCTTTGCATCACGTGAAATGTCCCACCCCGCCAGCTGGGTCCTGGGGTGGAAGGACGCAACCTGATACGGATACTTACCTACCAATCACCACACCACCTGCTCGTGCTGCAGGATACAAATGGAGACGACTGGATGACCGAAGGGGTCCGGCAGCCTCTTGTCCCTTAACCTATCTTTCATGCGAGCTAAGTGTGTCGAGAATCGTTGGTGACTATATACAAGTCGCTCCAACCTTCCTCAGACAGTGTGCTTTGCAAGATCCCCCGAGTTGAAAGGTAGTAGTTTGCGTGAAACGCGCAAACAACATTTTACATGGCGGACTATGTATCCGTACTGTGAGGGACCCCAAAGCTCAACCCCTGGTGACTTGGGAACCCTGGCAGTTGAGGCGTAGCGGCGCTCGCAGCTTGACAATCTTCATCCGGCCCGAGAAAGCCGGGTAGCATCCGACGACGGCTTGCCGAACGAGGTTTTGAGTCGGTTTGTTTGGCTTCGGCATCTACACCGTAGTAAGCTATCTTGGTTATAGTCTCACCTTTGATATTCGGGGCAGAGGGTCTGGTATATCTATGCCCAACCTCACCCCATCTGCTTTTCTCTGGTTTTCAATGCACAGGGTCGGCCTTCGGGAAAGCAATCAGCCGATTGCTGAGATACCGTCTGTGTAGCAGTCTAATTCTCTTGAGACAACCACTCGTTGGCTTAGATGCAGACACAATTAAACATTGACACATATCGTGGGTACAATCTAGATGAGGCGGCAACGTGCTCGTGTGGTACATTGCGAGGACACCACTATGATAGCATCTATGCTCAAGAAAATCATCGATGCGGGACGGCCTCCCAAATATGAAAGAAACCAGCTCTCGAGGCCAGTTCGACGTTGGACACATCTACGGCTTGGGGGCACAGCCTTTCAATAGTTTTACAGCACAGCAATCTTAGACGTGTTACATTCCGCTCACATGGCGGCCCTCAGTCCGTCCATGAGCGTATCATCGGCCAATCGAACGAGGCAACCTGAATGGGTAAGCCAAGGCCCGAATAAGCTAGCGTACTCAAAGTGGGAATGCGTAGACGTGGACAGTGTAGTGTGTGCTCGAAATCTAGTGCGTTGCACGAAGTGAAGCTGTAAGTAATTAAGATGGGACGACACGATTGATACGATCTTATTCATCGTATCGCCAGCGCCTATTACAACCAAGCGCATTGGAAAGGCTAGTATTGGGTATACAAAACTAGGCTCACAGATTTTCGTCGCCCGGCATCATGCGTATATACAACAGTGAGTCGACAATTGTTGTCTACAGTGGATGACTTGGGAGGTCGAATAGAGCATTAACTCTCACAGCCCGATTCAACCCAAGATCTTTTAAACTTTGTAAATCACATTCTTCCGAATGTAGGTTTTCTCTTGGGTTTAGACACGGATGCTAGGATACACGCAAAATGACTCCGACTGCTAGATACTTGTAACGAGAGAGCAAGTCCATCCCATGTTAGCATAGATCTATACGCACCTGGAAGCTCACAAAAATCCACTGGGCCTCGGAGCCCACGTTGTTGAACTTGGTCCATGACCACACTGTGTCGAAACATATCAGAAGCCGGAGGCGCTCTTGGCCTTGAAATAGCCAGCCACTTAAATGACTGGGGTTATAACCTATCAAACGGTGTAAGGTCGCATTTGAAGATCGCGTTGTCCGGCTCGGGGAGTCGGACGCACCGCCATCACCAGCCACATCCATACCGCGCCGCCGAGGAGGGCTTTTGTGCCCCGGAGGGGACTCGGGTGTGGCGTCGCCGACAGAATAAATGGGCCCTTCAGACGCTAGACCGCAAAGCGACTGCTAAGCGATAGCCCACACATTCAATTCTGGCCATTGAATTCTACGATCACGCAGACCGGCATCAGAGCAATCGTGAAGGTATTCATCAACCATTCCGTGATCCCTTAAATCAGTCAAAATGGCCGCCACTCTGCCCAACGTTTCCGCCGACCTGATCTGGGAGGTCGTCCGTAAGTTTCACCACGGCGCCTAGCCGCCAGCGATGCCGAACACGGTCAGATGCGCACTTGCTCACACTTTTTCTTTACGGACACAGGCGCCCAGAATGCGTTCCTGGTCAACCGCAACGATGCCGGCGGTCTCCAGCTCTCCCGCGACCCCCTTAACCTGGTCAACAAGCACTCCCGCAAAGTATGTTGCGATCGAAGCGTCAAATTACCGGCGGGGAGACGGGCATTTTTGGCTAACTTGCATTGCAGTACGCTGGTTTCGTCAACGACAAGGTACGATTACACCCCACGCTGAACGAACACGATATCCCTCCCGCGAACGATACGAGAATGCACAACATCATATAGCACAGGAATGACTGACAAGTAATGACTAGGCCATCGGCGTTGTCCCCAACGAGAAGGGTGGTGTCAAGGTGATCAGCAAGAACCAGAAGAACTTCAACAAGCCCTCCAAGGCCTACACCGAGGTTACCTTCGGCGGCAACAAGTCTTCCCGCAAGTGAGTCTGGACAGCACCACCATTGTGTCGCATTACGGCATATGGCAAGAAAAAGCACAGGGGTGTGCGTGGGAAACCAAGACACTGACGGTTCTCGAACCTAGGACCTACTCCGCCGTTGCCCGCCAGGCTGCCGCCGGCGGCTACCGTGGCGACCTCCGCGAGGCCGCCGTCCAGCGCGTCTCCGCCATCCGCCGCTCCCAGCGCCCCGTGAAGGCCACCCCCGAGAAGAAGGCCCGTGGCGTCAAGGCCAAGCAGGCCGCTGCCGAGGCTGAGGCATAAACGCGATATGCTGTTTTAGCGGAGGGGAAAAAGAAACAGGCTTGGTTTGGGCGTTACGTCGAGCAAATAGAATACCTTTTTGAGGGACACAGGCGAAACAAATCAAAAGCTTGAGTCAAAGGCCACAAAATAATGACTGGAACTGGGTTTTTCGTTGCTCCAAAGAGTGTCTCCCGTCCCGTCTGATGCCATGCACGTGAGGGAGTCATGAGGCTCTGGGCCAACGACTTGGTCGTGTGTCAAAGGTGTGAGCGACCTTAAGCCAAGACAAGCACTTCCACGGAGAGGAAAAGTTCGGAGCGGGAGTGGAGTGACCGTGGTTGACCAGGCCGATGTCAAGTGCACACAGTAGCCGGACTACGGGTCGTGGCTTTGTCGATGCCGTGGTCCTCAGCCATCACCCGGAGTTGCCCGACTCGAAGAGAGAGCGATTTCTTGCTGAACCTCGGGAACAGGGGCAAGCATCGGGATGTCGAGGGCCCGTTCGGCTTTGCCCATAACGTCTTTCCACCCAAAAACGACGAAGCGGGGCGTGATTTTTTTTTAAACGAGCCGTTGCCAGAGGATTGATCAGAGTTGACTGACAAAGACGCTTCTACGGTTTTCATGAAGCAAATCTTCGCCGACATTGACCTGGTTGAGGTACTCGTGCTCCTTAGAATGGGACATTTGCGCATATATGGCGGGGTAATTCTGCTAGGCCGGGTTATATAATTGCCTTACATAAGGCATTTTAGATACAAAGGCTCGTACTCTTCATATTGTGAATAATTCACGCCGCAAGGTGTGCAATTCTAAGAATATTTAAACGCCTCATAATAGATCAACGGCGAGAGACATGTAATTTTAGTGAGGTGCCGGGTCCGTCTCAAGACGACAGACAGGGCACGCATCCTACTGAGCTGTCTCATCGCCGAGGACAATCATATGAAGCATGTCACAGGCTTTCTATTGGATAACGGGGCGTCTTGCGTCTTGTTTCTACCGTGTTCGCACCCGAGTTTTGGCTATACATAGGAACAGCTACCCCTGGAGCTCGGGACGGGACCGTTCATCAACAGGAAAACATCGGAAGGCATTGGCCAGCTGGCCGGGAGTTGACGGGGGACGAGCTACCCACAGCCCGCCGTCTTTCCCATTGCCGTGTTAGCCTCGTCATTTCTCTCACATGCATCAGACCGAAGGTAAATGGCGAACGGGTTGGCAGCAGCGGTGGTCGGTGTCAATTGGTGGAGTGGGAAGGAGTAGTGGATTGGCGCAATCGGGGCCTAATGTAGGCACGTACTTAGGTAAGGTGGTGAGGTACCTTGTCTTTCCTTCAGCGCTATTTCCATGGCTGGGCGTGTCTCAGTGGCCGCCTTTGTTTGGGTTGAATGACGAGGTATCCGTATCTGCGACAGCTATTCCCTGGTGCGGCAAGCCCCCAGGTACCTTGCTTTCTCTTCGTCATAGGTATTCTGCAGCTCCCGATTCCCGAGACAGCAGCAAGCAGCAAGCAACAACTGGTCCGGCTAATATGCAAGCACCGCAACCGCGCAAGTACTGCTACGGGATCGGACTTGCTGGGTGCGGCGGCGCAGCGCATTACACCTGTAGTGCTTGCTGCGGTCGAGTCGCGGGCTCGCTGTCGCTCTTCTGCGCATCACTGGCGCCTGCCGTCGCTACCACGTCAGGAGCGAGCTACAAACTGGAACCCCCGTCGTGCCTCAGGAGCCCCCCCCCCGTCCCCAGGTCCCTTCGCACCCCTCCAAGTAACCCCTCTCTTGCCCCTCCATCCAATAATACAGACAATGCCACGGGACGAGGGGTGGGAACGCAGGCCGCAATTCTCCCCGCGGTTGAACCTACGTCCCCGCCGACAGCCTCCGGACTAGGTATCAGCTGGCTTAGACTACTTCTACGTAACCTTGGCTCTTCTGCTCTCCTCTCTTCTTTCTTGTCTCCCCTCAGTACTAAAACAAACGACTTCCCGCTCTCGAATTTGTTTACTCATTTACATCTTGCAAGCCAACTTCCGGTTACCTGACTTCAGTACGTCTGCCGATGACCTTCCCCCCCCCCCCAATCTTGACAAGCTTGGATGAAGCAGCGAAGCTCCCCACACTTCGCCCCATACCATGCGCCAGAGCTCGACGTGTTACGCAAGCAAGCTTCAAAGCTGAGATCTCCCCGCTAATCCGCGAGAACCCTTCAGGCTACCTCCTCCTTCATCCATCTGTTCCCCAAATCGAACCACCAGAAACACATTCAAAATGGTCAAGGCCGGTATGCTCCCCATCCGAGATCATCGTGCAGGCTTTCGTCAAACTAATCGTTCCTCAGTTGTTGCTGGCGCCTCCGGCGGTATTGGACAGGTACATAGTGAAAGCCGGACCCCGCGTGGTCAGCAAGTAACGTGCGCATTGGCTCACCAACATTTTTTATTCTAGCCTCTGTCTCTCCTCCTCAAGCTCTCTCCCCTCGTCGACGAGCTTGCTCTTTACGATGTTGTCAACACCCCTGGCGTTGCCACCGATCTCTCTCACATCTCTTCCAATGCGGTGCGTTGCATTGCAGTCTTTATTGCCATGTGGTGCTGTGGTATAGCTTGCTGAACAAAAGATGCCGCAAACAGAAGACAACCGGCTACCTGCCCAAGGATGACGGCGCAAAGGCCGCCTTCAAGGATGCCGACATCATCGTCATTCCTGCTGGCATTCCCCGTGAGTTACAGCTGCCGAACCCCGTCTGCCGCTTTCGTCTAATGTGAATTCCCTCCAGGCAAGCCCGGCATGACGCGTGATGATCTCTTCAACATCAACGCCGGTATCGTCAAGGGCCTTATCGAGGTCGCGGCCGAGGTTGCCCCCAAGGCCTTTATCCTCGTCATTTCCAACCCCGTCAACTCCACAGTCCCTATTTCCGCCGAGGTTCTCAAGGCTAAGGGTGTCTTCAACGCCCAGCGTCTCTTCGGTGTCACCACTCTCGACATCGTCAGAGCCGAGACATTCGTTGCCGAGATTTCCGGCAAGTCCACCAAGGAGCTCAACGTTCCCGTTATTGGCGGCCACTCCGGCGAGACAATTGTTCCCCTCTTCAGCAAGGTCAAGCCTTCCGTGTCCATTGCCGACGACAAATACGACGCTCTCGTCAACCGCGTCCAGTTCGGTGGTGACGAGGTTGTCAAGGCCAAGGACGGCGCTGGTTCCGCCACTCTATCCATGGCCTACGCTGGCTACAGGTACGAATGAAACCCCCACAACGCGGAGGTCGGGACTAACAGTTGGTAGATTCGCTGAAAAGGTCATCAAGGCTGTCAAGGGCGAGAAGGGTCTTGTTGAGCCTAGCTACGTCTACCTTCCCGGCGTTCCCGGCGGTAAGGAGATTGCTGAGAAGACCGGCGTCGACTTCTTCTCCGTTCCCATCGAGCTTGGCGTAAGTTGTGCAGCATCGCACTCGTCCCCTGTCCAATACCATACGGATTCTCACTGACATGTTCGCAGCCCAACGGTGCCGAGAAGGCCATCGACATCCTTGGCGACATCACGGAGAAGGAGCAAAAGCTGCTGCAGGCTGCGATTTCGGGATTGAAGGGCAACATTCAAAAGGGTGTCGAGTTCGCCCACAACCCCCCTCAAAAGTGATTCCCCCCTTTGTACACTTGTTTCAGTAACAGCCCCCGACCCCCTCTCGAGCAAGCCGCACAATGACAGCTTCCAACAATGTAGCCAAAATGGTGATAGATGAAATACAATCCGAGGGAGAATTATGGCTGATCGACTCTTCTTTTTCCTAGGCTGTGAGGTGTTGTTGGTCTCGCAAGTGTAAACGTGACCAGCGTATGACACCGGATGATCTCTTGTCTCCACGGTGCGTAGGGAAACGGCGTCGGTAGGTTTTGAATATGGCAATAATTGGTGCTGGTTTATAATTGGAGTTGGACACCTTGGACATCAGCTCGAATGACCAGATGCTTGGTCGATATTCTGTAAGAGTCTTATGTTTCAACGCTTGCATGCTGTGACTGCCCTCCCACGCGCTTTTGGCCCCGGAGAAGGCATCTCGTAAAACGTTAGTGAATTCGAGTGTTATGTGCTCGACGGCAGTGTCTTGATTTGGAAAATGGCGGCCGGAAGTTCGTTGGTCTCGGCCTGGACGGTGGCATTGATACCCAACGCCGCCAGTGCGCCGCGCACGATTCCGCACGGAAACCAGAGAAACTGTTATCAGAGAAGTCAACGACCCGTAAAGCGTGGCAATTACGAGGGAGCGTGTATTGGAACGTACCGGCTGTGCCCGAACAACAGCTTGCCCGCCAGCTTCTGTGCTCATCCTCGAGAACGGTTTAAATGAATTGTCCGTCAGGACGTAGACGCCCTAATCCCATGAACCGTATTAGCAAGCCAATTCTCAAGTCGCTCGTCTGTCACGTTGCCGCCAGCATAGATTATCATTATCGGTCGGAGGGGAGGAATGTTGCCAACGTACCCTGTGATTCGTCTTGAGGTTGTCAATCTGTTTCCTAAACACCAGTGACCAAAGATCTTTGCAGACGAACTTGATGACATCGAGCGTATCGTTGAACCGTGGTCGGTCTCTCGAGAACCTAAACAAGAGTCATGAACAGTCAGCCTCCAATTGTGGTAAAGCCCAATGTTGTGTCTTGCCCCGCCCTCCACGCCCTTTGCCATCGCCGCAGACGACGGGGATAGAGAGCGGGAGAACAAGGGGGAACATAAGCCGTTCTCACCTTTCAACTAGACCCTGCCCAACACGATAGCCCAGCGTCTCGAGCCGATAAAACACCGCATCCCGCTCCTCATCCTCATCCAGCTTCCTGCCTGTGCTACCCCCCGCGGCGCCTTCCGCGCTCGACGGCGCGGGACCTCCATCCGCGCCCGCTCCTCCGCCTTGGCTGCGGCTCACCGACGATAGCGCGTCAGCCGATGCGCCTCCTGCCACAGAATCACCGGCGCCGGTCCCGTTCGCGTCGGCCGGCGCGGCTTCCAGGTCCCTCGTCACGCGAAAGGCCATGGGCACCAGCTCGATGAGGAGGAAGTCTAGACAGGAGGAGTTGAGGAAGGAGGCCGACGGGTCCGTGGCGTTGTACGGCGGCATGACGCTGTCGAAGGACATGGCGTGCTGCGGATTCACCGTGGTGAAATGTGAATAATTGATGTCTTTCTCGTTCGTTGAGGAGGTTGTGCGGCGTTGCTTTCTTAAGGCTTGGTCGTTTGCTCTCTAGCCTTGATGGGATGGATATTTGGGGCTGTCGACGGTAAGGGAGATTATGCGACGACGTTTTGTAGAAATCGGCTCGGTAAGGGATGATGGACGGTGCGGGAACAATAGCGCTTGCAGAGAATCGCAGTAATGGCAATCTTTATGTGTCGTCGAGGTTGATGTGCGGTTCAAGTTAACACAGGTAGCTTGGCTGGTGGAGGACAGACGAACGTACGGCGTTACCGACGGAAGGTAACGAATGAGGTCAGGTACGTACCTGCTTTGACAATCCTGTGGGGCTCCGTCCAGAGCTTCCAGCTCCAACAGGGATTATAGTAGGTAGGCAACCTAAACGGCATGCCAGGCAAGGAAGGGGCGTTCAAGGACATAACAGAGAGTTTCCAGAGTGAGTGATATCTTATTGTGCGGATCTGACATCTGCAGCGCAATGTTTGGAATCTGTGCCCTTGCTTTCCTAGCTGGCAAAGTCTCTAAGGTACCTGCCTCACCATCGAAGTAGAGCTCTGCTCACACGCCCACTTTCGCTCGGCTTCATGCCATGTAATACAAGGCTGTTAAGGATGTCGATGTTTTGCCCCCTGAACGCCTGAACAACTATCCATCCGCCCTTTCCCACGCCAAAATGAAAAACACACATGAGCCAAAAATCCGCCTTCATTAGGTAGGGAGTATGTACGTGCTGGCTGAGGTGACTAATCTCATGCCCCGTATCCCATAGCTCATTGTTGGGAAATGCCAGGAAGGCTTCCTCAAAATAGGCTGCTGTTGTATCCGTTATGATGACTCGAACCCGGCCCCTGTAATTGCTGCCGCTTCGGAGGCGGTGCGACTGGTTCATCATCGTCGGATAGGGTCAGGTCTATTGTCACCCTGTCTGAATGCAGTCTCTTGGCACTTGTGGTGGCCACGCCCCGCGGCATCGTTGAGCTTTCTCGAGACATTGCCGTTGTCGTAGGGGTTGCCGTGCTAGCGACTGACCGGTTGGGAGTTTCGAAGTTTCGACTCCGAACGGGGTTGACCTCCACGATGCCCCAATCGTCGTCATCGTCATCGTCATCATCGTTAACTAGGCCGCTGCCGCCATTCGTAGGCTTGTTCTCGTCCTGCCCTGTGTTCACTCGCCATTGTCCGTCTGGTTCGATGGTGACCTGATCGAGGGATTTTGATGTGTTCGCCAATATGTCCCTTACGTACCTTTGACGACTGTTAGCTAGAGATCTAGAGGGCGTGAGACATGGAACCTACTCGTCAACAGCCAGCTGTGCAAATGGCGCCGATTTATTGCAAATCGGACATAGCCACTGAGGGCCCTGTTCTTGCAGTTGAAGGTACGACGTCGCGTCGAAACATTGAATGTGCGAGCAGTTGACAGAGCGGCACGGAACGTCTAGACGCATGTAGGACAGAGGACACTTGAGAGATAGGACTTGAGATGTCGTAACAATGTCTGTGTCCGCCGCCTTCTTGCTGACTAGAATATTTTAGTAAGCCGCTGAAGAGTCATACAAAACACATGTGAGATGACGAAACTTACTCTCTTCAATAACCTTGTTTTTGGGAATCTTTTGTCCAGTTTTGATCTTCTCGGCCAGGTCCTGCGCTGAGGTAATTTTGCAGACGTAGAGGACAAGATAGAATTTCTGCGGACAAAATGAATGTGAGCAAAAAAAAAAATGTGGTGCAACAGAACATTTTAATGCACATATTGGAGGCAACCTACCTTTTGAGTCAACGCATAAGTGAACTCAACGAGGTTTCTATTGTCATTTTTCAGACGCAAATAGCTCGTGACGTCGACTGGCCTCGTAGATCCTGGTTTGTTCTTCAAACCTCTGAGGTTTGCCTTGACCTCGTTGCCATTGATCTTGATCTCCGACTGGTGAGGGAACGCAATTTCTTGGGTGCCGCTGTTGTCTCCAGCGCAAAAGACCATGATACGTAGCGACTTGTCTTCGAGGACTCTGTTGACACCAGGGTTGTCGCTGATTCTGACTGGAATTGAGACCATGTTTCTATGCTGGCTCATGGCTACGCGGGAAATTAGCACTGGCCAATGTGAGGCGCGGAATGGTGACTTACCCTCGCAAGTGCGCACTTCGCCGACCCGGAACTGGATCTCGTAAAAGGGACTGTTCTTGAATGACGGTCCTGGATTCAAATTAGACGTCTGTTAACGAACTGTGGGCGAACCGCGTACCGCTTGATCCGTAACTGGGTAGCGCAGGGCCATTCGGACCGCCAAGACGAGCGTTGCGCCCCCAATATTGGTCTTGCCGCATTGTTGACACTGGCGGAGTCGCTGTGGCAGGGCGTCCGCCTTTCTGGGAGGCGGGCGAAGCAGAGGAACCGGTTCGCGTGGTCTCGATGCTTCTTTGTATTTGCTGAAAGCGTGTAGCATCGTTGTTCTTGAAAGCTTCTTCGATAGCTGACACGCGAGAGCTATTAGCTATGGGTAATTCCGAGAAAGAGCCCCGCAGCCCAGGACATTTCTTCGGCGTAGAAATGACCGTGGACCAGCAGAAGGCGAGGAAGGAGCGCAAGGGGCAGCGTGTGAGGCGGCCGGATGGGCTTGGGAGGGAAGGTGCTCACCACTAACGATGCGACTTTGCAGTGCCGCTTTAACGCCGCTGCTCGTGAGCCCGTTGAGCTGGCAAATGTTGGACAATTGGCGGTTAAGCAGCTGGTTGCTGTTAACCAGCTTGACCAGAGCCTGGAGCTCATGCCTCTGGATGGAGGTCATGGTTCCCGGGCGAGGTAGAAGGGTCGCAGTGGTATCTCCGGTGACAGCCTCATGAAGGTTCGCGGGTGCGACGTCGGATCGACTTCGGTCGTTGGTAAAGACGACGTCGATAGGCCGTGGGTGTACGTGGCGGTACTTTTTGTGTCAAGCTCGGCGGTGGAGTAATGGTTTGGAAACCGAGAAGAAAAGGAGAATGACGGGCCTCAAATGGAAAGAACAATCATGGGCGCGACCACACGAAGCAGGAGCGACGAGGCTCGTGGTGCGCGCCGACAGGCAAGAGCCAAAAGTGCGTGGGGAAGTTGCAGTCGGGTCGGTCGAGGAAGGCAAGGGCAGGGCAGCTCTGTGGTCTGGCTGGCTGGCTGTTGTTGGTGGCGGTGGTGCTGCTGCTGCAGCGACACTCTTTTTCTTCCTGTCCCGTCTTCCCTTTTTTTTTTTCACCCTCTGCTTTGCGACAAGAGAAAAATGTCCTCAACGGCGACCATAACAGTGATGTGTCCGAGATAATACAGATGTCTACCAGTACGAACTCTATTGCCTCGAGCAGATAGAGAGACAGCACGTCGGCATCCAAGGCAACAACGGCATTAGTCGAAGCGGAATGATGATGTGAGGTCAAACTGGGCCGTGGGCTATTTCTCGGGTCGGCAAAAGTTTGATGTCATTCGCGACCGGCGCCAACCTTTTGGGGCTCTGTGAGGAGGTACTGGACGGCCTGGAGTCTACAACACCTGAAATCCTAAGGTACCTTCTGAGTGCTGCGGATGTGAAGACGAGACTGGCTGCATCCAGGGTCGGGTGTGGGCCTAAAACAATCTACCTTAACCTGGAAGTGAAGGTGAGGCACCTAGGTATCTGTCAAGTGAACTGCTGAGGTGAGATTGGGAGTCGTCGAGACTAAGTGGACCAGAAAAAGATGGGAAGTATGGGTTTTAGGGGGGGCGTATGTATCCGTATGTTAGGTACCTAGGTAGGTAGATGAAGGTTCTATGAGCGCCCGAACCGATGAATCTTACAGCGGATGTGCGGCCGTTGTTTCAGCATCTGCATCCCCTAAGAAGGAAATCGAAAGTGCCTGGGCCTTCTCCCTTGCCGGGCACCGTGAGAACGACTGACAGTCAGAGGCACCTTATATTTGGACGAATGTGGGGGTGCCAATAGCCGGCAGCCCCCGCAACGGACCACTGACTGGTCTGGCCCATGTGAGACCCAAGGACTGCTGCCGTCCAAACCATCGTTACCTACCCTCCGTGCCTCCCTGAGTGGACGACTGGATTGGGAGGCGGGGCCCGGCTGCGACCGCCTGTGTAAAATTTCCTACCATCACTCAGTGAAGACCGTTCGCCTTCACATGGTCACTTTCACCGACTAGAAACCTCGACGTTTTTCAAGAACCGAAGGCATATCGCGATTGGTTCCCCCCCCCCCTAAACCTGCAGCTCATTTCTTGTCTGTGCATACTCATCGAGGCGCCACCTGAAAATCTTCACAAACACCACACCGCCGGCACATATCCGCAACAATGGCCAAAAGCGCAAGAGCCAGTGTCATCAAGAAGAACAACCAGAGACTCAAGGCAAATGTCTTTGGCCCTGTTGAGCAGGCGAGAGCTGAGCGTCTCTCGGCGAAGCTGCTAGAACTGGCAAAGGCCCCCAAGCCTGAGAGGGAGGCTGATATCAAGATGGATGTTGAGGAGCAGGACGACGAGGGTGAGCTCCCCGACCGGCTATTTGATGGTCTTTCCACGAGTTGATAAGTTCCGAAACTGACCTTCATACAGCGGCAATCAACGGTGAGGACGAGAAGAAGGAGGCCAAGGTGGATGATACCCGTAAGCTGAGTTCACATGGTAGTCTCTACGACTCACGAAAACTGACTCTCGCCACAGTCATGGACGTTGACTCGGCGAAACCCAAACGTCGCTCTGGCAGAATCCAGAAGCAAAGGAAGAAGACTTCCAAGGTCGTCTTCCCCAAGTACAGTGATCGTCGCGGAGGTTCCAAGGGCGGAGTTTCCAAGAGAAAGTAAAGGCTTGAAACCTCCACTGTTGGTTCCCCTGGCTTCTCGCAGTATCATGGGCGAAGAGCCGCTCATTGATAGGAAAGCCGCAGCGCACTCGCGCATTGAGTCTCGTGATAAGGGACTCGTTCCTGGCCATGTCCAATTCCTTTTCCGGCGTTCGTGTGAATAGTGGGAGACTAAAATTTTCATCGGTTATTTTGGGGGGTCATTTCACACTTTTCACCACATTGAGAGTATATTGGAGAGGCGGTCAAAAGTTGATAGACCGGTAGACATGGCACTGAGCATAGTTGTATAACTGCCAGACGAATAATGAAAAAAACTGTCAACCCCCAACCTCTTCATGTTGAAGATCACTTGGACTTACCTTAGTTTGGTCATTGATTCTCGGGTGAAGCGGAAGAATACTGCCCGTATCGGCCGGGGTCACTCTGCTACCGGGCTCGGACTCTCATATTAGGTATATTCTCGACCAATCACAGCCAGGGCGCGACTCCCTCCAGCTGGGTGCACCTCATCCCTGTGCAAGAGCTGTTACAGTGTCCTCTACCTTGAGCTCCTGTCGTGTCCATCATACCTACCTTACCGATATACCAGGGTAATCATCTTTCTACCTTGATACCTTACCATCCCTACGGATCCCTTACGGATCCCTCACAGCTGTTTACTCCGCCTGCCGGGCACTTGCTTTGCCCATTTGGAATCTAAACTGCCACCGTTGCCTGCAGATTGGCGATTCCAACCGTCTTCCAACTCACCGTGGCTCGCGCGCCGTTCATCCGTTGTCGCATTATGATCGAATAAGCCAATTGCTTTCTAAGAGTGATGACTTTGTTCTCCGGCCATCCAAAACCCGACAATCTCAATAATACCCACAAGTAAACGTGGCATTCCTCTTATGACCCTGCGGCCAATGGTCATCTTGATGGATACGCGGCGAACATGTCTTTTCGGTACGGCCCGGGCTTCCTGGCAACCCATCTCACAATCGCCAACATCCTGATCCCCCTGGCGGTTTTCATATTCGCTACCGGCTTCTTTCCCTATAAACCAGTTCTGCCAGGTTTGGCCCAGTATGAGGCCCTCGAATATGGTCCGCCGCCACCGGCACCCTTCAACCGCCTCATCTTCATGGTAGTCGATGCATTGCGAAGGTATACGCAGCTCATCATGCAGCTTTTATTATGGTGATATTGACAGAACCACAGCGATTTCGTGTACTTGAACGGTACCGGCTTCACATACACTCAAGAGTAAGCCGACGAGCACCCTACCGCTTTACCCTCGCTGTGTTAACAATCTTTCAGACTCATCCGCGATGGCGCCGCTCTGCCTTTCACTGCATACGCGCGGTCACCAACCGTCACCATGCCTAGAATCAAAGCCATCACCACTGGCTCAATCCCGTCTTTCCTGGACGTCATTTTGAATCTGGACGAGGCAGATTCGTCCTCGACTCTCGCTGCCCAGGACACCTGGCTTGCCCAGATGAAAGCCAAGCAGACCGGAAAAATGATCATGTACGGCGATGACACGTGGCTGAAGCTCTTCCCAGGCACATTTGATCGCGCCGATGGCACCGCGAGCTTCTTCGTAGCAGTCAGTCTTTATCATCCACCTCCATTTATCCTCCAACTGACTGGTGTCCCAGGATTTCACCGAGGTGGACAACAACGTCACCAGACACATAGATACCGAACTGCAGAATGATGATTGGAGCACGCTGGTCCTGCACTATCTCGGCGTCGATCACATCGGGCACAAAGCAGGGCCGCGAAGGTGAGACCGGCTTTGGACCGCACTCCTAGTTCCCCCTGTTAACTATAGTCAGCTCGCACATGGTACCAAAACAACAGGAAATGGACGATATCGTAAAGCGCATGTACAACGCCATGGAATCACGAGACCACATGGCTTCTACGTTGATGGTTCTCTGCGGCGATCACGGCATGAATGACGCCGGCAATCACGGAGCTTCTTCACCTGGAGAGACCTCCCCGGCCCTCGTTTTCATATCTCCCAAACTAAAGACCTTGCATCGAAACCTGGAAGCCCCTGTTCCGTTTCGAGAGGACTTTTCCTACTACACCAAGATTGAGCAGTCAGATCTGGCACCTACCCTCGGTGCTCTGCTGGGCTTTCCGGTGCCGCAAAACAACCTCGGCGCATTCATCTCCGACTTTCTTCCTTTCTGGCCAAACAGTGAGTTCGTCCGGCCTCCAAGTTCGACTGTGTAGTGATTCACACTGCGCAGAAAATGACCAGGTTCAATTGCTCGTCCGCAATGCTCGGCAGATATTGAACATTGTAACAGCAACTTTCGGCTCCGAGATGTTTGATTTAACGTCTAACATTGACCAAAAGGCTTGCTCAAACCCTCGGGATGATGCCCATGAGCTAGCGTGTGAATGGCACCGCGTCAACGAAGCACTTCAAACCATGGATGCCGAAGTAGACTTGGACCCAACTTGGCAAGAAGCCATGTCCAAGGTTCGCAAACCCTCTAACCCCGTTGATCTCAAACATGGATTTATACTGACACCCGGGCAGTGGCTTAGCAGAGCCCAGGATTTGATGAGCAGCATGGCCAGCAATTATGAAATGGGAAGGCTACATATCGGCGAAGCAATCGTCGGCCTCGTCACCGGCACCCTCGTCTTCGGTGCTCGGACCAGTCTCATACCGCTGCTAGTCATCTCGGTCACATATGGCATCATGATGTTCGCGAGCAGCTACGTGGAAGAAGAACACCACTTTTGGTACTGGGCTACGTCCATCTGGCTGGGTTCCATGGGCACCAAGAAGATGCAGTCGTGAGTGCCACGCAACTCACCAGCAACCACGGGCATCATGAAACTGACATGGGCTACAGCACTCGCAGCCTGTTCAAAACCCTCGTATCTCTCCTTATCGCCCTAACAGCGACCAGATTGATCCGAGGATGGAATCAAACAGGCCAAAAGCGTGCCGGCGAACCCGACATCGTCAAGACTTTCATCGTCACAAGCCCGTCCGTCCTCTGGGTCCTCGTCAGCGTAACCTACCTCTTGCTCTTTGTACAAATACTCAGAAAGCTCCGCGGCCTCCCTGGCACCGTCGCAACTGCCGCATCCGCCACTCTGGTCATCTCCGCCTTCACCTTCAAGCTCGCCTTCACCAGCGAAGACGCCCCCGAGCTCGTGACCGGCTGCCTAGCAACCCTGAACACCCTCATCCAAGGCGTCTCCCTTGTCACCCGAGCCCGCCTCGTCTTCGCCGGCATCGGCATCACGGCGCTCTATTCATCCTTCCTCGCCCTCTCCAAACCCAAGACCGAAGCAAGACACACGTCCCCTCTCCTCCACCACTTAGTAACCCTCCTCCTCGCGACCCAGTCCCGCGTCACAAACATCCCCCTCCTCTTCTTCTTCACCCTCCAACTCCCCTTCCTTGCCTCCCTCGACCTCTCCCTCCCCATCCTATCCACGACCTCCGTCCTACTCCAATACGCCTCCTTCTTCGCCTTTGGCGGCACAAATGCAATCTCCTCCGTCGACCTCTCGAGCGCCTACAACGGCGTGGGCGGCTTCAATGTCGTCGCCGTCGGCGCGCTGACCTTTGTGAGCAACTGGGTCGGGCCAATCTACTGGGCCTCGGCGACGAACCTGCTCCTTCTGCAGTATCGTAGCCGCAGGGCCGCCGAGGGTGGTAGCGGTGAGGGCAGACACGTGTTCCTGCGACATGTAGGGCACCTGACCCTGTTCACGGCGTGTAGCGTCGCGTTCGTCATGGTGGCGTGCGAGGCCCTGCGGACGCATCTCTTCGTGTGGACTGTCTTCTCGCCAAAGTATCTGTACTGCATGGCCTGGGCCATTGGGCAGCATCTCCTCGTCAATGTCGTGTTTGGCGGCCTATTATACCGATTGGGATCGGCTTGGTAGACGACCATTCACCTTTCACCAATTAGTAAACTTCAAGTTTCCATGCCAGGCAGGGTGTTAAAGAAGAATGATAGAAAGGGAAAAGGCATAGGCATTGTCAATCCTGCAAAAAGGTCATCATTACTAGTACATAGATCATCAATTCTTGTAGAGAAATCATTCCGCAATGCTCCCGAGACCCGGGAACAGGTATTCAAGCCAAAAGTACCACCCGAATTCAAGAATCCACCCATGCATAATCTGGTCATCACGCGACCTCCTCATCCGACAGCAGCTCGCTCACGATAGAGTTACCATCATCTTGCCGAGTGTTCTGGATCACAGTGTCATCACTGTTCTCGTCTTCCTCCTTGATATCAGGCTCCAAGGTGACAGTCTTGTCTTCGTCGGCGTCGTGCCTCTGAGATGAAGCGACAGAACCGGCAACGGACGGCGCGACGGAGCCAGCAACCGACGCGGCGACGGAGACGCTTCTGCTCATGCGGCGCGGCTCGCCTTCCTGCTGCTCGCCGAGGTTGGCGACAATCTTGCCCAGGCTGACGTGGATCTTGTTGAGGGCGTTGCGGCCCGTGGTGTCGGAGACGAGTTTGTCGTTGACGGCGATGGTGACCTCGTCATAGACTTCCCTGATTTTCTCCTCGGTACTCGTGGGCGAGATGTACAACTTTCCGAGGAGAGGAGCGACCACCTTCTTCTCTTCCTCTACAGATATGTGTTAGATTCAATTCTCTCAATGGTGGTAGGTGATGGCGTGGCAACTTACTGCTCAAGTTTGCGCCCAAGCGGTCCAGAATGTCCAGGGCGAATTCTAGGTGAATGTCACCATTGACAGTCTTTTTCTCCAAATCAAGCCCCGTAGCAGGGTTGAAGCACTTGCGAGGATCCGTCCAATCCACCAGGCAAGCACCAATGGTCGTCAGACTCTCCATCTCCTCATTTACATCAGCGTCATCGTCCTCCAAGTTCTCGCGGACGTTCAACAACGCGTGGAGGGCATCCAGAGCGACGGTACGCATGAGATCCTGGTTCTCCGCACGCGAGTAGCAGAATACAGGCAAGAAATAGTTGAGAGCCTGCCTGACACTTTGATTAGAAGCAGTGACGGGGTCGAAGTACTGAACAACCAGCGTCTTGAGCATTTCCGCCGAAGCTTCCGTGTCAGTGACGACACGTCCCAGCAGCAGCTTGGATACCGCTAGGGTTGCGGCAGCCTGGACTTCAGGTGACCGAACTCCCGACTTGAGAGCCTTGATGTAGACCTTGAGTAATGCTGGTGTTGAGCTGAGGAGTTGAGCGCCATGGACGTTGAGGATGTCAGTGAGAATTTGCAACGCGGTGATCTGGAGGGCAGTGTGGCCCTTGGTAAAGAAGTGCATGAAGAGCGTCAGGTTCTCCTCGGCCAGTGACCTGTCGAGCAAGGAGCAGAGGCCCAAGCAGACAAGACCCCTCTCACGAACCGGTGCCTCGTGACTCCGCACAGCTGGGACGACAAGATTGTTAAGCATCGACACCAGGTGGTCATTCTGTTGCAGGTCGCCGGCGACGTTTGACAACATACACTGCACAATGTGTAGGCACTTCATGTTGATCATGATCTCCTTAACCGCCTTTGCCCTGGCTTCTTCTTCACTGAGCTCAGGGCTCTTATTCCGGCTTCCACTCCTCGTGGGTGTGGTGTCGCCACTGACCTCGGACCTCGCCGAGTGAAAGCTATCATCGGTGCGGTCATCTGGTGCTGGGTCGTCGACGATAGTATCGTGAACGTCGGCAACGGCCTCCAGCACTACAGAACAGAATTCCTTCTCGCCGGCATTGTCCGGAGCACATATGTCTCGGAGAACATTGATCGTAAGCTTTGTTACGTCGTCGGGGAGCTCAGGGACTGAAAGGGATTGGCGGAGGAGAGCAAACATTTTGCGACGGCCAACCTCATCGGAGTAGTCAAGAGTGATGGCGATATGGAGCATCTGCTCGACGATGAACTCCTGCTCTACCGTGTCTTCCTCTTCGTCCTCCTCGCCCTCTGCTTGAGACACCCTCTTAATAGCCTCAATCAGGACGCCAAGGTATCTCTCGAGATAGAACGCGAGGGTGGTCACTTCCGGCAGCTTTTCCTCGACCAGAGACTCGAACTTGCCATTGCCCTCGGTTCTGCAAAAGTCGTTGAAACTGCGAGCCGTGAAGACAGACTCAGCAGAAAGCGTCTCCCAAAAGTTCTTATCAAATGTGACGGCTTCTCTGTAATCGGGTCTACCTTCCCAGAACCCCTTCATCGCCTCGAGCGCCACGCCGTTCTCCACGCCGGAGTTCACGACGTCGATACGCTCCAGGAGCTCATGGAGACCGTCAAAGTTTGGCGGCGAAGGTTCCGCAGGCGGCGCCCCCTCCTCGGGCGGCGGAACACCAGCGCAGTCTTCGATCCAACGTTCGCGGAAAAGCCTTCCCGCAGACTTGCGAACATTTTCGTCTCTGTCACGGAGACCCCATCTGAGGAGCTTCTCTCTCATTGAGAGTGAGAGATGTCGGAAATCGCCAAGGGCGGGTAGCAGTCGCGAGTATACCGCTCTACGAGTCAGAGCATCCTGATCTCTGGCGCGTTCGAGCAAGTATGGCAGAGTGGCAGGAAGAATGGGGAGATTGACGAGAAGTGACCTTCTCACATCTGCGCTTGGGTCGTTTTGTATAACTTCCAGCAGCTTCTCGAGCAGCCCGCTGGCCTCGTCGTCCTCGCTGCCGTCTTCGTTCGCGGCCGCATCAACCTGGTTGCCAGCCAAACGTCCCAGGCCCAGAACTGCCTGTGCACGAACCATTGCCTCTTTGTCACGAATGCGCTTAAGAAGTCCGTGACGAAGTTTTTGAAAAAGATCGTCGTCGATGGCGTCGAGGGAGTTGATGATGTGAGAAATCAGCTGGGTGGATCTGTATCGAACAAACTTGTCCTTGGCTGTCATCAGAGGCAAGATCGTGCTCATGAGATAGCTGGTAAGTCTGGTGCTGGGGGTCTCGGGCATGATGCTAGCATCCTCATCGACCTCTCCAAGAATCTCGTTGTCCTTGTCGTTCGCATGTCGTAGGAAGAATCCGACAAATCGAATCGTCTTCTCCCCAACACTCTCTGCCTTCTTGATGGGCATCACTCTCAAGACACATCGGACGAACTCGGAGTTGAAGGCTTCCTCATCGAAGTCGTTTGCTGCGGATTTCTTCAAGCTGGTTGGCTCGTATGCGCAAGCTTCCTGGATCTTGCGCAACGTGACGACCAATTTGCGGTGCGATGCCGTGTTTCTTTGCGCATCGCGGAATACAGCGCATACTTGGCCGCGAAGCTCATTGTCCGGTCTTTCGGTCGGGATATCTGCGGCGAGTGATGAGGAGCGGGATGCTGTTGATGCTCGAGAGCCAAGGGTCGCTGCGGACGATTTGTGCGACACTGCCGCGGAGGTCCTCGTAGACCTAGTTGATACTCGTGCGGGCATCTTGGGGTTTGTCGTCGTGTGTTGTCGTCAGATGGCGGCGGATCAGTCGAGACCGCATGAGACACAGGAAAAGGTGTCGTTGTGAATGAAGCCAAAAAATACTGTGTTTGTTGATTAGTCTGGGTGATGACAGGCGCCCCGTTCGCGAATTGGCTGCCAACGCACAATTACAGTGGGTGACCCCCCAGCGCGTTTTTGTTTTCATCCAGTCTGTAACAGGTAAGTCAATAGACTTCCAAAACAGGTATAGCGCGGGGTCGGTCAACTTCATCCCCGCTTCCCGACTCCAAGTACCCGCACGTGGTGATAAGCTCAGAAAAAAAATCCTTATCGAAGAATTTGGCAGCAGCGAATTGCCAGCCATCTCCTACCTACCACCTTATGCAGAGGACCAAACCTCTCCACAACCTCCCACGACAATTGAGGTTTTCAGTTTGTATCTTTGTTCTTCGTTTCATTAATACCCTCTGAAACCACTGTAGTGTATCGCCCTTCTCGCTACACAACATGTCGTCTCCCGGCAAGCCGTTGAAGCGGTCACGAGCGGAGGAGGACGAGCACGATGCTCTTGTTGCAGCCGCCGTCGCAGAGAACCTCGCCGCAGACGCTGTATCGGAACCGAAAGCCAAAAAGGCCCGAACGGAAGCAAATCGCTCTCTTTTCGTTCGGTCTCTTCCTGCAACCGCCACTAGCGAATCCCTGACCGATTTCTTCTCCGAACATTTTCCTGTCAAGCATGCGACGGTCGTTCTCGACAAGGCCACCAAAGCATCCCGAGGCTACGGCTTCGTTACTTTGACAGATGCTGAAGATGCCACGGAGGCCAAGAAGAAGCTCAACAATATCCTCTGGGAGGGACGCCGCATTAAGGTCGATGTTGCCGAAGCCAGATCTCGCGACGCAAAAGAGAGTGCCGTCGGCGCGGCCGCGTCTAGCTCGAAGCAGAAGCGTGCGGAAGATCTCGAAGAGGCCAGGAAAGCCCCGAAATTGATCATTCGCAACCTTCCTTGGTCTGTCAAGTCGTCTGCGCAGCTGGGTGCACTTTTCCGCGCCTACGGAATCGTCAAGTTCGCCGATCTTCCCCAAAACAAGGGCAAGCTCAAGGGTTTCGGTTTTGTCACTCTTCGCGGCAGGAAGAATGCCGAGAAGGCCTTGGAGATGAATGGAAAGGTCATTGACGGAAGAACCATTGCTGTTGATTGGGCTGTGGGCAAGGACGAATGGGAAAAGGTCAATGGCGCCAGAGAAGATGAAAGGGAGGAGAAGCCAAAGAAGGAGCAGCAGAAGGTGGAAGAGGATGAGGAGGAACCAGCCGAAGACGAAAATTCCGGCAAGGAACTCACTGGAGCCGACGCAGATCTGGAGAACTTCATGAAAAATCACATCATGAATCTCGAGGACGAGGAGGATAACGAGGACGAGGACGAGGATGAAGATGAGGATGAGGAGCTGTCTGACGGAGATGAGGCCAACGAAGACGAGGATGAGAAGAAGCCCGTCAAGAAGCCGCAAACATCAACCGACAACACATCAACACTTTTCATCAGAAACTTGCCTTTCACCGTCACCGACGACCAATTAAAGGAGCATTTTGTCAAGTTCGGTCCCGTCAGATACGCTCGCGTCGTCATGGATCGGGCAACTGATAGACCTGCGGGTACCGGATTTGTCTGCTTCGTCAACGAGGAAGACTCAAAAGCCTGCATCAAGGGCGCGCCACGTACACAAGCCAACACCCTACCTACAAAGCACTCTGTATTGCAGGACGAATCCGCAGATCATGACGGCCGCTATACTCTGGAGGGCCGTCTGCTGCAGGTTGCTCAGGCAGTCAGCAAAGATGATGCCGAGCGTCTGGCCGCCGACGGCAGTGCGAAGAGACGGGAGAAGGACAAGCGCCGTCTGTTCCTGCTCAACGAGGGTCAGCTCGACACTAGGTCTGCTCTTTACCACAAGCTCACGCCCAACGAGGTGAAGATGAGAGAGGACAGCGCCAAGCAGCGCAAGAAGCTCGTTCAAAGCAACCCCTCGCTGCACATCAGTCTCACCCGCCTGGCTGTCCGCAACATCCCCCGCAACATTGGCGCCAAGGAGCTCAAGGAGCTGGCCCGCAAGGCCTGCGTCGAGTTCGCCACGGATGTTAAGGAAGGTAGGCGCCAGCCCCTTTCCAAAGAGGAGAAGGTCAGAGGCGCAAAGGAGGACAAGGAGGCCGAGCATGACCGTAAGCTCAAGCGCAAGGGTATTGTCCGCCAGGCCAAGATCGAGTTTGAGAGTCGTGAGGGTACCAAGGTCCCAGAGACCAGCGGTGGCAAGTCCCGCGGTTATGGTTTCATCGAGTACTCTTCCCACCGCTGGGCGCTCATGGGCCTTCGTTTCCTCAACGGCTATCAGATGGAGAACGAGCAAGGCAAGAAGCAGCGCTTGATTGTCGAGTTTGCCATCGAGAACGCCTCGGTTGTCGCTCGTCGCAGGGCCAACGAGAAGAATCTTGACCGCAACAAGCCGAATGCGCAGGCTCCCCAGACCGCGCAGACCGGAAAGAAGGGCGGCAAGTTTGACAAGAAGGACAGCAAGGAGTTGCCCAACATGGCTTCCATAAAGGACCAGAAGAAGGGAAAGAAGGGCAAGAAGGGTAACATGAACAAGGGACCCAAGGTGGAGACCGAGGAGAAGGGGGAAAAGAAGTCTGGTGATAAGGCGCCAGCGGGCAAGGTTGATCGCGAAGACGTCAAGCCGCTGCTCATTGCGAGAAAGCGATTGATGAGGAAGAAGAAGGCCTCATCCCGAGGCTAGGCTTGATCGAAATGCAATCTTGTGTTGGAAGTAATTATGGGCGGCTGTATTTAGATGTGTTATGCATCAACCAAGGATATTCAAAAGTTTCAAATTTCACTTGACAACAAAACGCATCTGCCTAGTTGTGAGCCTGCCGTTTTCATGCTCGTCGTCGCTGAAAGTGGCCTTTCTCCTCGGTGCCTACTGCAGAAAAGGTCACTAGTGATTGCGTACAGCATACGAAAACAAGGTCATGTTGAAGCAGAGTTCGTCGCACAAGTAGTGCGCGAGTTTCTTATTAACAAAGTTGTCTATATACAAGAGTCAACCAAAAACGACCCAATTTCCTACCAGACGCGCCTCAAAACGATGGACAAGTGTGTTTGCGTGAGGGATGACACCGCAGTTTCCCTATTGCAAACTTTCTCTCTACCAGGAACGCCAATATGCAATGCTTGGTGAAAAATAATGACGCCTCCCACTCCAAAGCCCATTCGAAACCAGTCCGATAGCAATCCCAAGGCCCCCCCCCCCCCCCCCCCCCCCCCCCCCCCCCCCCCCCGCCTCCCCGAATTGCTGGTCACAAACAATGCCGCTCCCGCCTCCAACACCCCTCTGCACCCACTCAGCACTCAACCCCCAGGGCCCCCCCCCCCCTTCCTCTCTCCCACCTTATGCCTCCTCTTCCGGGTCCGTGTTGGTGTCCCTCCTCTTCTTTTTCACCTTGAAAAACTCGCCCAGCGTATCACTCAGACTCCGCGGTCTCCCGGGCAGTGGTTCGCGAGAGGCGCCCTCGCCCGCCGTGCGACTGCGCTCTGCGACGCCGCCATCTTGGTCGTTTCCCCTGCTCACCAGATCCTGCCTCTCGGCGTCGGCGTCTCCGCCCTCGCTGTTGTTGTCGGGCATGAAGAGGCTGGCTCTGATGCTGGAACGCAGCCGACGCACTGACGGCCTACGTAGAAGCGGACTCTCTGCGTTCCTCAGAAGAGTGTCCTTGACGACTGCGCTCACGGTAGAGGAGAGGGGGGATGGGGAGAAGAGGGGCCCCGGATAGTTGTGGCTGTGAGGTCGGGGCGGTAGTGAAGTGCGTGGTGTGACGGGCCTGTCTGTGGGGTTCGTGGGATACCTAGGTTGAATGTGCCCGTCGTAGAAGGGTGTTGTTGGCTCTGACGGCGAGAAGCCTAAGCCGGGGAACGAGTTGACAGACTCGTCTGATATGGTCCTCGTGCCAGGCGGGGGAAGCACTTCGTCCGCCGAATTGCTCCACGGGTTAGCCAATAGTGGTTCCGCCTCGGCGCCAGTAATGTTCCCCGTTGATGCGGCTGTAGGAACGCGAAGGGATGGAATGCCGGAGTCTCGCTGAAAACTGAACGGCTTCGACCCGTTATTCGTGTTGTTTCCGTTGGAGGCCCGAGACGACCGGCGTGAGATCGACGAGGGAATGGAGGTGGACGAAGGCGGGAGCGGTTGCGTCGGGCTGTAGCCGTCTTGCTCAGCTAGGCCAATTGTCTCCTCCACGCCGTCCACATCAGATATGCCATCATCCATGTCCTCCTCAACTCGACCGCTAGTAATGAGGAACACGCCGAAGAAGGTGAGTAAGCAACCGCCAATGAATTTGGCGGCCTGCTCAACTGACGTTCTCTCAAAGTCACGGTACAGAACGGCACTGCCAACGATGACGCTGAGGGTGAAGAGGACGAATTGGATCGGGATGACCTGGGTCGAGCTGAATCTCTGGAGCGACTTGTTGACGTAGCGCACTTGCATGACTGCTGTGAAAAGCAGAATGAAGATGAGTGCCCATGCGACAGGGGTCTTGAAGGCGGCCAAGAGAGTCGACGATAATATTGAAGACAAGCCCTTGGTCGAAAGAGCTGTGAAGCCGCCTATAGGAAACAAAGGTTAGTTCGTCTTCGTCTGTACGTCCGTCGGATGCAGGAAGCACATACCAAATAGCCCTACCAGGCCCAGATCGATCAAGATAGTCCGGTGGCCATACCTCGGGCTAGCCCACATGAGGATGACAATCAACGAAATCGTCACCGCCAAGTATATTTCAAATGCCAAAGTTGTAATCGCATCCCACACATCGTCAGGGTCGAGCTTTGTCTCTTCCTGCTTGGCGCTCAAAACCACAACGACGACCCCCGCCACGGCGATGATAACACCCCCGAAGTCGCGCCGCCTGAACTTCTCATTAAACAGTATCGGCGCAATGATGCAGTTTGAAATCAGGGCGACGACGCCTAGAGGCGACACGATGGAGGCGGGCGCGAAGCCGTACGCCAAAAAGTTGCCCAGCTCGCCTAACGTGATCAGGATCTGACCGGCCCACCAGTAAGGCGACTGGAGGTACGTGGAGGGGGCCTTCTCCTCGTCGCCGGAGTAGTCGGAGCCAGCGGAGTCCTCGGATCGGAAAGATGTTCTTAGAGGCTCGGATTCGTCGGCATGGTGGTCCGCATTCTGCCCGTTCTCTTGTTGGTCTCCATCTGTATCTCCTCCTCTTCCACCTCCGCCAACGGAACCGTAAGGTCCCGTCCGACCTCCGCTCGGCGCATGCTTCAGAGCCTCTTTCGCCCTCCGCCGAACCCGGATGCGTTCACGATGAAGTCGAAGGTGGGCGTAGCGCTGGACGTTAAGGGCAAGGGCGATGAGGACGTTACCGACGATGGCGGTGATGATGCCGATGAGGGATGACCAGTTCTGCAGGTCCTTGCCATCGTCACCCGGTCGTGCTGCGGGCTCAGCGGCGACGACCGCATCAGCTACCGTCATGACGGCTGGGTGGGTTGTATATATCGAGGCGAGGTAGAATGGGACAAGTCGTATCGCGGTCGGTCGGATCACGAGCTACTTTTCGACACAGCTGGGGATTTGTTGCTAGTTAGGCGCAGGCTGGAGATGATGACGACGGCGCGAATTGAGTCGCCTATCATCCAAGCGCGACGGATGGTTGGACACGGCCAAGATGCAGTATCATCTGGACGGTGCAAATGACGAGGGAAAGGGTACCTCAAGCTCTGCAGGAAAGCAAATCGTCGTAGCCGGCCATGAGGATTTGCGTCGAGAATACGGGAATTGAAGGTAAGGTTGAAAGAATAAAAGATAGCTTAGATTGGTAAGGTACTTAGGTACTCGACTGGACTGGACTGCGATAGATGGATCAATCAAGGATTTTAGTACAGGCGTTAGAACCAGCCGCTACGGTGTACTACTACTTGGGTGACGCTCCTGCTGCCGCGACTTTCTCCTCTTCTGGGTCCGACACTCAGTTTCGACACATCGGTCGACAATACAAGCCCAACCCGACCCTGACGCGCGGGTCTGGGCATTTTGGAGCATGAAAGCACGTTCCCACATTCAATCAGAGGGGAATCAGTCCCCCGGTCAAAGAGCCCCCAAACGACGTTCCTCAAAGGAGGTCCCTGAAAGGATGAAAGACAACTACCAGTAAAAGGTGGGGCCCGGACCGATGCTATTAAATGTCAAGTGTGGCTCAGGCGACATGTGGGGGCTCCCAGGCTTTCAACATTTGCTGCTCAATGCTGTCATTTCGTAGGTAGTGAAGTGAAAGAGCTCCGAGTAACAGGGGCAGATTGCATGTGAGAAAGAGAAATGTTCCAACTTCTTTGGTGTCTCTGGGCTGGTCTCATCTGTTCGCCTGGCAGCCACGCCGGCCGACCAAGTCAAATCTAGCCACAGCTTTACCTTAAGGTAGTGTAGTGGGTAGGTACGGACTACCTTTCCTCAGGTATCCGTACTCGCCAGCGACAGTGGCTCGCTTGGAACGCAGCCGGCTGGGGCAACCGGGCCAAGCCTCGGGGTCCATCCGCGTATCCGCATTCGCCGGGGTGGATGTTCTGTGTAGATTTATCGAGGTGTCGAGTACCCCGTTTGAACGATTGCGCCTTGGCCAGTTGTCAGAGTTCGCCACTACACGTGCGTGGAGCGAGGAGCGAGCTGTGGCTTGCGCGTTACTGAACCATCCCGGGCTCCCGCCGTGCGCCGTGCCGTCACTGTGCTCTCCACCAATCCCAGGTTGTTGGGAAATTGTCGGAACTTCAGAGTCTCCGACCCAAGGTACCTATCAATCAGCTGCACACCTGTTTGCAGACCCCGCGGTTCCCCGATCGCCACTGCCGGGTGAGCTGATGTTGCCAACGCCGTCCTTTTCATCACGATTCCTTTCTCAATTTGTTCCGATAAACAGCACCTCAACTCCCATGTAGGCCTTGAGCCTTTGACTGGCATTTGAGGACAAACTGCGAACTGCTTACGACAACCGATTCCATCCGACGCGTCTCATCAACTGAGACGCTCACGCGCAAAGTCATCGACTTATAGCCCCGAAACAAATCAAACACCCATCTCATTTTAATCATGTCGGACGGCAACTCTTCGGACAACGTTTTCGTCCGCTTCAAACAGAAAGTCGACGACCACATCGCCTCGGCCTTCCAGCGAGTCCTGGGCATTCCCACGGCCGTATCACGCCTCAACAGCCAATGGCCGGAACCGCCTCCGTCATCCAGTGACAAAGAGCTTGAGCAAAGAAGAGCAGTCAACGACGACAGTACCGGCCTGCAAACCCGTATGACATCTCCGCAGTACCCGCATCCCACAGTTTTCGATCTCTTCGGCTCCATGTCATCGATCTCCGCCCTCTTTAAAGCCGAAGAAGTCACCGAGTCTCTGTACCAGCTCATGTGCTTCTCATTCATCATTGACTCGCCCTACTCGCCGTTACGACTCCGCGATCTACCGCAGCCTGCACCCCGGGACCTCCCCAATGGTGAGGATCCGACCCTATTTGGGTTTGAAGATGCGTTTGAGGATCTGCTCATGGTGAGCAGCGGTCAAGGTCTGCCAGATATTCACGAACGTGTTCGCTTCAGGAAGGAGGTCCGCGATTCGTTTCCTCAAGGGCTACCTCCCATGCTTTGGCTTCACCAGCTCACTCGCCAAGGTCTGTGGGATGGCTGGGAACCCAGGCCAGAGGTGTTGGATAGGGCCGTGAGTGAGCGTTGGCAGCGGTGGCTGCAAGAACAAAACAATCCTTTCAACGAGCAACGGCCCCATCCTCCCCGGATCGACTCGGCGTTAGACGAGACTGGGAAGCCTTTGACACACGAGAACATGGAGCAAGAATCTTTAGGTCGTCCCGAGCAGGACCACAGAGAAACGGAGGAAGATTCATATTTTTCAATCATGGGGTCAGCCCGTTTGAACACCTCACGGGAGACATCCACGTCAACGTCACCAACCCCCAGAACCCACTCTTCGACAAAGGACCTGACACCACAAGGTCTCCCCCAAGGATGGCGCGTCATCGAAAAGGTACAGGAACGCGAGGACGGCAAGGGAAACGTACACATCACCAAGACCGTCACGACCTACAATGACAGAGGTGAGGAAGTTGGTAAGCAAACGGAGAGACACTCCAACTACACTTGGTCGGCGAGCTTCTCGACCGGCGGGTACAAGAATAGGGATCAGGACCAGCAAGAGAATGACAGAGTCAACGACAAGGGCAGCTGGTTCTGGAAGTGAACCAGGATTTTTTGATTTCAGTATGCTTTCCCATCATTGTTTAAGGAGTTTCATCGGGCTGTCATCGGGCTGGGAATTTGAACGAAATCTGTGAGGAAACACTGAACAAAGGGTTTTATTTGCGTAAAAGTCGGGCAAAAATTGAACAAAATTCTACGTCAAAGAAAAGGGAAATATGTTGAGAAAACCCGCGGCAAGAAGCCTTCTCTTGGAGCGTAAGACTTCCATTTTATCAGGACTAAAATGGCTAAGTGACTCGTGCCATCGCATTTGATGTCTTTGATGGCCATTATATCCGACTGGATTCCATATAAGCTCAGGTTTTCAGAGAATCAAGCCGTAAATTGATTGCCCAATTAAGACATAACGATAATGATTCTCCGTCCTGGGAAAGCATTAGCTCATACCACTTTCACCATAAATCATCCAGGCTATCTTACTGAGAGTGATGAACGTAGATTGTGCTGGACAGGACTAGGTAGATATGTACCAGAGGTCTTGCAACAAGCTGCTCTCTGGTCACGAAGCACTATCACCCTCGAGCGAGGGAAAAAACACGCCTCGCTGCCAACTAGATTAACCATGCCAGTGGGGTCTTTCCCAGCTTTCAACTGGTTACAAACGTGGCGGGTGTACCCCTTCGTTTCTGTTGTATGAGGCTCAGAATGACTGTTTGGTGCCAAAGTTGACTCCGTCGAGGCTATCTACTCCCAGTCCTGCGCTTCACGCCTCACAAAAAGGCAGGGCACATCTCGAACTCCCAGATTACTACGTCGCCGCAACGGAAACGAGGATTCAGGCAATGAGACCTCGGTCCCAACCTCGAGGGGCAGAGGGAGAGATTGGCCATTCAGCTTAGTCGGGGCGGCCCCTTGTTCGTCTGGAACTTTCTCAATTTTAAAGAAGCTTCAAGACTGATTTTTTCGTTTGTGGACATTGTTCTCGAGGGCACTTTGCTCGTAGTCTTGTCATTATGGTTTGGTAGCTTAAAATTCCAAAGCAGTCAAAGTTTCGACAGGGCTGGAATCGAACCATTTCGAAGAGGGAGAGTCTTTCCAGGCTTCAGTATGTACTCCTCCTCCTTCCAAATATCTCATGCTCAACCCCATGCGCTTCCGGCCCTTTCCCAACTCATCGTCCCAATCTAGGCCCTCCAAGCCTAAACAGCCGGTCCGAATACTAAGTCTGCAAAACAATCCCATCTCTGTCCTCATCCTTGGCGGGAAGGAAAACGGAAAATTCAAACCCGTATTAAGCCAGACCACCGATAAGTTTCGAAAATGGGATCGGCGAGGAATCCATATGTCCCTTTTTTCCATCATCGCGATATGCAAGGGGTCATACTTTACAAGCTTCCTTCGCCGTTGTCCCGTTGTCCCTTCCACACGCCCCCCCTTTGATGAAGCCCAATCACAATGAGCAAGTTTCTAGTAAACTGTAAATGTCTGGTCCCAAAACGGCCCCTTTTGAGAACCCGAATCAACGGCACAAGTGGCACACCGGAGGCCCTCTTAGCTGCCTTGACCCCTGTCGTCCCCGAGACTCTACCGGTCCTCCCCGTGACGATCTATTGAGAAGACAAACACCTCCACTACGAAGAGACAAAGACGCTCGCGCTACACGAGGTTGAGGGTTGCCAATAATCGCAACTTCCCGCTCACAAGTTCGGTTTCGTAGTTGATGGTGTGCGAATTCCGTCATCACACCGAGGTAGTTCCAACCCAGACTAACATCATCAACCAACAAAGCTCAGGGAATACGGAAGGGGAAGAACGAAGGCGGACGGGAGGAGCGCGTCAAATTGTCAACCGGTTCATTCTAATCCTTCTCCTCCTCAACAAGGACACCACCCCCCTTCTCCCCCTAGCCACCGCTCGGCATTAGCGTACTTGACTTCCTCCGTGAGCGGCCCCCAAGCACCAAGCAGTCGAGCGGCCTAAACCAAACTCAGGTATGCCCTCGGGGGCCTGGCGACATAGGATGATGACTTGCCCGTCAGAGGGGACGCGAGAAGCTCATGTCACTGTTTGGCCTTTAACCAATGGCTTAGGGACCTCGGGTGGTGCTGCAGGTCTTTACAGCATGTGAAGACACGGCTCAGTTCACAAGTCAAGTCCTTCTAGATGCAACCTGGCTCTCTGGTCATGGAAACAGCCAATATCAAGCAGGATTTTCAGAAGGCCAGTTACAATCCTCATCCCATCGACGTGCCGCGCCGCCCCCCCCCCCCTTCCTCTCCGCAGCTCCGTCACCCCTGAAGAAGATTGCGGTATGATACCACCAACTTCAGATCCACGAGAACAGGCGAACAGACACAGTCTACTTGACAGCGGTACGCGGACCCGCGGTCTACTTTAACTTTGGTCCAGCAGCTCGTTAGCGGCAGGGTAATGCGGCGGACTCCGTTAGTCACGAGGCTACGGACGCCTTAGCAAGCCCAACGAGAAGACGTCGGCTTGAGGGGGTGGGGGGGAGGGCGCCGTTAGGAAGCCACATTCTGCGGGAAATTCCCTCTCATCTCGTCGTCCCAACTGAGCTCTGCCAGACTTGGAATGGTTCATCAGTCACTTCTCATATCGTCCAAAGTGAAGCCCGGGAGAAGTGGCGGGCAAAGAGCTAAGAGCTACAACAACACTCTGTCACTTCGCCCCGTTGGTCGACTGGCAAGGACCCGTCCTCCGGCACGAGAGTCTCGACGGGCCCTCAATCCACAAGATTGTGGGCCAATTTCCATTGCGATACTTTGCCAAAAAAAAAAAAAAAAAAAAAACACGAAGATGAGAATCCTGGACAGTCTCGATGGTGGCTTGCTCACTAGAAAAGGGCCCCCTTTCTACCCCGGCATCTCCCGCACCAAGCCAATATCCTCCGAATTTGGGGCGGACGACGATCCCTCGAATTTGGCCGAAACAGGTCGATCCTTCGCATGGGGGGACGTGAAGGGGAATAGAAGGGCACGACTGTTCCGCCCAGGCCGCGCTCCAATAGTATTCCTTGACCCCGGCGACGAACGCCGGCAGTTGCACAAGCAACAAGACGGCGTCGGCCAACGTGCAAGCTCAACAGTCTTCTCTCCCTCAACGATACACTGGCTTCTTCATCGTCTGTGCGGGCCCGTATGCTGGCAGTCAGTCAGTCAGTCAGTGTGCCTACAAGCGGGTTTTGGGCATCAAGCTCGTCCCGGGACAATACGATTTGCCAGCACCAACGGGCCGGATGCGCACGGCCAGAGTTCGGGCAGTCAAGGGTGTCCGGGGGGCTGGAAGAGTCGGAGATCTCGTTGGTCGTATCCGACAAGCATGGCCCCAAGCAAGAGTGATATTGAATGAAATCAGATATCAAGATGACTCTGCAGGTCACTGCTCGACCCCATCACATTGATTGCGTGTAGTTATCCGTACGAATACGCTCAACCGCTCTCGCATCGGATTTGCTTTGGCGGCGTCCATAGGACAACCCAGGGAACAACGTTGGTTGCGTCGGGTCCAGATCAGGCGGTTTCGTTTCCCGCCTATCTGGAACACCAAACGCAGAGGTGAGGTATCATGAAGGCAGCATGTGAGACCAGAGAGACGAAAATCTGTCGTGGCTGGCTCGACCAGCGTCTGTCTTGACTTTCAACCTCATGGTCTGGCCCAGTCTGTCGACGAACGTGGTGGTTGCCCAAGCACAGTCGAGGACTGGCTGTGCTACTCTATTGACAAACTCGAGTCTGAGCGCTGGGCGGAGAAGAGTTTTCTCTCCATCCCACGGGCCACGGCTATCTCCTTCATATTTTCTGCTGATCACTACCGTCCGAGCGTTAGCGGGAGAAAGTTTGACAGGACTGCCTCTAGGCAACGTCACGCGCTGGTCTGTTGGAGATTGACAAAGAAACTCTGGGTTGTGCCTAGCTCGTTCGATGGACCATCCGAAAGGTGGGCGTTCGAGGCCATCAAGCCGCTCCCGGGACTGACGGCTTTGGGCCCGGAGGATACCCGGTTTGTTTGAAGCGTCGATGGGCCGGGAAATTCTTCCCAGGAACAAGACGATACCTTGGTTTCGTCGTCGTCGCATCGCTTACACGCTGCGTAGGCGATGTCTCCAACATCTGCACTCGATACGTCGGTAGTGTGTATATATGCCCTCTGTATAAGAAGAAAAAGGTGCGTATGCGTCGAGGCGATGAAACTCCAACGGGACAGTGGAACAGTGTGGGAAAGTTCGAGAGATGGATAAAGAAAGCGATAGGTGAAGCGCTATAATAGAAAAGCTACTATTGCAGTTGTGGACTCCCGAGAGCATGGGCAGAACTCTGGGTCCAAGTAACGCGGAGTTTGACAGGGAACATCGTTCGACCCCGTGATGCTACTTCAACGGTCGTTTGTTTCTGGAGAGGGATGGCTTGCCGGGCAGGGCCTCTCAACGCTCAACTAAGCAGAGCAGATGAAACGACGGTCCATTCTGGAGAGCTGGTCCGCCTGCCATCCAGTGGCAGCATGGACCCGGAGTTCTATCTGCTCAAGAGCGATATAGTGGATGTAGTCGGACACAGCAACACACGAACGAGACTGCAGACGGCACATGGGGAGCCGGCGCCGATTATGATTAAGCTATCGGGATTCTCCCTGCTCGGGGATGCGGTCGTACTGCCATTGAAACTCTAGATCGATGACACGATCCCTTATACTCTCCATGTAATGTTAGTGTACCTGTAACATCTCCACCCTTTGCGATAAGATCGGCCGTATTTCGAACGCGGCAGTCGAAGGAAAGTTAGTCACGGTTGGGTAATCCGAGGGCGGCGCTGCTGAGGCATGGGGGGGTGAGAAGTGAGCTGGTGACTGTGGCGTGATGAAGGAAGCATATTGGGAGTTGAGGAGCTGGGGAGATTGGAGTGACGGCACAACCAGTCGAGAGTCCAAGCCCTCTGCCAGAATGATGGCGAACCAGGAACACTAAAGGCGAGCGGTTGCTGCCTCGATCAAGAAACTTCATCCACACACACACACACACACACACACACACATGCACAGTAGGAGGGGCGCCATCAGGCCCCAACGAAATGCTGAGGCACAGACTTGGGTTGGTGTGCCTATTTCTCGGCGATTGTCTGTGACGATTTACCGTAGATAAAAGTTTGGCCCTTTTGCGACATGGTCATGCATGCACGACGTAGGCCGCGAAAATAGGCCATCTGGCCTTCTCTGGGGCTTCCATGTAAGCGTCGCGGGACCTTGCAGACTCGCAAGGCCGATCAGCGCTTCTTTGAGAGCATCGGCAGCACGCAGCTAGCAGTTGGACCGTCACACCGACTGACGAATCTGTTGTTAGACTGACGAATCTGTTGTTAGCCCAAGGTATGCTGGTTCCACGATGCACGAATCCTCGATGCCTCGCTGTGGCACAGTGCAGGGTTTATGTATCCTGGCGAATCCTCCAGGGTAGGCGGGGGTTGGAAGTTGGGTTGTAAAAGGTCGGCCATTAATAATCGCCGGTCCTCAGCAGAGGCTCTGTCGAGACACACCACAGCCGTTCGATTCCCGCGTTGAAGGAAGAAGAGAGTGGTCGGGCTGAGGTGGCCCGCCGCCCACCGCTCGCGTCGTGTGGAGCAATTTCAGTGGTCCTCCCGACCGACCGCTCATTGCCTTCCTTACCCTGCCTACCATGTAAGGTACCTTAGGGAAGCAAAGATGACAATTGCGGAAAAACCGCGGCGAATTGCAACCAACGCGACGCTGCACTCGTGGCGATCGATGGTGCTCCAACTGGCGCCTCGGGTCTAGAAAAGAGAAATACCTTCGTGTTGGCGCCTCTCCGGGGGCATAGGCGTGCTGTCGAGAAAGCGACAGTCGGTCGGCCCCTTGAAGATTGGTCCCTTGAAAGAGGATTTTGAAGACGTTGCTGCAGGCATATGTTCCCCGGGATCCAATCCTTCTCCGCATTCAAGGCCATACAGAGTACACCAAGACAGCCTATTCCGGATTTTGCTCGACGTGCATGGACGGCGCCAGCAATATTAAAAAAAAAAGTCTGCTTTTCGGTTACCAGTTTCTTTGCTACGCCCGAGATCTGGGATTGGAGCATCGGCCGATTTGCCTTCTCAGTGTCTCTTCAGCATCGTGTCATTATTCCTCTCTATGCTACGTCCCGTGTCCTTCGGACTGATCATTCAGTCTGATAGGAATCGTTGATCGTTGGGGAACCTGTGCGGATATCCGTGACGTTGAGTGCCGCGTCCGCTGTCCGCGGAAAGACGACTAATAACGACATGCACACTGCTGACGCTAGCTCACGAACGACGAAGTCGGAATCGGCCATCCTGGCCAACATTCCCAGAGACGAATCCTGAGAGGTAGAATGGACGAACGAGGCAACGCCCAACAACGTCTCGGGGCTTGTGTTCTGGAACTGACGGCATTGCAGTCGCCAAGGGTCAAACCGCGAGCCGCCTACCTACAGATGGAGTTGACTTTACCCGAGTGAGCGCTGAAGCAGTGAATATAGCTTTCTTTCCCAATGTCATCGGCCGAGGTGTCCGCAAGCTGCATTGGAAGCCTGGCGTCTGTCATGTATGGTTTGATGGAGAGCTGCACCTGGTATTCTACCACCCAACTGGTCTGGGACGCGTCCCTCCAACACGACATATCCAATTTCCCGGCCGCAGGGCAAAGGCTCTTGGATGTCCTGCGAGGCAGCAGGCGGGAGGATCAGCATAGCGAGAGATGTGTCAAGATGAGCGAATAGCAGCAAAGGTGGCGGCGGGTTGATCATGATGCCAATAAGAGGTCCTCATATCGGTCAGAAATAAATAACCCAGAGTTGGGTGGCCATGGAGATGGAGGGCGACGCGTGCGAATGATGGCTGGCTTTCCTGTCGTTTAGGTCATTGTTGATGGACTGGAATGAGCTTGGTAGTGAAGCTTGGTCGTGCCGAGTTTTCTTTAGTAGCAACTTAAAGGCGGCAGGGTGGGTAAAATACCTCAGAGTTGTTCCATCCATCCGGCGTCCAAAACGCGCTCATCGCGTGTCGTGATAGTTGACTGGTCCATTTCTGAATCCCACCAACTGTACGGAGGTAGAAAGCCTGGCTTCGCTTGACTCTCGCTAAAGGAACCTTCGCGCTCGCCTTGCAAAACGTCATGAACCTTATTGTTTCCAATTCTATCCTAGACCCTGGGCGGCTCGTCGACTTGCGGTGACATAGATTGCCACAAGAAATAGAGGGAGTGTTGCGTCAAGTAGAGAGCGGATAGGAGAAACGCCACGACTGACAACCGAGAGCATTTCAACCGTATCCGTACTGTACAGAGTTACAGTAGTCTTTTGCTGACAGCTTAGAGCAGCCTACATAGTACAGGCTATCCCGTACCGTGCGTTCGGTTGAGAAGTTGAGTAGCCAAAAAGAGACAAGGCAAGATGGTGCTGGAGGGGCGGGAGAGGGCGCCGTCTACTGCAGAACATGCTTGACGTCCAACGGTTGCAACGTTGACATGGCCAGTCCCGTTTCTTGAGTGGCAGACTTGCTCACACTGCCACAGTGCATTGAATTCCATAGCACCAGCCCACCCTTCTTGCCCGCGTCGCCCCAATCGAGGGGTCCGACATTCGAGCCAATGGTGGCCTGCCGTAGTATTTGGTGATATAGATGCCGGACTTGGCTCAACCTCTCAAGGAAAAGGGTCGCTTGCGAGAACCAGGGAGCTGTCTGACAGGCACAGGGACAGGCACATGCGCAAGCACAAGGGTTGGCGGGCCCCAACGTCGGGGAGCTTTCCATTGGAACCTTGGCCCGCCAAGGGAATGAGGATGAGGAGGATGCCGTTGCAGTTGTTCTGGGGTAAATGGACCTGTTTCTCTTCTGATTCGGGTGACTCGTCGTCCCGCTGTGATCCCAAAGTCCTACTCGTTATGGTAAGCTGCGACAGCCTTGACAATGGATGTGGAAGCCAGTCAAGAAGTTTGACAACCTCGAATTGTGGTGGACAACCAAGGCTCGCTCTCGGTATCTCCACTACCCACAGCCGTCCGCCATCGGCGCTCTGAAGGAAAGGCGCGGGAATCTCTCTGACGCTGCAATTCTGATTACTGAAATGGTTCTGTGCCATCCCAGCTCCCAGGTTCCGATTTGCAGCCTTGGGCCGAAGAGAGAGCCATAGCCTAGGCCTAGAACTCCGTGACCCAGAGATATCGCCGATTACCCCACCTCAGCCAACCGCCGCCTCTGCCGCCTTGGACTCGAGTCGAGTGTCGATAGTCGTGCTATGAGTTTGTGCCTGTGGACTCTGGCTGCTGTGGATTGAACAGAACCCCTGGTTGGGTCAAGTGGGCCGGACCATGGACTCATGGGCTCATGGAGTTCAGGGCATTTGCAGTTCGTCTCCATTCCCACCTTTGACTGCGTGCCTGCGGCCAGTGTCGCACTGTTGTGGGCTAAACTCGGGGTCGGTGGTGCTGCCGTGTGCTTGCTACAGCAGTTTACTTGGTACTAAGTATGTAGGTCTGAGTGCAGATGTGGAGACATGCGCTAGATCGAACTGGGACTCGTGGGAGGGAACGGTGTGGAGCCCCGGCTACCCTACGCAACGGCGGAAGGAGAGAGAACGGCAAGCACAGGCTGCTGGCAATGGAACTTGCAAGACACGCAAGTTGCGCCAGCCCGCCTTCCTCGACTCGACAAGCTCAATACGGATACACGTATCCGTGCCTAGGTACTGACAGGCACAGGCAGGACCACGCAAGGATATGCCATAAGGTAAGCTGGACATGCCTTCCTTGTGGCCCTCTCTGTCTCTCTGTTCACCTTCCCCGCCTTCAATGTGTCCTTACCACGCAATGGGTTTTGCTTTCCCGGACTGCGATGTTTCCCTTGTGTCCGTCGTCCTTCCGGAAACGACCACTTGCACCGACCAGTCAGAGTCATGGCCGGAGCCAGAGCCGGAGCGGAAGGCCATAATCAGATTGCCAGCTGCCGATCCGATAGAGCTGCGAAGCCTGCGATACCTAAGGAGGGGCACCTACGTGCCTGCCTACTACGTACACCTGACTAAGGTAAGGGTAGATAATGTCAGGTACGGATAGAGAAGGGGGAGGAGGAAAGAAAAACAAAAACGGCAGCAGCAATACGAGTACCTAGTCACACTCCCAGTGACAGAGAGTTCATCTCATTCTCAATTTCACGACTCCATAGCTGTCGTCCCTACTTCGTGCCTACCTATACTACGGATACTCCGTCCTTACCTTACAAAATGAATGGCAACCCTCTCAGGTACCGAGTCCCGCCTGCATCCCCCGGTCAGTTGCCATTTGCCAAATTCTACTCACTTTGCCCGGAAAGAATGCAATTTACCAGACAGCTGCCAGACAGGCCTGCCATGACATGCAATCCGACCGTCTGGAAATGTTCATCTCGTTTCTCCAATTCGCCCCCTTATCCCTCCATCACTGGACTCTGTCTGGTAAGCCCAATGGCAATCAATTCCCCAATCAGAATGCCTCATTACAACGGCACTGCCAACCCATAACACGACGCTCAGAATCAGTCTGCAGCAATTTTGAGTTCCCAATTCGACCCTCACCTGGCGGCAATCTTCCCAGGATACGGGATCCCACCAAAGCAGCCGCATATCTTGTCCCGAACTGAGGAATGAAGGCTCTCTTCACTTGTCGATACGCTACATCCCCGGAACCCTGGATTTCCTTCCCGTTCTCTCGGCCAATCCTGGTGGCCTCGTCTTCAGCCCGCTGCCCGCCTATACTATGTGGAAAATGACTGGGATCTTGGTCCTCTTCTCTTTCCAAAAGAGAGCACACCGCGTACGGTCATCTGTGGGCCACTGCACATTGCATCGCCCAGTTGCGTATAGCAGCCAAGGTACGTAATAAGGGCCTAGCAAACTTTCTTTCTCACCGGCTGGAAAGCCCCGTTCTGCAGAACCCAAGGTAGCAGTGGCCAGTAGCACCTTTCGGGCTCCGCAGAACCTGACTACCGCCAGTCCGGCCATCGCCAGTATCAGAAAGCCAGAACCCAATCGAAGCCACTTCCATCACTTTGCGCCTTTGGGACCTTGCCAGCCATGCCCATTGGATATCAAACCCGCACCTAATCCACTGCCCCTGCAGATGGCCTCGGCTTCGCTTGGCGGGCTTCACTACCATGTGCGCTTGCTTCGCTCTGCCGCACTGCTGCACCGTGCCGTCCCCGTCGCCGTCCCCCTTCGCCTCGAAAATGGGACTGGCGTACGTCCGTACCTACGCAGCTCTGGATATGCTGTCTTACTCGCCCTCGGTCCCGCGTTACGTATCCGCCATACTGCCAGACGGGACTTGGAAGCTGACCTGAATTGATATGCGAATTACGAAGCAGCATACGTACAGAGATCTACCCTGCACATCTCGCAGCCACAATCATGGATACCATCTGTACTGGTCCGCCATACGAGCTGTGAAAGAGCTCCTTCAGCCCACTAACACTACGTACACCATCCCCGGCCCCCGCCTGTCTAGTTAAGCCCGCCGCTTTGCTTCTCCATCGCTTCAACCTTCAACGAATAGGCAGCCGTCCCGCCTCTGTGGGACAGTGGAAACAGGAAAGGAAAAAAAAAAAAAAGGGCGCCGGCGCCGTCTGTGCGTTGGGTGTATGCAGGCACGCAACTCTGGTCTGCCTTCAGCAAACGCTCAATGAGTTGCCCAGCAAGGAAAATCGAGGGAAAGAAAAAGGCGCATTCTCGGATCACGTTCTGGGTAGCCAATGCCCGTCGAGAGTTCTGACGAGCTTTGGCAATACCCGGCGCCCGCAATGGGGAAGACACGAGCAACAAATGCAAGAGCTGACAGCATGGGGGGGAATAGAGGGTCCCAAAGCTCGGCTTGCTCTCGACTCAGTCCCTCATGGGATGTATCCGTATGCTCGACGGAATGCAAGACCCGGTCGGCGGGCTCGGAAATACCTAGCTTGCCGTTCACTTTACTCGGGCTACGGAAACTACTCTTCTCGACTGTGCGAAACTGTTGCTCACTCACTTTGCGCAGGCTTACGTGCTAGCGTATTCCGTATTGTGTATGTGAACTCTAGCTTTCCGCATATTTGGGCTTGTAGCTTGACAACACAATTCACATCATCTTGCAGCATGGTTTGAATTCCGGACCACCACTGCAACGGTCCTTCCTTTTTTCTTCTTGGTCGTTGCAAGTCGTCTCTCAATCCAAGCCAAGGCCAACCCCGCTGTCGTCATTTTCCCGTTTCCCGCCTCAAAGATGACATTTTTGACAAAAGGCCCTGTTCGGCCGACCTTACTATCTGGGAGATGGGTCACGCGTGGAGCACAAAATGTGTGTGATAGGGAATAATATCTGGATATCATTATGGCAGACATGCACCAGCTCCGGGGCCCCCGTGGAGCAAATGTGGCTGCTCATATTCAAGCCCCAGCTGGACCTAGCCCTGAGCTGGCTTGCCCTGGGCAAGGCTCGGCGTCGCCTTGCCTTGCCTTGTCCCATGGTACCCTCCCTGGCTGGTTTCTTCCGTCTACTTTGTACTGGCGTTTGGGCAACCTGGCTCGAACAGGGTCTGACGGGGAATTCCAGAACCGACCGACCGACAAATATCGACAGGGCAGAAGAGCTTACGAGAGAGAGCTTGTCAGTCGAGCTTGCCCTTCCTGCGCCTGGGAGCGCCAATCAATCGTGGATCTGAGGCTAGGGGTATCGGCCTTCGGGGGACGGGGAGTCTGGCACGCGGGCGAGGACGAGGCATGCCCGTCCCTTCGCACCCACCGATCGACCGCACTGCCATAATGCCAACAACGGTCGTTGTCTCAAGCTACGTAGAATGACTGGGCTGTCCCAGAGCCCCCATAACCACCGCAAACCTAACGGTCAGGTCAACGTCGGTCTTGACACTTGAGACACTCAGTTGTACAGCATTGACTATAGAGGCCGGGGGGCTGGCTCCGTCACGAGCTTGACCGCTTCGTTTCTCATACGCCGGACGGCGCCCTGCATCTGCCCGATTTCCAACCGATTTACTATTACCTGGATGGCGGATGCCGGATGATGGTGCACGGCAGCCCTCGGCACCTCGCAGCCTTGTCCAGGGATGGCCTCTCGCGCACGAAGAAGCAATACCGTACGGCCGGCAACCTGCAAAGCCCACAATTGCGTGGTCCCTTGTTCGCCCAGTCCACTCCAGTCTCCAGAGTCCAAGGACCCAGGCCTTTTCGCTATTCATGACACTGGGAAAGTCCTCTGGCGGGGACCACAGCCTTCTGGTAGTCGTCGATCATGATCTGTCATAAACTGGATCTAGCGCCGCTCAACGCGCTTTGGAAATCTTCAAACGCCTCATACAGATGAGTATCCACGGGCTAGCCACGTCAATGAGAAATAAGAAAATCAAATTTGTGCCATATCCCGCGGGTCTCGACTGCTTCCATACCTGACATCAACGACTTGCTGCTGTGTGGAGCTATTGCATGCAACTCACATCATCTTTGCATCGATACGAAATCAGCCTGGCAAGGAGCCATGCAGCGCAAAGAGACGCCGTGCTAGGCCGGCCAATTTGTTGGCTGGGCCCTCGGTAATCTTGCCAGAAATAGAAGCATCAGCAACAAATCCGTCGTCCTCTCAGTGCTGCTCGACGACGTACCACCATATTGGTGTACTTCCCTGGCGTATTGCAACATCTACATCCCGTGAGTACGCGTTGGCCAAAGCTCTCGAACCTCATGGCCACCTTAGATACCAAAGTTCAGACGAAAGCGATCAGCAATATTTGTTTTGGCTGAAGTAGGGATCCGAAGAGCGTCAGAGCTGCGGCCAGGGCATGGGTTGAAACAGGTGCTCAATAGAACTTCTATCCGTCCATCTCGACGCACGACTCAAGAACCTTATTCTGTCCCTGGTAGGCCGATCAAATGTTTGGCCAGTTCGGATGAAACTGGTCAAATTTTCAACATGTCAGGGTTTGAACGGTTCACCACCCATGAAATCAACTCGATCGAGGGTGTGTTGAGTTCGCTGGGCAGCTTGCCGTTACTGAAAGATGCAAGCTCGGCGGCCCATGGAGTTTGCTCGCCGTTTTCGAGCCTCTGAGATTGGTACGAATATCAATCAGAGGGCTTCGGAATAAAAGGCGGGACCTCGTTGGTAGAGAGATCAGCCTGTCCTCAGCAATCTCACCACAAACATGCGAGCGGTTTTTGCAAGCAACGCATTGAGAAATGGTTTGCTAGCTTTTGGCCAGGATTACCCTGTTCCAACCAACCAGACAGGCGGTAGTGCACAATCACGCAGATACACCTATACCACGCGCGCGTATCCGTACATGCATGGTAAGGTCCTGGTGGCTGCTGTGAATAGTGCATAGGAGCTGGTATCACAACATACAGAAGCGACACTATCCGTAGAAATATTGAAACTCTCTCGGCTGTTGAGTATTCCGCCGCCGTCGCCACATGATGGCTTCCTAGGCCAACCGCCAACCACCACCTGTCGTGACGACGGCCTGAAGTTGGGGACAAAATCGGTTCTGAGACCATCTGCTCATTGACCAACCACTAGCTTCAGGGGTAATCCTTTCAGTTTCGCGTACACCACATTGGTCCAAGATCAGTGTTGAAGAAAACAGGCGTGAGAGAAGTAGATGATAAGGAAAGGAAGAAGCAAGACTCTGGATAAACGCGTCACGTTAAACACGGCAACAAGAGTGACAATCCGATCCGCTCACTGAAAAGTATGGAAGTCTTCCAGACTTCCGCGCGGTGGACCTCGAAGGCGAAGCAAGCATCATGGCAAACTGCAACTAGAAACTTTGGTCAGTGGCCAGTCCACATACCACACTAGTGACTGACTACGCATCGTTTCTCTGTCACCGAGGAAGCTTTTGTATCGGAGCGCCATGCTTGCAACGTTATTGTACGTCGAGGCAAACGACCATCGACGACACGGCAAATTGGCGCCATTGACAAGAACATGTACGGCACGCACAGTGCATGACGGTCACCAGCTGGCATTTTTGACGCGCTCGATTTGTAGCTTTTTTCCAATCTACACTTGGCGCCATGCAGATGGTTGGGTGCATTGAAGTCTCATTTCCCTCCTTCATTTGGCGTTCCGGCTGAATCCAGGCCGTCTTCTTTCTCTTGCAGAGTGGAATAATCTCATCTACAATCATCCACTCGCCCATTTTCGTACTTTGGAAAGGCTTTTCCCATGCCCTTACATCCCCACCTGTCGCAGGAAGTCAGGCAGTCCTGGGGCTGCGAGACCTTGACCAGTCGCCAACCGCTTTGGCGGAATCTCATGGCCCAACAATCCTATCAGCGCATCAAAATTCACGGCGGCCGGAGTCTAAATATGACCGCAGTAAGGCAAGGATACGGATGCATTATTTGTCTATCCCGACTGACTGATCAGATACCGCTCAAGCGTCTGTCGGCCGGCTTTGGTCTCCAAAAAACCTTGCCGACCATATGCACGACTTCAGCCTGCTGATCGCGATATTTGCTGCTACTATCATTGCATATCCGTTCATACGCTCTACCTTTCATCCAATGAATTTAGGCACGCGACAGGGAAGCGACGCAAACGGCTGCTATGCAGTGCATTGTACGTGACCGGTATGTCTGCAGGTTGCAAGCCAAGTCTCAAGACTCGGGAAGAAGGATAATCAACACGGGGAGGGGGGGGTTCCCCCGGCCAGCATCACCCGGGCCGTCTGTGGCCAATCTGCTTAGGACCGCCGCATCCTGCATGCCGCCGCCGAACTCTCGCTGCCCAGGTTGTTGCTGTTGTCGTTGGTAGTGGTTGTGCCTAGTGCGTGGTGCGTGGTGCGTGGTGCGCGGTGCGTGGTGCTGCTGCTACCATCAACACTGGACTGCTTGCTTCTTTGCTTGCTGCTGTCCTGTCTCCTCTCTGCTCTCTTCAGACCACCAGATGTAGCTCGCTTCATGGGTGCGTGAGAGAGTTCGTTTGTACCCTACCTTACACCCACCCACCCACATCGGCCGACAGCCCCCCTCAATCCTCAGAGCAAGGCATCCTGGGCGACGGCACCACACCCCCGGCAGCACCTCCAGAGCCAGATCCCTCCATCCCCCCCCTAACCCCTTGTCCGCATCCTGGAAGAGGGGACAGACGGGGGGAGGGGGTAAGAGCTGCTGCGGCGTTGCATTCTAGGACTAGACTCTGCCAGAGACTGAGCATCGCACAGAGCAAGGTTGTGACGGGGTGCCGCTGGCATACCCCCGGTCTCTGGAGACTGGCCCTCCTCTCTGGTCTGGTCCATATCCATCTGCGTTGCGCGCCCAAAAAACGCATTGAAAACAGCACCATCTGAAATATATTACAGTCCCAAGCGCTTCCCCCACATTCTAGCTGGTTTCTTATCACCTGTCGCTCTCTCAGGACGAACAAAAGGACGCTGGACGGTTGATGCTGGTTGCTGGTTTCTTGTTGCGCGCGCGCTCATCCCTCCTTCTCGGCTCTCCTCGCTCTGTCTATCATTCAAACTTTTCCTACTCGGCGCAACGTAACGCAACGCCCACGAAATACATACCACAACCCAATCTATTACACAGACCACTCACTCACACACACTCACACACACGCAACTCGTATTCCCTCATAACATCTTCGATCCCAACCAGGACAAGATTCAGGTCCAGAGCGGCCCAGTTTTCTAAAAAAGTAACCTGGGAAAAAAACCATCAGCAGCAACGAAGAAGCCTCGACTTGCTCCAACCCTGTTCATAACACGCTGGAGAAGAAGGGGGATCCCTTGAGAGGGGGCGCGCCTGGCTTGACGTCGCCCTCTGCATTAAGTCGAAAACAAGATGTGGGCTACCGCTCCACAGCCGTACTACTCGGCCTACAAGCCAACCGGAAGGAAAGAGAGGGCAAGCATCAGCAACAAAGGTGGCACATCGCCGTCTGCTGTCAGCATCTCGCAACTTCCCCTCCCTCGTCTCTCAACCCAAGATCATCCCGACAACATCACAGATTTGTTCGAGCCTGCTCTTGATGGACCGCCTTCACCGGAAAGGATTCGTGCCTTGAGCAAGCAGATGCAGAGGGCCTCGGCCTTGGACAAACACCAGAGCCACGCCACCACCTCCTCTGGCTCGACGTCCTCGCTGCGCTCACTCAACTCGGACCGATCGTGGGAACACACCCTGGAAACCATCACTCTGTCTAGACGTTCTTCTGGCCGGTCAACTTCGAGCAGCATGCCTTCCAGAGACCGCCCCGAGAGCGTGCAGCTCTTTGGTAAAACCATTTTCAACCGGAGGGCCAAAATGAAGCGGGAAAGCAGTGGTAACCACAGTTCCTCTGGGAGTTCTCTTTACTCTGGTGAGCTTGCCCTGGATGGCCCGGCCTCGACAAACAAGGACCATTTCATCCCATCAATCTTCAGCCGCCGCAGAACTCTAAGACAAGACGGCTTAGGTGAAGACCCAGTCCCGGGACGCAAGTTGCAAATATCGGGCCCTTACAACTTCCAACATGTTACCCACACCAAGCGGGATCACCTACCGGACCTTCAGCGGGGCAGCCGCGCCGAATTGGTCTCCGAATTCTCAGCCATCCGCGCTGGCCAACGCCCGACCACCGGCCAGCTCAAGGGAATCAACGTCGAAGATTTGCACTTTTCCAACTTTTCATCCGAAGCGTTGCACATGCAGCAGGAGAACGCGTTGACGTCCGAAAACCAGCCAGACCTCTTTTCGAATCGCCCACCTGCCATCGCCCGGCATACAGGCCCGACTTCTGCGCCTCAACGATTGGTCAAGCACACACGATCTCAAGAACAACTCCGGTCGAGCCCGCCGCGCCCAGCACCTCCACGGCCGCCGCGGTCGCCCATTTATGAGGAGATTGTCTCACCAACACTGCCTGGCTCGCCTGTTTCTGTTCCTGCTCCTGTTCCTCCTCCAAGATCGTCGAGCCGCATCATGAAGCATTACACCGTTTCACAAGACTCACTCGCGACTATTGACATGTTCCCAGAGCGCCCCCAGACCAGCAGCGGTTTCCACTTGCCTGGTACTCTCGAGGCGCCGATCGAATTCGCCGAACCTACCATTTCGGAAGAAACAGAAGCTTTTACGGATCCGAGATTCTCTCACGCAATCACCACCCCTGACGATGCTGCGTGGCCACTTACAGCCAGTTCCACCGTCACTTATGAGATGGCATTGCCTGATGTGCCTGAAGAAGAGGAGCAATTTGTTTTGTCTCGGCAGTCTGGTAGTAGCTTGGCCAGCATTCGTTCGTCGCTTCGCGGAAGCCAGTCCGTGCCTGCTCTGCGTCAGGTCGTGCCTCAAACGCCAGAGGACGAGTCTCGACGGCCATCAAGCGGCGCATCGGACACGCTTGGCAGCGTCGACATGCTTGCCGCGCATAACGCTCTCAAGGAAGCTTTGGAGGTTGAGGGGCCGACTGCAGTTTCTCACCGAGCCAGCTGGGAGGACGACATCGACTACTGCTACGAGCACGAAGCTGAAGCTGATTGCGACTACGCATGGGACCGGCCGTCATTGGATCTCGTGAGGGACGACGCCGTACATACTCCCTTCGACAACGACGGCATCTTTGTGGCGCCGCTGTCAGCTGGTCTGAAGCCAGCATCGACAACGGGACACTCGGATATCCCAGCCCTCAGCCCCGTCAGCCAGACTTCCGTAAGTCAGACTTCCGTCAACGGCCACGAAGCGATCACGCCTACCATCACAGCGCTGCCAGTGAAGTCCAACTTCTCTCATCCCAGGAAGGAGACAAATTATCGAGGCACCTCCCATCTCCACGTGCGAACAGCATCGCGCGCCTCGAGCTTCAAGGAATCCCACGGCTTCAACCTCTCGCCCTCTCTTCTTATTCCAACGGACTTCCGCCAGCAAATGTTGGCAGACTCGGATATAGACGTCTACCCCATGGATGTATCGAGACATGACACTAGCCACTTCGCCTTTGACGAGGAGCCTGTCCTCACGATTGAAACCCCTGGACTGTTTGCCAGAGACCGTGCCAGCACCTCCACCACCGGCAGCGACTCCTCGAGCCAAACTAGCCTGACTGAGGCTCGCCATACATCGACCAACTCGACATGGACGGCGCTCACCAGGTACACGGGAAGCACGACTTTTGAGGGATGGAACCCCAAGTTTGAGGGCAGCGACCACTCGCGCTCCTTCAGCGTCGACGAATTTGCGGAGCTAGGATCCCCCAAAGGACGAAAGTCCACCATGACCCCGCTGCCCGAGTCTGAGGAGGTTCTGACCATGTCGCGTTCTACGGGCGATATCCGCGCCATCTCTGGATGTCTTGACGCCAGCATGTCCCAGGACTCTCTCCCGCTTGCCAAGATGAAGGAGCCGGTCAAGCAACACCGACGCCAACGTGCGCAGACACTCAGCGCACCGCCCCCACCTGGGCAGTACGCCCTTTTCCCGCCAATCTATGCCAGCGGCCGCGTCTGAACGACTGCTCGCCTCCCTCTGGACATCTCGAACCCACAACACCAAATCACGATCTCACATCACATCTCATGTATCTTGTTCCATAGACATGCGCGCGCTCGCATGTTCCCTCTCACCCTCGGCAGAGCGACGTACTACACACTACCAACCCCCTACATCTCATTGTTTGTTTCTCGACATATCACGGCGTTTCAAGACGGTCGTGATTTGTATAGACTTTCTTGGTATATCTTGGAGGAGTTTCACCTGCGCTCTCATCATTTCATTCACACATAGAACAAAATCCGGCTTGGTCATTCCGATCTCGACCACCAACTACCACTCGCTCAACACACTCACACGCCCGCTCGCGCAACGCACACACGAACAACTTTTCTTTATCTCTACAATCCGCTTCGAATGGGCGACACGACTCATACAGCCGCACTTCCACAAGTGACTAACTCTACTATTACTACCACCACCACCACCACCACCACCACCACCAACACTACCAGCAATACCCGCTGGTACTGATACTGTTATTTTGTTGTACAAAAAAAAAAAGGGCGCGAGCACTAAACCTACCAGCCGGAATTTACCTCCGCGGGGGTATGATTTGATGGATTATGACAACCTTTTTTCCAGGAAAAGGCAATGGAACAGAAAAGCAAAAAACACTTGTAAAAAATATCGGGAGGAAAGGGGGAATTTTCCTCGGTGCAGACTACAAAAGGAGCACCAAGGGGGGATTATGCATCTGTGCGATCACGAGGGGATTACTTGCGTCCCTTGGGGCCTCTTGGAGAGGCGGAGGACGGCGCGGAGGAGAGAGGAGAGAGAGAGGAAGCCCCCCCAGCTTTGGAGCTTGAGTTTTGGGGGGCTGGGCTTAAAAAAAAAGGAGGTGGTACTATTTCATCGCGGTTCGGAAGCATCTTTGTCGCTGCCGAACAAGATTCAACCAAAAAAGAGACTCCATTACTTGGTCCCATGATCCTGCTGCTATCGAATCCTGATTCCCTCAAGACTCTGTGATGAATATGTGCCGAGGACCGTCTCCGTAGCGTCGTAGCGTCGTGTATTTGCGTGGAAACATCAACTTTTGTTGTTTGCTATATGACCAGCTACCTACCTACCTTGCGTACGGCATTAAGGTGGCAAGAGGCGGGGTTTGAGAATAGGTAGCAACAACAACACACACCTCAACCGGTTCACACGATTACCTGTTGTGCCGAGGGTTTTTGTTTTGTTTTGTCCCCCATTCCCCCCCCCCCCCTCTTCTCTATTGACTTTTGAGGCATAAAAGTGACACAGCCCGAGATGCATGCACTCTTGCAACCACCAGGTCGGGTACGGCAGAGATGCTAGTCGAGCGTGTATCATGCAAATCGGAAAAGCTAAGGAAGCTGAGGTAGGTAGGTAAGTACCTTGGGTATCTCGACGAGGAGGCGAATGAGGAGGAGGATGAAGGGAACCGCTGGGTCTAGACTTTTTTTTTTTGGTTTTTGGTATTTTTGTGTTTTCTCCCGCATCCTTTTCTGCATAACGAACACGTCAAACGTTGGGATGGCATGGACACCCCCCAAAAAAGAGCCGAGTGACAAGACTCATGCAGCACCACCCTTCCATTTCTTCCGCGATGAATCAGTCCAAGGGAATGATACGCCTGAAAAGTCGACCGTGTGCCGCTGCAGTTCCAGCGCGTCGTGATATTGCTCTCTCTCTATATTTCGTCTGCCGAATGAACTATACCCTCATCAAGCTGGCTCCCTTTAGGTTTTTTTTCTTTTCTTTTTTCTCTTGCAGTTGCAAATTGGCCTTGGAACCAAACCGCCATCGTTTCCGAGTCCCTTTGCCCGTCCACCCTCATCCTGACGGGAAGACAGATATCCCTTACCCTACCCATCCTTCCGTCCTCCCATCCTTCCGAAGCACCTTGTTCATCCCTCTGTCCGTCACTCACGTACATGTACACCAACTGACATCCACACCACCTCCCTTCTCTTCCTACCCAAGTGGCATCTCTGCTAAACCCCCCCCTCCTCCACTTGCAATCCCCTCCCCGTCTGTCCTTCGGCCATCTTTGCCCACTCCCTTGGTCCACCATCTATTCTACCCCCGACATGCGGGGTGCCGGTATCCCGGTGGTCACCATCTGCGTCCAATCAAGCTGCCTCTCCCCGCCTTCATGAAACTGATTTCACCATCATCATAATTTGTCTGCGGGGGAAAAAAAACTTGAAAAAAAAAAAAACCATACCCGGGAGAATCTGACACCAAAAGCAAAACTCGATGGGACCAAGGCGATCGGCGGGACCGAGGGGAGAGAAGAGCAAAAAGAAGAAGAAGAAAAACCTGAATCGAGAAGCATGGCACCAGACCCTTCGTCGACTAGTGTCGATATCTGAGACGGGGAAAACAGGGCCGACCGGCCATTGGATGTCCTGACGTTCGCCCCCCCCCCCCCCCCCCCCCCCGGCGAGCACGCGCGGCCGCCGGGCCGCGCGCAACGCCACCCCCCCCCCCACCCCCCCCCCCCCCCCCGCCACCCCCCCCCCCGCCCCCCCCCCCCCCCCCCCCCCCCCCCCCCCCCCCCCCCCCCCCCCCGCGCGGCATGTACCGGACGGTCGGCGACGCTCCGAAAGAACCCTCCCCCCCGCGCCCCCCACCATCCCCGGGACCCTTGCCTCCGAGAGTTTGAAGCTCACGCGCTCCCCCCTTTCCAGACGTGCACTGCATTGGCTTCACACCCTGACACCCACTACCAAAGAATAGGCTCGCCGGCAGGCAGAGCGTCGCGGGGATGTCGCCATCAATGCACTTCAGGCATTTCTCCACGCCGACGACGCGCCTCTCTCATCCGAGGCCCCTTCGACGTCGAGGAACTCGTCCAGCCGGCCACCGCTGCCCCCGTTCACAGCCGCCTCCCGCTCCAGCGTCTCCAAGTTGCGCAGCAGCTCCCCCCTTTCGCGGTGGAGCGTCTCCCGTTCCCGCTCCAGGTTCTGGATGTGGCGGCGGGCCATGTCCAGCACCTCGGCCTTGCTGACCCGCCTTTCCTCATTCGCCGCCGCCGCCGCAGCCTGCGGGTCCGATTCGTCACCGTCTCCGGTGCCGGCCGGGCCGCGGACCTGCTCCGGTAGGGCATTGAGGAGACCTTCAAATTGAGCGTTGAGTCGATTGCGGTACTGCTTCTCGACTAGGTTGTGGGATGCGCGTGTTCGTCGCTCTTCGAGGGACTCGGTGGGCTTTTGCAATGCGTTCTTGGAGGTGCGGGAGGCACTGCGCAGTCGTGGCGCTGGCGCCGTCTTGGTGCTCGACCCGGCAGATGAGGCGACGGATGCCGACTTGACCGATCGGCCGCTGACGCTAGTTCGGCCCGCTGGGCTGGTGGGTTCGTCATCGTCGTCGATACCGCCGGCTCCGGGATCGGCTACGGCACGGCGCTTGCCCTTTCGCTGCGGCTTCCGGTTCCCAGGCGATGACGATGACGACGTCTGCTTTGCTCCAGCTCCGCCCCTTTTGTCTTGGGGCTCATTCTCGTCGTCATCCCACGAAGGGTCCTTGACGTCGCTATCGGTCTCCATGCTGCTTTTGCTGTGCTTGCGGACGTCGTGGTTCAATTCGACCGCAGCGACGGCTGCAATGTTTGGTGTCAGGGTGACGGAGCTGCTGTCTTGAAGCCGAGGCCGCCATGGTGAAGCATGGAAATCAAAAGTGGTCGTTGGTGGTTGCGGGTGAGCTGTTACAGCTAACGTGGTGGAAAGTGGCGTGATGTCGGCATAGACTCCGCCGCCCAGGAACGGCTGCTCACTCGGCGGTGGTGGAGGTGCTGCGAACCCGAAATCGAATAAGTGACCACCGCCAACACCAATGCTCTGGCTATTGCCATCAGTACTTAGGCTGCCTGCTGCAGAAAGAGTGACGGATGGGTTGACACCTGCTGCTGATGTGGAGGAGGACGTTGCATCGACATGCTGTTGCGGGTTGTCGTGGTACACCGGGATTCCATATCCGGGCGGAAGCCATGCGGCGGGTACTCTCTGATGGCCCTGCAAATGGAGCTGCGGCGACAATGTCCCCTGTTGATCAGCAATATTAGGCGCAGGCGCTGCCGCTGGACCGAATTGGTGCTGGAGACCCTGTCTGCCCTCTGCATGTGTCAACCCCAGAGTGCCCAGACCAAGACCCAGACCCAGGGTTGAAGGATGGAGCTGAGGCTGCAGCAGCTGCTGCTGAGTGTGGTTTTGCTGGTGTTGCCGATCCAGGTGATGGAGTCCTCCCAGACCGTGAACTTGCGGGAATTGCGCCGTCGGTACGGATAGTTCAGGAACACCCGCAATGGCCTGGGCCTGATTAAGTGGTGTCGCTGTGGTCGATTCATTGACGGTGTTGGGCCGATTATGGCCTGGGCTTAGCAGGGTGGTCTGATTACCGGGCCGAGTGGCGTGGTGTTGGCGGTCGCCGACGTCGAAAGCCCCTCCGAAAACTTCGGGAGAGAAGTGCGGGGACAACGGCGTCGAAGCTATCATCTGCTGATAGAAGAAACAATGGTCAGACTTTTTTTCTCTCTTCTCTTCTTTTTGTTTTTTTGAAAGAACCTGTGATCCTCGAACACGGCCATCTCTACTCTTTTGCGCCTCATTGCCGTCTGTCTCATCATTTTGCCGAACGCTTGTTCAGAGAACATCACCTTTGTCATCGCCCCATTCCGTGTGGCACACAGCCTTTCAGCTCCTTGATACTCCGCCGCCTCCCGTCCACATCCCATACCAAGCATCGGAGGCGACCATCGACAGACAAAATAGTGTAGAAAGTTTTGCACGGTCATTGGATCGTGGTTTGACTTCTCATCGGGGAGGTCCTTGAGGGGAGGGGGGATCTGGCTCGGCTTGGTGCTACCGAGTGGCATCATGTACTCACTCGCGCCTTCGATCGCTTGGTCCAGCGCTTGTCTTGTCACATTCATATGCCGCCCTGGTCGGCAGATGGAGAAAGTTGTAACGAGGCATTGTGCAGAATGAGCTGGTCGTTGGATTCGAGACTCGACCGCCAGAAAAGCGAGCCACTGAAGAGCCGCGCTCCGGGGAGAAGGACACCGAACGGAAAAGTGGAATGCAACGCCGGGTGAGATACTTACTTCTGGGTCATCCACGAGATACTCGTAGAAGGGAGTGTTTTCGTTTGGCGTGTGCGCCATCGTATCGTCTTGCCGGGGGTGGCGAGGGGTCTTGGTTCGATTGGAGAACCCCCTTTTTGAATCCCACCGTCCGACCTAAAGTAACGCAAAGCCGTTGGTGATTTATACAGGTTTTGTTTGAGTTTTCGAATCTTCGACCTTGTTCCCGTATCTGCTTTCCAATCCCGGGACCGAGGAAAGGACTCCTATCCCGCAAAGGGCCAAGATCGGGCGAGGAAGACAAAACCAGCCACGATTGGGAGACTCCGAATTAGGCGTGCGGCCAGACAATCCCAGTGGACGCAGGCCGCCGTTAGAAACGACCAGACGAGCGTCTGGCCAGCAGTTCCGGAGCGGAAGCCACGGCCTTCTCAGGGATAGCCCAAGAACAGTGGGCAATCGGGAGACAACTTGTGGCGCGGGATTCGCCCATATACCGTCCCCGTGGAGTGACTTTGGTCTCTAGGCGGACCACACCTTCCCAGGTCTAGGGGTCCGACAGAGTCAGCCGACCACGATAGCTGCTCGAGTGAATCGACTTCGTCGTAATGTTCAAGTTAGACTCGGGTGTTTAGTACGTACGGCGGCGGAAAGCGTTTGCAATGCGGCCGGCGCCCAGGACGCCGGCAATCGGGGGGGGATCGGGGTGGCCTGGCTTTATGCCAGAGTCACTCCACTCCAGGGCTGTCGCCAAAAAATCTTTGCTGCTGTGGCGCAGGGCATGCAGGATACACCGAACGAGCTCCGGACGACGTTGCCTCTTTCCTCAGCTTCGCCTACTCGTGTTGGTGACAGACCAATTTATAAATGACCTGTCGACGATGTTGTTTGTTCCTTCGAGATCTCGATCTATATATCTGGACAGGGCAGTCAGTCTCTTTTCATCTTCTTACTTGTACGGCAAGCTAGCCGTGGCTTGTCCGGGGTGCTGAGTATCCTCATCCACTGTCTTCTTTCCCATCGGGCCACTCTTCGTACCGAGCCCATGCCCATTGCCAGTCAGTTGTAGGACCTCTCATCTCCTTCTGTTCTTCTCAGTTTCCCTCTCTTCTTTCCTTGTGTCATCTGATAGTCGACTGCTTATGCGACTCAACTTACCAGCTGGAGCAAGTCTAGTAACTCGCTGCCTGAATGGGCTTTCCGCGTCCTCTAAGGTCTGTCAGCTATCACATTCGCAGTATCATCACTGACATTGTCGATGGTGCCTTTGAGACTTGGTTTTCTCAGAGAGGGGTTTAGGTGGGCTTTATGAGGACCCGGCGCGACAGGTTAATATTCGATAGGGCAATTTCCATGTGAGCTCGGCTTCGGATAACGCAGTCCCCAGACCGCTCGAAAGGATCCGCGGCGGTTGCTGGCGGACATGAACGGCATGGGGCGTGGAAGGCCCCCAAAGGTATGTGCAGCGCCTACATGGATTCTGTCACCCAATCCTGAGCAAGGACTTGCCCGCGCGCCCAATCTTTCTTGGTTGTAGAAGCAGCCATATCCACAGTGGCCTGCATGATGCAGCTGTTCAGGTCGGGTCTGCGTCCTTTGCATTCTCGTCCGAGAAAGCCATTCTGCTTGACTAGGCCTTGGGTTTCACCAGACCCGGAAAGCTGCTGCCTCCCTCTCTTTAGGGGCCTACAAAGAAAGGTAGAGGTAGAAAGAGCTGAGGTTTGTTGGTTCTCTAATGGTGGCGGAAAGAGATTATTGCTTGACAGAAACTAGTGGAGGTCTGACTCAAGTGGTCCTGAATCTCGGATGCTCGTATCAGGGGCGGTTAGGTTGGCAACACGTGCCAAGGTTGGGAGTGGACTGACAAGCGTCAGAAGAATCTTCTTGCCACTACCCTCGTCGGTCAAGCCATTGTATGACGCCTTTGCTCGGGTTCGAGAGAGAAAGGGCATTAGAGCCAGCTACACCGTTGATTATGTGGCTGAACCAGACGACTGTGAAGCTGGGGTCTCCTCTGCCGTCTTCCCGCACTCTGTAGCCACAAGGGGAACTTGGTTGGATAAGGGGGGAAATCTTGATCTACATCTGTCGGTGAGGATGCAGCCAAGAGCCTGATGATCTCGGGTCCCGATGAAAAGAAGCCTTTCTTCCGGGGTAAACAGCCGCAGCGTCATCAGGTAATGGCCTCCGGGAGTTGACTCGATGTATCAGGCTTCGCAAATTCTAGGATGCCCTTTACTGTTTCCGGGTGTTGTCCCGCCAAACCCTCATTCTGTTCATGGGATGATTGGGGGCCAGTGCCTCACTCACAGCTCCAGGGCCCGAAAACATTCGGAGATGAGACCATTGCCCTACGGCGGATGAGGGACTCTAATGTAATCCGTAATGGTCAGAATCTTACTGGGCTCCGTTTGGATTAACTCGAGTTGGCCGAGTGGTTCCGTCGAGCTCCCCGTCTGATGTTCAGGGGATATCCTCGTGGCGTGTTCCCGCCGCTTCGCTTCACGGAGTTTCGGATGTCTTTTGCTTGACGACAGAATCTTTGAGTCGTCTATGTTTGTGTCCCGGTCTCGGGACCAGGTGTGTCTGGTCACGCTCGCTCTCGAGCATTGCCAAATCGACCGTTGTCTGGTGCTTTAACGTTTGCTCCCAAAGTGTGGAAGCAGACCATGTGACCAGTCCTCCTGATCTCCGTTCGTGTGGTCTGTGGCTGCCTGTCTAAGCGAGGGTCGGGTTGCTTCTCGAGTACCGTGTAAACCTCACCTCAGTCAAGCAAGCCTGCTTTGCGTAGGGGTGTGGGTTGCCCCTTGCCCTAAGGTAACGTAGGGAGCAACAAGTTAAGAAAAGCGACCTTTCTAGAGGCAAGATGCACCTACCGTATCTTACCTCACTTGGGCACATCGCCTTACGGTCAGGTGCGATGGCGTTGAAGATTCCGTTCCGTTCTTTCCCCGTCCTGTCAAAACATCAACCCCTGTTTCTCCTTCCCTCCCCTTCAGGCAGTTGCCCATACGGTGTCTACCACCCTCGTCCGCTTACTGGCCCGCTACCGCCGGGTCCTAGGATCAGGGATGATGTAGGCGACTGCCACTTGCCTTAGGTCGGTACGTGGCCATGCACGAACTTCGTCACAGTATGACAGACTATCTCGAAACGGAGGCTGCGGGAAGGTGCCTCGGCCGTTGGAACCGTTGACCGTTGCAAGTGGCTTTTTGTCAGGGCCACCGTCCGCATTTGGCAAGGCTTGAATCTAATCATCCATTCGGGCGAACCACCTCACGTAAAGACCCATAGCATAGTCGTACGGAAGGGCACATGACTTTGCTTCTATCTGACTCGGCAAGGCTAAACTTCTCCTTCTCTTTCGTTCCGATTTGTCTCATTCTACTTCCTCTAGCTGCAGCGTCTTTGATGAAAAAACAACACTCATCTTATTTGTTTTGTCTACTCCCTGTGTCCCTTGGCCCATTCTCTAAGTACGTTCTTCTTCAGCTTGCCCGTGCTAGTCTTGGGAAGCTCATCAACTACTTCAACCTCCCGAGGCACCATGAACTTGGATATGTTACTCTGGTGCTTCGCCCACGAAATCAGGTCCTCCCCCTTCAAGCTCTTGCCTTCTTTGACAGTCACGTAGGCTTTCGGACGCTCACCCCAGTGAGAATCAGGCACCGCCACTACGGCCGCTTCCAAGAGATTGGGGTGTTGCACGAGCATGCCCTCGAGAGCCACCGAAGAGATATTCTCGCCGCCTGGTCCTTCGTCAGTACAATGATAAGCGCGACAGCTCGAAAGGCAAACGCGTACCTGAAATGATAATATCCTTTGCTCTGTCGAGAATTTGAGCCGATCCGTCGGGATGCCAGACTGCCAGATCCCCAGAATGCAGCGCACCGCCATCAAACAATTTCTTGGTAGCTTCGGCATCCTTCAAATACTCCTTAGCACAGATGTTTCCGAAGAACACAATCTCGCCGATTTCTTTGCCGTCCTTTGCGACATCAATGAGAACCCCTTCCGGTTGGTCTATCTTGATGATGCGAATGAGAAGGCTCGTCACGAAGCCATGACCTTGTCGAGCCATTCTGGCGTATTTTTCATTCGTTGGGAGGGTCTCCCATGATGGCATATGATAGCCTTTGGTGATGGGACCATAGGTCTCCGTCATGCCATATACGTGGACGGGAAAGAGGTTGAGGTTTGTCTAATTACGTCAACAACGTTTCGACAAGCCTCGGGAAACAGCATCAGCGGCACTCACCATCTGCTCAAATAAGTGTGCACTTGGTGGACTAGCAGCCACAGTCACCCGTACTTCCTGAGGCAATTTCTCGGCCTCTTTCGCTGAGCACAACATGGTGTTGACTGTCGGAGCTGCCTGCATGCGAAGCACCTTGTCAGCGAACCGCTTTCCCCGAGCTGCAAGAGAGACAACTGACGTTGAAGTGTGTGATGCCTTCTTCCTTGAGAAGTTTCCAGATGAGAGGATAGTCGATCTTTCTCAAACACACATGCGTGCCACGAACGGCCGTCACTGCCCAGGGGAACCTACGGTGTGTCAGTAGGTTCGAAAAAGACCGAAGAACACGATACTAAGGGTCAGGGGTTCTTACGTCCAACCAACGGCGTGGAACCTTGACAGAGTTAGCAGATCACCCTAAACAACCTATAACAATATACCTACATTGGTAAGGTCCACAACTAGATGGTTGGAATCCATAATCAGCGATGGCTAGCAGGCAAGGGTAGCTCTTGCTCGTCACGTACATATTTACAACGGCCGCTGTGATAGTTCAGTCCTGATTCGATGACGTTTCCGACAGCTACAGACAAGGATGCTCAGCGCGATTTCATAGGTAGACAAAGGTGTCAGATCAGTTTACGGGTCACTTACCGGCTAGATAGGCTCCCCGGTGTGTGTAGATCACGCCCTTGGGCCGACTCGTAGTTCCTGAGGTGAACGGGATCGCAAGAACGTCATCTTCATTACCGCACTGTGAGTGAAGGCCAGCCCAACCCTCACCGTGTTGCTGGTCATACTGCAGGCCCTCCAAGACAGCATCATCAAAGGGGCCACTTAAAGCGCCCTCCGTGAAGTCGGTATCGGTGTCAATAATCAGGGGAACTTTGGGGTGCTTTGCCTTGAATTCATCAAGGAGGTGGACAAACTCCTGGTCCACGATGATGGAGTCGACCTCGGCAAAGTCGAATATGTAGGTGATGTCATCCGGCTTCAATCTGTAATTGACACCCACATTAACCCCACCGGCGGCTGCAATGCCAAAGATGGACTCGAGAAAGGCGGGAGTATTGGGCGCGAGGATTCCAACCCTCTTGAAGCCATGTTTCTTGAGGTAATAAGCAAGGCCGCGCGCTCTGTCTGCAAACTCTATGTAAGACCGTCGCAGTGTTCGGCCGTTGGCTGTGACGTGGAAGATGGCTTCAGCATCGGGCTCTATCGCGGCGGCACGCTCGAGAAAGAAGGTTGGGGAAAGCTGATGTATGTGGTGCTTCGGACGAGGCTCATCTTTTTGGGCCGTGGAGGACGAGAGGAGGTGTCCGAGGATGTTCTTGAGACGAGATGGAGGGCTCGACATGACTACTGGTGACTGGAAGAGCTTTTTCTTCTACAGAATCGGGGGCAGAGACGCAGAAGTCAAGGTCAAAATTGTCAAAGTTTGCGACCCGGGTATGATGTTTATGCCTTGTACGAGGGTTGGCGGTCACGGGACATGTATGTAGATGAGGAGGAAATAGTGAGTGAGAGGAAGACGGCTTTAATCCTGCAATTGGAAGCCAGCCATTCTGTCTACCAGCCACATTCCCCTTCCACTTACCCGATCCCCGAGCCTGGCCCAGCTGTCCTTGCTGGCATACCCCAATTGTCCAGCTTTTTTGAGACACTTGAGGGACCGAACCCGACAGCTCCAGCTCCAGCTCCTGGTTAAGCCCGGCTGTCCTCGGTACCTTAGGAAATTACCCCACACTTGGCGACTGTGCTCCACGTCAGGTTCAAGCTCCCAGGCAAGTTGGGGTACCCGCGCTAGACTGCGATAGGTCGATGTACTATTGTATAAGCAGATCTCACAGAGAGGCAAATAGGCCCACGCCGTGGCGTGAAAGGAGCACGCCGTAAGGTCAGGTAAGGTACTACGAGGAAGGGACCCACTGCACTTAACAGAAAGTCGCGTCGCTGTGCCACCGTGCTGTAAGGCAAGGTAGCCTTGCGCGACCAAGAAAGTGCAGCGCGAAGTGCCAACGCCCGAAATTTTATCACCGACAACAACGGGACCTCCTCGAAGCACCACCGTCTCAATCCTTCCCACCTACCCATCTCGAGCATCAGTCATTCGAGTCGCACGTCACCTCCTCACATCTTCCGTCTCGAGGAGACCTTTCTCTGCGACGGTCTTACGACGACACCAACCGATATTTGTCTCGACGTTTCGACCTCTCGCGAGCAATCATGGCAGCTATGTGAGTGCCCGCCCACCCCCAGCTCCTTCTTTCGCACAAATCCCACACCCATCGAGTCGCCCAGAAATCATGCATTGCTTACGATAGATCCATTCTGTCATCGCGCGCACTTGTTTCCTCCCTGACGTTCCCATCATGCAATAACTGACGAGATACCCCCTCAAAGAGAGAGCTTCGACAGCATCTACTTGGACCTCTCCAAGGAGAGCGGCAAGTGCAGATTTGCTGAGAGCGGTCTCGGTTGGAAGCCGTCTGGCGGCGGCGACACTTTCACTCTCGATCACAGCACAATTGCTTCGGCGCAGTGGAGTCGAGCTGCCAAGGGCTACGAGATCAAGATCCTAAACCGAGACTCGCGCATAATCCAGCTCGATGGGTTCCAACAAGAGGTAATGAAGCGCGCGCAAGTCGACCGATTACAAAAGAATGGAAGCTGACCTTTTGTCTGGGTGAAGGACTACGAGCGTCTTGCCAAACTCTTCAAGAACTGGTACAGCACCGCCCTCGAGAACAGGGAGCACGCCTTGAGGGGATGGAACTGGGGCAAGGCCGACTTCGGAAAGGCTGAGTTGTCTTTCAACGTCCAAAACCGCCCTGCGTTCGAAATTCCCTACTCCGAAATCTCAAACACCAACTTGGCGGGTCGTAACGAAGTCGCGGTCGAATTCTCAGCTCCAACGGACAAGAACGACACCGGCACCAATGGCCACTTGGGCGGTGCGCGTGGAAAGGGCAAGAAGGCGGGTGCCGGCAAGGATCAGCTTGTCGAGATGCGCTTCTACATTCCCGGAACCGTCAAGAAGGAAGTGGAGGGCGACGAGGCTGGCAGCGACGCCGGCGAAGAGGAGAAGAACGCTGTCACCCTGTTCTACGATACCCTGATGGAGAAGGCCGAAATTGGCGAGACCGCGGGCGATACTATCGCCACGTTCCTGGACATTCTCCATCTCACACCCAGGTATGTACACAAAGCCACGGCTAGTCATAGCTCGGTAGCTTCTGACACCTCCACAGAGGTCGCTTCGACATCGATATGTACGATGCGTCTTTCCGTCTCCGTGGTAAGACGTACGACTACAAGATCCAGTACGACGCCATCAAGAAGTTCATGGTGCTTCCCAAGCCAGACGAAACCCATGTGCTTCTTTGCGTTGGCCTGGACCCGCCCCTGCGCCAGGGTCAGACAAGATACCCGTTCATCGTCATGCAGTTCAAGAAGGACGAGGAGGTGACGATCGATCTTAATCTCACCGAAGAGCAAATAGACGAGCGGTACAAGGACAGACTCCAGCCTCACTACGAGCAGCCTCTTCACCAAGTCATCACCTACATCTTCCGCGGACTTGCTAACAAGAAGATTACAACACCCGCCAAGGACTTCCAGACGTAAGTGTCTCTCGCCACCGATGCGACAGAACCTGTGCTAACATCTTCCCAGCCACCGTAACCAGTTCGGTATCAAATGCTCCATCAAGGCCAGCGAAGGTTTCCTGTACTGTTTGGAGAAGGCCTTCATGTTCGTACCCAAACCTGCGACGTACATTGCCTACGAGCAAACAGCATCCATCACATTCTCTCGTGTCGGCGGTGCCGTTTCTGCGCTGTCAACTTTTGATATCACCGTGCAGATGAAGAACGGCGCTGGCTCATCACAATTCAGCAACATCAACCGCGAGGATCTCAAGGGACTTGAGGAGTTCTTCAGACTGAAGGGTCTGCGCGTTAAGAACGAGATCGACGAAGAGTCCAACTTGATTGCCGCAGCCATGCGTGACCAAGCCATGGACGACTCGGAAGAAGAGGTCGTTGGCGCCGCCAAGGCGGACCGTGGTTCGGCCGACGAAGACGAAGAGAGCGTCGACGAGGATTTCAACGCCGAGAGCGAGAGTGACGTTGCTGAAGAGTTTGACAGTGACCATGAGAGTTCGGGTTCAGGCAGCCAGGAGAGTGACGTGGACAACGACGACGGTGATGATGGCGGGGATGACGAAGAAGAGGAAGAGGAGAGGCCCAAGAAGAAGAAGAAGACGGGCTGACCGCCCTCTCCCGACTTTTGGGTTTGTGTATCGCATGGGGTGAGAGGCTGTTGGGCGTTTTTACTTTGGGCGTCGGATGAAATGTAACACTACGATTATCTACTTCGACATTGGCCGACAGGGCGTCGCGGAGCCGAAGCAAAAGAGGTTAATTTTTTTTTTGGAAGAGACCTCGAGAGTTGTCTTTTTGCAATACCACAAATCTGCAGTGCGCTTGCAACACAGGATCGCGTGACTTTTACCCAACCTACCTAGGCGCCTTACCATGTGCGAGTGGGGTCCCTGTAAGCTTGCCCAAACGCCAATGAGTCAACAGATGCCACACGAAGACGCATACACACCATTTTTGCAGTCCGCAGCCGTCCACTCCAAGTCGTTTTCAGTACCTTACCTTGGCGCAGCGTTAACGAGCAACACCTGGCCCCACCACCCCTACGTACAAAAACCATGGACGAACCAGTCTCCGTACCAGGCTCGACAGCGACGATGCCCCGTCTCGGCCTCGGCGTCTACCAACTCAGGGGGGAAGAGTGCTTCGCGGCCTGCCTGGCGGGGTTGGAGGCCGGGTACCGGCACGTCGACACCGCGCAGCTGTATGGGAACGAGGCGGAGGTTGGTAGGGCGGTTGGGGTGTATTTGCGACGACAGCGGCAGCGGGAATCATCTCGATGCGATGACGCCCGTGCTGAAGGGGTCGGGAGGCAGGACGTGTTCTTGACGACCAAGGTTGGAAGGTGGGAGGGCAGCGCGGAGAAGATGTATAGGATTGCTTTACGGAGCGTGTTGAAGGTCGCTGGTGATGGTGGTGCCGGGGCTGGAGACGGGGAGGGGGAGGGGTACGTTGACCTGGTTCTCGTGCATCGTCCCGTCGAGCGGTGGAGGGAGATTTGGAGCGTGTTGAAGAGATTGGGGAGTGAAGGGCGGGCGAGGGCGATTGGGGTGAGTAATTTTGGGATCGAGGCGTTGGAGGAGATGAAGCGTGATGGTGGTGGTGGGGGGTTGCCGTGTGTGAATCAGATTGAGGTGAGTTCTTTCCCGCCCGGTCGGTGTCTTGGTTATGTGTGTGATTCGGAGGATTGCGTTTGCTGGATGGGACGGTAGAAGTGTGAGGCCAGTGACAGACGCTGACCGAGTGTGGGGTGAGGACAGCTTCATCCGTGGTGTCAGCAGCGCCGGCTAGTCGGCTACTGTCAGAGAAACGGCATCGTCGTGCAGGCGTACAGTCCGCTGGCGCGGGGCCGACGGATGGCGGATCCGGTGTTGATAAAAGTTGTGGAGCGGGTCCGGCGCCGTGTACTTGTACGGGCGGCGGCGGACAACCACCACTACGACCCACATGAGACGGCAGAAGCGGGTTCGGAGGTCACGGCGGCGCAGGTGCTGATCCGCTGGTCTCTGCAAAGGGGTTTCGTGCCGCTTCCCAAGAGCGGTGGCGCGGACCGGGTCAGAGAGAACGCAGATGTCTTTTGGTTCCGGCTTGACGGGGTGGAGATGGACATGTTGGATGGGTTGGATTTAGGGGCCGCCGGGGCGCTGTTTCCTGCGAATCTGAGTTGACCAAGCTGCTTTGCCCACGTTGGGAACTACCTTGGATTGAGGTAGCATGTAGAGACTAGTTGTCGGCGAAATGTTACTAATGCAGTGGCCATTGAGTTCTGGATATGTGACAGGGCAGTTGGTTTGCTTAGCTGCAAAAAATTGTTTCCTCTTTCTTATCACCATTGAACAGACATCCAAAGAGTCTGTCCCATCCATGACGAAGGGTGCCCGCCCCATGCGAACAGCGCCTCCCAGCGGCCGGGTCAGCGCGGAAGGTTCGCCGAGACCCGAACAGGGACCTTGTTCAGTCGCGGCTGGTGGCGCCTGAGGTGAGTGGTGGGTGGTGGGTGGTGGAACCACTGCAATTCCAGGGCAGCCAGTTGCCAGCTTCACCTGGAATCTTCGATGCCATCCCACCTCGCACTGGGGGCCAGTTAAAGCAGTGACCTGCCTGCTTGCAGCTGGGGTAAAAGATCGTTAACAAACAAAACCATCGACAAACGTCTCTGTCCATCGCCCTGCAAGCGCTTGATTTTGTTTTCAATGACTTAAAATTCCTTCGCTTCCGCCCCTCACCATCGTCCATTCAGATTTCAATTTCGTCGTATCCAACTTCGAGAGACGGCAACCATGAGCGATGGCAGCTTTCACCGTCCCTTGCGAGGCGGCTGCCACTGTGGGCGCAACCGTTACATCATCGACGTCCCGGAAGGCACCACCGAGAAAGCGCAGGTGCTCTTCTACACAGACTCAAAGCACAGTAAGTCGCTTCGTCTCGCCAATTTCTTGCGATGTGCATGGCTAGATCTTCTCAAACAAGCCCGCCATGCATATCAACGGCCATGACTTACCTTGCAAAGAGCGGGAGCTCCGCTAACACAATGGTCTGATGCGCAGGAGTCCCTCTCGCAACCCCACTAGCCGCCATGATCCGAGTGCCACTCTCGTGCTATCACAGCTCAACCCATGCCCTCCACCCGGACGAGAGGCACTCCATGATCCGCCACGTCTACGAATCACTCTCCCACCACCCCTCGAAACGAAACTTTTGCGGCTTCTGCGGCACCCCGCTGTCCTACTGGACCGAAAGGCCCCCAACCGAGGCGAACTTCATCCACCTGACCCTTGCGAGCCTGCGAGACGAAGACCTACGAGATCTGGAAGAATGGGGGTTGATTCCAGAGTTTGAAGAGCCGGAAGGGCAGCCCGCTTTTCCGACAACAACTACGGTAGTTGGAAGGGAAACCCGAGGCGTACCTTGGTTCGAGGGCATGATCGAGGGCACCCGTTTGGGCAACCTGCGTCACAGCCAGGTTGTTGATCACGGCAAGGACGTAAAGATTAGAGTTGAGTGGGAAATTACGGAGTGGACCGATGGAGACGATGCCAGCGACGTCGCTCCAGCAGCGGATGGCGATGTTGACATGACGACGAATCATCCCGGAAAACGCAAAATGAACGACCGAGAAGATGAGGATGCGGCCGTCGACGGCATGCATTGAGCATTGCCCATGTCGTGCATTACAGCGGCGGGATCGGTCGTAACGAGTCCAGGGTTGCCTTGAGCTGGGCCGGCTCACCTTCGTCCCGGCTTCCGTACACCTCAGTGAGGCTGTGGATAGAGTCTCCAAGACATTGACTTTGTTTCTGGCGCGGACTTTGTAACATCAGCCTTGAGTAAGATACCGCAACGCCGTGGTAACCCAAAAGGACGATACTTTTGAATGTGCGTGTGTGAGAGCATGTGTTCTGTGGCAGGCATGACAGGAAATGGGTCATGGTTCGGAGGAGACGCGCAAGCATGGGCTATACTGACTGCGGCGCCCACGATGATTACAGTCAAGTAGCCATAAAAGCGACAATTTGCGTCACATGCCCTAGTACCTTGATGAAAGATGATAAAGCTCCGATGATTTCCCAGGAGTCGTGTTCTTGTGCCTGGTGAGCTTCCGGTGCCTGGGCCGAAGGGTCGTTGGCTCGAAATTAAGGCCCCGCCAGCCGGGCAGACGGCTTCGTGAACCGAAAATGAGTAGACGTAAAAGCATCGCATCATGATCACCTTGACAGCCCAAATAAGACACCTGTCTTTCAAGCAGCGACGACAAGTCGGTGGTTCTTCATGTGATACGGCGGGTTGTAAGCCGCGCAAACTAAGACGATTACACTGGGGCTGGCGGTCTTGGAGGGGCGCAATTGGATTTCGAGCCAGACGCAGCTGTTCGCAATGTCGTATCTGTACATAGACTGCGTGAGAGTAGCGCTAGAGGGAGCAAGACATACCGGGAAAAGGCTCCAGGTAATAACAGGTCTTCTGAAGTCAAGATGTCGTCTATATCAGAGTCCTGTTATGAAGCTGAGGACAAGAATGCGCTTGAACGGTGCGGAGATGATGGGACGATAGCCGGAGTTGGAGAAGCTTACTATAGCGACATTGGACGAGCCTGATGCAGAGGGAGGTGGGAGGGAGGCTCTCCCGTCCGACATCCGCTCAACCAAAGCGACGGGGGTATATTAACAATTGAGACTGGAGGTGGCCAAAGCAGGGGGAATCGTGGTGGTAGCAGTTGGTTACCCGTCATCTGGAAGGCGAGAAGACCTCGGGAGGATTCCTCGTGGCCATCGTCGGTCGCCTTATGCTAACGATTGCGTAGGACGAGACCTTGCAGAGTGTGTCAAGCACGTCTGCTGCCAGCCGGCCTTGAGGGAGCAATCGAGTCGAGCTAACGGCCGGCGGAATTGAGCCGTCACCGAAGTTTTGGCGACAGCGTTTGGTGATATGCATGCCGCCGCCACCCAGTGTGCGCATGTGTATCCAGACAAGTATGTTTACGCAATTTCTGTGTGGTATGGAAGGACAGGGTCGTGCGCGGGCTCCAGAAGTTGTGACTACTCCACGATTGCGCTTGTACCGAATACAGACAAGTGCCCAATCAGATGGGCTCGGAGATCGTCAGGTGAGGGATCGAGGTTTGTTTGTGTTTCGAATTGGCTCTTGGAGCTGGTAAGATGAGCTGGGCAGAAGAAAGGGCATGTTTTGACGGAAAGACGGGCCGTCGTGTGCTCTCCGGGAAGCGGCGGAGGGGAGGGAAATGGGGGGACTTGGGAAAAAGGGGACCCCACGGCGGGGTAATGGAAGGCGCCCCTGGCCTACACGTGTAGGGGTAGGTGGCAGATGCACGTTGTGAGGTCCCCCCTTGTTGGGTCACTTGGGTGTAACTGGTGTGTCGGGTCGAAGAAACCGCAAGAAGCAGATAGTTAGCTTACTTGCCCACCTTATTTTACCTCTAAACTCTCAGAAGGAGGCATCATGACGAGAGCGCACCTACACAACTGTACATCTTCTCTCCTGCGTGCTATGTCTGAGGGCTGGGTCACACAATGTCACTTTTTTAGCGGCAGCTGCCGTGAACTTACCTCAGACCTCTCCAATTCCACCTGCTGCTGACTCCAGCGAATGGATCCTGACGATGCGCTTCTTTTCGGTATCCCATGCACGCTCTGCTGCGGAATAAATCCCCGCGCCATCTGGGTGACGGGATACATCGCACGAGTTAGAGGCTCTCGGCGGCCAAAGATACCTCACGTCGGACGCCTCACCTCTGCCAGCTTGTCAGATCACGCCTCCGACCCAACCCTCCAACGCCGACGCCAATGCCAGTGCCAACCCCAACCCCAACACCATCCATCTTCGGGCCTTGTTCTAGTCAGTCCTAGCTTTTCGGTCACGACGGTCCGATATTGGAGGCGTCCTGGGTGCCAGATTGACGCAGGCACTACTACCAGGACGTCCTCTCGTCCCGTGTCGTTGTCTAATGTGGTCTGTACCTTGGACACGATGCGGGTGTTTGTCCCATAATTTTTCTTCCCTGTACGGTCCGTATCTTGAGGTAGTTTACGGAGTACTATACTCGAGTAATCCTTGCAGCTGGTTACCTTCATTTTTGCCTAAACCTACCAAGGACAACCGAGTACCCCGTCCATCCCAGAGTCACAATGCCATTGTAATTGCACCGCTCTGCTTCCTTCCGTCTTTTGGCATCTTATAAGTATCACGGTAGCACCTTACTTCCCGTCTGTACGATCCCCTCTTGCTCTCTCTCCTCTCTCTGTCGCCTTCTTCCACATCTCAACTCGATCTTGAACCTCTTCCGACTATTATCAAGTAGTTCGTCTTTTATCGGGGTAAAACACCCACTCTCCGCCCGGCCCATCACCATCCCACCGTCAAGCCCGTCGAGTCCCCTCCATCCGTCAGTCTTCACATAGCTAGCTACCTTACCTGACAATACCGCCAATTCTGGGATTCGCAATACCAGTTCTCTCTACGGCAGCACACCACTTTTCAAACCGCCCATCATGTCTCTTCCAAACGACTTCCTCTGGGGCTTTGCCACCGCATCGTACGTATTCCATCCCATCATCAAACCGGCTCGGCCCATCCCCAAAACCCTGGCTGTTATCACCATGCATACTCGCGCCCTCTTCCGCCGACATCCCGATTCGGACGACTAACAAGCATCCTCCCACCACACTTCGCCCTCCTCCCTCCGTCTTTCCCGTCCAGCCTACAAATTCCACTTCCCCTCCAACCTGCCCCCACTCTCACCTTTCCCTTCTCCCCTCACCCATTAGCGAGCACGACAACACGGCATGCGAGACCCCTGCTGACCCTATCTGTCCACCGCTACAGTTACCAGGTTGAGGGTGCCGCCGAAAAGGACGGCCGTGGCCCTTCCATCTGGGACACATTCTGTGCCATTCCCGGCAAGATTGCCGATGGCAGCTCCGGTGTCGTTGCCTGCGATTCCTACAACCGCACTGCCGAGGACATTGCTCTGCTCAAGTCCGTCGGCGCAAATACCTACCGCTTTTCCCTTGCCTGGTCGAGAATCATCCCTGTCGGTGGTCGCAATGACCCCATCAACCAGGCCGGACTTGATCATTACATCAAATTCGTCGACGACCTCCTCGAGGCTGGCATCACCCCCTTCATCACCCTCTTCCACTGGGATCTTCCCGATGGACTCGACAAGCGCTACGGCGGTCTCCTGAACCGTGACGAGTTCCCTCTCGACTTTGAACACTACGCTCGCATCGTCTTCAAGGCTATTCCCAAGTGCAAGAATTGGATCACCTTCAACGAGCCTTGGTGTTCCTCCATTCTCGGCTACAGCAGCGGCTTTTTCGCCCCCGGTCACACCTCGGACCGCAGCAAATCTGCCGTTGGTGACTCTGCCCGCGAGCCCTGGATCGTCGGCCACAACCTGCTGGTCGCCCACGGCCGCGCAGTCAAGGTCTACCGCGATGAGTTCAAGCCCACCAATGGTGGCCAGATCGGCATCACTCTCAATGGCGACGCCACTTACCCATGGGATCCTGAGGACCCTGAGGACGTCGAGGCCTCCGACCGCAAGATCGAGTTCGCCATCTCCTGGTTTGCTGACCCAATCTACTTTGGCAAGTACCCTGACTCCATGCTCAAGCAGCTTGGCGACCGACTGCCCGAGTTTACAACCGAGGAGCTCGCCCTTGTCAAGGGATCCAACGACTTCTATGGCATGAACCACTACACGGCCAATTATATCAAGCACAAGACCACCCCTCCCGAAGAGGACGACTTCCTCGGCAACCTAGAGACCCTCTTCGAATCCAAGAGCGGCGAAAACATTGGTGAAGAGACTCAGTCCTTCTGGCTGCGCCCCAACCCCCAGGGCTTCCACAACCTCCTTGTCTGGCTCTCCAAGCGCTACGGGTACCCGCCCATCTACGTCACAGAAAACGGCACCTCCCTCAAGGGCGAGAACGACATGCCACTCGAGCAGATTCTCGAGGATGACTTCCGTGTCAAGTACTTTGACGGCTACGTCAAGGCCATGGCCGACGCCCATGAGAAGGACGGTGTCAACGTCAAGGGCTACATGGCGTGGTCCCTGATGGACAATTTTGAGTGGGCCGAAGGCTATGAGACCCGTTTCGGCGTCACCTTTGTCGACTACGAGAACGATCAGAAGAGATATCCCAAGAAGAGCGCCAAGAGCCTCAAGCCTCTCTTCGATAGCCTCATCAAGAAGGCCTAAGCATCTTTCTCTTTGGTTGATTGACGATGCATAGAAAGAGGAGGTTGAACTACGAGGGTATCCATTTGGATTGGATATGCATATCATTTATGAAAATGTACAGAGAGCACTGAGCTGCCAACGATGATATATGAAGTTGCTTTTGTTACGATCCGCCATATAGTTCGGACATGAATTACCGAAATGAGAAGGACTTGAAACCCTGTCATTGTTTATGACGTGAACCTGTTATCACTAGGCATGAGCATGGTCCCGTGGAAGGGTCCTTGCCTTATCCTATGACTGCCGGCTAAAGTTCATGTTGCCGGTGACAAGACCTTTGCCTACTATACATATTATCCATAGTTGCTGTGGATAGCCACTGTATCAGCGGGCTTGCTGAGATCGCACTTTAAAGCCTTGTTCTTTTCGACGCGACTCTCGTAAGAAGGGTCTGCGCGCGCTAGGAGTTTTTTTTCATAAGGGCGTAAGGCATTGCCGTAGTCGCAACTAGCTAAGCCTGCGTGTAAAAGAAGTCACAGAAGGAGCAGGCCGAAACCTTTTGTACAGGCCATTTGGACTAGGTCGGGTCGAGCAAGAAGCGCTGGCCATATTGAACGTTCAAGTAAGCCGGAACATGATGGGGACGAAGAAGAGGGAGACTGGATATGGGGAAGAAGGAAACTTGAGACGGAAAATAAGGCGACAAGACATTGAGAATGGCGGGAGTGCGGCGAAGAATTGTCTAGATCCTAGTGTCTCACGACGAGAAGAGGTTGAAGGTACCCTCACTCGGACTACGCAAAGGCTCCCATGTTCTCTCACAACACTTGCCAGAATTGAAAGTGATCAAGAACTGCTCCCCATTGCTTTCATCATGCAGATAGATGAACCGGCACCTGGATGTAGGTTGCCTCCGTCTTATGCCAGGGGTTGTAGAATCTTAGGATCACATCCTTGCCACTTCTTCCTCAGACGTGTGTGATACAACGTGCCCACATCTTCACGTGGACTATTTTGCACAACCCCGGAAAGATACGTCATTGATAGTAAAAATGGACTCGAGTCCAAATCGCAGTCATGACCTTATTCGTTCTTCGAGGTTGAAGGCCAAAAGTGTCCTGGGGGCCTAAACTCGACGAGTCGACGTGCTCCTCTGGCCTACATCTTGAGTTCTCATGTTCTTGACTACAATTTCCTGTAGCTTTAGTTGGATTTCTCTTCCAGGCTCTGCTTGAACCCATGCCATCGTGAAATTCAAACCAAGACTCTCTCACATGTCCGGGTTTCCACGGTTCAATGAAAACCCATTCTTCTGGCAGTCCTCTTCCATGTCCATCTGTAGCTTGGCTATAAGCTCCGGGCTCAAGAGGCTTCTCCAGGTGAAGACTTGGTCGCCCGACGATGTCGGCCTCTTACCTCCCCTGGAAGCATATGGCTTATACGATAGTTCCAGGGCTTCTAGCTTCTCTTCTTCCCAAATAGCCAGTCCCAGCTGACGGTACGGCCAGAACGGCACTCCACGGACGGGTGAATACGGATTCTTCAAGAGTCTGACCACGTAGAACGTCCAACATGGTGGTTGGTGCTTTGAAAGCTCCTCTTGTGACCATCTGGGGTCTATTACTCCTAGCAAAACTGGGTCTTGCCACTTCTCTGCGGAATCGTAGCCTGGAGGAGGGGCCGGGAGCCGCCGAAGGTCTGGCGAGAAAACGGGGCCGCCTTGGACACGTTCGACAAAGTCTGCAACGGTGAGAAACTCCTCCCTCTGCCAGGTCCAGCCTTCAAAGAGAGCGTCGGGAGTAATTTCTCGTTGGCTGTCTTCCAGGGTACAGTCCAAGCGGCCATCGGAAGCTGCGACCTTTACGTCGAACAGCAGCTGTAATCTCCAGAACCCGCGCATCACGCGCTGCTCCTCCATCCAGCAAGACGGTCCGATGGGCTGTAGCTCGTACGGCTTTCCGCTGGGATTCTGGCGCCATGGCTTTTCACGACCAGCGCCCCAAGCGAAGGGGCATTCGAGGTGAGCCGGGGTGACTGAGGACCATCGGCTACGGTAGTATTCCAGGCATGCCCACGCCAGGCAGCAGATGCGTCTTGCGGTCAATAGAATGCCCCGAAAGAGCTGAGGATGTTGGCCTCGAAGCGAGCTCGCGAGATTCGGTGCGGCTGAGGTGACAGACGGAGCCGAGCCGCCTTGGCAGTTGGTGTACTTTCTAACAAAGTCCTGGAGCGACGATGCCGGTGGGTGTCTCTGGGTTGAGGTGCGGATGAGGCTGACAAGACGGATCAGCTCGACCACGTGGGGTGACATGGTCCCTGAAAATACATAATCAAGAGCCTTCGGTCCTACTTCTGAGGACGCAAAGACGCGAGACGCAGCCGGGCTAGCCACGACGAGGTGGTAGATTGATCGGAGGTCAGTGATGGAGAAAATAATCCGTTCGAGGATCTCAGCTGGGAGGTGGTCGAGATTGGCAGTTGCCGTTGATCGAGATGACATGGCGAGAATAAGTCAGAGTCTCTATGTTGAAGAAGCCAAGACTGCAATGCAGGTTGAATGGGATCGACCTCGAACTCAGTTGCCAGGATTCGGGTTTAAACCAATTATGAGTATTTTGTTGATAGGGTTGCGACACCAGAAAGGGTCTGATCATCTGATAAGGTCCAAATTTCACCTGCGGCACAGCACTCCAGCTCAGCAGCGCTGAGTGCGTCCCGAGATGGACCGGCTCACAATCTCGACGATCCAAGTATGGAAAGCACAAAGTAGTATACGAGGTTAGTACATGTCAGGGTAGCGTATGGGGTAACATCATGACCTACATTAACGGGAAGTGGAGCTTTTATGAGAGGGGGTCAAGAGACGTCGTGAGTACGTCGAGTCTTTAAACGAGACAGACCACCTTTTCCTCTCCTCTATTCACATTTCTGGTTCACGTTGACCTTTGACTACACTCTAGGCCACTATGTGACAAGATATCATGCCCCAGAAATAGTCTTGACAAGCACCGGATCACTCCCGTCCCTGCCCTCGGCGCCCTTCTTCTCGTGGTCTCTCTCGCCAATCGACGTATCAGACGACCGATCCCCCTCTTCCTCTTCCCTCCGTTGCCCCGTCCCACTCGCCACATCTGGCCCGACACTACGATCCTCCTCCTCATCCCCCGTCCCATCGCCCTCAGCCTTCGCGGCCCGCCTCAAGTACCACTTGAAGACATACACCAAAATCTGCGCCATAAAGACCTGCTCAATAGTGTACAACAACACCGGGATCTGAATCAGCGCCCTGGTCAAGTCGTCCGACTGCGTCCACATGGCCGTCGCGAGGGGGATGCCCAACGACGTTGTCTTGGCCGCGCCGCAGAAGCAAACGGCGATCATCTGCTCCCTCGGCAGCTGCCGCACCGTCACGGCGTGCCGCAGGAACCGCGGGGCGTAGCGGGCCCGGAGGAGGCGGGAGTCGGCGAGGCGGCGATTCACCGCGTTGCAGACTGCCAGGGGGGGCCGGGCGGCGTAGAAGCAGATGACGGTGAAGAGCGCGTAGAGCGCGACGTTCATGAAGACGTTGAAGATGATGGAAGGGTGGGGGGTCACGAAAAGGGCGCCTGTTTTGAAGGCTGCTGAGAAGGTTGTCCTACACATACGAGTCTCGTCAGTCGTACGGATCACAGAGGGCGGAGGGGGGTTGGGGTTGGGGTGAGGGGAGGGGGAAGGTAGTGAAAAAGGGGTAGGTAGCCGCCCTGGGAGAGGCAACTCACCAGACCAGCAAAATGAGACAAAACGTCGACACCTTGGCGAGGTAAAACGTTCTCAGCGCCCAATCGACCCTCTTTTCCCAAAACCACCTCACGAGCTGCCCCACGGCCAGCGGCAACAGCACGCTCAGCCCCAGTTGTTTCAGGACGTTGGCGTACATGGCGCCCAAGGTGCTCGGGTTAGCGGGCTGCCAGTCGGCGAACTCTGGCGTCTTGGGGATGAAGCCGTAGATGAGCCCCGGGGAGATGAAGCTGCCCAGGACGTTTCCGATGACGACCTCGATGATGGCGGCGGCGTCGTCGCCGCCCGAGGCGCGCGTCATGACCACGTTGGAGGCGATTGTCGTGGGCAGGCAGGAGGCGACGACCATGCCTACGATGATTGGGGTCGAGAGGGCGTTGTTGCGGAGGCCGCCGGCGGCGATGATGATGCGGACGATGACTTTTTGGGTTTCCGTGTTAGCCGCGTCAAGGTACAAATTGCATTTCTCTGTGCCCTAGCCCTGCGGTGCGCAGGTGAGTGGGCGGCGACGTACTTAGGAGTATCACGGGTATGACGATGAAGCTGATGCCCTGTACGATGATGTGCAGGCGCCAGTTGGCCACGTTCTGCCTCAGCTTCGCGTGGGAGAGCTGCAGCCCGCTAACGAGGAAGATGATGGCGATGCCGCCGTAGATGATGGAGTACTCGGACCGAATCGGTCCACCTCTAGCCGCGACATCTGTGGGATATCAGTCGTTAGTCAAAATATTCATCTTTCATCTTTACACACTCTCTCTCAGAGTCTCTCTCTCAGCGAGATACAAAGAGATTGTCATTATCCGCCAACTTACTCGGGAAGAAGTACGCAAACACGCAGCTGAGAGCGAACCCGATAACGAGCCATTGCGCCACGATGAGTTTAAAGATTTTGACCGCTTTTACCCTGACGCGGGCCCATCTTGTTGTTGCCGTCGTTGTCGTCGTCGTCATCGTCGTCGTCGGCGCAGACTGAAGCTTTGCGCTCTCGTCGCGGCCGTCCACGGGGCCGGCCATGGTTCCAAAACTCGCTCCCGAGGTTCAGGCCGAATGAGACATCGGAGTTTGTGCGACGAACGGCGCAAAAAGGGTGGAGTCTCTTTGGTCGTTTGTTTGAACGCCCCTCCCGTATCTTTGGCTCCAAGTTACCTACCTAAGCGAAGAAGATTGACAAGACTTGTAGTGACCGAGGGCAAGTTGTATTGGATCAAGGTTTGAATCAACTTCACGTCCAAAAACGCAGTTGACTACGATTCCCTGGACCCCATCGTCCCTTAACGGCATGCCCAACGTTTTGGCCGTCACGCACACACAACTTTTTCAACCACCCGGACAAGTCTTCCTCCGCAGACAGGATTAGGTGGACTGCCAATGCGCGGGAAGAGAATGGATGACGCCAGCGCCCGGGTCACTTGTTCTGAGTCGTTGCTCGCGTCGCGAGGGCGGGGCCGGGTTATTACCGGCCGGCCAGAATCCCGACATCGGGATCGTCCGAAAGGTCCAACTCACTATCCGTACCTAGCACGTAGTTTGGAGTGGTGGAAAGGATGACTTGGCACTTGTAGGGATGGTCACAGTTCCTCACGTTAAGTACTTGGCAACTTGAGCCATCTAGGTATCATTTCTGTCAAAGTTTTCTTATCTTGGTATACACAGGCCATTGAGGTTATTATGAGCCTCGATGAGGAGGAGGTTTAATCATAAACCTTGATATCCCGACTTTTATTTTGAAAAGGATATATCAGCATTTAATGGATGCTGTAAGTGTGTTATATGTGAATGTGCAATACGATCATTTGGCCCTTATGAGGGATAAGAGTAGGCGCAGAGATACTACCCAGCACGCAAGACAATTACTGTCTATTTGATAGATCTGCGTGAGTGCGGGCAGAACTTGAAGGAGGTGAGTGTCTAGAGGCTTTGAGAACGACATTGTCCTTCGTGAGTATGCTCAAAAAGCAAGACAAAAGCCCCCAAGCATTTCGGGATTCTCCGCTTCGGCGCCGTGCCGGTTAGGCCGAAACGTGTCCCCGGCATGTGATCGGTGAGCCGGGGCAGCACCATCGCCGTACAAATTTGAACTCTCGGCCGACGTTTCCTTTCATCTCGGCTCCGCGGCTTTGGTGTACACCATCCAAGAGCACTCGAAAGTCATCCCTTCCGCCCGGTTCCCCAAAATAATTAGTGACGTGAACTCATTGTCGGCAACTGCGTCCCGTGTAAATGCCTTATGTAGTCGATGTTTGCTGCCAATAGTTTGTAACCCACCACGGGCAGAATAGTTCCGGATATTGAGATCATGACTTGTAAATAGGGTTTTCAAAAATCTTGGTTTACTAATTACGTTTACGACTAATAATAGCGGTAAAGCTGTCCCATTCTCGTCCGTTTTGTACGGACAACACCGCATTCATTTGCCATTTCCCGTCTCTCTTGAACCTCGTATCCCGTCGTCCAGGGAAATTACCTACCATTCTCTGTATCATGATCTTTTCTTGAACCGTTGTCCGACGTGCTGTTGTCCATGTTTTCCCCATCATCTGTAATCTAACCGTATTTTCCAAACCAGGGTATCTACCAATGTTGTATGAGTGAAAGCAAAGAAAAAGATGAAAAAAGAAATCCAGTCACATGCACCACTACCCGACGCCACCTCTCAGGCATCTCTGGCACTTTTCTGCATCTTCCGCATCGCCTCGCGGTGTAATTCAAACATCTCGCCGCTCTGCATACTCCTCGTAAACGCCTGATCGGACCTCTCCTTGTCGATCCTCGCCTTCTCCTTGCGCTTCGCCTCCGCCTCCTTCTGGCTCATCATGAAGCTCCGCTGCAGGTCAATGTTCCTCTGCATCTCGGCCTCGCGCGCGGCGGCCTGGCTGGCGGCCAGGTTCGAGGCGCTCGGCGCACGGCACATGCTCAGTGCCATGTCGCGGCCGTTGACAGCGGGGGCGGGGGAGGCCATACCCGCACGTAGATCGGCTCGAACAGAGTCCCGGAAGCTTGCGAGCCTGGCGTCGCGGGCGTCTTGCGAGGGGATGTTGGAGTAGCGCATTGGCTGGTGGGAGTCAAAGGCGACGTTCTCGGCGGACATACCGGGCTGCGGGTACGACCCGCTGGCTGATCTGGATCCTTCGGGAGAAGACCTCATTGTTCCAAAGCTACTCTGGCGGCGGATCATCTCCTTGCGCTGGCTCAACGGAAGGTCGTCCAGAGAAGCTGGCGGCATTTGCGACGGGTAGACGGGGTAGTTGTACGTGGAGCCTGTTTCGCTATGGGTCCGGTAGGGCGCGGCAGGGATCTCGGGCATGTTGTTGGCGCCAGTCAGGATTCCGTAGGTCTTGTTCCGCAGAGCAATGCTTCTCTGCGCAATCAAGCTCTGAGGGCTGTCGTAAGACATGATACCGGGTGGCGGCGGCGGCGGGATAAAGACAGCTGAGGCTGTTGCTGAAGAAACAATGCCGGGCACGAGGCCGGAGCTGCTGCTCTTTGTACTTGGGGCTCGGGAGAGCGCTCGTTGTTCTTCCTCTGCAATGGGATCGAACCGAGTCTTGCTTGATGCGCGGCGATGTGACTGGTAAGAGTTGTTTCTTGAGTGGCCGCGGCTTGCCGACTGGGTCGACTTTGGTCGGGTCAGCGTAGGTGAGGGTGTGGCGATGGGGCCAGGAGATATTGACGGAGTTGGCGCAGGCGTGGCGGATAGGGCCGTTTGCTGAAGTTCTTCGACATGTACAGGAGCTGGAGCTTCCCGCGTCTGCGGTCTGTCGTCTCCAGTCCTCAAGGTTTCAGGCTCGGGTGCCTCGGCGTGGCTCAGGTGCTTGGCCCATTCGTTCGTGCGATAGTGTAGCGCAACATTGGAGAAGCTGGGCGGGAGACGCTCTTGTGTCAGGTTCAGGGGCGTGGAATGGAGCGATGGTGTTGATTTGGCTTCCTGGGGTTGTTGGCTTTCATCTGACTCCGTTTGCTCTGGCTGCTTGAGGTTGTCTTCTTTGGCGACGTCGCCGACGGGAGTGACCGTCTCCGGTTCCATCCCTTCAACAGCAGAGGGGAGAGTGACTTCCTTGGTCGGAGACTGAATTGGCATGTCAGTGACGGCTGTCAAGGCTGACACTCGTCTAATAGAGTCTCCATCGGTGATACTTTGTCGAGGAACTGAAACTGATGAGGCCTCCGGCTTGTTGCTTGTCTGTTGCTCTCCTGAAAACTGAGCGTTGATCTCGATGCTGCGCCGGCATTCACCGTCTACGGTCCCCGCGCCGCTGTCGCTTTGAGTATCAATAGTTGCTGCAAGAGAAACGGCGTCGTCATCTCTCGGGCATTGAAGGGCCACCAACTCCTCATCGCCGTCTTCTTTACGAAGCGACATCGACGTCCTCTGGGAAACCCTCCGCATCAGCTGTGCCGAACTTTGGGAAAGACGCTTCGCAAAGGAACTCCGCTTGCTGCCGACACCTGCCTGGACCTCCTCATCATCATCGGCAAATGTTGCAATCGTAGATCGTTCCTCCTTGTCTCTGGCCATTGCCTCCTCATCAGGGAATCTGAATGGCAAAGGTACCACTTCAGGAACCGGGGCCACTTCTTGCACGCTCTGTACAACGGCTGTGTCTTTGGGGTCTTCCTTCTGATCAACCGCCTTATCCGCAGCATCGGCTTCTGTGGGGGTCTCATCCGTAGCAACGCGCACTGTTACGACGACGTCCTTCTCCTGTCCGGAAATTATCAAACCTTGAGACGTTGGCTTTGGGGGAACAGTGGGAGGGACGTCTGATCCTGGCATTTCAGCCACGGGAGGTGCGTGTGATCGAGGCGTAGCGGTGCTCTGACTGTATCGAATGGCCTTCTCACTCTCGCTGTCGCGAGCAAAGCCGGAATCATGATCATCGCTGTCTGGCACGTAATCCCCATGGGCTCTTTCCCATGCCCGTCGTTCCCGAGCGTTACGAGCCTCAAGCTCTCTTCCAATGTTGGCCTCTTCGTCGTCACGAGCTCGCTGAGCCTCGGCCAGTTCTTCTTCTCGCTTCCTGCGTCGATCCTTGATGACGTTCCACAACCTCTTCTGAGAAATGATGCCGATGAAGAAAATTACAAGTATGGCGCCGACCTCGACGCGAATGCCCTTGGTCAGCGGGTATGTATTGGTGTCTTGAGGAAAAAGGTTGTTGTTCAAATCCCAAATGTATGCCCAAAACTCCTTCAGTCCAGCGCGGCTGAAGCAGTCAATTCCAAGCACAGTTGCCGTGGCGCCACTGAAGGAGATTGTAGCCATGAGCGCCCAGTCCCGGGTCCATCGGGTAAAGTACGACGCGAATCCCACTAGTGAGAAGGCAATGATGAAGATGACTTTGCCGATTCCCGAGAGCAGTCCGCCCTCGTGGAGGCAAAGGATCCACATTGACAGGCAGAATCCGCCAAGAGCACATCCAAGGCACTCCGTGATCTCTTTGAAGAACCAAGAAGCAAGGGCGCCAACTGCAATGGCCGGTAGGATTGCCGCAACGACATAAGCCCCTTGAGATCCATTGGATACTGGGATGACCATGACGTAGACGACCAAGACCGTTATGCCCAAGCCGACGACGTACGCAACGGAGAAGGCATTGTGCAAGATTGTGTTCTTTATACCAATCAGACTGTAAATGACCCCGGTGCAAAGCAGGATGACGCCAGCTACGGCCCAACCTGGTGTGACCTTTGGCTCGATGGGTAGCTCTCCTTCCGGAATGGTAGCTGTGTTAAAGGTTAGCTTTTCCAAGTTTTGACCCGGGTATTAGACGCGTGAACCAGAAGCCCGCTTACCGGTGTCAAGGCTTGAGTTGCCAGAGGTGCTGCCTCCAGTTGGGGTGATCGGAGGACTAGAGACGGTGGCAGAAACAGAGGGTGAATCAGTGGTAGTAACTACCGTTGACATTGTTGAAGAAGCCGACGATGCAGTAGTTTCGGCATCTTGTACGCTTTGGGATAGAGCAGAAGAGGCAACCGCAGTCGTTGAGGTTCCGCTCTCTTGACGTCTCGCGGGCACGAAGGCTTGAGCAACAGCAACCTGAAGTAAGATTAAGAGAAGGCCCCAAGTGATCAGACTGTTCCACCTCGCCATGATGACGGAATGGCCACCGGGTTTCGAAAAAATTATGAGTCCGGTACTATCGTTTGGTGTTGTCACAATGGTTTCTTGACATTGATGGTGTACATCCACCTGGAGCACATGCGACGTAAAGAGGAGAGGGGATGCCAGCAAGGAGAAAGGAGTCGGTGAGGGACACGAGCGAGCTGAAGGGAGGAGCTGGGAGGAAGGCGGTATTATTAGATGAACGAACAACGTCCAGTAAGTGTCGACTCGAACCCCAGAGACCAGTGGGGTAGAAAGACAAGACAGCTCCAGGGCTGACAGCAGAGAAGGGGAGGAGAGAATGAAAGAAGAAGCAAAGGGTAGAGACAGGGGCAGGGAACAGCCCAGATGTCATGGGGTGGAGTCGAGGCCTGAGGTGATCAAACTATATAGAACAAGGAGGACAGCTTTAATGCCGGAGGGGGAAGATCCATATGGGGGGCGCTGCGGATCTGGCTGGTGACACCGAGCAGGGCACCCACAATTGGTGTACAAATACACGCGGATTTGCATCAGCTGCGATGGACTCGTCACAGTGAAGTGTGCAGTCCTGCTCACATGACGGAACAGACTCGGGACTGAGGCAACGCATGGAGGTCTTGGAGATGGTCAAAGACTATAAAGTGCTTCCTTTCTAGCCACCATCCAATGGACAACAGTGAGATCAGACCAAGGTTGAAGCTGCATTGCATGTTCGATAGCCAATTTGCAGCAACGACTTCCCAGCCTAGCTGGCATGACAAGAACGGTAGCGGGATCGTATTGGAAGAGGAAGTACAAACAGGACGGCGCGCGGGTACGGGAGATGAATACCACGGACGTTCGGAGAAAAAGAAACGTAGGTAGGCAAAAAGAGGGTGGCCAACCAAGAGGGCGAGGTCCTCCTTGGCAGCATCGGATACAAGCGAGTGACCTGCGGCTCTCGGCCAGGAACGGACAAGAGGACCAAGTCGAGGGTCCACGGCGTCGAGACGGATTGCGGACAACTACCTAGTCCTCTGACGATACCGACATCACCAGGCCTTGTAGCGGATAACAAGAATCTTGGCCTGCTTGCTAGCTATGCCACGGAGTCCAAGGGCGACACAAATAGCAGAGGGCAAGGTAGCAAACGCAGATGTATTCGTAGCCAAAGGCGACTTGGATTGAGAAGAATTGTGACGAAGAAGCTGTTGGCAAGTGGAAAGCAGTCGTCGGAAGTTGAGGCGCGTCCATCCTAAATTACAGGGACAGGGGACGACCCCGGCATACCGCACATTAGCGTTTGACTCGGGTGGGAACATCTGTAAGACAATCAGGAACAGCAAGGAATAATAGTCCGGCAAAATGGAGGGGGGAGGGGGCCTCTGGAGGCACAGGAGGGGTGGAAGGGCCTGCGGGGCTTGGGTTGGCCGTGAGGAAGGAATGCGGATGGATTGGATGGACGGACGGAAGGGATGACACGATGAAATGGACGAGATGAGAAAGACGGGATGGTCGTGAGAACTCGACATCTGGGCCCTCGACAGGGCTCCTCAACACCTCCAGGCTCCACAACCTCTTTGGTGCCAAAAGTCTGTCCTCACAGAAACGCCCGAGACGGGCGCGCGAACGATTTGCACTGGCCGAGCCACAGGTGCAGTGCGCAGCACGTCGCAGCACATCGCAGCGCTGAGTGAGCTGGCATGGGCAGGGCATGGTTTTGCATCTTGTGTACGGATGCGGATACTGGGTCCCCATTCGCAGCCACACTCTGTATCATGGCCATAAGGTAGGCATCCATCCATCTGTACAATGGTAGCAGCGTGGTGGTTCGTACCTTACCCATCATCAAGATGTGGATTTCCACATTGGTACATGACGCTTCTTTTCCCACAGCCACGTCGTCTGCATTACCGGAATGGGAGAGTCGAGTTGGGGATTTTCAATAGTCTTCTGCTACCCGCATGAATTCGTGTCCAGATGCGGACGCGTATGTCGACCGCGACCGCATCGTTGTAGGGAGTGCGATAAATTACTTTTTTCCCGCAGCGTTGGATGGGCGGCGGTTCGGCCGAGGTCGTTCATCAGCTGAGCTCCGAATAGAGGAAAAAGGAGATTATTGTAAAGTGCGTCAGGTTCGCCACAAGATCGGTGGCGCACCCCGAGGCAAGACAAGGCCGGTAGCCGCACAAGACGAACATTGGCGTGTCTTCTCTTCCTTGACTAGGTAAGTGGCCATGAAGGTGAGGTGGTATTGGGAAGCAATGGTGTGAGCTGCAGCCAACCACCACAGTCCGCAGCTGCAACCTGCACGTCTCCGGTCAAACGCGGGACGTGGACAGTCGTGATGCGAAATGAAAGAGTTGCACCGACGCAGCGGGACGAGGACGATCCAAGGTACGAAGTAAGGTAAGGTCCCTTGCCTGGCGGGGATACCCAGCCGGCGCTTTTCGATGGCCAGGGCCGAAGAGCAGGTGCAACCCTCGCTAGGCCCTCTCCAGATGCGCTAGCTGATCACGTCTTAGTCGGTTCCTGCTTTAGCTTAACGGCGCATCGAGGGAAGAAGGAAGCTGAGCACCAAGAAAGGCAAGAAAGAGAAAAGACACCAACGAGCACCTGCCTTGCCTATAGGTACGAAAAGAGCAAACGATAGATAGGTTACCTACGCATAACTCCGACCCGTGGAATTGATACTGAACCTTTTCCAAACAATGGAAGGGAATTTTCACCGCACCGCGCCTTACCCTCGCCCCACCTCTCCCGTCCTCACCACCACAGCAACATCGCTCATCCTTGATACCATCGAACCACCAACCCCCCACCTGGGTCCCTCCTAGCGTTTTGCAAGCCTGGACCACGGGATACCCATGTTTGCAATGGCAGGCTGTGCGTCATTAAGTTCCGATCACGCGCTTGCTCGGCAATAGACCTGACAGTCGGCCTAGTCTTCCTACATTGCCATTGATTGTATTCCAGCTGGTTTTTTCCCTCCCTTGGTCTCAAATCTTTTCTGTCTCTGCTACATGGCGCAACAATCTACTGAACCGATCGAGATTACGAGGGACGGTCCCAACAAGTTCCACCGAAAACCATCATGATCCGGCGTGATCGGATTGCGGCTACGTAGTCTAGGCCTACCTACCTGTTGTTTTGGATTTCCGTGCCCGTCCTTAATTATTGAACTCTCTTGCCGACTAACACGCCCACTCGAAATCCACTTAGGCTTGAGAGGAAACTCTGCTCCTCCACATGGACGGCCCAGTCATGGGTGCTCTCCACGGCATTGGGCCCGGATATGGGGCATGCAGATCCATTGTTACAAGACGGCCTTGCTGACATTGACGAGTTTGGCATACGGGCCCCTGAGTCTGCCTAGGGTAGGAGAGACTGATTCTGACTCTGAGTAGCATGGAACAGCTGGCTAGCACGTCGACACGGCCACATACATCGTGACGTTGACAGTTCTGTTTTCATCTCATCAGATGATGCCTCCTACACGCTTTACAATATGGCATTGTTTCGAGATTTGCCTCTGGAAACAATGGCTTTCGGACTGCTTTGACTGGCACCAAGCCAGAATTCTATTTTTTCTTTTCAACACAATCGCGATGACATGTCGGAAGCAAAGCACGTTCGTCCATTACCTGCGGCTATCGCATCACTGATCTGGGTCGAAATCGGGCTGCCGGCGCCACTATTCCCCAAGCTAGGCGCGTGTGAAATTGAAGGGTCCACACATGCCTTGGCCCGATCCAACAAGCCAAGGGAGAAGAAATTTCTTTGAGCTTCGACTCTTGCCATGTGCTTGATGGCAGCAGGTCAATCAACAGCGGAAGCTTACGGAGCGTCGTTCTCCTCAGCTTCTTGTTAGCTGTTGTTGAATGCCCTTATTCGACAGTCCGACCGCAGACGGTACACTTGCCCCATGTTCTGCGCCTCATCGCATAAAGGGGTCCTCGAATCCCTGCTCGCTCTGATACGAGCAAAGCCTCACTGCATGAGCGTCCCCCATACTAGTGACCTTGAGATTGCTTTCTAAATCAGACTGTCTTTCACCTCGATATTCCGAGTACCATCTCAGATACTGGGCTGAACACCCATGTCGACAGCTGCTCATGTAACCCAAGAAAAGAAACTGCTTCATCTGGGCGCCGCGACGCCATACCGCCAATACCGCCAACGCCGGAACCCTTGCGCCTTCCCGCTGGTGTCCGACACAAAGTATTGGCGTTTTCATCCCATAGACCCCGTCGTGTCTGCGGAACCCCGTGAACCACTAACTGATCGGCCCTTGAGGGCCCCCTTGGCATTACAATTTTCCGGTCATCGTGGGACAATCTCACTGAATCACAAACTCATGCTTGGGACGGTTGGTGGAATGGCCCGGCCGGCTGAACTGGTTCCCCTGAACGGTTCGTCCGACAATTGTGGGGAGAGGGGCAGATTCATGCCGTGGCCCGGGGAATGGCCTCCCCCCGGTTCAAGACTTTGTCTCTTTTGAAAGTCAAGCACTGACAAGCCGTCAATCAACACCATCCATGTCATCTGTAGCAGCGGCTGATTGGCATGGTTTGTCTGGGCTATCGACTCTGAGCCGCACTCTTGCGATCTGTGTTCGTTCGCTTGTCTGTGGCTTCGAGTCATTGTGAAAACGATCCTCCTCGTCTCGCCCTCACAGTCCGGACCTCGTCTGCCCATGACACATTCCTCGCACATGGCCCTGACATCTGCCAGTCCTCGTTCGCCGTCTGGAACACCCGTTTCCCTCATCCTCCGGTCATCCACATCCCGGCTAGCAAATCAGTCACTGTACCGCGACTATGGCCACGACCACAATCACATTGTCAGCTCTCTCGCGACCTAAGCGTCTACAACCTACCGGATCGTCACTGGACTTCCCCAGCTTTCCCAGGGAAACTCAAAATACTCTTGGACCGTTTCCCCTTCCTCTCGCGGAAGGGTTGGTCAGGGCGAGGCAGAAAAAGTTCCATGAAACCTTCTAGGACGTGGCGACATGACCGCACGTGGATGGGCACGGATGTGTGTATACATGAATGTCTATCCCCAACCTCCTCCTGCCTTGTATTGGATGAATATTCAAGGATCTAGTACGAAGGCACTACGCGTCATCGAAGCCTCGGAGACGATGGTGGCGAGACCAGATACTAGGCGGCCGTATAGCCTCTCACCTCGGCGTGTCATGGCATTCGTGATCGAGTCATAGAACCCGTCGCGGAATATTTGACTTGGGACTCTTCCCCGAGGGCGACATTGCGATGCAGCAACAGCTCAACAGCAATCTGTTGGAAAGTGATGGCCAATTGTGGACAGTATAAGAACTCTCCAAGCGGAAGACTCTACTTTTGTTCTTTCTGAACAAGCGGTCTACGGACGTTGCGTTGCTCCTCTCCCTGTCCCATGAAACACTTCGTTCCGCCCGTCCGCTGGTATGCTTGTATATATATATAAGCCTGCATGCATATCCCCTTCTTTCCCCAACCGGAATCACTTCACGCTCCGGAATTGGACTAGACGTTCTTCGCCTGCTGTGATACCAGCCAACTGATACTCCAGCCGAAGTGCTGCCATCAGCCGGGCAGCCAGCTCGGATGAGATCCTACTTGGAAATCTTTGCAATTCTGAATGCACGTACTGATACGCTCGCTGGCCTTGACAGAGACCAAGCTCATGCAGAAAAGCCCCCCCGATTTAATGACTTGGCGGAGTCAAATGACCCTCATACAACTGAACAGTCCATGTCAGTCTTGCTTGACGAGGCAGATCATACACCGCGTACCTTGCACATATCCGTCACTCACATGACAGTTGAATAAAAGACTCTAGATGCCCATGATGAGACGGTCTCTCAGGAACAATCATTTACTCGCAACAAACGACCGTATCACAAGTCATCTGTCGGTTTGAAATATCCACACGCCTGAAGGCAATTTTCTTCTTATTGCATACAAGACGAGATCTCGTTCGGGTCTTTGCTCATTTCTCGTGTCTCCGATGTCGGGATTATTTCCAATGAATGCGGAGTGAGTGACCTGATTCAGACATATTCATTGCTCTTGGAACCCAACGTATCCGTTGAATGATGGGACCATTAAACGTTGGCTGATCAAGTTAGTCTGTCAATGGTTGAGAAAGGCAAGGCAAGTTAATTCTCATACAAGACCTTGATGAGAAGATAATTCGAGACTAACAGTACAGTGTAGGTGATGTTTCTCCAAACACGTCGAACCAGTATTTTGACTGGTTTCGGAAACCACATTACAACGCCGCTTCATTCAAAGCCCTTTTCTTTTTGTCCCATGGATGGTATTCGTGCCTGAAACCACAGCCTGTTTCTGATTGTGAAGAGAATATCTTGCAACTCCAACCCCTTTCGCGCCAGCCTACACCCTCGATACCTCTGCTGATCATCTCTTTGAGACGCGGCTCGGTTGCCTGTCTGCAGCCATCCTCCCGTGACCCATGCCCTTCCCGTTGCGACTGGACTTTGACGTTCTTTCCGGAAGGGACTTCTTCTTACGCTTGAGCAAACCACGAACCGTCTTGAACGGTAGCACCAACAGAGCAACCACGGCAAAAAAGGGCATCATGATAATGGCCCACACGGACTCGACTAGCCACTGCATGAAGCCCGGCCGGGCAACACTGTTCTTGGCTGCTGCTGCCGCGAGTGCGATGGCATCATTCAGGCGGGTATCGACTGCCGCGAAGCGTGATTCGGTCTGGAATGCGAGTACCGTTGCCTTCTTCTCGTATCGTCGCACAGCCCTATTCAGCGCATCCAGATCGGGCTGGATGGCGTTGCGAACATCGCGGGCAATGGCGGCCTCTTGCTTGACCTTGGAACTGTCCGAGTTCCCGTTGTGCTTCATCGGTATCGGCTCAGGCCGTGACTCCAACATTTCCAACCGTGCCTTGAGCACTCTCATCTGATCTGACGTGGCGCCGTCGTCCTTGTACGGGTTCACGTGGACGTCCCGCTGCAGTTGAATAGTCCTGCACTGCACGAGTTTCATAAGGTGTGAAATTGGCCGTACCTCCGCCGCCAAGAGGAAGATGGTCAAATTGTAGTTGGAAACCAGTCCCTCCGAGGGCCGGCTAAGCTGGGCGCGGATGGCATGCAGCAAATACGCACCCAGCATGGGAAACATGAAGCAAGATACCAAAGCCAGTATCTCGTGCACCCAGAGCTCAGCCATTGCGTCCTCCTTTTTGTTTCTTGGCGTCGTCGTCGTCGGCGTCTTCCGTACTCGTTCCTGTACGAAGGAAGTGGGCGTTGTGGGTACTTCGGACGCTTCGTCCACATTCCCGTTCCCCGTGTGGCCGTTAGCCGTCGATGCTGTCGGCGAGGGACTTCCGACTGCCTGCTCCGTCTCGCTCTCATCGTCAATTACGGCGCTCGTGCTGATCTCTGCCCGAACACGCACTGCTTGCGCCGAGTGATACCAATTCCTGGCGGCTGGTGTCAGCGCTCGGATAGTTCTGTTCTCCCGCAAAAACGAGCCGGTCGCGATATGCCGCAAAACAAGGCGTCGACTTACCATGGATGTGTCACGGACCAGTGCAGGAACACGGCCGACAAGCCCAACAACATGACGTCCGTCACAACGGCGCTGCCATTCTTAAAAAGTAGACCACCGACGGCTGGTAAGAGGGCAAATGCCAAAGGAACCGAGGCCCAGTTGGACATGTCGTCCATTGATGTTGACGGTGTACCATCTCCAGGCCTAGGGTTCAGCAAGTCTCTCGCATCGCCAAAGCTGTAGTCCGACAAGGTCGAACTTCTCCTCCTCCCAAGGCCTCTCTCGGCGAACGAGTTCTCTGTAGGAATATGGCTGAAAGGTGGCCGTCGCCGCATCTGAGATGTCTCGTCTACCGTCACAGCGCGCTTAAAGGAATGTCCCGAGGGTGCTGGTGAAGTCGTGGTCCCTGGTGACGATACTGTCTGCTTCCTACTGGTGTTGCTTGTTGTTGTGAGCGGCGAAGTTGGACTTCGCGGACTGTTCTCGTCCGACATGATGGGCGGAGCGAAAGGTATCAGCTCGAATATTTGGACGTATTACAATTTTTTCTCGCTTTCTATCGTTTCTGCTGGCGAGCTTTTCTATTATTTCTCTTAGGTTGTTGGTGACTGGAAGGTCGTAGCGAGACGTGCAAGTCCGAGCTTGGGACAGGCAGTCAAGGGGTTTTGAAGGCTCCTCATCCGACACACGCCACGTCCTGATAATAATCCTTGCGGGATCGTCTTACACAACGCGCTCTTGAGCCCAAGGAAAGGAGAGGGAAGGGAAAAGGAGGAAAGGAGGAAGAGGGGCGGAGAGGGAAGAATGGCCGCTAGGCACAAATGAGGAGCTGCGTGTCTTGCAGTAGGCGTACACACTGCAGCATGTGCGTGTACGTGTACGTGCGACAGAGCCAGTCAGATCAGGGTGTACCAAGGGCGAGAAGGGCGAGAAGTGAAGCGCCACGAGCTGAGGATTCGGGCTGGCGTCAATGGTATGTCGCTGGCGGGAATGGACGTGGTTTTAGCCTCTGGGCTTGGTGGCGACTTGGATCGTCCCTGCCTGCCTTAGCTAGGCAAGGTACCGCGAGGTGATTGGGTGGGGAGGAAACGTCCGGCGACTTTTCTCAGTCGGAACGAATGGCCGAGGTACCGTGTCCCTGCTAGGCGTCGCGAGTGTCGCGAGGTGGAATGGAGGGACGGGGGTCGGGGACGATGGGCAGATGGTTGAAAAGGACGAGAGCACGAGGTTCGAGTAGAGGAATAAGAAATGTCGGGGAGATGGGTGGGGATGGATGGAAATGGAAGGAGAGGGGGGTTTTGCGAGATGAACTGTACGGAGTACTGCACTGGCAAATTGTCTCGTGGGAAGGGAAGATGAGGTAAGGTAAGGATGCAGACGGATGCACGGCAGAGTCAGGTACCTCAAGATAGGTAGCCAAGGCAGGAAGTAGCGAAGGTAGGTAACTCTGTCAGTCTGCCCGGAGGGATGGATGGCAGGTACTCGGGCTTGCATCTGGGGCCTGTCTCTTTCTTGATGGAGGTAGGTACTCAATTCTAGTTCTAGGTACCCGGGCTCGGTCAAGTAAGATGAGTGCCGGCGTGCCTTTGTACATACGGATACAACCTGGAAGCAACAAGAAAGCAGCCACAAGCTGCCTTGAGTATTACCTACAGAGCTGTTCCTAGCTGGATTACATGTCCGGTGCAAAAGGAGGTCGCTGCTTGCCAATGTATGGCTGCTTCTTGCTCATGCTGATGGATGCTGACGACAGGGATGATGATGCAGTGATGCAACCTATCCGCGGGTCCCCTCACCCTTTCCCCCGCTCCCGCTCTGCCCGCATCACATCCCTATCCGCATCCAGCCCTGAGGACCCTGTTAAGATCCACAGTAGACGCCGGACTGGGCCGGGGGTGGGAGGGGAGGATGGAGGCCTTCCACTTACAACTTCAACCTCATCCACTCTACACATCGCGTGCGCTCGTGCCACAACTAGTTGCGTCTCCTCAGTGGTTTCGTTGCACATGTTTTTTGAGAAGCACTGAAATTTCAGCAATATGATCGAGAAGTCAAGATTGCTGCCCTCGTCCTACCGCATCGCCTCGGTCCATCGCCGTGGGCTAGCGGTACGTGAAACGGCCATCCCATCCCACCACTTCGCCCCTCCTCGGCGAGCTCATCTACGCAGTATTAGTGCCGCCGTATGGCCCCTACATCGATATCCCCGTCATCTTTGTTGGTGAGGGTTCAAAGATAAAGGGACAGCCAGAGGCTAGATTGCCCGTCATTTGCCGATGCCAATTTCACCTTATAACCTTATCTGGTCTTCCACCACGACCCTCTTACCCGGCTCGTCATCTCGCCGCACCATACCGGCCCAGGTTCGCATACTACGCAGCAAGACAGGCATCAACAGATGAACGTCTACTCCAAGAGACCAATTATGTCTCGGCCACGCCCCATGCTCCCCGTCCTTGCCTCATAGCATTCCGAGTTCCGTCGACGAGCAGTATGGTATTGGACCAGGTATCGGCAAAAGCAGCAAACTTTTTTGAACGTCTGTATGTCTTCCAGCCTGCCGCCCCAACAAAACGAATGTGCGGGTTGGGTTATCCCAGTAGCACATGTGCTACATCTGCGAGCTGTTGATTGTTGCCTCCACTCCGATGCGGATGTTGCGTGTAGGACAGAGTATAGATCGAACGAGAGCACACAACCCGGTCTCGGCGTTTGATCACTGCCAGTATCCATACTCTGCCTACTATTTCTATGCCACAGAGAAGCGGCTGGCGAACAGACGTTGCGGCCTCTTCGTCATGGATTGCTTTCTGGAGCCGCGCGTGCCACGGGACCTCTGCTTTTTTCTGTGCCATCGTCTAATTCTCGCTGCATCAAATGTCATTGGGGAAGTAGGAGGAAAGCCTCCCTGGCTGTGTTGATGTATCGTTGTAATTGCCCCGCCGTTGATCTCGGTCGAGCATGCGAGCATTTGGTTCAGCCACATCGCCAAGGTTTGCCATCGCTGGGTGCCATACAGAACGGTGCCAAAAGTCTGCGTTCAACTAGCAGTGCGCCACACAAAACCCACTAACCTACTATTTACATAAGCTTAATTATCTTAAGGAACCTAAGTATTAATATAATAATATCAATTTCTAAAACTTATTTATTTATAAAATATATTATAGATATTTTTTATATATTTGAATAAGTTATTTTGAGTAAGTTATAATAATATAAAATATTGAAAATAAAATAAGTAAAAACGCCTCTACGTAGTACAGTGTGATTAGCACTCAAAGTGCTCTATAACCTACTGTATTAAAAACTAATATTAAGACGTTTATTATAATCTTACATAACTCCATTATAATTTAATAAAAATAATTAAAAACTTCTCAATATATATAATATTAACTAAAATATTTTTCTTTATTTTTATTTTTTTAATTAGAGTTATATTCATGTTTTTATTTACTATTATAATTAGGGGATTTTCGGTGGGATACTGTGCATTGAACGCAAACTTGTGGCACCCCACTGTACAGCCCTGCCCGTTCCCGTAGCCAAGTATCGCGTCCTGGTCCCCAAAATGTTGAATCTCGGCTCCGCAAATTTAAAGATTGACTGACAGACACGTAGCAGCCGATTGATTGTTTCGAGCGAGCCGGGACCGCCGCGTGCCGCATGCATTTCTATCCCTCGAATACGTGGCACAGCCCAATTAAGACGCATGATTCGATGTCGTTAGATTCAATCCAACGGAGCCAACCGAGGCATGCCGGTCCAAGTTACGCACGAGCAGTTTCTGTATTGAGAAACAAAAAAGCAGGCCGATTTCGTACCAGATTGGCATGCCACGAGCTAACTCAACAGGCGCGGTTGCACAAAAGGAGACGCGGGCTGGCTGAAAACATGTCTGAGAGACCAGTGTCAGACGGAACCCCGCAATTCCCCATGTTGGTCTTGACGCATGTCTTGTCGATGTATCCGTATGTTGCCAGCCACCGAAGTCGAATGAGACTATCCCCAGGACCGCGAAATCCCCTTGGCCCGAAGCAGATTGCCAGATGAATCAAACTTTGTGATCGTGTTTGTTCGGAGTCTTTCTCCGGTTGAGCTTTCCCATGACATCAATTCCCATCAATGACCGTAAGACTGTCGGGGAGAGAGCTGCACGCGATTGACTCTCTTGGTTGGGCAATAAGGCCGCTCAATGACATAACCTGCTTGTTCCGTTTCAATTCCATATCAAGCCGAGACCATTGAAATGCCTGTTTCTTTATCCCGCGAGTGGGATGGTGCTTTCATATTCCAACAGTCTAAGTCATACAACCAGATCTGTGTCAGGCAGAATAACATTGCGAATCTAAAGAGTGCGAAAGGATGCGAGTCGTTTCATACCAACCTCCCAATATCCGCGAGCACTGCTGAGGGAATTCGTGCCAGACAAGTATGCGCCCTGCATTATGTGATCATTTCAAAATGGCGAGTTAGCGAGTCGCTTGTAGCAATCCATTGAAGAATAATGTTGCGAAAGGCGGCTCTCCCGGAAACTGCAAGATCATCGTGAGCATTCAACCATTGTCCACTAAACCGGGATTAGCAATAGGTAGCTAGCCCTTCAGGCGTACCGCAACTAAGGTTCCTTGGTGCTGGATAATAAGGGGTAAATAGATTGGCTGTATTGACGCCCCGCTTTCCGAACCCGACTCTTCAACAGAAGTCCAACCTGTGAATCTCTGAGCATCCGAATTTGGCTGCTTCGTTGATCGGCATTCCCCTTTGATGCTTATTTGCCTGATGATATTGGCTTGTCTTGGGTCGACTGGAGAGGCCAGTGCAACACGATGGGAACGCAGGGTTGCGCTGGAGGCTGGAGCGCTAGAGCACTACCGCAATGTGGACAGTTTTTAATAGAAGTTTCTAGCTGTCCAGAAACTACATGCTTTGGTTTGTTTGTCATCGGCAGAGTCGAAGAGTCGTCACGCACAGGCAGACCGGGTGCGACGGTAGCCGCTTGTTCATCGTGCAGAGACAAGACGACGGGCGCGCGATCAGGTGGCTTGAGACCATTTGGCGATACGACAGCACCGCTCCGCCGTTGAAAGTTTACTGGAGACTGAGGGCATGGCACACTGCTGCTTACGAAGCAGGAGCCAACTTGCTACTCTGGAGTCTGGACTTTTTCCCGAATGGGATGGCGGGCTGTTGTCTCCCTCATCCCGACTTTGCGTTGATTCGACGCGCCGGGGCAGTAGGGCCACAAATGCTTTTACGCAGTTGCGCTGCAATGTGCCATTCGGCGAGAGAGCAAGGCGCAAATTGGTGTCTGCCGACGCGGACAACCCCGTCTGAACCCTGTTTTTTGGTGGCCTCGGCGAGCAAGGACAACCAGGATGGTTTGATGGGTCCTGGAGGTACATAGTGCATCGCCCGGGTCCAAAATTGATTGAGTACAGCGTCGCCGTCAGGACAAAGGTAAGCCTGTTTGAAAATCTCTGCACGATCCAAAATAGACAATTTAAAGCACCTTGGAGGTTGGCCAGCAAGACAGGGAGGCACCTGCCAGGCTGAACGCCATCGAGGTCAGGTGAGAGTTGTGTACGAGGCAGGCCGTCGTCATATATTGACGGGCTGGGAACGGGTTGTTGGCGAGAAATCTCGTGTCGTATCTGGATTTTCTTTTTCTTCTTGCTGTTGGTGCGAGACCCAAGTATCCGAGACCCTCCACAAAACGACGGGTGAAGCACCGGCGGAATCCTCTAGTCCTGTATCTGTAACAGGAACCGCCTTGCAGGGCCACCGGTTGTCGTATAACCTGCGTCGCTGCGCTGGCAAATGCTGACGGGAGACTCTGGTTTTCGATTTCATTGATTGTCTCTCTTCAACCCTCGATCCTTTCTGCGACAGATCCTGCGGCCGACGATAAGCAGCCCTGCTGCTTGTTAAAGGGCGAGCCGCAAGAGCACTCGGCCAACGACGACGAAACGCGGTTGGCCGGTCTCCTTCTCTTGCAGAAGAGGTCTCGGCTTACCGGCGAATGAGCGAACAGACATTGACGTAGCTTGGACGGCAAAGCAGTAACGAGAAGAGACGACGAGAAGAAGAGCAATCGACGACATCGAATACACGACGACTCGACAGCAACAACGACGCCGCTACCTTCGAAGGCTTCCGTTGGTTTGGTTTGAGTGAGTAAAGTGGGCATTGAGCTGCAGGAACGTTCATCCCGGGCCAGCTGGATCCGAACCACACAATTCGAGCAGCAGGAACAGTGAACCCAACGCAAGAGCCACAGAGAAGGACCATCCTGCCTTCCGTTCCTGCGCATTGCGGCAACCAACAGGCAGAAGCTACAGGCTAGAGCCTACCTAGCCCAACTTCCAAGCAGAGAAAAAGGCGGGCGGGCTTCTCGGGCCCAGTGGAGGAACCTTGGGAAGGATCCCCCCCCTGCCTCCCACCAACGAGCGGCTTCCCAAAATGCTGGGACTGAGAGCCAGAGCCTCTAACCCAATCTCGGCCATCTCCTCCCCCCTGATCGCGCGCTCCACTTTTCACGACTCCACGGCCGCCTCACTGTCGCCGCCCAGCTGCAACTTCTGGACGACTTGGACGCTCATTCGGGCGCAATTATTCACCACCTACGGATCCAGTTGCACTTGCAGCAATTATTCATTGCCGCCAGTCACCAACGCTACGCCGTCTTCTCCTCGGTCCAAACCGAAGAACACCACCACCTCTTCCACCACCACCACCGTTGCATCCACACGGGCATCCACATCCGCAAACACCTCGGCCTTCGAGGCTGCTGCCAATCACGCTCCTCGTCCGCTTCTCCCACTGCCATTCACCATTGGCCGCTTTGCCCACGCTTGCATTGAAATCAGCACCACCACTACCACCACCGTTCAAGCGAAAGCCAAAGCTGCAGTCCGAGCCACTCCCTGCACGTCGTCGCCTTCGCATTTCTTTGTCCGGGTCTCCACATATCTAGCTGCAAACCTAATCGTTTTGCACCTGCGACTGCTGCTGCACCTGCGCGACTCTTCCTTTGGACGTCTTTTCCCCAATTCCATCCCGTCAACTTCCCCTCTAACCCGGCGACCAATTCAATCACTTCGTCCGCCGTCGACATCACAGTTGACGTTTCTGCCGCCGCCGCTTAAAGAGGCCCTGGCGACCTCCACGAGCCTGGCCCAGGCGCTGCTGCAAACTCCTCGACAACCAAAAGACCCGTTCTCCACCGTACCCCGTAAGGCCGTCGTCCTCACGGCGGCCTTCGTCGAACCATTCTCCCCACGGCTTCATACGCGAGAAACAAGTCTCCATCACCGGCCACCGTAGATGCGTCCGCAAATCCTCGCATCACAACGCTTTCACAGCAGCCCACATATCCCGGCGCTTCGCCTGACCTGCAAACTCCAGTAGCCGCCGCCGCCGCCCTACCCCAAGCTCGCAGTCCATCCTTGCTACGCCAATACGACCCCAAAGAGTACTTTTTGCAGTCTCCCTTCCGCAATCGTGCCGCCGCTTCTGCTCCCCATCGACTTCCTCACCTTTCGCCTGCTCGTCTGTGGAACCCAACCAACTCTACACCAAGACTTCCCGAAAAGCCTGTCCGCAAACGACGCCCCTCGACACCGCCTCCTCCTGCCGTCCCTCTATCGCATCCGACTCTCGATCGGTTATCTGTCGACCCTGCCGACCCCCTCGGCATCGGCGCTGGCGACTACCCGCTGCTAACTCTTCCGGAACAGCGCCAGACGCGACATCCGACATCGAATCGAAACAGCCTCCAATTTGATCGGAGTGGGAGTGGTGCCGAGCATCGCATCAATCTTCCAACATCACTGCGCCATTCATACGACGGACGAAGGTCCGCTGATCCTTCGCCAACATTTTTGGATCCTGACGCCAGCTCCGCCAACGAGGAAGAAGAAACACCCGCAGAGCCTCCTCCCGAACCCCGAGTAACTGGTCTGAGGAAACGCGGACAGAGTGTTTCCGACCCAGTCATACGAGACTTCGCAATAACCCTCAACGACAAGGGAAAAGGGAAGGCAGCCATGGAGCAAGGCACTGAAAATCAGGGGCGAGGGTCTTCGAAGGACTTGGAACGCGGGCCAGACGTGCTCCCGCGCCACTCGAATGTGTCGGCCGGCGATGCTATCGGTATTGGGTCGGCCATATCATCTTCCAACTCGTCGATTATGGGAGAGGAACTGCCGCCAGATATGGGCGAGGAATGGGGACCGCAACACCCGTGCTTTCCCCATATGAACCCTCATGTTCCCCTGGACTCGCCAGAGTACCACAATACTCGAATCATTCGCATACGTCGAGATTGGTTGATCGAGGGAGATTTGGCTCCGACGTTTTCCAACTTGTACCCTGAAATTTTGGATCCAGCCGGTTTGTCCGAACAAGAATTCCGGAGGATCATCGACAAGCTCAACGGCGAACTCATTCCAATATTCAGCCCGTACAGCTGGAGGAACGTGGTCGATGGCGTGCTGGGCCTCGTGACGGGTTGGCTATGGGATGACTTGGGTTTTACTGGCGTCAAGGCTCGGTTGAAGCGCCTGGAACGTTGGATTGACCAGTGGAACAACGAAATGGAAAAGACGATCGGCAATGAGGACAGCTCAATGGCTCCGCGAATCATCTCGCTGAGAAAGACGGGCTACATGACAGTAAGTTAACCTTATCAAAATCACATGAAATCCCGTACTCATCGAGATGAAAGCTGGACATACAGATCCCAGATCCGGAAATCGCACCTGCTCCTAGCACACCTGGCGGTTCTAGATCTGGAAGTATACCAATGGAGCCGCCAACCGCCATAATGGCACAATAATCTGGCGAGGCTGCTCCCCTGTCTGCCTTTGCCAACCTACCTTCTTCCCTTCGATTTCGTATTTCACCATACACTCTTTCTAATCACGGATCGGCCGCGGCCTGTGGGACGAACCGGCATGAGCTTATACGACCGTAGCCTCACTTCTTCACGAGGCACTCGATATCCATTTACTACTACCCGGGGTTATTTTACTCTTTTTTTCCGTCCCCACCCCCTACTACTACTATTACCTTATACCAAGACATGGCGCGGAGTTTTAGGATCCCTTGGCTGGGACAGTCACGAAATGTGAAGCAAATGATTTCTTACGCGTCTTTTTCAGGGTTCACGTTTTGGGTGACCAACGTGTTTTTCATGCCAGAATGTACGAAATGGGAGCGATCCTGATGTTGGGGGAACCCGTCTGTATGCGGGATGACGAAGGAGGAGCAGCTAAGCTCCGGAGGCCCCTATAATTTGTTTAGATACCTGATGTGCCATTAAAAACTCGTTTCTTCTCTACGCAGGCCTGTCTCTGACCTCATGAGGTGTACCTAGGAGGCACCCTCTCTTGATTCGCTCAAAAATTTGCCAACTCTTTTATCATGAACATGGCCGCTACATGACTGACTTGTGCGGATTGTGCCCGAAATAGCTAGCATTACGCCCGCAACGTCTCTCACTGGAAGGGAGGGGACGGAGGGAGAGGTTATTAGAAGCCATCCTGGTGTAGATTCCTATCAGTCGAATGGAAAAAGTGGCCGAGATGCCTGAGTATTTTGAAAGACCAATCCTCGGATCATGTTCCCGCCGAATTCACGATGATAGCTCCCACATGTTGTTGGATGTCCCTTGAGAATGTTGTCGGATCATTGTACCAAGGCTCGACTGCGGAGTTAAACACGGTAGCCAGGATCTCCGACTTGCGTGGTCAAACTCACGTTCATCAGGGCTCCCATCCAGCCATGATCGATCGTACAGGTGAGTCACTGCCGGCGTGGCGATTGTGGGTTCTTCATTGTCACAGGCTGACTGATCCAGAGGGGAGTGTCGAGGCACGCAGGACCAGCTATGCCGAATCGTGATATGGCTTCGGGGCGGCGGAAGAAGACTTGCTCCCTGCTCGATGGTATGCCGTGCCATTGGATCCGAGTTGCTTTCCGCGGCAGGACTATATGATCCCTGGGACCACATATAGGACGATGGTGAAGATATCGAGTCCCGTGTGGTTGAAACATGGCTGATCTGTGTGTCCTTCTGAGAAGTCTCACCGTTGACTTTGAACGACGCAGAGCTGCGGAAAGAAAAGCACGCACAGTCAGAATCTAGGCCCTCTGAACTTGGAAGGGTCGGGCACTCACACTCTTTGAACGACCGACTCTCCTTGCAGACCCTTTGGTCTTACCCCTGAAGCACCAGCATCTTTCCGGAGTCCGCGGAAGATTCCACCGCAGCCCAGCTTCAGCAATATACTGCGATAGGTCCTCATGATGTCCTCCGTCATACCGGAGAAGAAAAAGATGGGTACCGCCGACGCGATGACTAGATATTGGTGGTTGAGCTGAAAGAAACTAAGGCCGCTGTGGGGGTATAGAAGGACCGTATCCCACGGCAGGGGGTCATTCTTCTTTCGAATGTTGTCAAAGTCAAAGGTCTGGAACATGAAGGTGGTCCTCAGTTGGATTATGATTTGGTAGCAGTATAGGGGAATGTAAAGGACGAGGACGCAGATCATCACGGAGAAGATTCGCCATCTCGTCCGGCTTGCTCTTGCGGCGGCGGAGCTGTTTGACATGAGTGTTGACCGGGTGAGCAGCTCGATACGTGTGTAGCGCTTCCAAGTGAGGACTGTATGTTGGAGTGAGTAGAAATGATTTCCAGTGGGTGGGGGGGTGTCTGTCCGTAACTCACCCGCGTAGAAGCCCGCCGCAAGAGCCAGAATGGGATTTGGAAGCAGAAAGAAGACAAAGACGACCCAGTCGCCATGACCGCTCCATATACAGCCGCTCAGCGTAGCGATGGAATACCTCTGCGATGAAGTAGGTTACAGCAGACCCATCTGTAGCAACGGAATAGGGAAGATGATGAGCGCCTGCACGAGCATCTTCCTGCGTTTCTCCTGGGTAGATAAAGGCGTGGCCCGGGACAACCCCATCTGCTGCGCCAGATTCCGCGTGATAGCGAGGCACGAGGTCGAGTAGAGGGGGATCAGGGGCTGGTAGACGTAGGCGTGGATGTCGCACCAGATCTGTCCCTGGAGCCACTCGTACACATTGTCATTGCGCCAGACGAGGGCATTGATGGCGGTAGAGAAGTTCATGAGTATGACTGTGCCGACGAAGACGGCTGGGGCGAACTCGCCGTGGCGGTAGAGGTTTTTGAGGGGCACGAGACAGCCGATGTTGGAGAGGATGCCAAGGACTACCCGGCAGATGAGGTTGGCCGTCAGAGATGGGGTGGTGTAGGGCGCTGTTGGCGGGTAGGGTATTGCGAGTGTGCTGCGCGTTGATAGTATGTTTGGGATCGGTGACATCTCGATGGGCTGAGTACTTGGGGGATCTCGCAAGATACGCTACTCATCGTCGTCAGTGCTTAGGTGATTACTTGTGAGTGACCGGACCTGCTACAAGATGAGTTTCTTACTGCGGCCTTTCGTCCCAGATCATGAAGAGCAGCGCCTACGTAGTAGATGTAGAATTGATGGCCAGCAGCTTGCGTATCTTGAGAAAGTCACGGATGAATAATGAGAGATTAGTAAGTGTCAGGTAAGATGTTAAAGAGCAAACAGGAAATCTGGAGTGTACCCGGAGCCAGCTCCTCAAAAATTCTGTGATAGAGATGGAGGATGAAGACGTTTAGTCAATGAGAACCCAATGGGAAACGAATCAGAAGTGAGAGCGGGATGTAGGGAGACATGGAAAACAAGTGGTTCTTATGGGAAGTGCCAGAGATGGCCGAGTCTTGGTCCAAGAAGGAAAATTGATGGACAAGAGGAATGGCAGAACAGAAGAAGGAGCTGGCGCACCACCTCGATATCAAGTCGCGATTGCCAAGCTCACTCTAATGCATGGGAGACAGCCCTTCCTGAAGATCTCCCTGGCCGTCCTCGATGCTTGAGGTCCTCATATTTACTCGGTGTAAGCCGCAAATGGGCACCCGTTTCGACACATGGGTTACGTCTTTGAGCAATGACCTGTGTGCTTCTCTTTCGTCGTGGTCACGGCTATGGCCAAACATGACAGATATAAGCCACAACATGATATTCAGAAGCAAGTCTCAAATTAGCAACAGATATTTTCATCTCGTAATAGCGTTTGATTCAGACATGAGTAAGCAGAGATAATAGCCTCAAGAGTCATCTGGGTACATTGACTTGAGCAACCAAAGTGAAGGGGGCCAAGCCAGAAGCGATTTCATTTCAGGATCCCTCGAGGTTCTTGAAGAAAAAGTAAAGAGTTAACAAATAAATAGAAGCTTTGAAGATTGGTGAAGATGGATATGAGAAGCGAACTACCTAGGTAAGGGGGTCCCTACTGCTGTTACCTTATCCTTACTAGCTGCTTCCGGTTAGCGAATATTCCGAACTGGTATAAGGTAGCTTCGATATAGGAATGAGAGGACATCCAATTTCAGGGGTCAATGCGAAAAGTCAAGGGACCTGAGGTGGCATGCACGAGCCACTTTGTAGCCCAGCAAGCTGCGGTAGCGCCCCTGGACCGCGTCGACGCAACGCGCCCACCGCGAACGAAATCGATAGGTCCCATACCAGCCCATAAGCTCCCCCCCCCCGAAACGAACATCTCGTCAAGTTCGACACATCATCAACCACCCATTCGCTACACCTTTTTGTCCTCCGTCTCACCTTTTCGCCGCTCCTTCAATCAAAACGTCCCTTTTGCTACACACCCAAAACCGAAACATGTCTGCCTCCGCCCTCTTCCGCCGCGCCGCCGTCGCCCCGCGCATCGCCGCCCGCGCATTCAGCACCACCCCCTCCAACAACTTCGCCCGCATCACCATCGTCGGCAACCTCGCCGACACCCCCGAGCTCGTCCCCACCAGCACCGGCCGCGAGATCATCAGATACGCCGTCGCCAGCAACAGCGGCTCCAAGGAAAACCGCCAGACCAGCTGGTTCCGCGTCACTAGCTTCGAACCCGAAGGTCCCCGTCGCGACTTCCTCCAGTCCTTGCCCAAGGGGTACGCACGCACGATAAACCTGATGATACCTTGGAGAGAGAAAGAGAAACGAGTGATAAAAGAGCCTAGAGTGCTAATGTGTGTCTTTACATATAGAGCTACAGTCTATGTCGAGGGCGATGCTACCATCGGCACCTACCAAGATGCCGAGGGCAAGACCCGTAACTCCCTGAGAGTTATCCACCGTACGTCTCCTTCTTCTCTAGCACACGTTTGTTTTTATATAAGGGGGTTCGGAGGCGTCCTAACATCAACTACAGGCAGCATTGAAGTCCTCAAGCGCCCGTTTACTGGCACCAACGCCAGCGAGTAAATGTTCGCTCTATTGCTATCAATACGACAAACGGAGTTCTCTGCCATCTACGAACGACGCAAGACGAGTGTACTCTTTAGAGATCCTGACCTGACTGGCCATTCTCTCTCTCCACTCTATCGAGATCTTTGTTTTCTTTTTTGTGTAAAATGACCTGATAAATGGGCTGGTTGAGGCGTGCTGTACGAAAACTCTTTCTAGGACGATAATTGATACCATGGGTTGCTCCTCTCACTTGCGCCTCAAACGCATCTTGCGCCACGTGGTCTCCTGCTGCTTAGTCCTTTTGCCCAATCGAACGGTTGCATACAATATGCACGGGAACCGGCTTGTCGAATTTCAACGGCTCTATAAACTCGTAACCCTCAATGGGCCAAATTGCCCTCCTCAGACGAGCGTACAGCTATCCATGCATCCAAAGCCCGCAGCCACACCCCCCTCATTGCTGGTGTCACCCTTGGTGCGGAGCAAATAGCCAGCCTCCTCATTGTGAATCACCTTCCCGGTGCCCTGATTCCACACCGTAGTGCCGTAAATGCCAAGCTCGCAGATGACGCCGCCTTCTTCGAGGTTGCCGTTCCGGAGGATGATGTTGTCTTGCTTGGGCGGTGTGATCAACTCCATCAAAATATACGAGCCCCAGTGCGTCTCGGGAGTCTTCTTCAAGAATTCGGGAATGTCCTCGCGGTAGTGGTTGTTCCCGCCGCCTTCTCTCTGCGGCTTGAGGACGTAGCTCTTGCACAGCTCGGGATCCTGCGCAATCTTGCGCGCCTTGAGCCCGGCCTCGGAGGTGTCCATCGGGAAAATGTTGGTAAAGGTCTCGAAAACCTCGGCAGTGCTGGGAGAATCGTCGGGGATGAAGCGCCCGAGAACCGAAGGCGAGGATCCTGCTGCTCTCGGCGTGGCCAGAACCTGTTGGATCTTCTTGCTGCCGGCCAGCTGGGTCAGGACGGTGGGGCACTTGATGGCAGACGACCTCTCGAGGTGGTAGCGGGCCTCCCAGGCGCTCTCGTCCGGGTAGTCTGACGGGTCGTACCAGCATCTCAGGTACGCGACGGCGACCTCGAAGACCTTGGAGGGGTCCCGGGGCAGCTTGTACAGCAGCTGACGCTTGGGGGTGTCGGCAACCTCGGTGTGCTGCAGGAGCTCAGAGACGGGGACGCGGAAGACGTTGACGGGGTCGGCGGAGTTGACGAGGGCGTACTCAAGGTGGCGCTGATCAAAGATGTTCCTTTCGCCGCCCTGGACGACGAAGATGACGCACTTCTTGTGGCCGAGCTCCGACGGGCCGTAGGCATTGAACGCGGCGCGAATACCGCTTGAGAGACCCTGGACGCTCTTGTTCTCGGGCAGGTCGAGTGACGCGGATTCGATGGGACGATCCAGCAGTGGGTATTCTGCCACGGAAAGGAATCTATCGTCATAAGTTTCCTGAGCTTCTCTTCTATATCAGGTAGGAGATTGTGATTACTTATGGAGCAGCGAGGTTCGGGATGAAAGACCACCAAAGGATGAAGCTATCGTATTGAATTCGACCTGCTTGACCTGGCGTTTAGGTTCACCTGACGAGATATCCTGATGGACAAGATAGTCTGATCTGAACAATCCCAAGGAGAGGCTCTGTTCATCATTAGTCTCATTCTCTTCCACGTTGATAAATCACTTACTTGAGTATATCCTTCCTTCTTCACACGCACATGGGTATCCCATAACTTGCTGATGAAGTCGTCGCCTCCCTTGACCCTACGCACTGTTAGAATCAATTTTCATAGTTCTGCAGGCTTCACCAGGTGCGTGACCAGGTGTCAGGCGGGATTGAAAACGTACTCATCCACCATGGCACTCAGAAACTCCTCGTCCCTACTGATGGCGGCATAGAGCTCATTATACGTCTTTTGCACGGATCTCGCCTGCTCGAAGCATCCCTTGGGGAAAGGACTAGGGAACAGCGTAACGGGCACGTTGACAGCAAGAATACCTTTGGGGTCTGACTCTGGCGTCACGACGGCGGGAGGCGGCCTGACTGACAAGCCGTTGCCAATAGCCCAGTCCTTGACGGTCTGCACGAGGGCGTTTTGCTCCGACTGGGACAGTCGGGGCGGGTACTGCTCCTTTGTCAGCGTTGTAGTCGCCATGTTGTTGAGGAAGCTTTCCAGGCGAGACTGGCAAGTCTGAAGCTCCGGTAGCAACTACAGTAGGCTACTATGGTCCTAAATTGGGCGGTTTTAGTGTTGCGCCTTGGTGATTAATAATTGTTGGCCAAGCTAGGTGGATGAACTGGGTTGCGGACAGAAACAGTAATAGATGGCCTTGAAAGATAGGTCTTCGGCCGGGGAAAGAAGACAGGTCTGAATCAAATTTGAGACAAGAAAAAATTCGAATGAATTGTTGAGTCTATTGAGGGTTTTGTGAGAGTGAGATATCACCAGATGAGGAGCGAGTGTTGACCTTGGTGAGGTATGTTCGGCGGGGGAGGGACGAGAAATCGGCTGCCCCACCACGAGCTTCTGGGTCTGGATTCAAATTGTCCAGTACCCTCACTGTACCTTTAGCTGGTAAGGTAAGGTAGGTGCGACGCAGACAAGACGTGATCAGTCTAAGTGGGGAGAATACTTCAAGCATTAACTTTTGGCTGCGATAGGATTGAAGGATCTTCACAATCATCGGTATGTGACGTTCAAATATTCATGGTGGGCTTTAGCTGCCACAATGCCGAAGTCTTCTCTACTTGGTTTCTCTAGAGGCAAGATATGTCGTGAATTGCAAACAAAATATTCTGACGGCGGGGTTAGCAGGTAGGTAGTCTGGAGGAGCCGGGCCTGGGTCAACTATGTTCTACCTTACGCCTGCCATTTATTACCCCTCCATCCCGGGCTCTGGCTGCTCCAGCCAGAGGCGACCTACGTTATCTTAAATCCGAAAACGCGGTCACGTGTCGACTACCTAAGGTAGCGACTCGAATTTTTATTACCTAGGCGCCATAGGTACCTTACCTTATCTGTACTAAGGTAACCTAGAGGTACGGAAAGATACATTGCATTAATCCCAGCGTCTAAGTTAAAGTCAGCTCAGGTAAGGCGTCCTGCCTGATCATGGAAGGTGGGGCTTCCATTGCGACTTCCGCGACTTCTCTAACTTACGCGCCGTGATTCTGCAGAGAAAACCCGGCGGCAATGCCTACGCTCACTCTTCGATTTCAGTATATTCCCTACACTAAAACCGCCTATTTCCAGGCGCTTGCACATGACCTGAGTCAAATCACAACCCCATTTCGACTGATCATTCCGTTCCTCTTCTCCCTACAACGGCTTTCTTCACGGCTTTCTTCACTACACAGCTGGAAAGCCCTCCCCAGCAGGTGGTTTTGTTCACAGTCATCAAGTTTTTGTTTGCTGGAACAAGGACGTTCACATCTTTGTTGAGGCCCCTCGAACAGTCTAGGCTTCAAAGACACACCTCGATTTTCGGAAAAAGGCAACCATCTCGGCTTTGTTGTCTTCTCTGTGGTCCTCGATTCGTTTGAACACGGAATCAAGGGTTGAGAATACTCATGCACTTTGGGGCAAAAGTTAGCAGCCCTAAACTCCATCGTAAGTCGGTCACTACTTGGTACTCCCCCCAAAGTCTCAACCTGGCACCTTTCACTCAGCATCTTTCGCCAGCGGGCTGTACTTTCTGGGTGACTCCATAGTATCGCAAGTCCTCTCGAGCTTCCCGCTTTTTTCTCACACAATCTATCTTCCTACACATATTGCTTCAAATTCCATTGAACCTCACTCATCCTATCTGGTCTGTCTTTGTTCCACATGGCTAAGATCCTGTGTTTTCAACATGTACTTATGTTTAGTGCTGATCCATCCCTGGTCTTCTAGCCATTCTCATGTCCTAAGCGGCAGGCATCATGGAGGGCAATGAGGATGATCCCTTTACCTGGGACGTCGAACAGCTGGTGCATGAGCTATGCACCGCTGAAAACCGGCCATGGCATCCGAAGCTCGTGAGCAAGAGACCCAACCCGGTGGCCCTCGCAAATGCACTACGTGAGCATGACATCGACGGTGAAACGCTTCTTACCTACGAAGATGTCATGCCACCCCTCGATGGTCTCCTCAGGGACCTCGGTGTCGTCAAGATCGTCCACAAGATGACGATGGTCAAAGCTATTAACCATCTCAAGTCGAATAGCCGTGGTTATCGTCAGCAAAAGGCCGAAATGGCGAAAGAGGAGGCAGACAGCCAAGAAAGCTCGCAGGAGGTGCAAATGAACAGCAAACCGGAACGTGGAGCCCCGGATGTTAGTGCTACGGAGCATCCCTCAACGATCACCACGGTCCAAGATGTCCCAATGCAGGCCATCACGGATCAAAATGTATTAGTCTCCGGTGTTGACGATGCGGACAAACCGACGAGTGAACCTCCTCAGAAGAAGAGGAAGATGGCGCCGACTTTGATCACGACCGCTGTCACCGGAATTGGCAACGCACCCATCCGTACTGCAGCTGACGATGTTGTTCTTTCCCGGAACCCTGTTACCGCAAATGCATGGCCTCCTACATCCAGTGCGATTCCCAGCAGAAGCCGTGGGAAGACACTACCAGTGGAAAAAGAGCTCATCTCAAGATACGGCACTGCGAGGGCTTACTTTGGACCCGATGCGCTCATTATCGGCCGTGAAATCCCCAAGTCGAGTCTTGTACCAAGTGGAAGCGCCGCAGATGAAGATGGCAGAAGTTTTCTCTTCAGTTCTAAGGATTTTGTCCCTGCTGGACACAGTCGGCAAGTCCACCGAGCGTTACAACGACTTTTGCGCACGAACAGCCAGTCTCTGAGGTTGATGCAGAACGGTGAATCTCCTTTTGTGGAGCCTGAAGAGGAAGATGAGGTTCTCCCTCTATTTGGCGACTCCGACGTTGATGACGGTTATGACACGGAGACAAGGGACGCGATCGAGGATGAAGAAGAAGAGAGACACCAAGAAATGAAACGCAAGTCTCATCACTTGACGCCAGATGATGTTGAACGTGTATTAGAGGAGGAGATCCAGCGGATAGAAGATTCTTGGAAAGAGAGAAAGCTCCTCAAAAAAGAGTGGAAGGCCAATACCCTCTGGAACAAGGCTCGCCGTCATGGTCTGGTCCGACAAATAGCGAGTGCTACGTCTCGGCTCGAGGCTCTCAATAGCCGCATAGACAAACTTTGTCGAGAGATCAAGCGAGATGAATGGCCCACTGAAGATCAGCTGCGCAGACAAGCACGGTGCCTTGAGTGTAGCGTGGAGGACCGGAAAGCTGAGAAGTGGCTTCTCGAAACCTTGCGAGGCCCCGAACCTATCCGGCCGCTGACGATGCCTAAGCCCCGGCCGATGAGAGTTACAAGACCCGATCTCTCTGACGAAGATGGAGAGCTCATCACCAGTGGCGACGATGAAGACGATTTTGTCGTTGACGACATGATGAGCATTGCGGGTTCGCCCGTGCTGGTCGCGTCACGATCAGCAAGCCTAATGAATCTGGACAACCCCAAAGATGTCTCAACACGGGAAAGCAAGACTCCTCCGCGATTGCGCAAGGACGAATATTCAGCCGATGCTCTAATCGACACGAAATCCGACGATGGCATTATCGATTTGACAATGGTCGACTCCGAACTTGAGACTGAGCTTGCGCTTCCTGAGAGGGATATCATATCTCTGGTCACGCCTGACACGCCAAATGCTTGGGCATTTGCATCACCAGCTCCTGAAAGCGATGATAATGAGCAGCCACCGCTAACCCAGGAACAGCTTGAGACTCCATACGACCAGCCTGGAAAGATTGGGGACATTGCACCAAAGATGTGGAGACTTCACGGAGACAACAAACGACTTCTGATCTGTGTCATATCGCGGCTAGCCCTACGATGGAGAGAGGCTTTCTTCCTCATCATCCAGGCCCTGACCCCCGCTGATATCTGGACTGACTTCGTAATCACAGCCCTAGAAGACTCCCCTGGAAGTCATGGCCCAGAGAGTGCGGTCGAGCTCGGCACCGTAATTGCCCGCCTATTCAGAGTCTTCGCACTCTGCAAGCCGGCGGCCGCCAATACCATCACCAGAAGGCTCAACAACAAATTAAAGGTCAAGAAAATAAAGGCAAAAGTAGATCAGTTTGGAAATTTCTGCGATTTCGTGAAAACTGGTATCCTACCCAACTTTTCAGAGGGCACCCGAGCCAGCGGCTCCGACCGGCGCGGAAGCGTTGATGACAGACGCTCCTGGGCAGATCACAGCGACGACGATATTGAAGATTCTCTGTCTAAGAAACGGAAGACTTTGGTAGCGATGGATCAGACCGCCAAAGATCTTCGCGAAAGCGACCGACGCCGGAGAGAAGAGCAGGAGCAGCGACGGAAAGAATTGCGCAGGAAGCTAGCCGCATCCGACACCATTTCGAGCGACAAGTCACGTCTCATTATCAACGAAACCAAGGAAGATGACGAAGGGCTGATTTACGTTAACGGCGAAATCGGCCAACGCATCAAGGACCACCAGATTGAAGGTGTTCGTTTCCTGTGGAATCAGATCGTCTACGACGCCAAAGTGCGGCAGGGATGTCTTCTGGCTCACACTATGGGACTCGGCAAGACCATGCAGGTCATCACTTTGCTTGTTGCTATCGCCGAGGCCGCGCGATCGAAAGATGAATCTATTCGGTCACAGATTCCAAAGGACCTGAGGCGGTCTAAGACTCTCGTACTATGTCCGGCCTTGCTTGTGGACAACTGGATGGATGAGTTGTTGATGTGGGCTCCTGAAGGGCTTCTCGGCCACTTCTACAAACTGGAAGCCGTCGTCAATGTGCTGGAGCGGGCCCCCATAATCCGCGATTGGGACAAAACCGGCGGCGTGATGATCATTGGTTACGACATGTTCAAGAGATTGGCCGATCCATCAGGGGACGAGATGCTCACGCCCGTGGAGGCCAAGTCGATTGCGCAAATCCTTACAGAAAGCCCTAACCTCGTTGTTGCGGATGAGGCTCACAAAATGAAGAACCCCGACTCGAAAATAGCTTTGGCAGCCGCCAAGTTCAGAACTCAACGACGAATCGCACTCACTGGTTCTCCCCTGGCAAACAACGTGATAGAGTTCTATTGCATGATCAACTGGGTTGCACCCAACTATTTGGGTCCTCTAACAGAATTCAAGGACTACTATGCCGAACCAATCCAGTCTGGTCTCTACGAGGACAGCACTGCAGGTCAATATCGAAAGGCAAAGAAACAACTTGCTGTGTTGGAGGCTACCGTAGCACCAAAGACGAACAGAGCAACAGTCAAATCCTGTCTCAAAAATGACCTTCCGCCAAAGATGGAATTCGTACTCACTGTACCTGTGACGCCGCTCCAGGCTAAGCTCTACGACACTTTTTCTGCCGCCCTCCAGAACGACGCGAACGTTCCAGGCATCAAGACTCTTGGTGCCAACGTTAACTTTGGACTCATCGTCAACCACCCTCGTTGTTGGCAAAGGAGACTTATGGATGAGCGTTTGGAACTGGAAAAGAAGGAGTCGACCAGCCTGACTCTGACCAGCACAATCATCAGTGAGGGCCTGAAAATCTTGCAGCGAGAAAAGGATGTGCCTGCGCCTGCCTTATCGTGGAAGGTGCAGCTTCTTGTCGCCATTCTGGACCAGTGCGAGAAGATAAACGAGAAAGTTCTCATCTTTTCACAATCGATCCCAACACTAGATTACCTGGACAATCTTTTCCGGCAACAGCGAAGAAAGGTTTCTCGGCTGGATGGAACTACACCGATCCATCGAAGACAGCAACAAGTAAAGAACTTCAACAGTGGAGATACTCAATTGTATCTCATTTCAACAACAGCCGGAGGAGTCGGCCTCAACATTCACGGCGCCAGTCGCGTAGTCATATTTGACTTCAAGTACAACCCCATTCACGAGCAGCAAGCGGTCGGTCGAGCATACCGCATTGGTCAGCGAAGGCCGGTATATGTCTACAAGTTCATATCTGGTGGAACGTACGAACAGGCGCTTCACAACAGAGCTGTATTCAAAACTCAATTGGCATCACGCGTTGTGGACAACGAAAACCCAAGACGATGGTCTAAGAAGGATAACGAATACACGAAATCCCGCGAAGAGCCCCCTCAGGAAGACCTCAGTCCATTCGCTGGCAAGGACATTGTTCTCGACAGCCTGTTGACCCACCCGGACATGTCCCAGGGCATCCGCTCGATTGTCATGACGGACACCTTTGAAGAAGAAGACACGTCCGAAATCTTAACGCCTGAGGACTTGAAAGATGTGAAGGACCAGGTCTATATGAACTCTATCCGCAACACCGACCCAGAGAAGTATCGCGAAATGGAGCTGGCACGAATTGCTAGACTTGGCGCTCCAGCCTTAGTTGGTGCAACATCATTTGTACCGCAAATTGTCAACCAGGCATTCGGTATAGTCAAGAGCAGTGTCGCTCCAACATCAAGACCACTCGAAACACCGATTCCACTTCCAAACATCCCTCATGTGCCTACCGTCAAAGCAGGACAGGCATCTAACCCACTGAAGGGTATCAAGAACGTCTTGGCCGACCCAATGAACCCGCCGCAGATCACGCCTGTGCCTGCACCGAGTATTGGTGCTCTTACAAGCAAGGTGGACGCTGCAGTGACACAACAGGCTGCCCCTTCTTCACAGCCAACCCAGCCTGCCAGTATCGGTTCCAGTGTTCAAACTGCTGAGCAGCCGACTGAGCAGCCGACCGAGCAGAAATCAGTAGAGGTACAGTCAATTCCATAGTTGGGTGAATAGTGCTAACCTGACCGAACACCAGTCTCGAGTAGCTCCCCCCATGCCCATGGCTGGTGCCAATACCTTCTTCAGATCTCCGCAGGCACAAGTCACTCTCCCGCCTGGAGAAAATTCACTTTCATCCCCTGCGGTGAAAAGGCCCAAGAGGCCCGGAATTGATTGGGAACAGCATTTCAAGCAGAAAATCCTCGAGTCACTCGATACGATAACGGACTCGGTGGTATCTAATGCGATCAAAGAGGACAAGAACATACTGTCTGATCAAATCGCAAGCTCGACATGGCTCGTGAGATTGGAAATGAAGGAAGGAGACTTACCCAACTTATCGCACATGAAGAAACTGTGCACCTTGATGGGAAATTCCAGATTTGCAGCCGCAGTCCTCACAGGGCATTTCCCTCCGTCCCAGCTTGCGCACGCATCAATCGACGGACTCGATAACCTCTTGAGCGAGTTGATGGCGCTGGAGGAACACCAATTCCGCGACAAACTCAAACTTGTTCAAGGCATAACTGAGGAGCCTAAAGTATGAGCCCGACGCCTCTCATTACGTTGCTCTGGAATTGTGTTTTCGTCTTTCAGCACTCACTTGTTCAGCAACTTTTTGCAGCTAACGACTTGATCCACAGCACCCGCAGACAGTTTTCGACCTACCCAAACCCTTACCAATGGTTCGCCGAACGAATCCTTTCCGGGAAGACGACGACGATTTGGATTTGCTCAAGGAAGTCGCAGAAGCAAGGCGACATCGTGCGCCTAGGCTTCCCACCTGGGCAAGCAAAGCTGTTGAGGAAGGGAAATGGGGGGACCAGCGGCGGACACGGGAGTCCTCGTCATCGGCATCAGCACCAGCATCAGCACCAGCATCAGCATCGGCATCGGCAGCGCCAGGTTTGTGAGTGCGCAAGTAGGCGTTTGCGATAAGGCATTCAGGTCGTTCTTTTTTCAGGGAGCATTTTCAGGCATCTTGGCAGGCATGGGCGTTTGACGGCATTGCAACGCTGGCTTTATGATACCCTTTTTGAGGCGTTCATTTCGAGGTTGTTTGTTTTTCTCGTGGAGGACTCTCTTAACGACAGTATAAGAGTCATATGAGCATCGACGTTTAGGCCAAAAAGCAGGCAAATGAACACGGAGATTTCGTACACCAAGCTGTTCGCCCTCAAGGTTCCTCGGGGGAATCAGACTCAGAGGCTGTGGCTTACGCGGAGTGGTAGATGCAACTAGTGATGGTCAAACGACTAGTTGTTGAGCCCGCAGAGTTCCGTGTCTCACTTCCTGTGGCTGACTGTATACCTCGTATTAATGATGTCGGATGGGACAAGCTGAGGTGACTGCAAGTAAACTCGGCGAATGATGACAGCGTACCCTAAAGGCTCCTCTTGGCCCCATACTCCATATTGCATATTCCGCTGACAGCCCATTATCAGAGGCGTACAGTTGAGACACGGGCGATGTGACAAGTGACCAAAGGTAACAACAGCTGCAAATCTGAAACCAAGAGAATAAAAGTCAAGTGCGCTACAAATTTGTCTCGTCGCTTACTTGGCTTTGCTTCCATGTCACCTGGGACTCTACTTTGCATGCCTTGTTTTAGACCCTCGTACACACTGCTGCACCTTTTGATCTTGGAAGCAACGCGTCCCGGAAGCGGAAGCTACCAGGTACCTACACGGAACGGACTCTGTCATGTTCGGTCTCGGAAGACCCCGGCGAAATGTTCGTACGATTTTGCAGGATCCACAGCGGTGTTTCCAGAAGAGCAGGGGCCCTGAAGAAGACCATGTGGATGTTTTCAAAGAAGACAATTGACATTTTCATAGGACCATTCTGCGGATCTCGAGCCAGGCGATGGGAAAAAGGACAGACAACAAACACCGAACTGGGGCATTATTACCAAGAGAATTAAATAAGAAGGGGACACAAGGGATCTGACCAGACTGACCTCAGGTCACTTTCACATTTGCGCAGGGCTTTTGGCAAGCCTACCAATCAGATGTTATGAGAAATTGGCTATAGACGAGCGATGATTGGTCGCAACACCGATTTTCGGTATTCGGAGACCCCACTTGCAGACTTAGGTGCCCCACCATCAACGCCCTACAACCCCGGCCCCAGGGATGGGATTGGATGTACCTGAGTACAGCAACTCTCTCTGGCCCGAGGGGCGCTGAGGATGGAATTGCATGCAGCGGCACCCGCCATCCTACCGCCTAGAGCACATTGGATCTCGGGGCGGGCTGCCGGCCTGAACCCGCCCACCACTCACGACAGTCCCAAACTTGCGCAGGCTGCACCTACCACACCTGTGCCGAGTCGCTGGTGCAGTAGGGTGTCCTGGGGTCAGCCAGATGGCGGGGCGGCCGGTTGTACTAGGTACCTTACCCTCCAGTGCGCCCTTCAGGTTGGAATTGGTGTCATGGCGACTCTTCACCGGAGACACTAAAATAAAGGACTTGTCCGGGAATCTGCTCGTTTTTCGCTTCCCTCCTGTTTCTCCTCATCTGCTTAGCCTCTCCCCTTCCCCTTCTTTCTGCTCTTGCCAGCAGGATCCCGTCATTGTCGATCCAGAGTCGACCGCTTCTTCTACCAATTGACCTGTGTTCAGTCCCTCAGCGCTGACCACTTTTCACTGGCAACCCGCTGACCTCACATGTACGTCGCGCTTTGAATCGCCACACCGAATTCTACAACGCACAACAAATCGAGAGTCGCACCGTCTGCTCCGAACAAACCCTCAACAACACGAAAACGCCGTTCGAATACCTGCCGCCGTCAATAAAATGGAGGCTGCTCTTCGTCAGTCCAAGGCCATGTGCCCTTTCCTGAAGTCGGCCTCGCCCGCCAAACTGCGCGCGCTGTCTACCTCGGCCCGCCCTCATGCCATTCAGGCGGCGCCCCAGACGGCTGTCTCTCCTTGCGGCGGGACCATGTCCAAGTTGCAGCTCCTCGCCCACCGCTGCCCCGTCATGGGCAAGGCTCTGACAGTCCAATCTGCTCAGTACGGCCATGGACGCCCGGCCAAGATGGGAAACTCCTCTGTCGCTGGTATCCGCGCTCTCAGCACCAATTCCAAGCCTGGTCGCGCGAATATCCACACCAGCCGCAGCAAGGATGCCCGGGCCGTCGATGCTCCCTTGCTGAATAAAGGTACGGAAACCACAGTGTGAAGAAGAGGAACCTCCCTCGGCTGACCCTCGACGTAGCTCAAGTCCCTCCCGGCATGCCAGCCGTTCGTCAGAGCGCTACTTCCCATGTCGGCATGGGCAATTCGGACGCCTCCAAGGCCAAGTTCAACTATGAGGCCTACTACAACGCCGAGCTGGAGAAGAAGCACAAGGACAAGTCATACCGCTACTTCAACAACATCAACCGTCTTGCCAAGGAGTTCCCCCGCGCTCATATGGCTGGAAAGGAAGAGAAGGTGACAGTCTGGTGTGCTAACGATTACCTCGGAATGGGCCGCAACTCCCACGTCCTCAAATCGATGCACGAGACCCTGGACGAGTATGGCGCCGGTGCTGGTGGCACGAGAAATATCTCTGGACACAACAAGCACGCTGTCGAGTTAGAAGGCACCGTTGCCAAACTTCATGCCAAGGAGGCCGCTCTCGTCTTCAGCTCATGCTATGTGGCGAACGATGCCACTCTGGCAACTTTGGGTAGCAAGATGCCCGAGTGTGTCATTTTGTCTGATAGTCTGAACCACGCGTCCATGATTCAGGGTATTCGTCATTCCGGAACGAAGAAGATTGTCTTCAAGCACAATGATGTTGCGGACCTCGAGGCCAAGCTGGCTTCGCTGCCGCTTCACGTGCCCAAGCTGATTGCTTTTGAGTCGGTATACAGCATGTGCGGATCGATTGGTCCCATCGAGGAGATTTGCGATTTGGCCGAGAAGTACGGCGCCATCACATTCCTCGACGAAGTCCATGCTGTGGGCATGTATGGCCCGCACGGCGCTGGTGTCGCAGAGCACTTGGACTTTGAAGCGCATCAGCAGGGCCGCCCCAAGGGCAGCATCATGGATCGTATTGACATCATCACTGGTACCCTTGGAAAAGCTTACGGATGCGTTGGCGGCTACATTGCCGGTAGCGCCAAGCTCGTCGACATGATCCGCTCCCTCGCCCCTGGATTCATTTTCACCACGTCACTCCCACCCGCGACCATGGCCGGCGCAAAGACGGCCATTGAGTACCAGATGGAGTATGACGGTGACCGCCGCCTTCAGCAGCTCCACACCCGCGCGGTGAAGGAGGCTCTGAACGACCGCGATATTCCCGTCATTCCCAACCCCTCCCACATCATCCCTATCCTGGTTGGCAACGCCGAGCTTGCTAAGCAGGCATCGGATATGTTGCTCCAGGACTACCAGATCTACGTGCAGTCGATTAACTACCCCACAGTCCCCGTTGGGCAGGAGAGACTGCGCGTCACGCCTACCCCTGGCCACAAGAAGGAGTACCGCGACCAGCTGGTCCAAGCCCTCGACGAGATCTGGACCAAGCTTGGCATCAAGCGCACTTCCGAGTGGGCTGCCGAGGGCGGCTTCATTGGCGTCGGGGAGGCTGACGCCGCGCCTGAGGAGCCCCTGTGGACCGACAACCAGCTTGGCATCGAGCAGGCTGCGAAGGAGATCAAGGCCGCGGGAAACATCAGCAACGGCTTCGTCGAGGCCCTGCTGGAGCGTGAGTCCAAGGCGACCGGTCAGGCCGTGAGCTCTGCCATCTGATTTACGTTCTCTGGCTGGTTATTTGACCTAGCACCATTTGACGTTGATATCTGAAAGGGGGGCTCATCGGACCTAGACCACGTTCTTTGGAGCGATCAACAGTTTATTGATTTTTACCACGCCCGTGGCCAGCTGTTCTCTTTCGATTTGAGATCTTTTGTCTACACGATGACCTGATCTCAGTGTTGGTCGCAATACCAATAGTTTACAATATGAATGTCGTCTACTGACGTACTTACTCAAACACCTAAAGTTACTAGTTAATGCGTAACAATGTGATGTGTGATTGCAACCTCAAAAAGCCGTCCGATGTAGAAGGCCGAAAACATGATGCATGATTGACACTCGGTATCGCATAGGTAGTTTTGCGAATGCGACGTTCCGCGTCGGCAAGAATGGCGCAGCCCGACTTTCACCCGGCAGGCGAGGCGGGTCTGCGCGGTGTCCGTTAGCTGGGGGAAGGCACACCGTATGAACACAGCATCCGGTGTGTCGCGCCACCACACCTCTGCCGGATCCAGCCCAAAGAGCGTCTTGCTTGTCTGACTAAGCAACTCCGACGGAGGCGGACACAGAGAGTTGCTCCGTCTCCGTTCGAGAAAGCCTTCTTTAGGCTATGCCATTGGTGGGAGGGTGTGTCCACCGTGACTTACACGAACCCAGGAGATCCGTCATGAAGCAATAACTCAAATGACGGCTTACGACGCGAATTGAATCCCGGAAAGAAAAAGGGTTGTTTCATGTCATTGATTTACTCTTTGGATTTGGCTCTTCTCTTCTTCCCAACCTTTCGTCCCGTATGAGCAAGGTTGGTAGAAACGTGCCAAATGGACATTGACCACAAGACCAAAGGCCCGCGAGCCTGTACTACCTGCGCCAAGGCCAAGGCGAGATGCATCTCGGGACCGGATGGAAGTAACAAGTGTGAACGGTATGTCGTCGTCTTCGTATCCGCGAATCGCCAACTCTCTTTTTCCGTACGAGACGGGATCTGACAAGACATTTATTTAGATGCCACCGGCTCCGGAAGCCGTGCGGTTTGCAGACCCCTGCGCCGCCTAGGGTGAAGAAGGAACCTAAGCCCACCAAGGTCGCTGAGCTGGAGAAGAGGCTGAGTGAGTTGACGACGCAGCTGAGCGCGACGCAGCATGGTGGAGGTGGCGGCGTTGGTGTTGGTGGTAGTGGTGGTGTTGGCGGGAGCGGCGGGAGCGGCGGCAACGGCACCGTGGCAGCAAGCACTGTTGCCAATGGGACCGTCGTGGGAAGCGCCAACTCTCCGCTCCCGCCGAGCGGCAGTATTGCACCGGCATCGGCCAAGATCCCGATCAACTGCGACCACCTCTTCCCACCGGAGGAGGCAGTTACCAGCGACGGAGGGGTTTGGTCGGACACGTCCCCGGCGCCGAGCACCTCGACGGCGGACGACCACCACACGGTCGGGAGCAGCCAGGCCGACGGCCCGGCGAAGACGGGGACGGGGACCAGGACGAGGACGGAGTCGCCCTGGCCGTTGAATAATGAGCATAGTAAAATGCTCCGGACCTTCTTGGACGACATGCAGCCGCTGTACCCCTTTGTGATTGTCCCTCCCAACATGAACGCGGCGCAGTTGGCAGCGGAGAGACCGTTCCTGTGGAAGGGCATCATGATGGCGGCGTCCCACTTGGACGCAACGAAGCAGGTTTTGTTGGGAGAGGAACTGTTGCAGGCAATCGTGCAGGCTGCGTTTATGAAGGCCAAGAAGAGTTTGGATGTGCTGCAGGGCTTGCAGCTTTTGATTGCCTGGTAAATGGACTTTGCTTGCCCTGAGTGAATATTGATGACGAGAGGGATTTGATGGCTAACCTGAGAGGGCGGGCGCAGGTATCACTACAACATCAACAGCTATCAGCTTACGAATTTCCTCTTTCTGGCGAGGTCAATGTGCATCAGTCTGGGATTCAAGGACAGCCCGATGCAACTGGGCGAAAGGGGCAAGGGGATTTCCATCAGCTTCCGGAACCCGGAGAACGAAGCCAAAAAGGTGCAGACCAAGGAGCAGATTTCGGCGCAGCTGGAGCTGATGAGGGCTTTTGCCGGGTGTTACTACCTGAACACGCTGTGAGTGACTTTTTTTTTTGGCTATTTCAATTCAGAGAGATGAACTAGAGATTGGCTGACTATAAGGAAGCGTCTTCACGACGAATAAGCGGCCTGACGCATTCATGAACACGACCTATCTGGAGTCCTGCTGCAGACAAATCGAGGAGGTCGCAGAATACCATAGTGATGCGCTTCTGGTTCACCTTTTCAAGATTCAGCAGCTCGCGCAGACAATTTCACTTACGCTCGGGGCGGAGAGCACGAGTTTCCAGTCGCTGCAGCTGCCCCTGACAATGGTCGTGCAGTCGTTCCAGCAGCAGCTTGATATTTTCAAGACGTCGCTGCCGCAGCATCTCAAGGATAATGGTAAGTCGTTACAGCCTCGCAACCGTGAAGAGCCACGTGCAGTTTTTAATTGACGGATGCGTGACGGAAAATAGTTGGCCTTCTCGCCCACATCAGCATCGCCGAAGTCCTCCTCTACGAAATCGGCATACCAGAACCCCAGGGCCCGGCGTCCTTCATCTCGCTGACGGAACGCCTCGAGCTCCTATGGGGCTGCTGCAGCGCCGTAAAGTACTTTTTAGAGATTCGCTTCCCGCGGAATCACCTCAGCCTGCAGCCGCGCTTTACTTGTCTGAGCTCCTCGGATTTTCTCTACGTCTTCATCGTGTGCCTCAAGCTCATGACGCTGGACCAGGTGCCCGGCTGGGACTTGCCGCTGGTGCAGAAGCACCTGGACCTCGGCGGGGTTGTCGAGAGCCAGGTCGCGCATCTGGAGGTATTTGTGGCGCATCGAAGCGGGAAGTTTAGGAGGGCGACGGCAGCGGCAGGAGAAGAGGCGACGGATGTGCCGGGCCCAAAAGTCACTGACCCATTTCTGAGACTCACGGAGATGCTGCGGTATTTCAAGGATATTGTCAAGGGCGAGCTCTGCGGGTTAAAATCGAAACCGGCGATCCAGGAGCCGATCCAGCTTCCCGCCAACTTGTCGGACGGCACGCAGGCCATGATAAGGGATCTGGATGCGTCGTTTTGGGCCGGTGTGCCTGGCGAAGATCCCGAGACCTGGGATATCGGGAGTATGTTCCCGTCCATGGACTGGACTGCTACTTGAGGGCTTGTTGGTGTAAGAGGACTGCGGGCCTATTTCGTTTCTGCAGACGACCGTTGGGGAGATGATGTGTGCCACCACCGGCGGAGGACCGTAAAGGACTGACGCATATGAATGTGATGAATGAATGACATGGACAGGAAGGAACTCTCTTTGAATGAGTGTGGTGCCAGATCAACGGGCCATCTCTTGACTACTATCTATCCGAGAGGAGGGAATGCGGGAAGGGGTTGCCCACTACTTGGAGGTCAAGTCGAGAGGCAGGTTTCAAATTTGGCCTGCGGAGTTTAGCTGGTTCACCCGGGATTTGAATCTTCTTGTTGTTGTATACTTAGGACATATGGTAATTTTTTATTTGAAATCTCTCAAGCAATTGTACAAACTTTGGGACGATGCCAAGAACTGCGAAGACTTGTCTTGATAAGGAATCACAATCGTGTTCTATTCCCTTTCGGAAACCCGTTAGGGTGTTTGCGAGCGAAGCAGTCTCTTGAAGCGTGGTGTGTTTATATGTAATCTTTGATGCAACGGACCCCAAATCAGATGGCATCATGAACGCCAATTCTTCTGCCATAGGTCAAATAAACTAGTTGATGTCATCACCGACCCCCACCGCAACCCGCGTCCCGCAGCGCCATCGGCGCCATCGGATCGCGGCCGTCCGTCCTCGGCCGCTTGTATCCGCATTTACACGCTGGAAAAAAACCGGCGCCGATCCAAGGAACCTCATCCGCAGTCCATCCCACCACCCCCGGTCTAATATTCCCTCAACCGGCCCTGATCCGATCTCTGGCTTGCTTTTTTTGTGCCCTTTCCCTTCGACGCAAACCCCCCTTCCCCCCAAACGAGAGGTCATATTACTCCCCAAGCCCAACAATGCCGAAACCAACAGTGGACTATTCCCTCTACCTCGTCACCGACTCCACCCCCGCCATCCTCGGCGACCGTGACCTGTCCTCCGTCGTCGCGGCCGCCGTCCGGGGCGGCGTCACCGTCGTGCAGTACCGCGACAAGACGAGCGACACGGGCGAGCTCGTCGCCAACGCGAATAAGCTGCACGGCATCTGCCGCGCCGCCGGCGTGCCGCTGCTCATCAACGATCGTGTGGACGTCGCCCTCGCTGTTGGGTGTGAGGGCGTGCACATCGGCCAGGATGATATGGGTGCGTTGCTTTTTTCAATCCTTTCTTCGTCTTATTTCTCTCTTCACTCAACACTCGATTGCCCCCTTGTGTATACACATATTATGTGTAGATATCTATAACGCTTCAAGACATGGCCTGACTGACGTCCAACTAGAACTCACCGCCGCGAGAAAGATCCTTGGCCCCGACGCCATCATCGGGGTAACGGCCAGCACCGTTGACGAGGCCCTCAAGGCTTGCGAGGATGGAGCAGATTATCTTGGCATCGGCACCGTCTTTGCTACCTCGACGTATGTTCTCTTCTCAGTCTCTCAATTCTACAAAGTCACCACCCCGTGTTGTAGCCAACTGCTCACCCCATGGTCCTTGTTTCCTCACTACCCATCTGAACTAACACCACCCTCACCCATCCAGCAAAGAAAACACAAAACACATCATCGGCACCGCGGGTCTCCGCACCATCCTCACCCAGCTCTCCTGGGCAGGCCACCTCCCCCGCGTCAAGACCGTCTGCATCGGCGGCATCAAGCCCGACAACATCCAGCGCGTCCTCTACCAGTCCGCCGTCACCTCAGCGTCCCCCGCAGCAGCCCTCGACGGCGTCGCCCTCGTCAGCGCCATCGTCGCCGCCCCGGACCCGGAAAGCGAGTCCCGCCGCCTCCTCGAGCTCGTCAAGACCAGCGCGTCGTATCAAACAACCCCCAAACCCTCCTCCTCCTCCAGCGATGCCGCTCTCGGAGCCGTCGAGCCGCTCCTCGCCCTCGTACCCGACGTCATCAAGTCCGTCGCGGAAACCTCCCCGCTCTCCCACAACATGACCAACCTCGTCGTCCAAAACTTTGCCGCAAACGTCGCCCTCGCCGTCGGCGCCTCCCCCATCATGGCAAACTACGGCGAGGAAGCCCCCGACCTCGCCCGCCTGGGCGGCAGCCTCGTCATCAACATGGGCACCGTCACCCCCGACGGCATCCAAAACTACCTCAAGGCCCTGGCGGCCTACAACGCCGCCCGCAGGCCCGTCGTCTTTGACCCCGTCGGCGCGGGCGCCACCTCGATCCGCCGAAACGCCGTCAAGACGATCCTGGCGGGCGGGTACCTGGACCTGATCAAGGGCAACGAGGGCGAGATCGCCACCGTCTACGGCGGGGGGGAGGTGCAGGAGCAGCAAAAGGGGGTCGACTCGTCGTCGACGCTGGGCCCCGCGCAAAAGGCCGCGCTGGTGCGAGACCTGGCGAGGCGGGAGAGGAACGTGGTGCTGATGACGGGCAAGACGGATTACGTCTCGGACGGGACCCGCACGTTTTCCGTGGACAACGGGCACGAGCTGCTGGGCCAGGTCACGGGGACCGGGTGCGTGCTGGGCACGACGGTGTCGGCTATGCTGGCGGTGTCGGCGTCGGGGCACGATAAGCTGCTCGCTGTCGTGGCGGGGTTGTTGCACTTTGAGATTGCGGCCGAGTGGGCTGCTGTTCGCCCAGATGTCCAGGGTCCTGGAACGTTTGTGCCGGCGTTTCTTGATGAGCTTGCGAGGGTAAGGCGGTTGACGGTTGAGGGGGATTTGAAGTGGTTGCAAGGGGCCAAAGTCAAGGCCGTGGACGTTGCGTAAAGGGACTCGATCAGACCATTTAGTCTGCCTCGCTGAATCTGGGATATGGACATAAAAAAGAAAAGGCTTGTATTTAAACCAACATTCAAGGCTCCCAAATCTTTGTAGAGGTATGTGTCTATAACCAGACTCTGTCGAACCAAACCCCCCCCCCCCGACTCTAAATCTTGGGCGCCAAGGCCTGCAAAACCTCCTTGGTATCCTTCCCCGTATCCTTGACCAGCCCAACAATACTCTTAAACTCGGGCCTCGCCGCATCCCCCATCATCTCGTAAATAATGCTCTCACTCGTCGTGACAACAACACCCTCGTGCCTCAACCTCGCCAGCGCAATCGGCACCTCCTCGCGGTTACAGCTGCTCACCCCGTCCGCCAGCACATACACCCTGTGACCCCCGGCCAACAGATCCAGCGCCGTCTGCGTGACGCAAATGTGCGATTCAATCCCCACAATCAGCACCTCGTGTCCGCCCTTTCCCTCAAACTGCGCTGCGATCTCGGGAACCCACATGCTGAACTTGGTCTTGTCCACGGGCGGGCGCACGCGCTCCGATTCTTGGAGGAAGGGCGCGAGCTCCGTGACCGTGTCGCCGAGGCGGGCGCGGTTCTGGGTCGTCGTGTAGACGGGGATCTCGAGAGTCTCGGCGGCGCGGAGGAGCTTGGAGATTGTCTTGACGACCTTGTCGAACTCAAAGATTGCGTTGCGGAACTTGTCTTGGAGATCGCAGACGCTGGGAAACAGGGAGAAACAACTCTTTTGTTAACGGAAAATCTTCTTTGCATAAAGTGTAGGGATATCTAGGGGCAGGAGGGAAGCATCGACGCACAAAATGACCGGCCGTTGCAGGCGGCGATTCGCTGTGCCGGGCATGATCGCGGTCGTCAAGAAGCGGGGTCGGAGCAAGAGCCAGGTCGGTCGAGGTTGGGACAATTGGACAAAGGGCATATATATCTGAACAGTTCTCGCAATCAACATGTCTTTTGGGGAAAAGGAAGTTCAATCCAGGTCATCAATAGATCCAAAGGTCAGTTCATTACAAAGGTTTCGTTCATTCCGCGACTCGGAGCTTAGGACTCGGCATGTCACCCTCGGCGTTGGAGCAGTGCGGGGAACCGGATCGTGGAGCGCATCGAAGTGGGGTACCTAGCGCCGGACGGGGCCTCCTTAGACACTGCAATGAGAACTAGGGAGGTATATGACCTCGAAGCGCGCTGCTCATGGCGAGCGCAAACCAACAAACCTGCGTTTCTGCTTGCAACATAGGAATGGTACTGGCAATCATCGTCTGGTTGGTCGAATAACTGCAAAATGGAGAACTGCAGAGCCGGCATCAACTTTAATCACTTTCTGGACTTTGGCCCACAGAGGTGGAACAAAGAAGATCCTCGATGCAGCTAACGCTTTGGGCTTCCTGATTGCTGATCAAGTTTTGGCATGGCCAGAGAACATTGCACACCGTTATGTGAACTCATAGATTTTTGTTATTTAATTTCCGCCGCGGGGCGGACTTTTCTAGCCTTTGTGTCGTGAGACCCATCTGTCCTGCGCCACTGCCTGGCTACCTAATAGTCGGCCTAACTTACGTTGTTTTGAAGCCTTCCATCTCACCTCTTCATGCTGGAGGGAGCCATCTTGTAAAAGCAAAGGAAAAGAAGATTAATGCTCTGGCCATGTTCGGCCACATTCACGTCCAGTGCCGCCGGGGCTGTGCGTTCTCTCCACTTCATTCACTCTGCCGTTGCCGTGGGCTTCGCCTTGCCGGCCGGGTTCATCCAGGAGAAAGCCGAGGCACCACCGATGGGATTCGCCGACCGCGGCAAAGCTGGCCCCGCGTTCTTCGTCTCGCGTTGGGCCTTGGCTTCCGTGGCGCTGCCGATCGTGGTGTTGCTGATTGACCTCTTGGGTTCCCAGCGGACGTTGGTCGGCGGGTTGCTCTCTGCCACTGCGTTGACCTGGCTTTTGCGTCGATGCTCTCCACTCGTTCTGGGTGCTGGCGGCGGCTCGTAAGCTGCTCCAGTTCGGGCAGAGGATGATGAACCCGATTTCAGGGGCTTCAACACCTTCATGTTCCGGCTTCCGCGCCCGGCGGGCTGATATCCGCTGAGCGGGCCATTTGCTTCCCGTTGCCCGTTCTCGGCGCCATTTGCTGAAGTACCCTGGCGCCAAGAGCCCCAGATGCCGCCGGCAGACTCACGCCGATTTCCCTCTCCGCTGACCGAGCTGTTTTGCGCCGTGGAATACTCCCTTGCCCCAGATTCGGACCCGCTGGCGTTGTCCTTGCCATGCCTTTCACTCTCCCCGCCACTTTCAGACAGGTTGCTTGCTCCAATCGACTTGTTGGGTACAGAGTGATTGTCCATGGGTGAGAGTGGCCCTTGTGACTCGGCATCTTCATGCTGCATGCTAGATATGCTGCTCTCCAATGCACTTTGCGTTGCGGGGGCTTGAGGTCGTGGGTCTCCAGACACAAAAGGCGCTGCGTTGGCGTTGAGTCGGGGCTTCTCGGGGATGAAGTTGATTGTACTTATGTGCTTGAAAGCAGCTTCGTCCTCTGGGCGCACGAAAGGAACAGATAACTTCTCACGCTCGCTGCCATAGAGACACATGCGGTTCTGGGATAGGAGAATGTCGGCCTGATGAGCTCTGAGGGTGTCGCTGCCAATGAAGATCTGGATGCCCCTTTTAGGTTCGGCGCCTTCAGATTGCTCCATGCCGGATACCTCAAAGGTTGCGATGAGGCAGGGCATTGAATGTCCCGGACTCGACGATCGGCTGCTGCGTTCGGAAACAGTGGCTTCGACCAGGTATACAGGGAGTCGAACTTTGTAGATGCCATCCATGTCATGTTGAATGTCGTCCAACAAGTCGAGCTCCTTGAGGACAGAATAATCCACCACAGATTTCTGAGAGCCCGTACACAGATCAGCGTATAAGACTGTGTCGTGCGCGAAGCTCGTTGTAAGCCAACATCGGATGATGGTCGGGACGGAACCCAGGAAGAAGAGGCCCGGCGGAGGCTCCGGCATGTCTATCGGAGAGTCGTCTTCATGACTGCTGACCATGAAGTTGGTATCCAGCCCCAAGCTGCTCGCCCTGCCAGATGCCACAGAGTGAAATGAGTGAACGGAGTGGCCGGCAGAACTGTGGCGTCCATCCGACTTGTGGGACAAAGATCGCTCCATCATCAACCCGCTAGTTGGTCGGGGAGGTCCGAATTCCCCAGAGTGGCGATTGCTCTGACTAGACCAATCTGCTCCTCGCAATGCACTTTCGTCGAAACGTACGCTGTTGGCTCGGGAAGCAGCGCCCCGACGAGTAGGCTCTTCCTCAGCAGGTCCTAGATGAAGGGAGCTCAGCAGATGCTGGCCTTGCTCATCAAAATCATCAAACATGTCGTTGGGTGAGACGTGAGTCGGCCCTTCGAAGTGGAACGTTAGCAAAAGGCAATCATACACACAGAGAGAACCTAGAATTACCTTGCTGCGGAGTTCCGGCTAGGACGCCAGGAAAAGGGTGCTGTTGCCACACGGACTTGAGGCTCGCATCTTGTTCCTGGCGCCTTTCGAGTCTTATAAGTCTCTCACCCTGATTACTCTGAACCAGTTGGATTTGCTTCAAATCCATCTGGATGTTGAAGAGGTCGTCGCGGGTGATTGGGAACCGTTGATCCATTCCCGAGGGCAACCGCGTGGAGCTCAGTGTAGTGCTCGCGAACCGAATAAACTCAAGGGAAGTTGGGTGCGTAGGTCGGCAGAGTGTATGAGCGACAGACAACGGCAAGCGAGTGTATACGGATCAAAGGGTGATCGAATTGGAGCGCCAGTGGGGCTATCGACAAAGCCGTTGGAAGGATCGTTCAGGTAGGTGTTCACGCCCATGGGTTTCTGTGTCGAGTCCAGGCGCGTTTGAATGACGGGTCGAGGAAGGCTGTGGGCTCTTCCGACCTCGATCCCTACGATATCAGTTCACGAGGTCCTCCTCCCCCGCCACATCGCACGGTGAGACCAAACAGGTCGTCAACGGCAGCGGCAGCAGGTACAAATGTGAAATCTCTTCGTATCGCAGAAGCTTGGTCTTCCAGAGTCCAGTCGAACTGATCGACTGCGGCAGCTAATGATCGATGGTGGTGCTATGCTGGTTTTGCACGATGGTCTACAGAGGCGGCTCTGCCCCAGGGACGATGGCTTGGAAAGGTTACGTGTATGATCGAAGATTCTCGACACCAAGGTGCAGTCAAATGACGACTTTGGAGACACGTATATGGGTCGCAGATTGTGTGTATATAGGGCGTAGACCCGAAAGGCTTTTCGTTTAATCGTCGAAGGATATATATCGTGACGGGTGAAGCGCTAGAGACGATCCCGAATGGTAGATGCTTTGGTTCGACAGAAGACTTGCAGAGGACTCGATTGATCGGGATGGGGTGTGGCGGCTGTTCCGATTTGAAGGTGTACGTTGAGATAGAGAGGCCTTTGAGAGGGGCAGGGTGTCGAGCGTTCCGTAGAGGAATATGAAGAGAGAAGGGAGGTAGACAGGACGGGGAGTAGACAAACGAAGCCCCCAGGTTAATTTGGACCGGCACGTTGAATTAGTGAAGCGGGCAGGACATGAACAGAGACAGACGGGCTTGATAGAGGTGAAGTGAACGGGCAGCAACGGGAGAGAGGTGTGGTCCCGGGGGTTTGGCGCATGGGTGAAGGTATCGCAGAAGTACTCCAAGCCTATCGCTGCCAGGAAGCTGCACTATCCAGGCCGGTACGTAGGGGGGACGAGAGCAATGGAAGAACGGGGCCCGGCTGATGATTTGTGGATTCAGGGTGTTGGACCCAGCTTCGGACCATCCAGTATACTTGAAAGGTACAAAGTGGGCTGCCTGGCGGCCGAATACTTAAGGAGCATACTACGTATTTAGGTAGACACCACACGCTGTGGGAATTCGAGTGCAGTTCGGTGCAGTGCGCCTCACCTGGTTGCTTGCCAGGTCCAGTCGTCGCCCTCCCGCCTATTCACTCGTTGGAACTCGCAACGGGGTGTGAGTCGTGACGCCGTAGGAGGTGCTGATTGGGGGGGCACCACCCCAACCCCTATGCCAGGGACGTGCTGAAGACTTCCAGCGTCATTCCACCCGACCCGACCTCCCTCATACCTTACTCCGTGGCCCCCGCCATGACAAAGTGACTTCCATTTCTTCACCTTCCTGCACACATTCAAACTCTAAAGCAGCCGAGATGCCAGTGCAGAAACGACCAAAACCTGCCTGGACTACAGATTGCTAGGATGGTGTCACCATCTCCGCATCTCAGCTGGCTTGCCCTACCCCTACCCCTACCTTGCCTCTGTTCTTACTTGGACAGGGAAACCTCGCCGTGGCCAGCGGCGCATTTCGTTGGGTGCATTAGGTACGCGGGGTTGGCCTCAAAGGTAGACGTGTAGATCTTCAAGAGATCACGTAATTGAAGGCAAATTAAGAAACTCTCCCATCTTACTCTAATCTTACACAAAGTAATGGGACGCAGTTATACAAGGTAGTTAGGGAGCACATGTGGTTAAGCATCCGTCATCAATTCTCCAACGCCATATACGTCGTTGAATAGCCCATAGCGTGGGCGTCGCAGATTCTTACCGAGACCAGCAGAGGCTTTGATATCTCCTGTCCCTTGGCGATTCCCGGTGATGTCTCAGAAGGGCCGGATTTCTACCTGTGGCTCGGCGCGAAGCGACACGCAGACATAAGGTAGGCCAGGCTAATAGTGAGATAAGTAGAGACATGTACGGTGCTATCTTCACATGCTTGCTATTTTAGAACCATCATCTTGAAGTGCTGGAACTCGGGCAGTTTTTTCGAGATTCAGTTGATTTGAAATGCTACTGCAGTGCTCCTGCAGAATGCATGCAGCATCGCATGGGCCGCTCTATTAGCTTCTCTCGCCATGTCAAAGTCACCTACCTCACCTACGCCGGAGGGTTGAGATCCCGCCAGTCTGGGAAAACGTAGTCCGTACGATCGTCCTCAGGCAAACCCACGTACTCTTGACCAATGTGAGGCAGCACCGTCTGGTAAAAAACCCTATACGCTTCTCCGCTCAAGTGGAGGCCGTCCGGCAGGAGGTCCGCGAGCCCGCCCTGCTCGCCGAGCTCTGGCGTGCCGAGCAAGGGCCCTCCGGACTTGAAGCCGGGCGTCTTGGAGACGGCGTGGTCCATCAAAGCCTGCCACAGGTCGATCAAAATCACGCCCGGCACCTCGGCGGCAACGTCACGAGCCGCTTGGGTATATCCCGCACTGATCTTGGCAGTCCGGGTCGGCTTTGGATGGCCCCAGGCCAGGTCCAGCTTGGTGATGCGAATCTCGTCAATTGGAGGCGGCGTGACGAGGAGAATCTTGGGTTTGTGAGCTGTGATATTGGGGTGCGTGACAATCTTGGTGAGATTCTGCTTGTAGTCTTCTAGGGGTATATGCTGGGTTGTTGTATGCATGGGTTGAACAGCATCGTTTGCACCAAGAAGAATCAACTAGAAGAAGCATGTTTAGCATGTAGGTTCCAGTGGGATACAAACAACTGGGTACTCACCAGGTATTTCAGTTGCGGTCCTGAAGATGAAGGGGAAGGAAACATCTCAGGGAGATATTTCAGAGCATTCGCCGAATTCCAACCGGAAAATCCGCGGTTCACAACATCATAACGGCGATTCACATCTAAGAGATGGCTTGTAAGTGTCTGAGCCCGACTCGACACGACTTTGGCTTCGTCAAACTCACGGCATTGAAGCTCAGCCTGGAAGCAGAAGCCTTCGAAGGTCACCACAGACCCCTGGAACAGAGAATCTCCAAAGAGCACAACTTGGGGGTATGGTTTCTTGCACAGAGGGTAAGCAAGATGTAGCATCTGAATCACCAATGCCACTTACAGCCATGCTGGATGGTAATTTCTAGGCCGAACTCTTTCGCTGCGCCGAGGGAAATGTATACCTGGGTTCGGGGTGTTGAGTGGCTTGCTCGGCCTTATAAGCGTCTGCGTAACCTTATTGCGTGCGGGGAGCCCGAAACAGCCTTCTCCTCAATTTGCAGATACACCTACGGAGCCACTTGCACGGCATAGTAGCCCGCAAAGCCGAAAGCACGATACCCTCACTGGTTAGGCTGTGTGAGAGCACCTGTAGCCTGCGGTTATCGGCCTATCTATTGCACGAGATGACCGTACCGCCAACACCAAGCTTCCAGGTTTGGAGAAGCACTTTGGGTTCCACTCTTTAGACTACCAGCGGTGGCAACACAATGTTCTGAAATGTCCAGCGTTCAGTGGCCCGTTACGGGCGACCACCCGAACCGGGAGACCACCGAACCGGGAGAAGTTAATGAATTCTATGGATCAAGAATAGAGTATTTTGATATTCCATGTCCCTCACCTCCAAGCCCAGCTCATTACAGCATGTTTCCAAGAGCTAGGCGCATCAGTGACATAAGGTAGAGCAATGTACCAGACTGGTGCCACAGCAGCGTACACAAAAGTTGACGAAGGGGACTGGCGGGGCTCGATACGTACTTTATTGAGCCCACTTTCTTATCTAAGAAGCCAGCGATTCGCTCAATGGCTTATCGGCAGGAAAAAGTCGGTGGAACTAATCCCCGTAAGAAAAAAAAAATCCAGAACTCCAGGAAAATGCTCCAAGAGAAAATAACCCCAGTCTCGTTGCTCTCCCCGCCATTGAGCATTCAATCACTGCGGAATGCCGCAAATTCTCTGAACAATGGCGTCCTCTCTTGCTGCGCAGTTAGCGCAGATCGCCGCCAACTCAAAGGCATCTTTGGATGTAAGGGCGCAAAAGGCTGCCCACTCCAAGTCACTTCTCTTCGAGCCGAGGGTTGCCACGACACAGAGCTACCAGGCCCTTTACACGATATGTTTGGAAGGCTTCGAGGAGCTGTGCGAGCTCGATGGCCGTTTCAAACCGTTCGCCCTGACGCTCTTCAGCGAGCAGAGCATGAGCGAAGACCGCACCCAGATGACCGCTGCTGAGAATGCCGAGTTGGACAAGAAAGTCGAGTCCTTTTTGCGCCTCATTGGCAGCAGGCTGAGACTGATGCCTTCGCTTCGTGCCCTCGAATGGCTTGTACGGAGGTTCAGGTATGTCGAACCTCACTCCTCGCTAATCTCGCTCAGTCTAACGCGGTCACAGAATTCACGAGAACAACACCAAGTCTCTCATCACGACCTTCCTCCCGTACCACTCGATTCCCGCCTTCGTCACCTTGCTCTCGATCCTACCGTCAAGAATCCCCCACGAATACCGATTTTTGAGCCCCTACATCAAGTCCCTCACTTCGCCCCCGCGATCTGTGTTGGTCCACGAAGCGATCCACAAGGCCGACTTCCTCAACACCCTCTCCGAATACACCCTCGAGGCCTGCAGGAATCAGCAGCAATACCCGACCTTGATCTCTTTCTGGGGCGGAATCATGACGGAAGCCGTGAACGGTCTCCTCGAGAATATGCGCTCGGGTCGCCAGGCTGTTCAGCAGGACAATAACGAAGCGTTCCTGCACCGCGTTGGCCCTACCCTCGCCGAGGCAATGACTATGAAGAAAGTCCCCAACATGCAGATCGCTTCTTACATGGCCGTCACCATCGTTGCGGCGAAGGGAAGCTTCGATGACGCAACATTGTCGGCTTTCATGGAGCAGATTGTCCACGGTTGGACCAGCGAAACCGTGCGCCCCGGTCTGGTTTGCTTGTGCATTCTGGCGCAGTATCGATCCGCGAAACAGCTTTCAGGAAAGGTCACCAAGGCCTTGTTGAAGGTGCAGAACCTTGGCGAAATTCTCGTTGAGCTAGGCCAGGAACGGAGGGTTGATAAGCTCACTAACGGACTGTGCATCGCTTTTATCGAAAGACTTTGCAAGAAGGGTGATGCTCGGGGATTGCCAATCATTCGGGCCATCTTGATGAGCAAGATCTTGAAGGGGAAGCAGATTGCCGTTATCTTCAAGTCTCTGGTTCTTGCTGCCCACAGACTTGACGATGAGGTCGACAAGGATGGCGAAATCCGCAAGGAGCTTGGCTCGACATTGATTGACCTCTCGCGCTTCTCTGGAGACACTAGTGAGATCATCCGGACGGTTCTCGAGGAGGTCGATTTCGATGTGGAGGAGCTGGAAATGAAACTCGACGTCTCGATTCGCCAGAGAAAGGCCCTGCCCGGAAGCCAGGAGGATATCGAGATGGACAAATCCCAGCCCGCTGCGCCGACCAAGGAAAACCTGAGAGAGACTATCCAGGAGCTCTCGGGCCAGACGCGTGCGCTACCCGCATGCCTCTCAACCAGCACTGGCGAGGTCTACGACGAGTTCAGTCGCCTTTTCCTCCGGGTTGTTTCACAGCAGTCCGAGGACCCGACTCTGCTTGCCGATTTCGACCAGCTGCCGTCCCTGAGCCGACGAACGGCAGTCAGCGACCACACCTACATCACCTTCTTCGTTCGCATTTGGTCCGGCCCTTACCCAACCCTGGCTCGCGCTGCTGCTATCGACACAGTCAGGAGACGTTTGAGCGACGGCGATGGCAATGATCTCGACTTTCAAGCGCTTATCCCCTACTGCCTCGTGGCCCTGGTTGACTCCTCGAAGAAGGTCCGTCGTGCTGCGGCTGAGCTCCTCATCCAAATAGGCCACTTCTTCCCTCACCAGTCCAAGGCCGCGAAGGCTTCTGTCTGGGGTGGCAAGAAGCTTTACGATGACAGCGACAAGGTGCAGTGGCTGGATGCCGATACCGTTTCTCGTCTCCTTCACGGCGTTATCCTCCCCGCTCTGGAAGAATGCATCATGCATGAGGACCACATCCGTGCAGTCCTTCACTCTACCCTCGATAGCAGCGCCAAGGGTGAGAACAGCGAAGGAAAGAAGGCACTGAGCTCATCGGGCCGAGCATCAATCCTCTCATTCCTTGCCAGTCACGTTGTTGCAACGCCGCTCCTCAGGGTCAAGTCCAACCTACTTTCAATCCTCAACCGCATCAGAGGAGTGTCATCTACCTCAAGAACAAAGGTCCTGCTGCCGGCTTTCCGATGGTGGGCATCACTGTCTGCCGATGAAGCGGACCGTCTCTCCGAGGCTGAGGAAGTAGACCAGTCGCTGCTGCACACTACATTTGCCGAGATTGTCGTACCGAACGACAGCGAAGGCCTCGATTGCCTCCTCTCTATTATGAAGGATTCTGCTTCCGCCAAGCGTCCGGAGCTCGTTAGATCTATTTCTGCGCGCATCCGCGCTATCTGGGGCTCCATGAAGGCCGATACGAAATTCGATGTGGCCCAGACGATGTTGGAGCTTTCTCAGGCCCGACAAGCATCCCAGGACGAGGAGGACATCATTGCTGACGAAGCTGCCGATTTCCTGAGGAACGTTGAGCTCACCACAGAAATCCTGGCCTACTTCCTCGAGTCCATCCAGACCGGCACCAAGCTCATTACCGAACCCCCTGCCAACAAGCGGCGCAGAACTAGCTCGTCTGAGGCCAACCGGGGCGTCAGCGCCCAAGCCAGTGCTGAGCTCAGCGCAACCCTGAGATCAGTCACTTTTGTTCTCCAGCTTGTTGACGGTTCACAGCCTGCTGCCCATCCCGAGTTGTTGGACAGCCTCTTTGGCACGCTCTCCGAGCTTCAGCACTTCCGTACTGTCATCGGATCGGAGCTTGGATACCTGCAAAATCTGGTGCTCACAAGCCTGATTGCTATGGTCCCTGCCTACAGAGACAACAAGAACCTGAAGATCGACAGCTCAGGAGGCCACGGCGACTTGCTTGTGAACTGCATCCAAAAGTCTTCCAGCCCTATCGTGCAAAACTCGGCTCTCCTCCTGATTGCGAGCCTCGCCACTGCTGCGCCTGATCTTGTGCTTCACAGCGTGATGCCCATCTTCACCTTCATGGGTGCCTCGGTCCTCCGCCAGAACGATGATCACTCAGCTCACGTCGTCAACCAGACCATTAAGGAAGTTGTTCCACCTCTGATGGCGTCGCTCAAAAAGGGCAAGAGAAACCCTATCGCGGGTGCCACAGAGTTGCTGCAGAGCTTCGTCACTGCCTACGAGCATATCCCTGCACACCGCAAGCAAGGCTTGTTTGTCGCGCTCATCAATACACTCGGACCCGAAGAGTTCATGTTTGCCCTGTTGGCTATGTTGGTCGATAGATACGGCCCCAACGACAGCCTTATGGCGTTTGCCTCTGAGCTTCTCGGCGTTTACAGCGCCGAGGTTCAGCTTCAGACCCTGGCTAAGCTCCTGGACTTGATCAGTGACATTTTCAAGCCCAAGCCAGGCCTTTCTGTCACCCTTTTGGGAGTTGGCGAGGATTTGTCAGAGAAGAAGCCCGAGGCTATTGCCATCCAGCAGCTGACAGTGTTCCCGGCTCTCCTCTCCAGCAGGAAATTGCGGAAGGAGATCACCATCCTCACCGAGAGAGACGACATGGATTCTTCCAAGATTCGGGACCTGTACGCAATTCTTCTTCGAGACGTCCTGGCTCTTGCGGAGACGGTCAAGCAGCAGAAGGCTCTGCACGAGTGCTGCGGCAATGCCTTGGCCAATCTCCTCAACCTCCTCTCTATCGGCGAGTTCATCAAGTCGGTCGAGAACCTCCTGGATCGCACCGAGATCGACCTCCGTCGCAAGGTCCTCCGTGCTCTTGAGGTCCGTGTGGATCAGGAGGGTGTCGCAGATGTTGCCTCGAGAACGGCTCTGCTTGCTTTCCTTCCGCAGCTCACCGCCGCAATCCGGGACACAGACGATCTCAAGTACAAGCACACTGCGGTGGCGTGTATTGACAAGATCGCGGAGAAGTACGGCAAGAAGGACATCGAAGCCGTCGCGGGTGCCGCAGCGACCATCGCCGGACCCCACTGCCTTGGCCAGCCCGATGTTCGTCTCCGCGTCATGGCATTGCTTTGCCTTGCCTCTTTGGTTGATGTTCTCCAAGATGGTATTCTGCCCATTGTCAACATTGCCATTTCCCAGGCAATTCTCTACATCGAGCAGAGCGTAAAGAACGATGAGGCCGCCACCGAATTGCACAATGCGGCGTTTGCATTCATCACTGCTCTCGCGCAACACCTGCCTTACATGATTTCGGAGAAGCACCTGGATAACATCTTGCTCGCCTCCAACAAGTCAGCTGAAGCCAACCTGGACGATGAGGCTGACGATGAGCGCATCAACTGTCTCAGATTCCTTGCCAGAAAGGTTGAGGCCAAGACGATGTTGGCCAGCCTGCAGAAGAACTGGATCCCGGCTGCTGAGGCTGGTTTCGACGTAAGTTGCCTGCCAAGAGAGAGTTACAGACCCATACTGACAGTTAAACAGGCCACCGACGAATGGGTCGATATCTTTGGTGTTGTGGTTGATAGCCAACCCAAGACGGTTGTCACAAAGAACGTCACTACCTTGTCTACGATCCTCCTCAACTCTTTGGACCTTCGGAGACGGGAACAGATCAAGGGCAAGCTTACAAACGCGACGGCCCAACATGTGGCCAAGATCGAGGCCTCCATCAATGACGTTACGCTCAAGATGATTTACAAGCTGAATGATGCGGCGTTCAGGCCCGTCTTCACCCAGATCGTTGAATGGTCTACGCAGCTGCCCAAGCAAGACGTCGCAGGACGCGCTCTGCGTCGCTACAGCGTCTACGGGTTCCTCCAGGTCTTCTTTGAGGGCCTGAAATCCATCGTCACCAACTACGCGACTTACATCGTGGACGACGCCGTTGAGATTATCAATGCCGCCGACTTAAAGTTGCCCGAGCAAAAGGAGCTCTGGCAACGCGTACTGTCTACACTGGCGAGGTGCTTTGAGCACGACCAGGACGATTTCTGGCAGGCGCCTGCCCACTTTGGCAAGGTCGCTCCTGTTCTGACTGCGCAGTTCCTCCACGCCTCGTCTGTTGACCTGTCTGGCGAGCTCATCCCCGCGATGGTCGAGCTGGCCTCTGCGGCGGACTCTCAGGAGCATCAGAAGGAGCTCAACACCGCCATCCTGCGCCACCTTCGTTCCGAGCAGGCATCCGTCCGTCTGGCGGCGGTCAAGTGTCAGCAGCAACTTGCCGAGAAGCTTGGCGAGGAGTGGCTGTCGGCGCTGCCTGAGATGCTCCCTTACATCAGTGAGCTCCAGGACGATGATGACGAGACCGTCGAGCGGGAGACGCACCAGTGGATCGTCAAGATCGAGGGAGTCCTTGGTGAAAGCTTGGACTCTATGTTGCAGTAAAAGTCTAGACACAAAAAATGGAGACAGCGATGGCTGCGTGTGGGATCGTAACGGACGGAGATTTGTGCGGACAATTAATCCCGTGTACCTTATTCAATGCGTGCAGAGAAAGTAAAAAAGTAAAATCTTGAGACGTCATTTGGATATCAAAGCAAAGGAAAAAGCGGGAACGCCATGCCGGAGCCGCCGGACGAAAAGAGTGGAGACAGAGGACGTCACTTGTCCGTTGACGCCGTGCAGTGAGTCGCCTGTCAGCTTGGTGACGCAGACCTGAGGAAAAATGTAATTGAGTTTGACAAATAGCATCCTTAATTAAAGGATCAACAACTTGCCCTTGACCAACTTATCCTATCTACTTTTCAAATCTCCCCCCGCTTGTCTCGCGAGCAAAAAATAAGAGCATTGACTCACAGGCCAGGCCCCCAAGATTTTCTGATGTCAGCGCCCCGGTCCCGTCCCGTCCCGTCCCGTAGTAGTCGCGCTCTTTGACAACTCCCCGATAGACCGAGGGCCTCTACCTCCGGACCATTATCGTGCCCGCTTCCCAACCGCCCAAACGCCTAGGTTGAGCCATCGGTTTTAACCCACCGCCGTGGAACGGCCGTATAACAGGTTCGGAGGACTGCTTAATCAGAGAAAGGGAAGGGGGGGGAGGGCCTTTGCGGGTTTTATATAGCCAACTGCCCGACCCGTTTCTTGTCTGCAGGTTGGTGGTGTGATTTTGACCACATCATGGCCTCATCGAAAGTTGCACACCAATATTGGAGAAGGTTGGCTCGGCCCGGACGCCGGGGGCCGGCCGGAACGGCATTGCAGGTCGAGGCTCTGACTAATACGAGTCTTGTGAACCATTGCTACAGCACGAGTTCGAGCTCGCCGACAGGTATATTTTCCTCACTCGATCTACCAACCCTGGCATTTGATATTTCCGTCGCGACGTAAACACACAAACTCCCACTAATACACCTCCTAGAAACAAAACGTGAGAGAGTCGTCGTTTTAGGCTCGGGATGGGCGGGCTACGCCTTTGCCCGCGAACTCGACCCCAAAAAGTACGAGCGCATCCTCATCTCCCCGCGCTCCTACTTCGTCTTCACCCCCTTGCTCGCATCCACCTCTGTCGGCACCCTCGAGTTCCGCTCCGTCCTCGAGCCCGTCCGCCGCCTGAGTCTGGACTCGTTCCACCAGGCCTGGGCCGACGACATTGACTTTACAAAGAAGCTCATCCGCATCGAAAAGGTCACCTCCGAGGACGCCACGTCCAAGACGGTTCCCGCCAGGGATCCGCACGCGCCCAAGGGCGAGGTGGTTGACGTGGCCTACGATAAGCTGGTCGTCGCCGTGGGGTCGTATTCGCAGACGTTTGGAATCGAGGGCGTGAAGGAGTATGCTAATTTCTTGAGGGATATCGGGGACGCGAGGAGTATCCGGTTGAGGGTCCTCCAGTGCTTTGAAAAGGCGGACTGGCCGACTACTACCGATGAGCAGCGAAGGAAGTTGCTGCACTTCGCCGTCGTCGGCGGAGGGCCGACGGGTATCGAGGTCAGTCGGCTACCCCCTATTCGACTAGCAATACCCTCGCAACTAACTCTTTGCAGTTCGCTGCTGAGCTCCACGACCTGATCCACGAAGATCTGTCCAAGCTCTATCCCCACCTCATGAAGTTCGTCGGCATCACAATCTACGACATCGCCTCCAAGGTCCTGCCCATGTTCGACCAGCAGTTGGCCTCCTACGCCGAGGACCTCTTCCGCCGCCAGGGAATTAATGTGAAAACCAACCACCACCTGCAGCGCATCCGCCCAGACGAGGACGACTCGCGCGGCGCGCTGAAGCTCAAGATCCAGGAGAACGGCGAGGAGGAGGTCGGTGCGGGAATCGTGGTCTGGAGCACCGGGCTGATGCAGAACCCGCTCATCCAGACGCTGATGAAGAAGGAGCTAAGGAACCCGAATGCCGCAGCTCCTGCGGCGGAAGGAGAAGAAGGGCAGCAGAGCGGCGGTGGTGAGATGGTGAAGATTCTCAAGGGGGAGCGGAGCGGCGGCATCGTCACGGATTCGCATCTGAGGGTGCGCCTGGACGACCCGAACAACGAGGGCGCCGTGCTGCCGGACGTGTACTCCATGGGCGACTGTTCGGTCCTCGAGAACGAGACCCTGCCCGCCACGGCGCAGGTCGCGAGCCAGCAGGCAAAGTATCTCGCCAAGGCGCTCAATAAGGCCGCGGCTGGCCCGGAGAGCAAGCCCTTCAAGTTTCGGAATCTCGGCGCCATGGCGTACTTGGGTAGCTGGCGCGCGATCCACCAGAGTTCTGCGGATGAGATCAAGGGGCGAGCCGGTACGTTGTCTCAATTTTTTGCACGTTTTTTGTGGGAGGGACCGGATGAGCTAACGCGATGTGCCAGCGTGGATTCTGTGGCGGTGTGCGTATTTGACCAAGTCGATGAGTATCCGGAACAAGATTCTGGTTCCGGTGTATTGGTTCATCACGTGGGTTTTTGGAAGAGATATTTCTCGATTTTGAGCGGTGTTGAATAATGGATACCTGGGCGAGAGAGAAAGGAAAAACTAGTCTGAGAGGTGTCGTTATGGACTTCTCAGACATGGGCGGCGATTGTACGAGGGTAGCGATCTTGGACAGGACAGGCTGAGGCAATTTGCCTATACGGTGATTGGCGATAGACATAGACGGGGGAGGCCAAGAACCTGGCAATGATAGATCAGAGGGGGCAACCTTGGTGTCTCGTCTGAATGTAAAATATAATGGCTACGTGCTTCTCTATTCAAAATCAAGTGTGCCAACATGCCAGAGACATGTGAAAGATTAAGTATTAGTAGATGTAATTGTTTACTAATACTGACTGCTTTCAGTTCTTAATCAATTAGGGTAATGCTTGACAAGACCTAAATCTCACAACCATACCTCCATATTCACGGCGCCTTCTTTGAAACCTATACCACCTGCAATAATGATTAACGGACAGCAGCTAAATGAACACTGGGAAGGCAAATGCAGGGTCAGCCGCTCATATCGAGATAGATAACAAATGTTTATTCATTATTCATGAGTATAGTACACTATGTACTTTTGTGCAGAGATCTCCATCACTATACGTCCCTTTCTAGAAATTAGGGTATCCTGACTGCGGAGGGAAACGAATGCCGTTTACTCCCTGAATGCCCTGGCCCTGCTGGCTGGCAACAACAGTGGCCTCACGCACGGCGCGCGAAACGGTGCCTCTCACACGACCCTCCTCAAGCACCAACAGACCGCCGATGGTGCACCCACCAGGTGTAGTAACCTTGTCGCGAAGGAGAGCGGGATGATCACCGTTCTGGACTAAGCCCGCGGCGCCCTTCATAGTCTGGGCAGCCATTCTCGTGGCCTCGACGCGGGGGAGACCCATGGCAACGGCGCCGTCAATGGCGGCCTCGAGGACCAAGGAGAAGAAGGCCGGGCCGGCACCGCAGAGGGCGGTGCTGACGTCCATGTTGTTGGCGGGCAGGTAGACAACGTCGCCGATGCGCTTGAAGATCCAGGTGACGAGGTTGGCGGCATCGCGGGGCAAGGGGTAGGTCGGCGCGCCGATGACGGTCATGCTCTCGCGGATGAGAGAGGCGGTGTTGGGGAGAGCACGGATGATGCGGCATCGGCCGTCTTCCTCGGGGTCCTTGGTCGGCACGGCGCCGTGGAGGATCTCTTCCAGGTGTTCCTCGGTGAGGCCGGCGCAGATGCTGATGAGGAGTTTGCCGTGCAGGGCGCGGGTCATGCCGGCCTCGCTGAGGACGTCCTTGACCATGTAGGGCTTGCAGGCGAGGATGACGACGTCCGACTGGTGGACCGAGTTGACGTTGTCGTTTTGGACGACTTTGAGTATGGAGGAGTGCTCCCACAGGGCCTTCTTCACCTTCTTAGCGCTCTCGGGACGACGGACGCAGGCAATGAAGCGCGAAGGCAGGCGAGAGGGGACCTCCTCGTTCAGAGGGGTGGAAGTGCCCGATGCCGAAGGGGTGTGGAGTATCTGGAGAGGCTTGGGAGCCTGCATCTCCAGCAGGGAAGTGAAGATGCCGTTGAGGATGGCAATGCCCATGGTTCCTATTCAGCGTCAGAATGTTTTCTTCATTCTGAGCACGAGTACTTCTGCTTACCGCAACCGAGGACGGTAATGGTGAGCTCCGAAGAGCTGTAATCTCCCATGACAGACATAATGAAGTGGCGGTATGAGTATGAGAGAGGATGAGATTGCGGTGTAAGTGATGAATTTCTACTGCGCCAACGTTGTGGCTTCTAATCAGACACTTATAGTCCAAAAAACACCAGAAACACAGGGTGAGTTGCACAAACAAGTTCAGCTGTTCAGTTTCGGAGACAGGTTCTTTGAGTGCAAGAACAAAGTTTATCAGACAGAGATACGAAATGAAGGCCGAATTACCTTAAAAGAGTCCCCTGGCCAATATTATCCACCTCCTTTGGCAGAAAAAGAAGCTCTCCACTGTTCTGATAGGTACCGTCCATTCTCAACCACTAAACTGCCTTTTCTTTCACGCTAAACCAAACTCTGCTTAGCGTGTTTCCTCCCTCATTCGCACCGTGCTGACCATACCAAAACACCACTCAATATGGAGGCAACATCACAGGGATTCCCTGTGGGAAACTCTCCAGCGATTTCAGTTGGAAAGAGTGACAGCTCGGATTCGGATGCTCAGCGGCCTCAACTCAGCCCCAGCATCACCAGCGATTTTCATCATCATCCCGGACTCTCGCCCCAGACTCCGTCGCCCGATTCGAATTTGAACCAGGACTGGGACGGACAGTCCGTTGAATCCACCATGGCGGACCCTTTCGAGGTTCGAATGCGCTTCACGGGCCAGCTGCAGCATTTGAATGCGTCAGTCACTTCTGCCCAGAAGGCGGCTCAGTATGCCCTCAAGTACAAGGACATGGACGAGGATCTGCACTCGTGTATTCTGGAGCAGTTGGAGCGCGTGAGTCTTACTGATGAGAATCGATGAGACGGACCATGGCTGATTTTTATTTTTTCCCCCCTTTTGCGCAGAACAACATGAACACGCGCGCCAACATCATGTACTTCATTGAGCATTTCCTTGAGATGGCTCAGAAGGACAAGCACATGGACTACATCCGCATGATGCAGCGCGACATCATCCGCATCGTCGACGCCGTCGCCCCCGACGATGGATCCGGCGCTGCCAATGTCAAGGTCGTCCGAAGAGTAAGTTTTCTCTCATTCCAAGTCGTACATCGTGTGTAACTGACATGAGGGAACAGGTCCTTCGAGGCCTCCAGGACAAGGATTTCCTCGAGGCTCGTACAGTCACGGAGATTGAAGAGGTCCTCAAGGAGCGCGAGACGAGCGCGCACGATGCGGGCCTCTCGTCCCCCGTCAACGGCGACGTCGAGATGGGCGACGCGCCCCCCAGCCACGCGATCCCGACTAACGGCCGGGCCCCGCGCCTGGAGAAGCGCCAGATTGAGCAGCGCATCGAAGAGGACCGCGAGCGGCACAAGCGGCTGCGCGAGAGCATCTGGGCCATCTCGTCGCACGCAAACGCCGAGATCGACAAGATCTGGGATGAGACGAGCGACTTTGGCGATGACGACCACATTCTGGGCGAGGAGGAGTCTGCCGAGTTCACCCAGGCCATGAAACACTCGTGCCCTCCCAAGCCGCCTGCCGGTCCTGCTAGCACTCGCATCACCAATGGGAAGAAGAACTGAGGGTTTGCGGGTTCTCTTGCAAGCTACGAGCATATCTTGGCGTTTCGGGGAACAGGGAAAAAAAAAAAAGGCGTTCGACGGGGGTCAGGTTTCGCGACAGATACCACAGGTAGCACTGGGTTCAAGGGTTCATAAAGGTTAGCTCAAGTACACTGGGTAGCTTGAGGCAAAGTCAAGAAATTCCAAAAGGTTCATTCAGCTTGGCAATACAAAAAAGGTGGTGTATGTCTTTGTGATAATATTGTTACATGGGTGTTTATACACTCATACATGTCCGTCTGGACTAATCCAATCCAGATGTCCGACAACACAATGCCCCTCCGAGTTTTACATCTCCTCCCAAGGAGAGGGTGCCCTTCGCCTACATCAGCCTGCCAGCCATCGTTATGACATTTACTCCATGGTGACGGTGGCGCCAAGCTCCTTCATCGCGGCGATAATCTTCTCGGCCTCGTCCTTGGCCACGTTCTCCTTCATCAGCTTCGGCGCGCTCTCGACGAACTTCTTGCTGTCCACCAAGCTCAGACCCAACAGGTTCTTGATCTCCTTGATGACCTTGGGCTTCGAGCCGGCGTCAAAGGCCTGAAGCTTGATGTTGAAGACGCTCTTCTCGGCGGCCGCCGGTGCGGCCTCCTCCGCCTCCTCAACAGCAGCGGGGGCCGCTGCGGGGGCAGCGGCGAAGCCACCGACGGGGAGATCGGGAATATTCAGCTTGGACTGCGATTGAGGAAAAGACGGTCAGCATCAGGCCATTCCCCCCCCATGACGAGTCCATTTGGGTGCTGCGCTCGTCACTGCTCTTAACTAACCTTCAAGCTTGAAACGAGGTCTGCCGTCTCGAGAAGGGTAAGGGTGCTAATCTGGTCGACAATGGCGGCGATCTTGGGGTTTGTGGGGGCAGCGGCCTCGGTCGAGTTGTATCTTCGTGCGGTTGCGGGAGTTCGGGTCTGGAAGAGGGCTGTCGAGGCACGGAGCGAGCCGGAGACACGGAGCTGACGGGCGCAGCTCTGGGCTGCGTATCTGCAAGAGAGGGCCATTGTGTTTTGTGGGATGGGAAGAAATTGGGAGGAGCGAGGCCAATTGGCGTTGTTGAGGAGAGCGGAGCGGAGCCGATTGTCGTCGAGTTTCAAGTCGGCCTCAAGCAACAGGGAGGTTCTAGCTCGGGATATCTCTGGCTTGAAGTTTTTCGAGCTCCTGCGAATGGTTCCAGTCGCGTGAATGGTGCAGAGTCGTCTCCACTTTGATTGGTTCGGGGGCTCTGTAGCGCCGCCTTCCGCCCGTGGGTAGCTGCAGCCCAGGGACCCCTGCCACCGCCGGGCCCATCAGAAAAAAAGTTGCCTTTGGCTGGCGCGCTGGGAAAGGGTCCTCTTGGAGTACGGGCCAAAAAAAAAAAAAGTTCATAGTCGGCCGGTTTGCATGTACGTCGAACACCACCGCCGCCGACATATCTCATAATTGAGCCACGACCATGGCCTCCATAGACGTGTCGACGCAGAGGACTGCTCTCCTGAACGATGCGACCGTTCTGGAGTACTTACCCACCGAAATACTAGAGGTCATCAGAAATCACACAACCTCACACCTCCTCGATGCTGTTGCCGAGGCGGCTCTCATTCCCCAACTTACAGATCGAATTTTCCTTCATTTTGAGAATGTCTTTCCCGACATCTGCGCCCGTTGGCTCCTCAACCTCGACAACCAAGCCGTCAATGGCAAGAACAGACAAATACTTGCGTCTATTGCAAGGATATTAACCTTTGCTCCGTATTTATCGGAATTTTTGCAGCATGTCATGAGAGACGACTTGACGAAAACGACGTCGGATAACATCCAGACGCTCAACCTCCGATTCCCAAAACTCACAACTTTTTCTCCCACACAAGACTCCGACCTCCTAACGCTGTTGCTGGCAGCATGGCGGCTGGTCTGTTTCGACCAAAGGACCTATGGCGTCCTGGTCTCACCAACACACATGCAAGCTCTCTTCTCACATGAGAGCCGCGCCATCCGATACTTGGCGATCCGGATTTTCACCCAGCTCCTCCGCGCCGCCGACTCGAAGCTGGAAGCTCTCATTACCGAGCATGTCGGAACGACGGAGGTCATTCTCGCTGAATTCGATGGGCGCGAGATAGACTACGGGTTTCTGAGTCTGTATGAAGATTCACGGATCAAGAAGGTATCGGCGCTGCGCCGTGAGCTTTGCGATGCTTCGCAGAGCAATGAAATCCACTCTTTCCCACCGCAGTCCCTGACTCCTTACGTTGCGTGCTACGGCAAGACAATACTGCCGAGACCGTCGGGCCCGGTTGAGAAGAACTCATCCCTCGTGCTGACGTCCACCACCACCAAAAACCTTGAGAGTCTGGCTGGCCTCTTGAAGAACCCAAGCCCAATTCTCCTTCATGGCCTTCCCGGCTCTGGAAAGACCTCCTTGGTCCATGAAGTTGCAAAGGAGTTTGGAAAGCATTCCGAGATGGTGACATTACACATCAATGAGCAAACAGATGCAAAGATGCTCATTGGACTCTATTCGACCGACTCAAAACCGGGAACTTTCTCATGGAGAGCCGGTGTACTGACAACCGCGGTCAGAGAAGGTCGTTGGGTCCTCATCGAAGACCTGGACAGAGCGCCGAACGAAGTCATCAGCACACTTCTTCCCCTGATCGAGCGAGGTGAGCTCCTCATCCCGAGTAGGGGTGAGCGAATCAAGGCTGCCAACGGATTCCGTCTCTTTGGCACGGTGAGAAGCTCCCGCGGCATGCATGGTCGCGAGACGCTTCCTAATCTCCTAGGCATGCGGTTCTGGCAACTTCTCTCGGTGCAGACCCCCACAGAGCCCGAACTACAGGATATCATTGTTGGATCCCACCCCATCTTACACAAGTTTGCCCCTGGCATCCTTGCCGTATATAAGCGGTTGTCAAAGCCAATATCTGGCAACATTCCCTTGTCGTCCAGCCGCGGCATGGCCGATCGCCAAACCAGCTTGCGAGACCTATTGCGGTGGTGCAGACGCCTCGGAGCCACGCTGTCCGAGGCAGGCTGCAAAACTGGCGAAGAACCCGTCACTGACACTATCCGGATGAACATGTTCAAGGAGGCCATTGACTGCTTCGTTGCTGGTATTCCGGACGTTCAAGCCAAACAACACTTGATTTTCGGCATCGCTGAGGAGATGCATATACCCAGGGAGCTAGTCGAGCATCACCTGGGAAACTACACCCCTGAACTCGAGCAAACCGACAGCCTCTTCAAGATTGGCCGATGTACACTGCGCAAGCGCAAGGAGCGCGTGAACAAGGCTGCCCTAGCCAAAAAGCCTTTTGCCAGTACAACGCACGCAAAAAAGTTGTTGGAGCAGACCGCAGTGGCCGTGAACCTGGGCGAGCCGATCCTCCTCGTCGGTGAGACCGGCATCGGAAAGACGACAGTCGTTCAACAGTTGGCCGACACGTTGGGCCACAAGCTAGTTGCCATCAACTTGTCTCAGCAGAGTGAAACTGGAGATCTTCTCGGAGGCTTCAAGCCAGTCAACGTGAGGAGTCTGGCTGTTCCTTTGAAGGAGGAGTTTGAGGACCTATTTTCGGCAACTGGCATCTCGACAACGAAGAACCAGCGATATCTCGAGCAGCTGGGAAAGTCATTCGCCAAGGGACAATGGGCCAAGGCGGCCAAGTTGTGGCGCGAAGCACCCAAGATGTTCAAGAAGATCATCGACGAGCTGGCCCGGCGAGAGAGGGAGCAAGGCCAAGCTCGCGACGAAGCAGGCCAGCCCACGAAGCGTCGCAAGACTGAGTCCAAACTTCAGACCCTTGTCGAACTCAGTCCTCGTTGGGAAAAGTTCTCCAACAGCCTGGATCAGTTCGAGGTCCAGCTGTCTGGAGGCTCGACGGCGTTCGCGTTCTCTTTCGTGGAGGGCAACATTATCAAGGCCGCTCGGAATGGTGACTGGGTACTTCTTGACGAGATCAACTTGGCATCGCCCGATACTTTGGAGAGCGTTGCAGATCTCCTGACGGGACCCGTTGATACACCCTCCATTCTCCTATCTGAAACGGGAGAGATCGAGAGGATCAAAGCACACCCGAACTTCCGCATCTTTGGTGCCATGAACCCGGCAACAGATGTGGGCAAGCGCGATCTTCCTATTGGCATCCGGTCTCGATTCACTGAGCTTTACGTAGACAGTCCGGACAAGGACGTCAAGGACTTGGTCACCATCGTCAAGACATACCTGAGAAACAGCAGCATCAAGGATGAACACGCAGCAGACGACATTGCGGCGTTGTACATGAACACCAAGAGACACGCCGAGGAGAAGAGGATTGTGGATGGAGCCAACGAGGTGCCGCATTTCAGTCTTCGTACTCTTACCCGCGTCTTGACATTTGTCAATTACATTGCCCCCTTTTACGGTATTCGAAGAGCCTTGTACGAGGGATTCTCCATGGGATTCCTTACACTTCTCGACAGGAACTCGGAAAAGATGGTAATGCCGTTGATCGACCTCCACCTATTTGGCCGAGTCTCAAATCCACAGTCCTTGCTTTCACAGCCGCCAAGACAGCCTGACGATGGTAAGCAGTATGTCCGCTTCCGTAATAAGGCAAAGGACCGTCACTACTGGCTTGCTCAGGGAGAAGAAAAGACTCTGGAGCGGACTGACTACATCATCACACCCTACGTGGAGCGCAATCTTCTCAATCTCGTTCGAGCGACATCCACGCGACGATTCCCCATCCTCATCCAGGGCCCGACATCAGCAGGAAAGACGAGTATGATCGAGTATCTGGCCAACTTCACGGGTAACAAGTTTGTGCGTATCAACAACCACGAACACACGGATCTGCAAGAATACCTGGGAACGTATGTGTCGGACTCATCAGGAAGGCTTCGTTTCCAAGAAGGTCTCCTTGTTCAAGCCATGCGACAGGGACATTGGATCGTTCTGGACGAACTGAATCTTGCTCCCACCGACGTTCTCGAAGCACTGAATCGTCTGCTTGACGACAACCGAGAGCTCCTGATCCCCGAGACACAAGAAATCGTGCGACCGCACGAGAACTTCATGTTATTCTCCACGCAGAACCCTCCTGGCTTGTACGGTGGCCGCAAGGTGCTGTCGCGCGCGTTCCGTAATCGTTTCTTGGAGCTGCACTTCGACGACATCCCCGAGGACGAGTTGGAGTACATCCTTCAAAACAGAAGCATCAATACTGCACCCTCAGACTGTAAGCGAATTGTCACAGTCTACAAGGAGCTCTCCCGTCTGCGCCAAACGAGTCGACTGTTTGAGCAGAAGGACAGTTTCGCCACGCTCCGTGACCTGTTCCGATGGGCCCTGCGAAAGGCAGACACGCGAGAACAAATCGCCGTCAATGGATTCATGCTTCTTGCCGAGCGAGTCCGAGTCGAGGAGGAGCGAACTGCGGTCAGAGAGGTCATCGAGAACGTGTTCAAGGTCAAGATTGACCCAGACGTTCTATACACTGCCAACTCATCACCAATCTTGACCGAGGTTCTGGGCAAGTCCAACAACCATGGCGTAGTGTGGACTCGTGCCATGCGTCGTCTCTATGTTTTGGTGCATGCTGCTATCCTCAACAATGAGCCAGTTCTTCTCGTGGGCGAGACTGGATGTGGCAAAACCACTGTCTGCCAGATTCTAGGTGATGTACTTGGAAAGGAGCTGCACATTGTCAACGCTCACCAGAACACCGAAACGGGAGATCTCATCGGCTCCCAGAGGCCCGTGAGAAACCGCGGGGCCATCTCAGAGGCTCTGAAGAGCGATCTGAGTGCTCTCCTCGGAGCGCTTGGCGAAGATGCAACAGGCCCTCTGGACGTTCTGCTGCAACAATACCACGGCATTCCGGCGGACAAATTGGCTAGGGTCGACGCTGCCACACAGGACAAGATTGCGTTGCTTGAGGCCAAGAGCAAAGCTTTGTTCGAGTGGTCTGACGGAAGTCTCGTTCACGCAATGAAGTCTGGTCAATATTTCCTGCTCGACGAGATTTCTCTTGCTGATGACTCTGTCCTGGAACGTCTGAACTCGGTTCTCGAGCCTCAGCGGTCCCTTCTTCTGGCAGAAAAGGGCATTGATAACTCTTTCGTCACCGCAGCTGATGGCTTCCAGTTCTTCGCCACCATGAACCCAGGCGGCGATTTCGGCAAGAAAGAACTGTCGCCAGCGCTGAGGAACCGCTTCACCGAGATCTGGGTTCCCGCCATGTCTGAGATGGACGATATGCTCGACATCGTCGTCTCGAAACTGGACCCGTCCTTCCAGGCCTTCGGCAAGCCAGTGGTGCAATTTGCCCATTGGTTTGGCCAGACTTTTAGATCGTCGTCCTCCACCGCGTTTTCAATCCGTGACATCCTCATCTGGGTAAACTTTATCAATTTGTGCGGTCCTGCTGCACCCCAGTTTGCCATTGTTCATGGTGCGGCGACCGTCTTCATCGACAGCTTAGGTGCCAATCCCTCGGCGTTGCTGGCAATGGATCCCAAGGCTCTCGATTCACAACGGCAGAAGTGCCTCGACAAGCTCAGCGAACTTCTTGGGTACGATACTACAGCAATTTACCGCGCACAGCCCGAGGTAGTCTTGACCGACGACAGACTGTCCATCGGCGACTTTGGTCTACCCCGTGAAGCAGGCCGTTCCACAGACCCAAGCTTTGCGTTCAACGCCCCGACTACAAGACTCAACGCCATGCGAGTGATGCGTTCCCTTCAAATGCGAAAGCCCATCCTGCTCGAGGGTAGCCCAGGTGTCGGCAAGACGACCCTTGTGGCTGCATTGGCTCGTGTTTGCGGTCGCCCTCTGACTCGTATCAACTTGTCAGATCAAACTGACCTGATGGACCTTTTCGGTACGGACATGCCTGTCGAGGGCGCCGAAGCGGGCAACTTTGCTTGGCGTGATGCTCCTTTCCTCCAGGCTATGCAGAACGGCGAATGGGTATTGCTTGATGAGATGAACTTGGCCTCTCAGTCTGTGCTGGAAGGTCTCAACGCCTGTCTCGACCATCGTGGCGAGGTGTACATCTCCGAACTGGACCAGGTCTTCAGGAGGCATCCTGATTTCAGGCTATTCGCTGCACAGAATCCCCATCATCAGGGAGGTGGGAGAAAGGGTCTTCCCAGCTCTTTCGTGAACAGATTCATCGTCGTTTACGCCGACGTCTTCACGGCGGAAGACCTCTTACTTATTGCTCAACACAACTTCCCCGCTATCCCCACCGATGTTGTCAGCGGCGTCATACAGTTCATTTCTCGTCTGGATCATCAGGTCGCGATCGAGAAGGCATTTGGGTCACACGGTAGCCCCTGGGAGTTCAATTTGAGAGATATTTTGAGATGGCTGCATCTCGTAGCCACAAAGGATCCCCTGCTCGCTACTGGCAAGCCAGACGACTTCCTCGACCTCATCATCCGTCAACGGTTCCGATCTTCCACGGATCGTGAGGAGGTGAACAAGCTCTTCACCGAGGTGTTTTCCAGAGACCCAGAAAGCCACAGTCTTTACCACGATACCAACGCTGCCTTCTCTCAGGTCGGAAATGCACTACTGCCCAGAAACCAGACTTCCCAGCCTTTGGAACTGCCTGGCATCGACATTGTACCGCGACTTCCCGAGATTGAGTCCCTGATGATCTGCATCAAACAAGATATCCCATGCATTCTCAGTGGCCCCTCCGGTAGCGGAAAGTCGGTGCTCCTCGAGCATGTCGCTGCTCTCGTCGGCAAGCCCCTGATTGTGTTTCCCCTCAATGCGGACATTGACACGATGGACTTGGTCGGTGGGTTTGAGCAGTCAGACCCTCTTCGCGAAGTCAACGCTACTTTGCGAGAGCTTTATGAGGGCCTTCAGACCACAGTTCTGAGCAGAGTACCAAGTCAAGTTCCGCCGTCAGCGTTGGCTCTGCTGTACCTTTTGGAGACTTATCGTGGAGACACCGATGACCTACCCGCCCTCAGAAGTGCAGTCGAACAAGTACTCACCGAGGTATCGAGCGAGTCGGATATTGGAGCTCTTCTTTTCACGGCTCATTCAGTTCTGCGAAGCCCGTTGGTTGTCAGCAATCCCCGTTTCGAGTGGCTTGATGGAGTCATAGTCAAGGCCTTGGAAACTGGACAGTGGCTGGTGCTGGACAATGCCAACCTGTGTAACGCGTCCGTGCTGGACAGACTCAACTCGCTCCTTGAGCCCAACGGCTTTTTGAGTATCAACGAACACTGCGGACCCAACGGAGAGCCTCGTATCATTAGACCACATCCAGAGTTCCGCATCTTCCTCACAGTGGATCCTCGATATGGAGAGTTGTCGCGAGCCATGAGAAACAGAGCCGTTGAGATCCATCTCAGCGAGAGGAAGACGCAGCATTTCAACAGCTCCAGTTCCCAAGTTCATGTGGAGAGCAGCCTTCAACGATTCTCTTCCTCAAAGGACATCTCCTTTTCTACCTTGAGTGCGAACGACTCCTCCGATGTGAGCCACGCCACCTTTGGAAACCTGTCGCTCAGAGACACAGCGCTCATGGAGAGATTCTCTCACTCTCTGCGCCGTGGCTTGGCTGATCCTAACTGGCCTGGACTCGACAAATACGAAGGTTCCCTGAATGAGCAACTTGGGTTCCTGGGTGCTGCCGATACAGCTAGCATCCGCGGCGCGATTTCCCAACTCTATACCAAATTGCCTGGCTCCGACTCAGGCCTCAAAGAAGCTCAGGTAGGACTACACTTCACTCCCCTAGAGGTTATATTTACTGATAACAAACTGCATAGCCTCTTAACCCTCTCCACAATGCTTCCATGGTGAGAGTCCTGGGCCGCAATCACGACGAATTGCCGTTCTGGCTTTCTGCCTGCTACGAATTCCTATTGGAAGTCCAACGCTGCCAATCTGCCATTTCCGCGCAAGCTACCAAGGCCAAGGCGGTGAAGCTCGCCTCCCTGAACCGACTCCAGCGATCCATCGTCTCGGACCGCATCGCAGCCGTAGCGAAGGATTCGACGGTCAGGGTGTCGAAGTTCCTGTCAAGAACTCTCCAGGTCATCAAAACCTTCATCCAGTCCAACCTCGGGACAGCTCAAGGCTGGAAAGAACGGGCCCAAGTCATCCGGAACATGCTCGATTTCTGGTGGCGAACCCTCAATTTGACCACTGGGGACATGTTTGAGGAAGCGCGATTCCAGGCTCACTTGGTCCATGGCACCGAGTCCGTCCAAAAGCTTCTCTCGCCAGCAACGCAATCCATCAATCGACAGCTTGCCGATCGCTACCTTCAGACTGTGGAAGAGGACTTCACCACTGGTTTCCGCCTTACCACTGGTTTGAGCATGGAGATCATGTGGAAGCGGATCAAGCCGCTTCCCATCATGAGCGAGGAAACCCTCAAGAAAAGCCAGGAGGTTGAGCGTTTGGGTATTCGACTTGACGAGCTCAAGTGGAAGGTCAAGGCATCCGTCTCCGATCTTGCCAGAGCCATGACAACACTCGTCAAAGCCGATCAAATTGTTCGGAGCACCGATCTCGATGCCACCGAGCTCATTCAGGACCTGTCCAAGGAGATTGAACTTTTGGAATCCAAGGTTGCCTCGGGAACCAGCGAAGTGAAACCGTTCTTCGCGGCAGAGTTTGAAACTCTCCGGCAGGCCTCCGTCTTGAAGTCTCACGCCAGCCAATACTTCGAAGCCGTGCCATATGGAGCCAATGTGACTGATCTTACAGTCTTGTCGAACCAGAATACTATCGACCAAATCCGCCTGGGCAGCTTTCAAGCCAAGGAAGCGCATTCATTGACGATTGGCCTGCTTGCGTCCCAAGACCCAGCCACGTATGTATGGAACGGCAGACTTACAACATCGCTCTTGTCAAGGCTCAACTCCATTCAGTCGACCAGCCTGCGTTCCCTGGGTCTCCTAGAGACCGAACTTCCCGCTATGGGCCGGTCCGTTGCCGCTTTGGCTCCGGTGCTGCAGAAGAACCACCTCGTTGCTTTCAACAGAGTAATCAAGTCACTTCTCGCAGACATCTTCAGTCTCTATGGCAACAAAGGAGACGTCTACTGTGAGGCGCTATATAACAGCATCAACCAGATGTTCGAGGACACCAAGGCAGAGACAACTTTGGAGGCTTTGGCAATGGTCTTGAGTCTAAAGTTTGAGAAGACACTTGACTGCAGCGACTGGCCCAAACATATGCAGCAACTTATCGTGGACCACTTCAGCAAGGCGGTGCTTTACCTTGTAGCATCTGACAGGATGCATCAACACCACGGAGAATTTGAATCTATCGAAGCCTCACTGATGCCCGGTCTTACTGCTACGGCATGGTTTGAGTTTGCCAACGGCGCCATCAAGCTCTACGTGCCCGATAAATCCTTCGACCCGCAACTTCGGCCGCAATTCGAAAAGGACGTCCATGACGAGTTGACCAAGAACCTACAGCATAAGATCTCATCTTTGTTGGACTTTGAAACTCAATTTACGGGCCAGCAAACGTCTCTTCGCATTCAGCTTGCGCAAGAGGAAATCACCGCACTGGGACCTGCGCCGGCACCTGCACAGCTACTCCACCGACCTGTTCGATCAGAACTCAACTATGTCCAGACGGACTTCAACAACGTCCTGAAAATGGTCAGAGACCAGGATATCTCCAGACTCCATCTCGAGTTTATAGCGCAACAACCCGACCACCCAACGCCGGAAATTGATCTCCTCAAGCAGAACCTAGCTCTGATGTACGACCGTCTTGCAAACCGATTTCATGCCTACCAAGACATGACTCGGCCTCTCGTCAATATTCTAGGCTGTCTCCAAATAGGTCTGTCAATGAGCACAGCGACTGTCCACTTGAGTAAGCATGCTCGGGGAGCCGTAGGAGCGGAGGAAAGCCTAATGTACCTCACGCCTTTCCTTGGCGGCGAGCCCATGCACCATGTGGTCAAAAAGCTCCCGAACAAGAGTTTGGAGTTCCTCGACTACGTTGGTCTGGTCGCGTCAGTCGAGGGCTTGTCAAAGTTGAACGCTCGTGTCCGCGAAGCGCTTTTTGAATGCGTGCACAGGTTCTATCAAGAATGGGTCAAGAAACTCGAAGAAGATCGCAAGGCTGAGGAGGCCAGAACGAATCTTTACCGGCACAAGGGAAGTTGGGAGGACGAAGAGGAGGTTGATGAGGAAGAGTTCAATGAGCTTTTCCCCACATATGATCAGGAAGAAGAAGAGAAGCCCGCCATTGGCCACCAGAAGGTTCGCGACGTGTCGGTTCGTCTCGCAGAATCTCATCGCAAGGTCTTCCTGGAGCAAGCCACCCCCTCCGAAGCACTGAAGAACGTCTGCCAGAAGGTCGGGAACAGCGTTGTGACGGACCTCAAGGAAATGTACGCTGTTTTCCCAGGCATGAACCGTCGACTCCTCCCCCTGTCTCTCTGGTCACTCGATGAGCAGATGATCACGCTCACCGCGAACGGCGTCAGCGCCACGTACAACTTTTATACCGAAGCCAACCTTCCCGAGGTTCGTCGCCTGATTGCGCTGATTGACAAGGTGGAGGCCCGTTTCCGAGATCTGCAACAAGTCGATGAGATCGGTCACATGCAGCCTTTGGCAGATGTGCGAGCAGCTTGCGAGCAGCTCCTCGAGCTCACCCACTCGGAGCCTCTGGCCAAGATCCTCCCCAAGCTGGAGCACTTGCACGGCATCGTTTACGAGTGGCAACACGGAGGCTACGCTCCCGCCATCTATGGAGCTCCTACACTCTACACGTCCCTAACGGATACCATCATTAGCTGGCGTCGCCTGGAACTCTCAACTTGGGCGAAGCTCTTCGACATGGAAGCCCAGAAGTGCACGGCAGACGCCGACTCGTGGTTCTTCGTCGCCTACCAGGTCCTCATTGCCGTTCCCCTGTCTCTCGTCGACTCCCCCGAGCTCAAGGACTACGCCGTCAATCTCGTCAGAGAGCTTGAGACCTACTTCTCAACCGCAATCATTGGTCAGTTCTCTGCTCGCCTCAGACTTCTGAGACAGCTGCAAAAGCACCTTGAGCTGCTCTCGGTCGATTACCCCTCCTTGGCTGTGGTCTCCGACGCAGCCATCAACTTCATCGGTTTCTATTCTCGCTTTGAGAAGGTCGTCCACCAAACGATTGTCAAGGGACGGGCGCCATTCGAAAAGACTATGAAGGAGGTCGTGCTGTTGGCCAGCTGGAAGGACACAAACATCAACGCCCTCCGTGAGAGCGCACGTAAGTCTCATTTGAAGCTCTTCCGGCTCGTTCGCAAATTCCGCGCTCTTCTCGGTCAGCCGATGAAGCCCATCCTGGACCAAGGTATCCCCGATGAGGAGGTTCCCATTCTCCAAAATGCGGTGGCCGCGGACGCGATTGATATCAAGGTCGATCCCGCAGCCATTAGCACCTGCAATCAAGGCTTGCCAGGCTGGCTCGCTCAACATAAGCGTCTCTCGAATGCCTCAAAGACGCTTTCCATCATGGCCAGCGTTTCTGCACATGCCAACGAAAGCCCCCTCGACGCCACCCAGGAGATCGTTTCGTACGTCAAAGAACTCAACACCTCCATCGCCGAACTGCGCAAGGAGACGCCCAGCACCTTGACCGATGAGACCAAGGATCAGGTCAAGCACCTCAAGACGCGCAAGCGCAACCTCTTTGCCGACGTACTCAAGATGATGAGGCAAATGGGCTTCCGATACAACCTCGGAACCGACGAGTTGGCCCGTCAAGAGTCTGCTGCTGTTATTCTGGCTGGCTCGCCAGCCTCTGCACTTTGGGAGGACAGCATCGATGACGCCTCCGAGTTTTACTTCCATAAGGTCGTCGATATCGCACCCAAGGTCAGAGCCTCCATCCACGAGTACTCGGGCGACCTTACCGGTGCCGAGATGCAACGAAGCACCGGCTTCATGGAGGGTATGATGGCCGTTCTACTGGGTCAACACAGCTCCCTGTCTTCTGCTCGTAAGGCGATTACCTCGCTTGACCGCGTCATCGCCACCGTTCAAAGCTTGAATGGCACAACCATCAGACACGACACCACGCCCGTCCACCCAGGCCTCTCTATGAGCTGGGTGAAGCCAGTTCTGGACTTTGGTATCAAGATTGTGGACATTCACGGCAATTTAGCATCCGTCGACAATCAGCCCATCTCGAATATCCTGAAAACTGTGCTGCAGGAAGTCGAAACGCTGTCGGAGAGCTGGTCTACCTCCGCTTCAAAGCACGACAAGTTCACCAACGAATGGCACAGCAATCTGCTGACAAAATTCCGGTCTGTGGCGCAGACCTTGAACGGCCAGCTTCCTTCAAGTCGCCGCGATCTTGACTTCGTCTTGGAGCAGATCAAGATATGGGCTAGCACCCCGATTCACTTCGGCCGCGAGATGCCGAGCCTCGATGCCACCGCCCAGAAGTTCAAGCACGCGATATCCAGTCTCTGTGATGCCGTCCTCGTCGCGGTCCAAGGTTACAAGAAAGCTATGGCTGATCTGCCAAGCTCATCCGACGATGCAGGCTGGCTGGCAAAGACGTCCACTGTTCGCAGTTCTGGACTCAACGCACTTCATATCAACGCAATCGTGAACAAGGTCGAGGATTGCTTTGCTGCCTTGGAGGTTGTCGATTTGGACAAGAACCACATGGATACAGTTGCTTCGTCACTCTTCTCCATCGTACTCCCGATTCTTCAGCAGTATTCCCTCACTTGTCGCCAGAGTCTGTCCCAGCTTCAAAGCTTGCAGGCGGCAACTGGCCACATGACCTATAACCTGGCACAGACCTTCACTCAGCTTGCCGCCAAGGGATTCTGCTCCCCTCAGGAAAAGTCCAACGAGCAGTCTGGAGACTCTGGAAAGATGGAATCCGGAACAGGTCTAGGAGACGGAGATGGCGCAGAGGACATCAGCAAAGACATCCAGCCTGACGAGGACCTCTCTGAGCTCGCTCAAGAACCCAACAAGGAGAAGGACGGAGAAATGGAAGACGAAAAGGATGCGGTCGACATGGCGGACGAGGAGATGGAGGGAGAAATGGGCAGTGTCGGAGGCGGAGATGATGAGGAAGACAAGTCTGACGGAGAAGGCGAAGACGGTGAAAAGGACGACATGGAGGAAGAGGTTGGCGATGTTGATGATTTTGATCCCACTGCTGTCGACGAGAAGATGTGGGATGGAGACAATGAGGAGGAAGCAGAGAAAGACCAGCAGGGCGAGAAGGCCAAGGGTCAGAAGAAGGACGAGCAGATGGCTGCCGATGCCGAAGCCAATGCTGACGAGAACGACGCCGAAGATGACGATAACAAGATGGACCAAGGCGATGACGAGGAAGCGGAGGATGAAGAGCCTGGTCCGGAGCAGGAGGACGCCAAGTTTGAAGACGACCAAGTCAAGCAAGACCAGAACGTTGAAGAGAACGATGCTCTTGAGATGCCTGAAGAGATGGACTTTGACTTTGAGGATGAAGGAGAAGACGCAAAATCCGAGGACGATGAGCTTGACAAGCTGTCCGACGTTGACAAGGAAGACGCTAAAGAACAGCATGATTCCGACATTGAGGATGGAGAAGAGGAGACTCAGCGGCCGGACGACAAGGATCCTGAAGAGGAGGACGAGGATGGCAAGGAGGAGGAGGAGGAGGCGCCCGAGGAAGATCTTGCAGGCGAGCCTGAGCTCGACATGGAGCCCAAGGCCGAGGATGAGGAAGAAGAGGCCGCTCAGCCTGAGCAGCCCGATGCTCTCGCGGAGCCGCCCAAGGACAATGCCAACGCCGACGCGAACGCTGCGCCGAGTGATGTCAAGGGTGGCGGCCAAGACCAAGACGTCGACCAAATGGACGTTGAAAACGACTTTAACAACAACGCGGCCCAGAAAGACGACGGAGACGCGGGAGAAGGGTCTGCTGAGCAACAGACGAGTGCCGGCAAGAAGGGACAACTCTCCCGGTCCGATGACCAAGCCCAGCCTACCGAACAGGACCAGGACGATTCAGCCGAGGAGAAGAGTCGCCAGGACCCCTTCAAGAAGCTCGGCGATGCCCTGGAACGCTGGCATCGCCAGCAAAGCGACATCAAGGACCCCGAGAAGCAGGAGCAGGAAGAGGGTGAGCAGAAGCAGAAGCAGCCGCACGACACCAGTGCAGACCTCGGCGCCCGCGAGTTCCAGCACCTCGAGGACGACGAGACCGCGGTCGACGCTCAGGCCATGGGCGCCGCCTCGGAGGACCAGGTACAGCCCATTGACGAGGCCATGGCCATTGACGAGGAGAAGGAGGACCCGCAGAGCCGCGTGATGCCCGAGACGGAGGACGTGGAGATGGAGCAGGATGCCGATCAGATGGATACCGCGGAGGAAGCCGCCCCCGAGACGCAGGAGAAGGACGGCAGCGCCGACAAGGACGACGGTCGTTCCGGAGTCAAGACGCGACAGGGCAACTTTGACCGCGAGCCCTCGCCCTCGGAAGACGAAGTCCAAAGAGCAGACGAAGACTCGGACGAGGAGGAGCAGGTCATTGATGAAGCGTCGACGCAGCTCTCCACGACCCACATCAGCGAGGACAATAGCCTCCCCCTCCGCGACTTCTCCGAATCCCTCTCGTCGTGGACGGCCTTCCAGACAAAGACGCACCCCTTGTCCCTCTCCCTGACCTCCCAGCTCCGCCTCATCCTTACGCCCTCACAGTCCACAAAACTATCGGGCTCCTACCGCACGGGCAAGCGCCTCAACATCAAAAAGATCATCCCCTACATTGCGTCGAGCTACAAGCGCGACAAGATCTGGATGCGCCGCGCCGTCCCCACGAAACGCTCCTACCAGATCCTCTTGGCTGTCGACGACTCCCGCAGCATGGGCGAGTCCTCCTCCGGGAACCTCGCCCTCGAGTCCCTCGTCATGGTCTCCCGCGCCCTGACGATGCTCGAGGTGGGCCAAGTCGGCGTCCTCGGCTTCGGCGCAGACACCTTTATGGCGCACGACTTTTCCTCCCCCTTTGCCTCCCACGACGCCGGCGCAAAAGTCCTGCAGCACTTCAACTTCAAGCAGGACCGCACCGATATCGCCCTCCTCGTCCGCCGCACAATCGACCACTTCCGCACCGCGCGGCTGCAGAACCCGGCCCGCGGCGGCGCAGAGGACCTGTGGCAGCTGGCCCTCATCCTGTCCGACGGCCTGACGCCGTCCAACCAGCACGAGCCGATCCGCCGCCTCCTCCGCGAGGCCATGGAAGAGCGCATCATGGTCGTCTTCATCGTCATGGATGACACGGGCAACAAGAAGGGCGATAGCGTGCTGGACCTCAAGGAGGCGAAATTCGTAAAGGACGAGCACGGCGGCAGCCGCGTCGTCATTGAGAGGTATCTCGATACCTTCCCCTTCCAGTACTACCTCATCGTGCACAACCTCGAGGACCTGCCCGGCGCGCTGGCTGGACTGCTGAGAACATGGTTTGCCGAGGTCAATTCGTGAAGCAGATAGAGAAACGGGGAGGAGGGAGAGAAAAGTTTTTGGTGTTTTGGTCAATTTCGTGAGAAACAGGAGTTTGGGATGGGTTTCATCATTGTTGGCCTACTATCTCCGAGATTAGGACGGCGTAAATAATATGTTTTTCACAAAAAAGTTTAGATAGATTTAGACAGAAATCGAGCAACGCATTGCTAATCACGTTCCATTGTATTGTGAAGCTAGCCGTGACCTTCTTATGTGGTATCAACCGGGCCGTAGCCGCCATAGCCAGCGCGTAGAATTGCAGAGAGGAAATACACTCCAAGACCACCGTTAACTCCATACCCCAACCGGCCCGCCCACACAAACGTGCTCTCGGGCATCTAAGTAAATGCCACGTGCTAGGCGCCCTCAACCCTGACCTTCTTGGTCGCACCCTGCTCCTCGCCGTCATCCACAGTTTTGCGCTTGCTGCCCGAGTCCTCGGCAGACGAGGCAGCCATATTCTTCACCCAGCGAGCGTGCCAGTCAAGGATTCTGGCATACTCGAGCTCGACACTGACGAGAGCTTCGTTGAGCTTCTCTGACCGCTCAGACTGGTCCAGTTGACCGAGTACATCGGCGTTCTGTCGATACAAGCGCTGCTTGACAAACAGCTGCCACAGACGGTACTGGTGCTTCGCCTCCTTTGTAGGCGTGGGCTTCTTCTCGTCGCCGAATCCGACCCGGACAGACTCGGGTAGCTGGGACATTGTCTGTATCTCAATCAGGCGCTTAAACTGACGCTCTACGATCTTGGTCTTCTGTCGGAGGTCTCTGAGAAGGTCTTGGTCCACCAGGTCCTTGGGGACGGTGCCGCTAGGTGGGTTGGGGAGGGCGATGCTTGTGTTGATCTTGACCTTGTCGAACTCTGGCAGCGACCGCAGGAAGGTCAGGTCGGCCAAGTCGCGCATGTCGTCGAAAGCTTCGTTGGGGTCCTCTACAGTCAGCTCGAGGGTCTGCGGGTTGTTGTAGTAGTGCATAAAGATGGTCTTGTAGAGGCGAGCACCGATGCCCTTGCCTTGGAAAGGTGGCAAGATTAAGAATTGAGAGAGCCGAGACCGACAGGGAAGCTCTTCCAGCAGGTTAAACTCCTCTTTTGGCAGATCCCACTCGGACGACGGCGGCGTAGGCGGCCGGAAACAGAAGAATTTGTAAACGGTCGAGTAGCCGACGAAGGTGTAGGAAGGCTTATCGCTAGTTTCCGGGGATAGTTGCTTTCGGTACAGGAAGAATGTGGTCCAGCGGTTGGCGTCCTCAAGGTCCTTCCACGGGTCGTCCTCGTTGTGCGGATCACGAGAGACGTACGAGCCTCCTTCGATGAACATGGGAACCATAACCTCGACTCGGGTGACGATCTGACGGACACCAGGGTCCGCGAGGCTTCCCTTCCACACCTCGTATGTTCCATCATGGGCCTCAAAGCTCGAGTGGAGGGTGCCGGGAGGAGTCCAGTCGGTGGGTTGGCTCTGGGAACTTGTGTTGAATTCGCGCGCGGGTTGGAAGGCAACTATGATAGGACCCTGATTAACGAAGCACTTTCATTGCGACAAGAGCAGCATGACTTACCTAGCGGTAGGTGCTCTTTGAGGATGGCATCGACATCTGCCGCCTCGGTCTCTCCAACGGACTGGAACTTCCTGCCGTAGAAGATCTGAACATTGGGGCGCATGTCGAATGTGCGGTAGCGCAGGTTGATCTTGAGATCCTTGTACCCAAAGATGCGCTCATCATCTCCGAAGATAGAGTATGTGAACTTTGGATTGAAAGAGGCAATAGTCTTTGTAGCTCCTGCTGCTGGTGCGATCAAGCTGATGTTCAGCGATTCAGTGGCATTGGCCGACCCTTTTTAGCATGTTAGTAATCATTGCGACGATGGGCCATGAGGAAGTTGAGGTTCATACATTCGTCCGTCTCGGCCATGATATCGATGGAGGTCTGATTCTGAGACACAGATCCGTGGCAGTAGTTTCTTCTGCGATTTTTTAATGTGATGCAAAACGCCAAAAATCGCGATTGAGAGCCCGTTATCCTGTAATCAAACGAACGGCGGTTGGGTCTTGTTTGCTTGTCGATGTTGACGTTAAGGTCGATTAGTCGAGAGCTCTATTTTTTTCTTTGCGGCGAAGTCAGTCTTGGGGGGACGCGCAGTCTAGAGCCGTCGCGACGAGACGCGCCTGTGAGTTAATTGAGCCCCGCTGCAGTCGGATCGGGTGGCTCCTGGAGGTGCCTCTCAAATCAATCGGCTGTCAGCGTTTCGGGGGACGCTAATACTGGAACGCCTTAGCTCTGGTCCATCCTCGCAGCAGCCGCACAAGCAGCGAGCAGGAGCTGCAACGGGAAGGACCCACCAGATTACGACATGGGGTGACAAGGCTCAGAAAGGGGGGCGGGGGAGGTTCAAGGGGACGGGAGTACACCTCTGTCAAGCTTGGAAGGCCAATGGATTTGCGTACCTAGTGTCCAATGGTTTGCGCCCGCTGCCCGGTGCACCTCGGGAGCCAGCTCAGCTCCCCCAACCTCGATGATATTCTCCCTGTGCACTCCAAACTTGAAATCCAAAAAATAAGTCGAGGCAGGAGTTGAGCAAGCTCAGTCTCTTTTCCGCCGCCCTGCCATTTTCATCCAGTCACGCCAGAGCTGCCGACGACAATTGAACCTCAGACATGCTGGCATGATCCAACAAAGTCTCGATAAACCCTCTTCCTTTCTCTCTCTTTCATCATCCACGCCACAATAACGCGCACGCCGAAACGCATCGATTGATGATCTCTACCCAATTATGGGAGGATTACTGTTGCTGCTCTTGCTGAGCGTATGTACACTATCCCCTTACACCTGCCTTAGCTTGACTCCCGGCCAGACGATACACTTTGACGGCTATGCACGATGGAAAGCTAACAAATCATCTCCATGATAGACGGTCATGGCCTTGGCGTAGGTTGCACAAGCGATGCCCCCAGCCTTCCGAACCCTCCGTAAAACTGACGAGGTATCCCGCGATCCCAGGTCCTTCTTCGCCGGCTCACTACCACTCGCAATAACCCTCACACAGTCGCAGCTCCGATTGATATCAAGCGTAGGCGTCGGTATCTTGGTTGGGACATCTATGATTGTGATTATACCTGAAGGCATCGAAGCCGTCGCAACGACCGGCGGGCACTCGCACGGCAAGAGGAGTTTGATGGATGCGGCTAGCAAGCAAGGGAGGCTGGCCATTCGGTGGACGACAGACAAAGATATACCCCAGTTGGCGGATGCTACCAACTTTGTGCGGACAGTGGAGGAGGAAATCCACGTCCTCGGCAGCGATGTGGAATACACTGCAAAGCTGCATAGACGGGAGGAGCAGGACGAGCATGGCCACGAGCAACCCCCAGCAGCCGCCCCTGGCCCCGAGCCTCATCATGACAACGAGATGCACCAGAATGAGGTCCCGACGTTCTATATCGGCCTGTCTATGATTCTCGGCTTCGTCCTCATGTACCTCATTGACAGGCTGCCCCGTCACGCGGCAGGTCGCAGTGGATCCGAGCCGCAGATGCGTCACGTTAGCTTGGATAATCTCGGGGGTTCGTCAAGCGTTGGTGACGAGGAAACGGAAGGCTTCCTCGGTCCTCTTGCGCCCCCGCCGAAGCAATCCCGAAGCCTAGCCACCACCATCGGGTTGGTGATCCATGCCGCAGCTGACGGCATCGCAATGGGCGCGTCCACATCCACATCCAACACAAAGTTGGGCCTTATAATATTCGTCGCCATCATGGTTCACAAGGCGCCAGCAGCATTTGGCCTCACATCGGTGCTTCTGAAGCAGGGATTGTCCAAACGAACGGCGCGAGGACATCTAATCGTCTTCAGCCTCGCCGCCCCTTTTGGAGCTATTAGTACATGGGCGATCATTCGAATATTGGGCGGTGGAAATTTTGAGGGCGAATCCGGCCAGTGGTGGACGGGTATGCTTCTACTGTTCTCCGCAGGAACTTTTTTGTAAGTTGAACGATGGCCCAAGGATGAAGAAGCGTGATTACTTGCTAACGACCTACGAGGTTTGTTGCGATGCACGCCATGCAGGAAGACGCCAGTTCTCCAAAGCACGAACACGGCGGCATGAATGGCTATTCGGACGGGAATGGCACACAAAGGGGTCCGCAGCGGCCGCAGATGCGTGATACTTTTGCGACAGTGGCAGGCATGCTTCTGCCGCTGCTCACTCAGTTTGGACATCACCACTGAACGTTTGCCAGCGCAAGTGGCGAGAGTTTCCATGCCCCTGGGATGAGAAGATGTAATGTTGGGATTTCTTGTACGAATAAATCGTGGCACCGACAGGGCTGGGGATCCTCCTGACACATGACGATGATGATTGTATAGACTTCGAAAAAAAGGTTGGGTTCATCTCTGAATCTGGAGGAAATAAGCCCGGATGATATATTATAGGTATCTGTACTATTATGCCGAATAGGACCGCTTTCGAACCGCCATAGAATGCATACCAATCCCAAAATTTCGCCTGGACGCGTTCCAGAAGCTGCGGTGGAGTTGCCCAGAAGCAATTCGTTAGTGACTCGGTGGTCCATTGATCGGGGCCGAGAACTCCTATGCTGGCGCAAGGGTAGGAGGGGCCGGCTCGACGGGGGCGCCAGGGAAGCCCTTGTCGAACGAGCGTCCAAAGTCGAGCTAGGTTTCTGGTTGGGGTGTTTCAAGTTCGTACGATGACCTTGGCTCCAATGAGGCGCTCATGGCACCGCCTCCTGGCCACGGGTTGGCTTGAGAGGATTGCCCGGCCCTTGATATCACGTTTGCTTGTCCTTGTCGGCGCAGCAAGGGCGCGGAATATCCTCAGCGACAGGAAGCGGCTGATAATCCTGTTTCGTAGGTCAATCAAGGCCCCGGGGAGTCTGCAGTCGAGAGTCAAAAGGGAGAGAGGTGTCCGCAGCGTCGTGCCTCTGCCGTGGAAATAGTACCCCGGCCGCCCGGCGAAGAAAGAGTCTGCAAGGCTAAACACTGCATTTGGACAACTGCACATTGCTGGTTTGGTGTGTTTCTTCAGACACAGATCATCTCATGAGTAAGCTGACATTGCCTACCCTCTTATTATTGAACAATCCGATTTGTGAGAAGCAAGGAGGACTCGAGTTTCGAGAAAGTCAGCCCCTGTGGGCCTGAGCGCAGCAGGATAACTACACCCCTGCACTGTAACGTTGAGGTACATCTGAGCCATCCGAGCCGCCAGTGTCGCAAGTGGTTGTTGGCCTTTGACTTTTTATGGAGCTGCACAGTTGAAGGCCACACCTGACTAATTCGTATGGCGCGTTCTCCCAGCCGCATTCAGCGAACAGTTCAGACGCAGATTTGCTTTTCGGTCCCATCGCACATATCTAGTGTACGCAGTGGGTAAAAGTAGGAACGTGGGACCAACCATGGGGCAGCTCCCTCACAGGCAAGGAGGTGTGGTGGATTCGACAGCGACCGGTACTTGCCTAGACTTACCGTTCAGGATCTGCAGTCCGACTTGACTCGGACACAACCATGGGTTTTCTACTCGAGACAGGCGGCGATATACAGTTCGAAAAGCCGTGATAGTCGTGTTTTGAAGACCTGGCAATTCAATGATCCGTAAGCCAAGACGTGCTTTTGGTGACTTTCGTATAAGCAAGTGAATCGGGGTAAGGTATCTTGCCGGCGGGGCCTACAGCATAGCACAATCTGCTAGGCCAAACCGACAGATTGACAGGGCACCGTAGAAATCCCCAAGAGTACACATAGTTCAGCGGTTTCTTATGCTGGCGAGCCAACCGTGTACCGTGCGCTGTCGCAAAGGCCAAGTCCCTGTTCGCGAACGAACGTGAGTAAACATGCTTGTGCGGTAGCTGCAATGCTATGGTATTGTTCACCAATGACCAAAGACCTGGGAGGGGCGGGAGTCTTCTCTTTCCTAATCGCAGAAGCAGCTATTCGTAGGCTAGAGCGTGCTGTTGCATGGCTGCGGTGGAACCTGGGCCGAATTATGAGTCGATAGTTGCAAAGGACGTTGGATGTGCGAAATTGGCTATTCCTGCGAGACCTTGAAAGACAACATCCCGGATAATAGCGCCGACTCTCAGGGCTCAAAGATGGGAGGGCGGCTGTGGCCGTCCTCCAAGACCGGGGAAAGACGCTGCTGGGTCCTTTTCGGGCGCAGATGCTAGACTGTCCATTGCGCCATCATGCTTTATTACCCATCGTAGACTGAGGTGCGGAAACTTCAAAGGCCAGAGGACAATCCAATAGCCGAGTGCGCAAGACGACTCGGACCTGAAGCCAGACTCGGTCGCGACATTGGCGTGAAAGAATCGATCGACGTCACGGATACCCACTACTGTGCCTACCAAGTGCAGACGGGGTGGGCACTAGTGGAGGCATGTAAGCGCCGCTAACTCGGACCCTGCAGGCCACCCCGGAGGCCCAAGGAAGGCAGAGATGTGTGGTTTATTGTTTGCGGCGACTCCAAAGAATGTGAGACGTGCTCTCTCTCAGCTGGTCTTGGTTAGCTTGTGAAAGACAATAGACCCTAGAGTTGCTCATGCGTAGGTAGGTTCGGACAGCAATGGTGTTTGGAATCTGGGGAAGCAGTGACAGCGTTTATGCCCGATCGCGGCCAGCGTTGAAGCATGACATTGTTCGCTGCGTGACATCCGCATTCGGAATCTTCTGCGGCGACAACGGTATGACAGAATCTGCGAGCCAACCGCCAAGACCTACGCGAGAGAGTTATCAATCACCGAGAATGCTCACACCTTCAAATTTCTCTCTCGCTCGTAGAACGATCACAGGTGGAGACCCGAACGGTTGCGGAGCCCGTAAAGACTGCCGTTCCAGAGCCGGAGGTATTCTCGGGACCACCAATGCAGGAATGCCCCGAAAGCCGATGTCCCATTCATCACGAGCGGCTGGTGATGATATTCCCGGGAATGAAGCTGAGGTAGTGCGTACGCCAGTCGTTCGCCGGTAATGCAAAGATTCGATGTGTGTATGTCTCCATAGCTTATACGTAGGTATTAGTTCGTAGGTTAGGTGTGCCGGGGTAGTGTCTTGGACGATGCGCGCTTTGGGTAGATTGCCAGGCCGGCTCTACGGTGTCAAATGTCAGAGCTGTGAAGGAGGGTGGGTGTCAGTAATAAAGAGATGGGCAGCTGGAACGAAACAACGCTAGAGAAAGACCCAGAATAAAATTCTGTTTTGTTTGGGAATCATGACCTGAGCCTGAGCCTGAGCCTGTGCCGGTGTCTGAATAGGAAGAAATCCAAGGCGACGCTGGTTGTGTTGGTGTGAGGTGGGAGGCGGTGTGAGAATAGGTAGGCAATGTCTTTGTGTGATTCAACATGAGACGGCATTTCCCTCCCCTCTAATAGAGGCTTGCTCCATCGATGGTTGGTCAAGTCGAAGAGGTGTTGTTGCAGTTCCTATCTGTCTGGAAGGTCAGAACTCCTTGTACCCTCCTGTTGGTGTAAGCCATGGAGTACTCCGTACAGGGTACAGATGCTTTACTCTGTATTACTGGCAGTGCCAAGATCAATCGACTTCAATGCGTCTTCCATTAATTCTTCGCTGGCCCTTCTCTCCCTCCCCCGTCCAGTGTGTGTGTCTATTTCTCGCTCTTTCGCGGTCAGCATGCCAGGCCCATATTGTGACACCTACCTAATCAGGATAGTACCCGTCACTGTATACTTTTCCTTGGGATTGTCGGGTTCGAGTGGTGAAAGAAATCTTGAAGACAAAGAAAGACGAATGCACCGTGACCTGGGTGGCACCCGTCCCACAGTCTGCTCCTTCCCTCTCAAAAGGCACTCAACCGGGCTACCTACCCACATCGTCTCGAGCCCAGGCCTTCTTCGGCGCACCTCCTCCTAGCGCACTCCCGTCGTGCCCCCCTTGCCCTTCCCGTCCCGTCCTCACTGCATCCTTTCCTTCCTCCCCGAAAACCAGGGCCACCTACCTAAGGTATACCACCCACCGCCTCCGCCTTCGCCTCTGCGTTGCTTCCAGCTTGGTTTACCTTGCCTTACTACCTGCCCAGTGCCAGGCGCTGTTCCTTCCAACTTGCCTCTGCGTCCGTCTTGAGCCTTGACTCTCTCGACCTCTTTTCACCACTCTCTCTCTGCCTTGGTCTTGTTCGTCCCGGCCTGGTTCCTTTGCCATTTTCCTCTTCCCATCTCTACCCTGCCCACAACACACACCCGTCCTCCCACACCCACACCTACACACGCAGAGGCGTAGGCGTGCTCAGAGTCAGTCTGTCTTACCTCAAAGTGCCTGGGCCTATCTCGTCTCTCTCTCTTCCTTCACTCCCCCTTCCCCAAGATCCCCAATCCCGGCCAACAAACACTCCCGTCTGCAGCTGGATTTCTCCTCTCCAATCCAATCCCATCCCTTCTCCTCTCCTTTTTCCCCTCCAACACATCTTTACTTTCGCTCCCTACGACGACGACGACCGAAAAAAAAAAGACGAGAGACACTACATTGCAGGGAGGTGCGAAAGGCATTTGGGCGTCAATCAAGTGAAATCCTCCGATACCACCGAACAATCCACTTTCTATTGAGTCGCCCTGTAGCATTCCACACTACAAGGCCCAAGACGACCCACGCTTTCCGCCTGACACCTCCGATTGTTAAGCTTCCCGTCTCCCGCTGGCCCCATACACATACGGCACGCACGCTATTCTGTACCGCTGCCAGACAGAACCTCTCATCGTCCAAGTCGACTCCCGATCCAGGAACCGACCACCATCTTCTGCTTTCCCATCCGACGCCGCCAATTCCCCATGGGAGACGTCCCGTCGCCTTGCCCTGTCGCATTCGCACTCTGCATCACATATCGTCGCCTCACCGAATCATTGTCGTCATCCGAGTTGCTCGAGTCTGTGAGACTTGCGCATTGATTACCAACGTGCAACAATTTGCCATCACCCTCTCATACTGCCGAACAGCCCTCGCCTCGGATACCGCATCGTCTTCACGCTGAGCTGAATTCTTGCACTTGTGCCTTTGTGCCTACTGCGACATTTTCGAGAGCTTGTCACTGATCTTCGATAATAAATGCACCCTCAGTAACGACTCCGCATACTACGAAGCGACCCCCGAATTCACCACCGCTCAACGACTGCATTCCAGTCTTCAAGGGACTCCTGTCATTGAGCCGTTGTGCACTCACGATACCACAATCGGGCAGCGCTTCGAGCACGATCGTTTCATAC